CCTTTCGAACCCGCATTCACCATTCGCTTCAGATTATTTGAAGCAGGTAAGGACCTAGCTGCTGCTGAACCAACCTTATTTCTTGCTTGGTTCAGAACAGAGTTGATCTGATCTTCTAGAGACTCCATCATCGTTTTTCCAGGTTTGCATTGAATCTCTCCATTTTGTCCCTTTTCAATAAGAAGAGTTACCTCCTGTCTTGCTGCTTCCATGGTTCGCACAATGTAGTTCATAGTTTCATCGTCTGCAATAGTGTCTCCAATACCAATAGAAAATCCACGTTGCAATAACCAATGATTGATAAGCAGTTGCACCGAAGAAATAAAATCACAAGTTGCATCCGGTCCGTGTTCTTTCCAACAGACGTGGATAAGACTTCCTGCACGAGTACCAACAGTAGATTTATCAATGACTCCACAAACAAGTTCTCCTCCTGAAATAACAACCCTAGTGTCATGTATGGTCATGTCTGGACCGAAAATAGGATCGGAATCTGATTCTTCTACATGCGTTTCTGCAAAACGAATAATATTGACATTTGGAGTTATCATGGAAAATAGTTGTTTGCCAGTCCACAGTTCCTTTGGCTTTAGAATGGCAGGTGTCGGAATTTGACCATCAAATCCTTCAATATGCATCAACAAATTCATCATCATATCTCGAGTAATAAATACATCTCTCATAGTAAAAAGTGAACAACCTAACAAGGTATCTTGTACCAAACCCATGACGGGCTTATTTGCTTGAGGAGAAACGATATTTTTAGGAACCATCATGAGCTCCAGTATTTCAGCCTTTCCTTCTAAAAATTGAGGAACGTGCAAATTCATTTCATCACCATCAAAGTCTGCATTATATGGACTTGTAGCAGATAAATTCAAACGAAAAGTTGAATATGGAAGAATTCGAACGCGATGACCCATAATGGACATTTTATGCAAGGAAGGTTGTCTATTAAAAAGAACAACATCTCCATCCTGCAAATGCCTTTCGACTTTGTATCCAATCTCCAAATGCAAATCAGCTGGACGTCTTACATAACGCAGATCTATGCGTTGTCCATCGTCTCGAACAATATATTTTGCTCCAGGATGCTCATTGGGTCCATTCGCAACGAGAGCTTGTAGTCGTCCATAACTAAGAGGAGTAACCACTTCTGGGTATGTCAAGTTCATAGCAATACTCTTGGGAACTCCAACTTCGTCCAAACGAATATTAGGATCGGGAGTAATGACCGTTCTTGCAGAAAAATCGACTCGTTTACCCATCAAGTTACCTCGAATTCTTCCTTCCTTTCCTTTCAATCGTTGAGAAATGCTTTTGAGTGGACGACCAGATCGCTGAAGTGACCTTGGAAGACCAGGAATCTCATTATTCATATAAGTCGCAACATGATACTGTAAAAGTTGCAGCTGTTCATTTAAAGCATGTGCGGGAGCTCCCTCTCTTTCTAAACGTTTCAACGCATTGTTCGCTTTGACAATATCACCAAGTTTATGAGTAAGATCATCTTCACCACGGCTAGTGGCATCCATCATAATAGAAGGCCGAACATGAGGAGGAGGAACTGATAAAATAGTTATTATCATCCAATCTGGTCGACTTTGCTCACGACTAAACCCTAAAATGTCTGCATCTTCGTCTGACATATGTTTCAAAATGTTATAAGCCTTTTCTGCAGTGATTTGTTGGCGTTTTTCGCCTCCACCTTCGGGAGGATCGGGAAACTCAGCAACAATACTCAAGGCATCTCGTAGAAGTTTAGGTTGTGCGTTACCACAAAATCGACATTCCTTCAAACGAGGAAGAGACAAAAATAAACCAAGGCGCTTGGTACCCTTCTTAATCTGTTCTATTTGCTTCAATCTACTGGCTATACTCGAATCCTCGGTATTGATGAGTAACTTGGAGCAATAGTAACAAATACAGCGAAGAACCTTCAATGTTGAAGCAAGGAAACCAGGATTATAAACAGGCTGAGCTAGTTCGATGTGTCCAAAATGACCTGGGCAGTCCAAAAAGGAGCTGTGGCAAGTTCTACAAGGAAAATCTCGATCTATAGCACCCAGTCGTTGATCCATTAAACCGCCTTCCTTAGGTCTGCCTTGCTCGAAAGCTATCTCGCGTTGAATGGGAGCAACAGAATAACGTCTCTAAAACAAGAGACAAAGTTAATGATGACAATGCAATCGGAGGGGGTAATGAATAACACCAATTCTTTCCAAACAACCCCAAAGCAAATCAGAATAATACTTACAATTTCTTCTGGGCTTAATATTCCGAACTGAAGAGCCGAAACTTTTTTGAGTTCAACACTTGAAACGGTCAAGGCGTCCATTTCTCAAAACGGAAATTTTGACAAACTCAATAGTCACTAAAATAGTTTCATTACTCTTGTATAAGAGCATGTGTCTAAATATGAGTCACCTTTTTGGGAAACAAGCCACAAAGTGAAAAAGACCCCTATGAGTTTATTCTATATCCCCAAGAGCAAAACTTTGGTACTGAGTCTCTAACCACTGGTGTATGAAACAAAGCTAGGAATACTGAGCCCCCTAAGCTCGATAGTTTCGGTTTAATACGTGCGAACTCTATGAAGCCCTTCTTTTTGTTCACACGCAAAACAAACCGACCCACACAACCAATGGGGGATACAAACCCATGTGCTTACGACGAAGGGCTTCTTTTAGAGTATGCTCAACAGGAACACTTGAAAAACTTTATTCGTTCATACAATATCTTTTAAAGAAATAATAAACTACCCAGTGTTATACAAGCACTCTTTCAAGCTCCACACCAAGTTGTTGAAAACAATGAGCCATTCTCAAGTGCAAATATTTCCATATTATGAGTTTTCCACTATCATGAACTTGACGCTTCCGAAGAGGTGGTCTGAAAATAGGGTACAAACTTGGGTTTCTGATACGAAGGCCTCGGAAGTCGAGGTCGTTCTCGGGCAATCTTTTCTGCTTCTGTAGCTGCAACTCTCTCAATTTCAACAAGACCAACAACCTTTTTCAAGTCGTTCCATACTTTCACGCCATCCAGTACAACCTCTGCTTTGTGAATCTTCGTAATACCAAGTTTCTAACTCCATAAAAGTTGGACATAATACAAAAAGGGTCCAAAAACAAACAAGTACCTCTAAAATTTCCTTCTTGATCCTATGTTTTCTAATAAAGCTTCTTCGAAGAGTAACGATAAGTCTAGTGTCAGAAAGACTATTCAACAGTGCGTTGTTGACCATGAATATGAATATTATCCAACAACTGGATGAAATCTGAGAAACGAAATAGGCTGAAGAAAGACGGTCAAGAGGTTGATCACAAAATCATAAAAAGTATACAAACATACTTTAAATACAAAATCTATCACACTTATAATAATACGCTTTTTGAATTTCACAACATGTTGTTTTATTCATTGGAGAAATCAAGTCAAATGTCTGCTTATCCAGCAGATTTGGACTCTGAGTTTCAAAGGTTTCAACTTGAAATTGAACAAGTTGGAAAACAGCAACACTCAACAGAGTTACCAAATGCGGCTTCTACTATTTTAGTAGCGTCGAAACCTGCTGTCCGTGAAACCTGTTCCAAGGTTGACCCTGTTCAGCAAGCTTGGCAACAAGAGGTTTTGGCTCGTGACTTTGAACTTGCTAGAGCATTTCAAGAAAATAAAAAAGTAGCAGAAAGTCGAGCAGATAATTCGGATAAATTTGAAGATAATTACTACAAGTCTGCTCATGCTTCTTATCTTTACAAAACTTCCGACTTGCAAGCCATCGGTGGTCAAAATTCCAAAAAGAAGATTCTCAAGAAAGATGGAAGACAGAAAAGAGTAGTAAGAACAGCAGCAGGTGAAATATGGGAAGATACTACTTTATTAGAATGGCCAGATAATGACTTTAGACTGTTTGTTGGAGACTTGGGTCATGACGCCACTGACGAGTTGTTGCAAACTACCTTTGGAAGGTTTTCTGGGTATAATATGGCCCGAGTTGTAAAGGATAAGAGAACAGGGAGGTGTAAAGGTTATGGTTTTGTAAGCTTTTCCAAGCCAGAGGGGATGATACAAGCCATGAAGGCGTTGAATGGCAAATACGTTGGTTCACGTCCTTGCAAGATACGAAAGTCTACGTGGAAAGAAAGACTGTTAACAAAAGACAAAAAACCTGAGGTGGAGTTACTGCAACAGTTTCGTCAAAGATTAAAGCAGACATAGTTTTTACAAGAGTGACCTGGAAATGGAAGATTTATTTTTGTACGTATGCAAATGCAACAAGCGAATAGTACAATGATGCACAAATATATTTTCCTAATTCCAACGAGGTAACCAACGCCTTTTATCATGTGCTATTTTTGTTAATGAAATGGCATAAACCCATGGAGCCCAATAAACGAAAGCTGCCACTTCCAATATGAATATCTACATGTTCCAGTTATCACTATAGATAAGCAAACAATAAAAGTCAAACACTTACAACAATAATGAAAACAAGTTTGTAAGACTTGGGAAATCTATCGATTACCAAAGCAGTAAGTAACTCTGCATAAAATAGACCTGGAATATAATGATATAAAAAGGCACTTCGCTCCACCGCAATGTAAGGAAGTAAATTCAATGCATATGCTGCACATAATATGCCACCTTTTTCCATCAAACTTCGTAAATCTGCTTTTGATGATATGGCATAACGATATCTGCCAAAGAATATAGCACATAATAAGAATATCAATGCACTTAATAGACAAAGGTACATCACAGCAGGATTTCCAATTAGATATATTTGTGACATTCGAGAGTCATCTTCATCATCTTCTTGGACAAAGTACAATAGTCCACGGAGATTAAGTGGCCATTCATACCATTTAGATTCCCATGGATGGCGATCCTTGATACCCTTATTGGCACGAAACATTTCCCGATTCAATTGAAAAAAACTTGTCAAGAAAGGTTGTCGCGTTGCAGCAGGATGATAAAACGGATTGCCAATAAGAGTCTTTTGAAATTCCGGTGTCATGAAAGCATCTCCAGATCCCGAAAAGGGTAGCAACTGAAAATGAACATAAAAAACAAATAGATACACTATAATGCCACTAAGACCAGCAATGAGACATTCCCAGATTTCAAGAGGTTCATTTAGAAAGTGAAGTCCAAAGAAAGACACAATAGCAATGATTCCTGGAGTTGCAAGTGCAGTCCATTTCACCGAAATTGCACAACCACAAAGTATTCCAGTTAAAACCAAAAAGAAAAGGAATGACTTTTTGCGGTTTTCTCTTTTGTATTTCCACAATTTCAAGGCACTATAGAAGGAAGCCATGCAGAAGAATAAAAGCTGAGAATCCACTAGAATAAGACGAGACTCAATCAAAGAGAGGAAATCAAGTAAAACCATACTTGCACCGGCAAAAGAACCAACTGGAGAAATGTTCAATTCTCTACAGGTGCAATACATGAGTGGAACGCTCAAGACACCAAACAATGCCGATACTGAACGTAAAACTTGGAACTTGGTATCACCATATTCTGCACCAATAGCATCATAAAGAAAACCAGGATTGTATCCACCCAATAAACCACCAAGATACAGAATCAATTTTCCCAAAGGAGGATGAATGTCGAAATAATATTGATGCTTAAAGTACCAAGTGACAAATTTGCCAAAGTGAAATTCATCAAAGACAACTGCAGCAGGGTAAAATAAACGCCAGAATCTGGTAGCTAAAGCCAAAAAAGTCAACAATAGCAAGTTCCAACCGTCTGTTTTGTCGAATTGACTTGCTTTGAGCAAGAACGTGAGATATTTGTTTCTCAGGTGGCTTTTCTTTATCTTGGAACTATAAGGTCGTCCAACTGACCCATTGCTTTTAGAAGAGCTATGTTGATTCATGGTTGTCCGTTTAGAACTTTCCATTATCTGCTTCTTTACAGCTAATAACAACTGCACTTTTGGAGAAAAGTAACCCACAACCCAATGAAAACGTGTCACTCTCCAACCCAAAAGAATGCTCGCTTCATTTTTTCTTTGTTGGGAGCAATGGATTATGGACCCCCCAACAATTCATTCTCTCATAAGAATACGAAGAGTCTATTTGAAAATCAATTTGTACACAATTATATTGAACTCTATATAAAAAAAGTTATCAAATAATATTTATTGTTGTGCACATTGGACACGGCTTGTATGTTCATTGTTATCTTGGTCTTCATCATAAATATTCCCTTCATTAGACTTGGCCGAGTCTCTCAACTGTTCCGAGTCAAAATCTACCATCTGCACTTGTTCAAAGTTATCACTTTCCATCGAAATATCTGGTCGAGGACCCAAAGTTCTCTCCAATAAGACTTGTTGCTCTGAAGAAAGGAATTTCGGAAATAAAATGTGAAACTGGATAATCAAGTTACCCTTCTGACTAGGAATACGATACGTGGGCATTCCTTCACCAATAATGGATTTGAGCATATCAGGATGAATAATCTCACCAGGTTCCGTTTTCAATAGCAACTTTCGTCCGTCTAAGTGGTCAACAACAGCTGTCATTCCACAAAGTGCTTCTACTAAATGAATATCTTTCTTCATTAATAAATGAATGCCCTGTCTCCGAAAAACTTCATGAGGTTTTTCTTCGACAACAATAATAACATCTCCAGGTAAACAACCTGGAGCTTCATCAGCCTCTCCAGATATAACAATCTTTTGACCACTTTCCATACCAGGCTCAACGTAGACTTCCAGAATTTTCTTCTCGCTTACCACTTTCTTGCCGTGACACTTGGAACACTTATCACTATCTCGAATGGTTTCTCCACTACCACTACATTCCGAACACGTGGTCTGAACTTGCTGTATCATTCCAGGACCCATTTGGCGAATTTGGACTCTTATGCCTCTTCCACTACATAGAGAACAAGTAACTGCTTCAGTTCCACTCTTCGTTCCCTTTCCTGAACAATCACCACAAATCCGATGTCGGTTCAACGCTAACTTGGCTGTCTTTCCCAGATAAAGATCTTTAAGAGTTACTTTCAACGTATGCACAACATCCTCAGCTTTCTTCGGTCCTCGACTTTTTCCCTTTGACCTTCCAAAAAGACCTCCACCAAAGAATGCCTCAAATATGTCTTCGGCATTCATACTTGCTCCTAAGCCTTGTTGAGAAAGTCCTTCTTCACCATATTCGTCATATACTCTGCGTTTCTCATCATCTGAAAGTACCTCAAAAGCTCTTGTTACCTCCTTGAACTTTTCTTCATCACCGCCTTTGTCAGGATGTAGTTTGACAGCCAACTTCCTATATGCTTTCTTTATCTCATCTTTTGATGCATTGGTGGGAACACCAAGCAACTCGTAATACTTTTTGTTGTCTACGTTTTCTTTTGCTTTCTTTGCACCAAACCTTCCAAACATGTCAAGACATGTACATGTATGCAAAGATTAGAAGCATCCAGAAGCTTATTCTCATTTGGGATTCTTTGCAGTGGTAAACATTGGTCTTCAAAGATCTTTAAAATTTATATTTTTTGTCTCGAGCTATAATTGGAAATTGTAGTCTCAAATAATAAAATTCAAATGATTCTTAAAGTTCTTGTTTCTATATTCTATCAACTTCTATCATAATAGACTAGGAAGTGTTATTCTTGTGGACGACTAAATGGGACTTGTTTTGCATTGCATCGAAGAATTCGTATACTTTGGTAAATAAATAGCAAACAGACATTAGCTGGCAAGCTAACAACAAAGTAAAACTACAGATAGTTCTACAATACGACGGTTCTTTCACGGCTTGAACAACAAAATTTGAAAACAATCCACTTTCATAAAAAGAAGAACAGCATCGAGGGCTACTTGAGGGTCGGTCATTCAAGAAGTTTCCAAAGCAAACCGGCCATCATTCAATCTGACGTGCGATAATGTCTTTGGAAACCGTGCACGAGGAATCAAGTGTTACTGCAGAGAAACAGAACCAGTTGGAAAAGTTGAAACTGGACAACTTGGAAGATGTTACCTTTGAAGTTGAGAATGTTTCACCTTCAAAAGAGGAAAAGTATTCGTCGGAGTATTGTATTGCCTGTTATGACCACCCAGCAAATATTATGTTGCTACCTTGTGAACATAAAATACTTTGTGGTTACTGTGTGACAAGACTAGACGACCAACTCTGCCCATTTTGTAGAAATCATGTGGAAACTGTACGAATTTTTCCAAGTTTTCACGCAGGTTTTACTCAGCAGTTGGAGGAAAAGCTGGAACAGAAGAAAGGACAGGATATAGAGGTCGAAGACTCTTTTCGAGAGACTTCACTGAGAGAAGAATCTTTCTCTGGTTTAACAGCGTTGGGAAGTGGTTCTTCTCATAGTCGTTCACCTTCGTTGCGTTCGAATCACTCAAGTGGAGGGGAACCAAGTGGTGGTGGTCGTGGTGGTCCAAAACGTTCAGTTAGTTTTCGAAATTTGAAGCGACTCTTTACATCCCCACGAGCTTCTCAAAAGAAAGAGACCAAAGAAGAATACGTTCCACCAAAGATAGTGGTTTCCCTTAGTAACATACTTGAAGAATGCAAGTTCCATGAACATGAAGTTATTGAGAAAACTTTTCAAGTTCTAGTGACAGGATCAGATGATGTAGATAAGGAAGGTATCGTTCGTTCGTTGCAGGACCTCTTTCCAGTAAAGAAACCATATATTCCATGGTCACCAGAAGAAAAGTCGAAACTTGGACATGAAGAGTATCTAGATGCCATTGATACCTTTCAAGCAGCAGAAGACTTTGTAGCCAATATGGATATTCAAGGAGCCCCTGTTCGAGTGACGGCAGTCAATCTTTGGGAGTTGTTAAGAATAATGAGAACTGGAAAAGCGGATGTTCGCCATCCAGATGTTGTTATTCTTTCCTGTGATACTCATTCATTACGTTCATTTCGTGAAATGCTTGCTCTGGACGAAGTACTTCGAGAACGTCTGAAATGTACGACTCCACGCTTTTGGGCTGTGCTTGGTAATGAAGCTTCGGATCCAAGCGATCAAATAAGTCTTGAAGATGCTGAATTTGCTTTCAAAGAGATTCCATTAGATAGAAGACCTCAAGATTTCTTTTTTCTGCCCGAGAGAGGAAAATTTTGCTCGTGGTATATTGAACTAGGAAAGGAGATAATCACCCATGCCAAGTCAGCAAGAGGTATCATCGACAAAGAAGATGAAGGAGAGCGTATGGAGGATAACGTAGGTTGTGTTGGTTGCACGATTATATAAAGTAGACGTTCGTTTTCTTTTTGTAAAAATGGAATAAAGAAAATGACATTTCTGGAAAACGGAGGAACGGAAGCTTTTTTTTGGGCCACGTTTTGCATTACCAACGTCGATGTATTCGAATTTCCGTTTTCGATAATGGAACAAGTCTTTTACGCGCCGGTTGGAAAACCATTGAACAAGTCCAACTCATCCCCTTACTTTACAGAAAACTGCGTAATATGTTTAGAGAATCAATCTACTATTGAACTTAGGCCTTGTGGTCACGCCATTATCTGTCAAGCTTGCGTGTCTCGTTTGGACGAGACGCTATGTCCTCTATGTCGCCAAACGGTGCAGGTCATTCGAGTAAAAGGCGCCAAAGAATTGTATCCATTTAAACCAAAAGTAGATGAAACCCAAACGATTGAAGAGAGGAAAGGACACTCTAGGCCAATTTCTGCTGAGAAACAACTCGTTTTGCCTGGTGAAGGTCGCAGCCAACCAGTTTCATTTCCTATGGATAAGGAATGTCAAGGTCACTTGGAATTGGAGGTTCCTTTCTCCAATATTTTAGAAGAAAGGCGTGCCTTTGAGAGTTTTGTTCGTAGGCGAACATATCAAGTTGTAGTTTCAGGTTCCGTCGAAGTGAATACGAAAGCACTCGTTAATGAAGTCATTACAAGGTTTGAAAGCAACCTCGAAACCATCCGCGTGGAGGATTTTGAAAGCTTTGATCAACAGAGGTCCAAGAATACTGCAAAGATTGAGTTCTTTTCGGACGACTATTATGAAGGTTCAGCTCAAAGTGAACCTTTGACAACTATGAACCAATCTATTCCTTTGCATACTCTGTTCGACACTACTTCGTCAGCTGAGGCTTATCTTGCCAATGCTTGTATTGAAAATATTCCTCTTCATATAAGAAGCTTCAGAATTTGGGAACTTATCCGCACGCTGCGACAGCAAAAGAAAAGGAAGCAAGACCTTTTTATTCTTTGTTGTTCAGCATTTTCAGAGATTTCCTTGAACGAGTTGATAGCTTTGGATGAGGTGGTATCTGTGCGCTATGTATTGTCTACACCTCGAATATGGGTATTTCTCGATGTTCCACTATCTGAAAGCGAAAAGTCTCTTGAAAGAAAGTTGACTTTTGAACAAGTTGAAGAAGCATTTTTAAAGGTACCTATTCATAGACGTGCATCGAAGATTTTACATATCCAACAGTTGGATGAGCAAAATATGGAGCTATTAGGACACGACATCGTATCCTTAACGAAACAAGGGCGTCGTCTAGAGCGATGCAACTCTGTCAACAATTTATGTTGTTTTATGTAACGTCTCAATATTGTTGTCGTTTGTTGAGTTTTATCGTTGTTTATATATTTTAGCGAATGCGTTGTGAGTTTTCAAAGTGCATCATTGTTTTTTATTGGTTCCTTTTAGGAAATAAAGAACAGAAGAGGCACTTGACTGAAAATTGAATTTTTTTTATCATCAAATAGTGAAAACAAATGCATTTTATCACAGTTGTTCTTAACGTTTGTACAGAAATAGAAAATAAGTACAACCATCTACAAAAAAAAACTCAACTTTCCTTCTTTCCCTTTGATAAGAGATGTTGTGAGTATAACGAAGATACGACCTCATTGAGTTGTGTCACTAAACTATCCAAACGTTGTAAATCTTGTTCCTTCATAACAGATGCTTCATTGCCATATTCAGCTACTGGAATCCACTCCTTTCGATGTTTCGTATCGAGTTGAGTTTCGAGTAAAAATTCGAGTTGCGTAATACGCTCACTTAAGACATGTCCTTGAGTTCTTTGAGAACGAAGAACGAGGAAAAATCCAATTAAGACGACGAGCGATATTAATAAAACAAATACAAAAAGTGCATAAAGTTGGGTCTCCAAACTCCGGAGCCGAGCATTCCAACTCCCCTTTCTATTTGCACTTTGCAAACCTTCTTCCAATGAAGAAGATTGGGAGCTCGAAGACTTGTTCTTCTGACTCTAACACATATTCAACAAAAAGTACAAGCAAAAAGGATAAGACCTTACATTTTCGGTCAAATCTGTTTGCACCTCAAGCTTCGCTTTTGCTATGGACTTGGCATTCCCGTTATTCACCATTTCATCCATCATATAACTGCCTCTGACATTTTCAATATGCTTCTTTAATACCTTTATCAAGGTTTCATAACTCTCCACTGTTTCTCGATGAATATTCGACTCAATCATCCTTCTCCACATAACTTTCTTTTTCCATTCAACGTTGAGATATATATTCACTTCACATCCAGGCTTATTATTACTTTTATGGGTAGACTTGTCATGAGCCTCCATTCTAGTTTGCATAACAAAGGTATCTCCGAATGGAATGTCTAATAATTGGTTTGTCCATTCCACCTTGCTGTTGGGTCAGTTATAAAGTCTTAAAAGGACAAACAGTCCACTTACAAGTAAAAAGTCCTTGTCTGGATTTAAACAGATACGTTGATATTCTTCATTTCGAGTTTTACTGATTCCTACGGCCAAAGCTTTGTTATGAACAGGTGAATAGTATTTGATTGTACGGATACATCCTAATGTAGAATGACGTTGCCATTTGCTTATTTCTAGATTGGAGTCTCCTCGTAACTCATGATACTCCTCCAATACATTATGTGTTGTATTTAAACCCGCTTCTTCTGAAGGCAAAGAATTGAGTTCCCCTGTTTCATTTCCTACAGGACACGAGTTCAAAGCAATCAACTCTCCAAGATGCAAAACAGAAGTCGAAAGGTGATAAGAGACAAGAAGGTGATCCTGGTCAGTGAACGAACTATCAAACATACTTGTTTGAGTGAAGTCTCCTTTTTCAAACATCCTCAATGTTTCCGCTATCTTGTTACGTTGTTGCTCATCTGTCTCTTGGTTCTCTTCAACATGTACTTCTGAATCCTCCGAATTGGACACAACAGAGTCGTCAGCCGTACGCATATCCTCATTATCCTCTTCTTGATTGCTAAAAGTTTCCAATATTTTATCAAACTGTGCACTGCTCTTTAACTCTGCAAGTTTTCCTTGTTTAAACAGAGTCCACAAAAGATACTAAATATAGTAATGAGGAAATCATGAAACGAAATAGTTCAAAAATGCACACTAACCAGTCGCTGAAAAGCCAGATTTCTTGCTAAAAAAGAGGCAAAAAAATACTTTTTCCCATCTTTCAGTACAACTTGAATAGCAGTTGGAAAAATCATTGCTACATTCTTCTTTCTAATACTAGATATATCGTTCAGAGGAATAACCACTCTCAAGGGACGACCAAATAATCCAGAGAAGAAGCATAAATAACTGTTCGTCATATAAAGTTTTCCTTGCATAAGCACTCCCTTTCCCAAGGCACAAGCAAACTCTCCTAGTAGGTTTTCAGAGTCTGGAAGATGGAACCTCTTATGAAGGGTTTTCGAATGTGAAATCTGCGACGCAGAATACAACGTTGAATCACTGAGACCTGAAGAGTTTGTGACCGAACTGCCATTTTTATCCAATTTGTTTGACGTAACCACTCTGTTCCTCTCTTTACTCGACTTGTTATTATTTGTTGAAGCAGAATCGGACTGAGCCGTGTTTTTACTAACGATGTTGTTCCAACTTCTTTCCTTTGTCTTTGGCGTTGTCCTTACGGCTGTGTTCTCAGAAGCCAAAGGGGACAAGTCTTGTTGCGTTTCAGTCGTTGACTTGCCTATTGAAGTGTTGTTTTGAGTATGTGAAAAGGAAACTGCACTTGTACGTTGTTCTAAAGTTGCACTCGTATTCAATGTCCTCTGCGAAGAAGACGCAACTTCCATAGCTACGCGATGGTTATCCACATTTTCTGTGGACATAAGAGCTTTTCACATCAACGGCCACTTCAAGGCCACGATTATGATTCACTAAGAGAAAATATATATATATATATGGTTTGCAATGAATCAACTGATGATGCAAGTTACACTAGTCCTTATAATAACGACCCCAATATTTTAGACGACGAAACTATAGTCAATGAATCTTTGTTAGGAACCGAATCGAATACTATGAGTCATCGGTTGTTGAACAGTGGTCCACCTTTACATTTGGAAGGAGAAAGTGACTCGGCTATAAAACGGTCCTGCAATATGAAAAGTCTATATGTGCTGGTCTTCTTAAATGCTTTTTCTGTGGGACTATATGTGCCTTCTATACCAGAATTATTGTTGGATGCCTGTGATGGAGATTTATCTAAAGCAACGTTGCTACAAGGTTATATCAGTTCTTTGGTGAGTTTGCTTATATAGATAGATAGGTCCAACTTACCATGTTGATAGGGTGCTTTCTTGGAAGTATTTTCAAACTCTTTTCTAGGAAGCTTATCTGATAGGAGAGGTCGTAAACCCTTTCTCCTGCTTTCATTATTTGGTATGATTCAGCTAATCTCTTCTCTTTTTTTTGGATCCTTAATATTCTGTTTTATACAGGACAAGCTCTGAATTTACTTGTCATATGTAGTTATCCAAAGTACACTGCAACCTATTTTGTCGGCAGAGTTTTTTATAGTCTCACCGCCAGTTTCTTGACTGTGATCAACAGGTAAAGAATATTCTTGATAATCGAAGAAATTTTATCGTTCATGTCTTAGTTGTGTTGCAGATATGAGAAATTTTCAATCACATTTATCTTCAGCCTTTGGTATCGTTTTGTGTATGATAGCTTCTTTCAAATTCATGTTTATGCTTCTTTAGGTATGGTTGGAGCTTCTTTTGGTGTTGGTTTTGCTATTGCACCATCTTTGGGTGGATACTTATCCAAATCGTTCGATACACTATTTCCTCTTTATGTATCATTTCTGTTACAAGTTTTTTGTATGGTAAATTGGCTGCAAGAATGTGTAAATGGCTGTATATTTTATATGATGTATAAGGTTTATGTTTTGTTACTTTTCCAAGAAACCAAAATTCAAATATCTGTTTCGGAGAGCAATCTTCATAATATCGTTTATCATATGGTCTCTGGAATTCGACTCTTTTTAAGCTCCGATGCAATGACTCTCGTTGCTTTGGCTATCGTCTTTCTAGGAATGAATGAAGGAATTTTTACAATTATCTATATGTATTGTCGTCAACGATTTCAATGGTTCATAAGTGTTTTCATTATTTGAATGTTAGATAATGTTGTTCTCGATAGGCATACTACGGAGCTTGGATTATTTCTTTCCAGTGTTGGAGCAGTTGCTTTATTATCTCAAGGCATTGTTATTCGTTATTTGGTTGGCCATTTTGGAGAACATTTTACACTGCTACTTAGCATAGCTATAGATGGTGAGTACATTGGTTTTCGATAGTTTATCGAATTGTTGTTTCAAACTTGTTTATTTTAGCTCTTCATTTTTTGGGTTATGGCATGGCAACTAGGTAAGAGTGAAATACGATTCGGAGATTTTCCTTTTTATTTTGGTTGTGATAGAGGTTGGATGTTATTTGTAATTTTATGGCTTGGATGCATTTCCTTTTGTGTCTTTCCTACACTCAACTCCATTCTGGCAAAGAGAATGCTGAATGAAGATCATGGCTTGTTACAAGGTGGTATTCAGAGTCTTCGAACTGTCACTCGAATTGTGAGTCCTTTGTTATTCAGTGAAGTTTTTCGTATAAGTGTTCAATATACGCTTCCATTGGGTATTCCGTTTTGGATATGTTGTGTCTTCTGTCTTGCTGCTTGGTTCGCAATGTCTTCTGCATTGAAAAGAATGCAGTCAGTCTAATCTTTTAGTGGTGTGCGAAACAACAAAAACAAAATAATGTTGGAGGATTATGAAAATATTTCGAGTTGGAAAATTTACATACAACGACAACCATTTGACGCTATTGAATGACCCATATTTCTGTTCCTATCGCCACTTACTACTGTTGATGCTGCTGTATTATGAGAAGATATCCATGATCGACTTCTATTCTGCTGTTTTCTTTGAACTTTTGCTCGACGCACAATGGTTTTCAACAAAGGACGAAAGTAATTGGGATTATCGGTCAAGTTAACATATGATACATCCAGTAAATCGGTATGCTCGGGTTCATATTCTTTGAGCAACTTGCATATCGAACTTATAGTAAGACTACTTTGTTCTCGTTGCCAAAATACATCTTTAAAATGTTCCGGAGAAGTGCAGCTCTTTCCTCCTTCCAATCCGGAATTCTCCAATAAGACAAGCAATTCCTTACAAACAAACCCATATCGATCTCTCAAACGTCTCTTTAGACCCAAAATGTCATAAAATGATTGTTCACTATCATTATAACAACAGTATAATAATAAATCAGGAGAATACCAAGAATCCTTTCGCTTTGCATATCTGAACAGTTCCCAAGTCCTAACATTCCTAAAACAAATTGAATTTCCTTCAAAACGACAATTAGGTGAATATTTTCCACATTGAAAACATATATTCACAGGTGGTTTTTCATAATTAAGAATCGGACAGTGATCCTCCTTATTAGCCACTTTGTATCTCGAGCTCAACTCCAAAAGTGGTAACTTGCGCAAACTTTTGCTTATAACATGAACTGCCTCTTTACCAACTGTACGATTATTATTGTTGATGTTGTTGACAATAGTCATATTATGTACATATGCTCCATCAACAGGAAATATATCGCTCAACACTTCAATCAAGCGTTCATTCACTTGAAAAGAAGAACCACAAACCCAAACCTGAAGGGTTTTTTTAACAATGTTACGTTCATGCTCTATTCGCTGTTGAACAAGTTTTTCCATTGGATACATCAGAGAATTTTCGATTTGTTCACGTGAATGATAGTTTTCACAACATGGACAGAACCAACCACACTCTTGTCCTTCAAAAGGTCCAATAAACTGAAGGGTGGATGCGGATGGAGACAAAACTCCATCAAACAGCTTTCCAGCACCATTCTTCTCCAAATATTCAGAGACTTTATCGTTATTGACTTGACTAGTTTCATCACACGTCCACCACTCCATATTTGGCACATTCAGAGTACAGTCTTCAACCACTTTGGACTTGACAGGTAACAAATTGAAAAACAGTACTTGCTCTCTGCAACAGGGGCAGAGTAGATTATCGAGCATACATAAACAACGCTCACAAATAACACTATGTTCACAAGGTATAAATAGTACGTTGGCAACTTCTTCCATACAAGCTACACATAAAGTGAAATCCTCCACTGCCGGTATAACATTGGACTCCTTAGCTTCAAACCCCTCTCCTTCTGGAACGAAAGAGGAACCACCCAATCTTTCAACCTGTTTCACAGTATTGTTTGCTAGTGGTAGCATTCCAATCCTATCTCAAGTCTCCACCTGTAGTATAAGAACACGCAGCCCTACGTGAATCTATCTCAACAGAGCAAACTTGACAACATTACAATTTGGCTACAGCAATGAATCATCAACATGGAAAAAGTCATTTTGTGTCTTTGGCTATTTATCCAGTTATTATTAGTATTCTTTTTGCTACGATATTCTTTTGTTTGGCTCGTTGGCAGCCTATATGTGGTACCAATAACTTTTCAAATGCTGAAACAGAAGAAACTGTGGATGCTTTGAGTTCTTTCGGAGGATTGGGTACGCTTGCTAAACAGCTCAAAGACCATCCAAGAGAATTATTGTTTGCTTCCCTTATAGCAGTCATTTCATTTCTTATGTCTGTAATACTTATTACTTTTACTTTATTGTGCCTTTATCGCTATGGATGGATACAGTTCATCCGATACTGGCTCACGTTCTCTACTGCCATGGTGTTGAGTTTGACTGGTGGAACATTACTCATCAAACTTTGTCAAATCTTATGTTTTCGTCTTGATTGGCTGAGTCTTTGCTTTATGATGTGGAATTTTAGTATTGGTGGTGTCTTTGCTATCTTTTACTATGCTCCTAAGTGGTTACAACACTTTTATTTGATATTGATGGCGTCCCTTCTTTCCTGGCTATTTCGCGATTTTCCTAGTGTAGTTGTTGGAATATTGTTGGCTGGTTTAGCCATTTGGGATATTTATGCTGTACTTTCTCCTCATGGTCCTTTAAGAGATATGATTGAATTGGCGTCGGAACGTGAAAGAAGCATAGAGTTTCCATCTTTAGTTTATGACACTTGTCCTTACGATATTGATGGTATTTGTGAAGTTGAGCAAATAGGGCAACATGAAACCTCTACATTAGATTCTATATCTTGTTCTATTGCAAGTGATCATACTTTAGAACAGGGTTCAATTAGAACCAACAATATAGAACATGACTCATTACAGAATGGCAATAATTGCAATACAAGTTTTGAAAACGATGCCGAAAATGACAACAACAATAACAAATATATCAAAATTGGTCTCGGTGACTTTGTATTTTATTGCGTTCTCGTAGCAAAAAGTTCAGAGTCCAATATGCTAACATGGTTCTTTTGTTTGTGTTCGGTTATTGTTGGTTTCTGTTGGACTCTTGTGTTACTACTTGGATATCGTAAGGCTCTTCCAGCTCTACCCATTTCAATAAGTCTTGGTTTGATTGCGTATTGGATATCCATACTTGCGTTGTATCCATTTTGTAATCATTTTGTATCGAAATGGTTCTTATTGTAAATACCTACTTGCCAAAAATAAGAGGAAGAGAGAGAGAGAGAGATACTCATGTTATAAGATTTCCAAGTTGTAAAGAGACTGCTTTTGGCTCTTCATCAAAAAAAGGATGACAGTGAGCCTTCAACGCAGAATATCTCTTTTTAGGATCGAAGCATAATAGACCATCTAACAAGTCTAATCCTAACTCACTTAACTGAGGAAATCGTCCTTTAAGAAGAGAATAAGGTTGACAAGAAAATGATATTCTTAAGTTTTCTAAAAGTTCTTCCGAACCTTCCCATATTTGGTTATTAGGTGTGCCTAAGAGTTGAAAAATTTGAACAAGTTGATCCAACTCGTTTCTTCCTGGAAATAAAGGCTTTCCTAATAATAATTCTCCAAAAAGACAACCTGCTGCCCACATATCTACACTAGTTGAATACCTTATTTTCATTGTCTGTGCATTTTCCTTTCTCACACTCGAACTTGCCAAAAGTAACTCTGGTGCACGATACCTAAATAAAAGAATTGGATTAGGCAAATGATTATTGGAAAACACATAATCCCACCAGAGAGTAACCACTTTAGGAGTAAAAGGCCTCAAAGGTGAGGCATATTCTCTCGTCAACCCGAAATCAGCAATCTTGACTTGACCATCTTTGTTATATAAAATGTTTGACATTTTCAGGTCTCGATGTATGATCCAGTTATCATGAAGATATACTAATCCTTCTAAGATTTGATATAAAATGCTCTTCACTTGACATAACTGTAACTTCATAGAACGCAAATATATAGAGTCCAAGACAACTCCCATATCAATATCGCAGTGTTCAAATACTAGAAAGACACAAGAAGCATCTGAAGTTGTAACCACTTCTCTACTATACAAAAGAAATGTCGCAAGTTTACTCGAAAGTAACTGAAAATTATAAAAACAGACACACAGCTCCACTATTCTGGGATGGCGTAGTTGTTGCAAAACACGTATTTCTCTTAAAGCCGTGATAGGAAAGCCTTCCTTTTCATTTTGCAACTTTATTTGCTTAATAGCCACCGTATCTCCAGTCTCCATCTCTTTTGCTCTAAAGAAAAGTAAGACGAGTACACAAGAAACTCGGTCAACTGCTTACCTATAAACTGTCCCATAAGTACCAGCTCCAATACGTCCCAACTTTTCATAGTTGGAGACTGACCTGGAGGAAGGAAACATAAAAAGAATATATATATATATTTCTCTATTCAATAAAGACAAGGTCTAAGATAGGTTACAACTCATTCAGAAGCAAACAAAAAGCAACAAGGAATGCAATAAAAAGAATCCTTTCCTTAGTGGAATGAGACTCAAATATTTTTTCTAGTAACGAGATACAACAAAGGAACAAATACATTTTCAGGAAGATATCGTACAAACCTCATGACAATATGTTCCATTACCCAAGGAAAGCTATAAGTATACTTCTTTTGAGCAATTGCGTTGGCAATCTTTTTGGCAGCAGTTTCTGCAGAAAGAAGAAACAACTTGGGATGTTTCATTCCTTGAATAGCAGGAGTATCAATAAAGCCTGGATGAATAGTCGTGATATAAACATTTGAACAGTACAACTCGATACGTAACGATTCAAACAGATTAGACAATGCAGCTTTGGTAGCTCCATATATCGAACCCATTGGAAGACCTCGATATCCTGCAAGAGAAGATATTCCAACAATATGGCCACGATTATCTTTCATCATATTCATTAAAACTAAATGTATGAATAATATAGTGCCTCTAAGATTCGTTTCTATAACCTTGTCAATCTGCTCCAAAGATAAACTTGCAAAACATTTTCCATCATTATTGACTGCTGCATTCGCAATCAGAATATCGATATTTCCAAAGCCTTGAAAGCTCTTTTCGAGTGCCTTGGTAAAGGAAGAAGAATCGCAAAGATCCAAATGGATTACATGTGCACTTCCACCTTTCTTCTGAATACTCTAAAGACAGAAACTCAGTATACAATCAAAAGTGACATAAAGTAACCGCACTTTGCATATATCCTCCAATTTATTCAAAGAACGAGCAGCCAAAGAAACTCGTGCACCTTTAGTTGTAGCTAAGTGTATAGCCAAAGACTAAATAATCTTGCGTGAGAAACAAGTCTGAGCATAAATATTCACTCACTTTCCCAATTCCAGAAGAAGCTCCAGTAATAAAGACGTGTTTGTTACGAAAATAATCTTTTGATCTTAAGATTGGCCGAGATAAATATAATCTTCTCAATGGTAGGTCAACATCATAATACCTTGCTTCTCTGAACCATAAATATAAAGCAAATAAACTGCAGAACAAGATCAACATTGCAACAACTTTTAAACTGAACATGTATGTTTTATAGCTTATCGACTCTTCTGATTCCCAAAATACTCGAAAGTCACACAGAAATCAAACTATACATTCTTCATTCCCACTTCTTATTCTACACACACACACACACACATATATATATATATATATATATGGCTAGCATTGGAACCGGGGTAAGTCATCTGCTACTAAAAGTAACAAGTTAATACTTATTTCAGTTATGATACTCAAGTATGACTTGTCTGCGACCACTTTTTCACCTGATGGTCGAGTTTTCCAAGTGGAATATGCTCAAAAGGCTGCTGACAGTAGCGGGTATGAAAACCCAGCCCACCGCTTTTCTTGACGAGTATACTCAAGTTGTTTGTGGTTAGATTGACTTTAGGAATGTGCTGTAAAGATGGTGTTGTATTAGCTGTTGAAAAGGTTCTCCTTTCAAAGATGTTATTGAAGGAATCAGGAAGAAGAGTACACTTGATTGACCAACACGCTATTCTTGCTGTAGCCGGAATGGGTCCTGATGGTAGACAACTGGCTACAAGAGCAAGACAGGAGTGTGAACAATATCGTAATATTTTTCGAATGCCTATGCCTGCACACTTATTAGCTGAAAGAATAGCTGGTTATGTTCACGTTCATTCGCTATACTGGCACGTGAGACCTTTTGGTTGTACCATATTGATTGGAACTTGGGATGGAAAACAAGGTCCAGCACTATATATGATCGACCCTTCCGGTACTTTTTATAGATATTACGGTTGTGCTGCTGGAAAAGGCAAACAAGGAGCCAAAACTGGTTTGGAAAAACTCGATTTTCATCAACTTTCCTGCGAAGATGCTCTGTTTGAGTTGGCAAAGTTAATAAATGCAGCACACGATGAATCTAAAGATAAACCATATGAAATGGAAATGATATGGATAAAACGTGACCTTGGCAAAGCTTCTCTAGTTCCACCAAACCTGATTGAGACAGTTCGTCAAAGAGCTGAACAACTTGCTCGCGAAGAAGAAATGGCCGATTGATAAAAGTAGTAAATATTTCGTTGTTATTCATTTTGATGATAAAGAATTCCATCATAACAACTATTTTGACATAACCTACAAGGCAACTCCGGCAACAAGTAATAAATTCTTCCTAGAAAAACGAGCACAATAAACTGCAGAATCTTTCGTTTGGAAACTTTTCACTAATATCTGATCTCTCGACAAAGTACTTTGTAATGAACTGTCAAGTGATTGTGCATTCCAAAGATGAATAAAACAATCTGATGATCCACTTACAAAGAACATATCGTCTTTGGAGACATCTAAGCACCATACAGGGCCTTTATGTCCCTCAACACGACTCATTCGTCGACCTTGAACAATATCCCAAAACTCTATTTGACCATTTTCTAAACCAATGACTAATTTTTTGCCATCATTTGAAAAAACCAGTGAACAAACGGAAGCCGAATGAGGACCCAATAAGCGAACACTATTACCATTTCTCAAATCCCATAGTCGACAAGTACGATCACTTGAGCCTGAAGCTACATAACAACAATTTGGATGCCAACGCATGACTTCCACATCAGAATAATGGCCACCAAAAAGTCTCAATGGAAATATACGATCCGTCGTCCATAACCTTCCAAGTCGATCATGTCCACCAGATACAAAGTAATGTGAAAGAGGTGAGAACTCAACACTCCAAACTGGAAATAAATGGCCTCTGTAAACAACCAAATCTCTTTCCAACTTTGTACTCCAAAGACGTACAGTCCCATCTTCTGATGAACTAAGAAAGAAACGTCCACAAGGACTGAGAGATACCGAATAAATACTTCCACAATGTCCTATCAAAGGTTTCCCTCCAACAAGGCGATATTGTCCACATTCTTTGCCATCCCAAAAACGAATAAAAGAATCATCAAAACCAGCAACAATCACAGAGCCATCTACAGAAATATCGACACAATTCATTTCATCGTATGTATTGGAAAAAGTATACATTAAAGATGATGGAAGTGCTTCAACTCCTCCTAATGATACCCGACGCAATTTGTCATCTTCCGTTTCAAGCATTGCTGAACCTAAAGGATATTTGGGTAAGGAAATAGAGGGATGCTCTTCATTCGAGTCAAGTGCATTGCCTTCCAAAGTTGTGTGACTCTCAAGCTGCGAATCTTGTTCTTGAACCACATAGTCTGATTCTTTCAAGGGTTTCCAATGAATTTCATTCTTCTGCAATTCTTCAAACTCCTTTTGAGGAAAGAAACCAATAGAACTCTTTAAGTCTTCTGAGACTATTACCTGAGAGTCCTTTTCCAACCTCACATGAAAATGTTCCATGATACAACGAAATATACAAGTTAAGCGGTGCTCCACTAAAAAGTCACATAAAAGCTCGAAAGCATATTGAGAAACAAAAATTTCTCGTCGATGCTTCAAATAGAGTTGAGCAACAGGGTTTTCACTGAGCTGTTCTTTCCTTCGAACGCCTTTCAAAGAAAATAGCTCATCACGAATACTTTGTTCGAAAAACTTTGGAGCCCACTCATCCAACAGTTTTAGTGATTCCTCATAACGTTCTCTTCGTATCAAGTCCAAATATAAGTATACAAGGAGAGGATATGTCAACTGTCCAAGTTCAACACGTATGACTTCCAGACAACCATCAATCCAACGATAGATTTTACCATAGTCCTCTAATAGACCTTTCTCTTCCTCTCTAACATACAAAAAGAATTCCAAAAAGTTTCGCACCTGATCGTCCATATCTAGAGACGGGTTGTGAAAGTCCTCTGAAACCTCTGATACCAAAGCATTTCTTAACGCTTCTGCAGCACCTTTGTAACCCTATTAGAAAACTACTTTAGCGAAAACTAAAGAAATGAATAGCATAATACTAATAATAATACTGTACTTTTCGTTGTAAATATTCAAGAACAAAACGAAACAAGAAAGTATCCTGATCGTTTGGCATATGAAAAACTCCACAATTCTTCACCGCCAGAAATATTATTCCCAAGAAACAAATGAGATTATTCGTAAAAACTTTGTTCTTTTGAAATACTCGAGTTTTATTGAAAGAAGCTTATTTACTACTTGGACCAAATAAAGTTTTAAAAAAAGTTTCTCCTACTACTCGTTCTCGTCCTCATCACCTGAAGGTATTGGAAGACCAAGTTGTTTTCTTCTCCTGATTTCTTTGTCTATTAAATATTTTCGTGCCAACTAAGCAAAAGATCAACTTCAGAAGGAGAACGAGCCCTACAAAGTTCACAAAAGTACCTGTTTTTTATGCCAAAGACATTCCTTGTAGTCGTCCCTGTAATCGTCGCACTGTTCGGGGCTGTCTGCTTTCAACATGCACTAAAGTCTTCTAAGTTGAATTTAAAGTTACTTGCAAACAAAATACCTCACAAAGGTCAATGAAGAAAGGAAAACAGCGTCCAACTTCTCCTTTTAGACCATAACCCGATGCCATGACAAGGCTGCCTTTTCAACCACTTCGCATCAAAGGAAAGGAATCAATGAATGTTTGCTTTCATATTACGCAATTTGGTTAAGAGGACGCTACAAAGAATCACGTATAGAACCAAGGAAACCCAAATAGCTATCAACGCAGTACGAGCTGTTTCACAAGCTCTAGAACTATATCCAAAAACTAAAGGACTGCAATAGTCAAGTCCGGCTTCTCCTAGCAGAACAGCAATACTAACTGCTCCATCGAAGACAAAAAGAAAAACCACAAGAACTAGTTCAAATAAGAAAGTTCGTCTAGATTCTGCTATGGTTTCAAGAAAACTAGTTCGTAGAACTTGCAAACATAAACACTTCAAAAGTAAAGCAAGAGTGGTCAAGGAAGCTAATGCACTGTAAGTTGCTATAAAAATGCAGTAAAGGGGGTTCTTAAAGCCCAAGCAAAATCTTGAAGTACTTGATAGATTTCCGAAAGAAACAGTTACAAGAGCTACAAGTGAAGATGCCTAAGAAGATTAGAATTTATATATATTCAGATAGAAAGATATATCACTTACAAATAACATGAGATAGAGCTCGGAAAGCAGAGGAAACATATTGACAGACATTTGTTTTTTATGTTTGTACACGACTTCATACAATATGTGTGTGTGTGTGTTTGTTTTATAGTAAAATTTGGCGCCAATGGAAGAGAAAAATGAAAGTCGCAGGAAGGCACCAGAAAGGATCACCCGAAATTCTCAATTTTTTTATTGGCATTATATTAGCTACTGAGATGGACCAAGTTGAAGTGGTCAATAGTTAGACAGAAAAGCAATAACAAGAAGTATTAAAGTTTAATAAAAGCACAAAGAAATAGTATTCTCGCCATATTAACTATTCCATTCAGTATCTACTCTGTAAGTGTAATAAGAAACCCTTCTTTCCTAATTCTTCTCCACGTACCATTCGCCCATTCATCCGAATTGGTGGAGAGAGCGATTGGCCAATCATCACCCATGTCAATGGGAACGGGATCCTTCAATTGTTCAATTCCATTTGCAACCATTCATTTTCCAATGAATGGTCCTCATAAAATCTGTCTATACTCGCTGAAGATATTTGTAGAAGCCACGCTTCTTACATTTTGAAATTACCTTCTGCAGTGTTTTTCGTTAGACCGAGGAAATGCAACGAGCAATGGTTCATCTCTAGAAAAGAGTTGAGCTTCTACACTTTATAAGAAAACACCAGCAATACCAAGTGACATAGACATTCAAATTTGCCAAAAGTTTTTTTGTTATATATGAAAGATAGCCCTAGTTATCAGGAAACTGGAAAGTTCTCCTCCGAATTGTCAAGAACTCATATTGAAGATAAGCCTCAGAGTTTATTGTCAACCAAGGAGTCCATTGAATGTGAAAACAAAGGCAGTAAACGTGATTTGGAGTATGTTTTGGAGTCTTTAGAAGGATTGAAGAAACGTTATAGGGATAGTGCTTCAGAACCGTTGTCTCGCCAGACAATACTCAGTGACAAGGATACGTATCCAAGCTCAAAGGCGAGAACTTGGTTTGCTATGACAGGCTCCTCTCCAAATAACGCCGTGGCTCCCTTTCGTGAGACTTGTAACAATCTTGGAACTCAAAATTCAGCAACTATACTTGCGAATAATGCATCAAGAACTGCTCCCTTTGATATGACACTAACCAGCGAACCTGCAAAGATAGAAAAGGTTTTAAACCACTCCGAAAGTCCTCTACAAGAAGTCCCGTATCCACCGTTTTATTTTCCTGCAATGTTGAAGAATGCCGAACAAGCCGATACGGAAATTCATCTAAAACTAGCAAGTTCATCTCCTGTAGAGACAGCTATACAGTCAAACTCGCTTCCTCATTGGTCATGGACTGATTTTCGATATACCGGTAATGCTATTCCTAATATGAATAGCAACCATTTCAACAGAACTCAAGATGGTTATAGAAGTAATTTACCGATACAACATTCTGCACATATTCTCGGTTCAAATTTTCAAAATTCCATGCAGACATATGCCTATCCTGTAATTCTACAGTATCCATTTCCTTACGTCTTTCCGCATAACTCTGAATTCGCCAACCTGTCAAAAGAAAATGTGAAACACATACCTTTTAGGACTGAAAGCGACACTCAAAACTATCATCAAATGGACCCCGAAATTTCGAAGACAGCTGCCCTCTCATATTCGGTGGAAGACAAAAATGCCGACTTATGGAAACAAGGAACGCATTCGGAAAGCAGACCGATTATTTCTATGGTTTCCAGTGATTCCTTGAAAACTGCTGGTAATCAGCAGGTGAAGTTAGAAGTGAATGAGGAAAGATTTGCTGCTATATCTTCTCCTTTCTTAAGAAAACTCTTATCCATCGTTGAAGAGAAAGATATTGAACATTTGTGTTGTTGGACAAAGAGTGGACGGTCGTTCGTAGTTTGGCATCCAATAAGGTTTGAGAACGAAGTGTTGCCCAGATATTACAAACACAGTAACTTTTCGAGTTTTGTTCGTCAACTCAATCAGTATGGTTTTCACAAGCTACATCCGGAAGCTTGGGAATTCGGCCATCCCTTATTTGTGAGAAATCGCATTGATCTCATAGTACGTATATGTAGAAGGCCGAGCCGTCGTTTAAAGAAGCAAACGGATGCTCATCAAGTTGATTCCCTTGTGGAAGAAGTCACCAATCACAATCTTAGTCAATGTGAGGAGAATGGAAAGGCTTTAAGTAACGCCATTTCCTCAGCAATGTCAATCAATGACAACGAAGAAACTATTTTGGAGGCGATGGAGTCTTTAGACAACGTACAGTGGTCACAGGAAGAAGAAGAAGAAGAAGAAGAAGAAGATGATGATGATGATAATAATAATAATAATAATAATAATAATAATAAGAGAAGAATCGAATAGTTTGGAAAACAAAAATTTGAGCGATGAGACCTGTCAATTATCCTCTATGAATAAGAGTCCAGTGAACACAGCCAAAGAGAAGCCAGCGGAAATAAAGCAATCGCAAGATGATGAAGTAGATGTACAATGTGTCTTTGGACTGCTTGAAAACATTTATGGAAGATTGAATATGATTCAACATGAAGTGAGTCAGATGCGAAGCAAGATAGACTCTTTTCAAGACATTTTGCAAACATTGTGTCTGCATTCCAAGACAGAAAGTCGAGAGGATGAACCCGATTCTCGATAACGTTGTACAATACTGTTAGATAATTTTTTTGACTTACGTTTCCATTGTTTTACTGTAACACTATTGTATAAAAGAAACTTGAAACCATAACTGTGCCAATGAAAACAAATCACAAATAGCAATAGAAGAAATCAAAGCCTCTAATAAGATCAATACTCTTTTTTTTTGGTAGCAACTAATCAATATGGAAACCTATCGACAATGGCATTTGACATTCCTTACAACAAAACAAGAGTTCCATAAAATACTTATCACCTCATAGCAAAATACCCCGTGACATTTGTTCATAATCATTTTCATCTGCAGACTCCGACATTGTCCGATCTCGAAGTAACTGAAGGGCCGTCTCCGCTCGACCACGAACTTCAACATTTGAATCTACCAGCAACTTTTCCAACATTTCTTCATAACCCATCTCCATAAAAGATGCGATTCGTGCCCTCCGACAATCCGCAAGATTTGCGACATCATTTATGTCATTCGTCTCCTTCCAAATGAGGTTGATAATACACCAAATAGCGGCAATTCGAATCAGATAATTCGGGTTGGTCAGAAAATCTAGCAACAATATGGGAACTTTCGAGTTACAAATTGCTTGTTTGTGTCTTTCGCTTCCCACTACAAAATTACAAACGACATATAACGCTTGTAATACAACTTCCATGCAGGGAGATTGTAGAGAATCTAAAAATAATGTGAGTGGCAACTTAAAGCCCAAACAGTTTGGACTTGCCTTGAATACAAAGAACAAGACGATAACAATGTTCATCAATAAAATCCAAAATTGTTTCCTTTTCACATTCTATTGAAAAAGTACAAGTCAGATTGCGCAGTAAGTTCATTCCCTACAGAAATTTCTTTTTTATAATTCTTTCGTTGTCATAACCTATCCAATAAATACCTGTTCCTGGAAGGAATAATCTTCTCCTTTCTCAATTAAACAAAAGATATAGTCCATTCCGATCTCCTCAATAATTCTCTTTTTCATTTTGGAACCAGAAAGAAATAGAAGATTCTTAAGAGCCCATACAGCATAGTATTTCAAGGATTTATCATTCGAATAGCAAAGATTCAAGAGAGTTGTCAAGCCATTGCTTTCAAGAAATGAGTTCTTCAAAGGACTAAAATAGAGAACCAAATTACATATGGTAGAAAGTGCTTGTATTTGAACCTAAAAAAGTTTACAGGCAAATGAATCATGACGATAACTTTCTCACCTGCTTATTTTCATCACTTAGACTCCTTAGCAGAGGTTCCATCAAAACTGCTTCCGCTAAAGAAGCACGTAAATTTCTAACTGAACGAGAGAGTGATCGTAAAGCAGACAAGCCTGCAATTCTCAAATCAGGATAAGAAGTATCCAAACTATTGACCACCAATGAAAACAATCTGGATTCGATTACTAAATGACGACATTCCTCCACAAGAGAACATACAGCCTAGTCATGGATAAGTAAAGTTCATCAGAAGAAATGCTTTAATCCATATAGATACCGCTACTGCTTGTAAAAGAATGCATGCCGCTTCTATATCGGATATACTTATGCAACGTCCCAGGTCTATCAAACAATGAACCAAGTTGCAGTCAAACGCCTGTTTTTGATAGATTTCTCCGATAGCAACAACTTGAGTCAACATCTTGCAACCTTCTAACCGTATGTTTTTATCTGTGTTGGATAACATTCTGTTCAATAAAGGCATAATGATAACTGCAGTGTCTTTGGAAGCTTGGTCTTCTGATAAAAGACTAAAGTTCATTAAATTTGTATATACTCTGCACGCAAGAGTTTTCATAGCCATGTCTACGCCTCTCATGATCTCCACAAGAAGCTCAACAAGGTTATGTTCGATAAACTGTTTTCCAATTTCTCTACAACTCCAGTTCAACGTATATTGAACAATTATAAAATACATATTTACCTATTTCTCATAGTAAGAGATTTCAAAATAGTTAAATAGGGCGTCAATGTTCTAGGGTCACTCAAGTTGTATGACTTGATCTTCTCGAAACAGAAGTTTGATATTCGAGACCAGTCCATAACTTGATCAAAATCAGCCTTTTCGAGGCAGCTTTTGGCAAATAAATAGTTCAAGGTTGTAGTAATGAAAGGGTACCTACCTTGTCAGAATAACAGAGGTGCATTCTCGTACACTTGTGGGTGCCTGTGGATAACAAAGTAAACTACAAACGCTCTCTAACAGTTGAACATTCTCCAAGAAAATCTTTACAGGGCTTTCTGCAGATTTCAATGCTGAAAGTATACACTGTGAGGCTTGTTTCACTAGTCGCTCGTCATTAGAGGATAATAACGAAAGTAAGGTACTCAGGCCTGAAGCTGAAACAACTTGCTCTGCTCCGGTCACGTTATTGTTGGCTAAGATTCCTATAGTGCCACAAATTTGCCACTAAAAGGGTTCGGACAAGAAGAAAAAAACACAACAAGACTTTCCTTACAGTTAACTCTGAGTCATTTCGGTCAATAAGTTTTAGTAACGAGGGAATAATACCCTGTTGTATGTACTCCCTCTTCTTCGCGGGGTGACCAACACAAAGGTTTTTTATTCTCTTTACAGTTTCCTTCAGAGTATCAGTTGTATCCTTTTCCAAACAAAAGTTTCCTTCGACAAATGTCTTATCCATTGTCCTATTGCGAAAACATTTTGTCTTGGATAATATCGCTCTTTCAATTAATATGATCTCTTCAGTCTCAAACCAATCTAGTCTTCTAGTATTCACTACGTTAAGGCTTTTCATAATTACATACAAAACAGTAGGGTCTTCCACAATAAATGCATTTCATTCCGTACAAGTTTCTACAACTCTTCGACTTCGTGAGCTCCTAGACTTTCTTTTAACTTCTTGGTTATCTTTCGAATTGGATTGGTCAATAGACATATTTTGCTTCTTTGGTTCTTGTATTCGCAAATTTTGAAGTCTTTGAGAAATAGTTATTGTTCGGTCATTGTCTGAGAGCATAAAAGGAATGCTCTTGACCAATAGTCTTTCTGGTTCATAACCAATTGTGCTCCAATCAGGTTCTTTTTCATGATAGACTATAGAATTCTGCCTTTGATACTGTTGATACAATTGATAAGCTTCTGTTGATAATGCTTGTTGAGAATAAGTAAGTTTGGTAAAGGAAAACTTTCCCAACAACTTTTGAATTTGTTCCTTTTTAAGTATTTCACAGCAATATCGAAGACAAGTAACCTTCAAGCCATGTTCCATTTTCATATCCGAAACTTTACCAAGATAAAAGCAGAACATCGCTTTACTAAGAAGCAAATGAAATTCTGCAAATTTCAATATTGTTGAAGCTACTGGTTCGCACCCTTGAACACAAGTGACTTTGGCTATGGCTTGGGTGAACAACTGTACAGCAGCATTGCACAATTTCAATAGAGTCATTTCTGAAGAGCATCTCAACTGAGCTTTATGAATGACCTTCTCTTGAGCAAGTCCTAAAGCAAGTCTACAAAATATAGACAAGTTGGAAAAAGTCTGCTTTCACAAACCTATTCATGAATGCAGCTGCATTGGGATGAATATCTGGTGGAGTTGGAATAGAAGCTTGAATGATACATTCAGGTAAAATATTGTCTTGCAAATATTCAAAAATTCCGGCTGCTTCACAAAGATACCTAGAAACCTAACAACACAAAAAGCATGATCAAAAGAGCTAAGGTTGTTAGAAAACCAAAGTTTACTTGGTTGATTTCTTGTTCTTCTTCAGAAGCAAAATTTTGTTCAGCTACGGACAATTTCAAAATAGCTATATGGAAAAAAGTTAATATGCGCAATACTTGATAGTTTCTATAGTGAATTTACCATACGCTGTTAATGCCATAGCCACTTCAAAGGCAAAAAAAGAACCAGAATAGAATTTGCCGTTAGCACATAGAGAACTTTGCCATTGATATTGTAAATTCGTGTCAGAGATGGTTTGAGACTTTTCTACGACCCTTCCCAAATCTGGAAGCAGCGACAAATATTTTTCAAAGGCGTCTTTTAAGAACTCTGGTTCCCTATGATTGCTTAAGGATCTGGAAAGTCTTTCCCTATTCTCTAAAGCTTCAGACAATGTAACATATTCCTTTTTATATTTGTCTAATATTATAAAATTGCTGTTTTTTATACAGGGAATCACAAAAGTTGTCGAATGTAACATGAAAACTTGACCAATGCTTTAGAAATGAAGACACTGTTCCAGTGACGTGGCAATTGTACCATTTCCTTATTTGAAATAGTAGTTGTGTGTGATCCATTGGTGTGAACAGCAAATGATGAAATGGAAAGATATTCGGATACAAGAATATTCAAACTAATGAGACACTGGGTTTGAATCTCTCATTGCCAAGTGGACCCGCCTTGAAAGTAAGATAATACGGACACATGTCTTCCTTGTTATCTTGTTTTGGTTGTTGTGGAGATTCAGAAGAAATAAATACTCCTAGTGCAAACAGAAACGCTGAAAGAGAAGCAGCTGGAACAAAAAATGAGCAACAGCAAAAGAAAGTTGCCTCCGCTACTGTTGAAAAAGAAGCCACCTTAGAGAAACAAAAGAAAGAAGCTGCTCCAGACCAATCTCGCAGGTTTAAAGTTCTTATCATCTATTGTAAGAATCAATCATTTTTTTTCGAAGGAGTCAAGTAATAGTCTTCTTTTTAGATACTACCTATGGACACATCAAGAAGTTGGCAGATCTTGTGAAGGAAGGCCTGGAGAAGAGTGGCAATTGTGATATAGAACTTTTCCAAGTTCCAGAGACTTTGCCTGAAGAAGTGCTGAAACTATTAGGAGCTCCACCGAAACCTGAGGATCCTATTTTAACCTTTGAACAACACAACAAGCTAGCAGAAGCAGATGGTATTATCTTTGGGTTTCCTACAAGGTTTGGGGCAATTTGCGCTCAAATGAAAGCATTTTTCGACTCTTTAGGACGTGAGTAGAGTTTTGAAATAGCGATAGTTTACACCCACCAAATGTACTAATATTTGGTGTTAGATTTATGGCAAAAAGGTTCATTGAACGGCAAGTTGGCTTCGTTTTTCTTTTCAACAGGCACTCAGGGTGGAGGACAAGAAACTACTGCGTGGACAGCTATAAGTCAATTGGCACATCTGGGTTTGTTATATGTTCCCTCTGGTGAGTCAAGAATTGTGAAGTTTTGACAATTGCATTTATATCTTGAAAAATTCTTATCAGGATATACTTTTGGCTCAGAAATGTTCTCTTTTGAAGAACCACATGGAGGTTCACCCTATGGACCTGGTACCTTTGCAGGAGCTGATGGCAGTAGACAGCCTTCTCCTTATGAGATGCAATACGCAGAACATTTAGGAAAATATTTTGCAACGGTGATTCGACGTTTTCATTGAAACAGAGAAAAAAGGATAGTGGAGATATTTGGATGCTTTATAAGTAAAAGTTTATAACTTCTTTGTCTTCCTTATCCTCATGAAATATCAGTCATTTCATTTCATCCATTTGTCTCTTTTGACGAAGACGTTGTGCCAAATCACTTCGGAACCCTTTCAAATTTTGCACAGGCTTATATCTCCAAAACACAGCCAAACCAGAACCAACAAGTGACATCCAAACAACAGATATTGCACAAGGCACTCGTACTCCGTATGCTGCAAAATGCAAACAAGCCAAGACAAAGCCAAAGGCACTACTCTTCATTGCAGTCTCAATTGCTACTGTACGACATACAACTTCATTATAACCCAAAAAATGAGGCAGAAAATACCCACAAACTCCACCAATCAAGTGTAATAAGAAAATAGGAATTTGTAAAGATATTCCAGCATTTAGAATCAACTGGTTACATTGAGCCACAGCAGAACCAACAACCAAACATGTTGCCATAACTCCAATAACGGGAGAAACGGGAAGAATAATATCGACAAACGACTTGAAATACCTATTCAATGCCATACCTAATGCAATAGGGATCAATACCACTTGAATGGTTGACCATGCTATTCCAAGTGCATTGACTTGAACAACGGTTCCTAACACAAATTGGGAAAGCAATGGAGTCATAATAATAGCTCCTAAAGTGGTTGCCGTTGTCATTATTACCGAAAGAGCTACATTTCCTTTTGCTATATAAGTACATAGATTCGAAGCTTGTCCACCATTGACTGAGCCTACCAAAACAAGACCAGCAAGAATATCGGATGGTAACTTGAACAATCGCCCCAAAAGATAAGCTAATAAAGGAACTAGAAAATAGCAACTACAAAACTGCAGTATTACTATTCTTTGATATTTACATACTATAGAAATAAAGATGATAGAAATAACTCACCAATACCAGGTCTCTTCCAAATTCGTTTGAAATCTCGAGGTGATAAGGTTATTCCCATACTGAGCATAAGAACACTCAAAGTGAAAGTGAAATAAGGGGTAGATAGCCAAGTAAACGTCTTTGGTCTCTTTAGAGCTACCATAGCAACTAATAAAGTCCAGAGTGGAAAGAGGTTGGTCAATAAAGTAGTTGTACTTGTGTAAGTTTTCCAAAGTTTCCCAGTCAAACTTAAAGATTGAGTAGAACTAACGTTTCCTGAAGACGTTGAATAGGATTCAGACTTGGAAGCTTCACAAAAATAATCAAGATTGCTATTCCTTCCTTTCTTTGGTTTCAACGGAAGAAGGCAGGATCTTCTCAAGAGACTTTGTCTGTAACGAAGAGCATATTGGTTGTTGTGGTTATGACAATAGACAAAAGAAATAAAACTAGGCGTTTTGAGTTGTTTTCTTTGCTTCCAACAGGTGTCGATACTTGGCATTCTAGGTTTCAAAGTGGATTACTTTTTCTGATGAAAGCAAAATTCCTTCTCTTCTCATACGAGACACTTTGAAGCGTTGGATTCTTTTGAAATGTATAAACGTGACCTTCTCATTCCTTGCTAATAGCCATCATTTACCGAGTCATTGTGATGATAGTTGATATAAAAAATGTTTTCAAATAGACTTGATATCTTATTTATTCGTAAGTATCTTATAGCGGTTAATCGCTTGAACGTGATGGCATGTTTCGTTGGTGCTTGGCGTGTCTGGAAAGACCACTTTGTTAACAAGTGTTACTCTTGTAATAAGAAGCGTCTGGAAACGGCAGCTTCTCCCTATTTTAGGAGAATATGGATGAACCACAATAAGGTATCGAGGAGAACTTTTCTATCCAAGGCATTGGTTTATACTTCAGTGGGAGGGTTACTAACTACCTCTTTGACAAAGTTTCCTTTATATTGTGATGCCGAAGTATTCTTTGATATAGATCGTTATGGAGACAAGGAGTTGACAATTAGTACAATCAATCGGTTGAAACAAACTTTGAGAAATACTTTGAGTAAAAACCTCGACTTACTACCACAATATATACAGTTAGCTTTGCACGACGCCTTGAGTTATTCAAAACAGACCAAAAAAGGAGGTCTAAATGGAAGTTTGCGATTTGAGATGCAACGTCCAGGCAACGCCTTTTTGTCCTCTTGTTATCAAAGTATAGAAGAGGCTCACCAGAGTTATTCCGATGTTGGTTATGGCGACTATATTGCATTTGCTGGATCTGTTGCTTTGGATATTGTTGGAGCTCCAAGAGTAAAACTCCAAGTTGGTAGAGAAGATGTTTCTGGTCCGGATGATGAAAGCCAACTTTCCAGATCCACACAAGATGTTTCATATACTTATGCGTTGGAAAAAGACTTCCAACAGGCTGGCTTAGAAGCAACAAGAAATTGCGTTTTGTTCTTAGGAGCTTTGGGTTTTTTATCCGAAGTTTGTGAACAATTCTCCAATTCTAAACAAAAAGGAGAGGAGGAAAGTTCTGATACTTGGGATATCTTTGATCAGCCAGAATTCACATATGGTGACATTACACAGAAAGGAAAGAGAACTGTTGCTGTGGGAACACAGGTACGGAAGCTGAAACTTCCTGGGATCAAGTTTAGCAATCAGTTTCTGAAGAAGCTTGTCAACCAAAAGAATAACAAGCAAACCAATTCGCAGTCTTTCACGCAAGACAAATATTTGGTTTTGTTGGAAGAGCCTCGCTTCCTAAAATATGTTGAATATTATGCTAAGAATAATCAAAAATTCAGAGGAGACTTTGTAGATGCATATCACGATATTAGTCTTCTTGGTTCCAGATATGAGACTCTGAAGCAATAAACAAAGAGTACGTTTTGATTTGAGGAGTCGACGGGCGTCCGACATTTGTTATTAAAATAAGATGGGCACAGTGGAGCACAACAGAGAACCTTGTCCGCATAGAATATTGGATGGTAAGTCATATAAAGTATTGAAGCCAACAGCTATTTTTATGTTTTATTAAAGATATTGGTGGTGCATATGCGATGGGCTCTATTGGTGGAGCTTTGTGGCATTTCTTTAAAGGTGCTAGAAACTCACCTAAAGGGGCTCGTTTGAGAGGTGCAGTAGATGCAGTAAAGTTGAGGTCTCCTGTCTTAGGAGGCAACTTTGCTGTTTGGGGTGGTCTCTTCTCCACGTTTGATTGTGCACTGGCTGGTATTCGACATAAGGAAGACCCTTGGAATGCTATTATGTCAGGTGCTATTACTGGAGGAGTTCTTGCAGCTAGAAGTGGAGTTGGTGGAGCTACTCGTTCAGCAGCTATTGGTGGTATTCTTTTAGCACTTATCGAAGGAATGGGTATTCTTTTGACAAGAATGACAGCAGATTTAGGTCCGTCACCGGAAGAAATTGAGAAAATGCAAGCGGAAATGCAGAGACAACAACAACAAGTGGCAAAAACAATTGGATTAGAGGACAGAGCTTCCAGAAACAACAACATTGCGAAGGATTCAGGATTAGCTAGTGTTGCAAGTTGGACAGGAGAGGCAACACCTGCAACTCAAAACTGAAGTGTTGAAGCTCAAGTGTTGAACGACTATGAGAAAATGATTCAGAGGCAAAAAGTTCCTTGATGAACTAATTGAACGTTGTTTATTGTGTATTTGACAAAGACTTTCATCTGTTGACCCTAAGACAAGGTTCTGTGCAGGTTGTTCAACCAAGGCACTTGAAAAGGTTGTTGTAGCAAAGAATCATAAAATGATGAACAAGTTAAATAACAAAATTTAGATCATTTGTTGTAAGTGACACTTCGCAGTTTCAACCAAGTTGTTGGCTTGTATACCATTTCAATATTTCTGGTTACACTTATCAGTTACTATCTGTTGCTTGAACGAATACAACTATACTTATGGTGAGACACATACAGTGCTTACATAGTGCATTCTTTTGCAAAGAAACCAGCACAAAGGTCAACTTTGGTGACTCTATGAGCAGTTCCAATTTGACAAGAATTGACTTTTTGCGCAAAACGCAAAGAGCAAAGAGTTTCCTGGAAACTCTCACAAGTAGGAGAAACATTCACAAACATGAGTGTTTTCGAGTCTCCTCCTAAAGAGTCCTGCAATAAATACGTCAACTTTGAATTTCTATAAGGTATATGCTTTTCCTTATTTGAAAGGCTCGATATAACGTCTCCAAGCGCCGACAAACTCTTATTGATATGCTGCGTTTCTCGAAGACGGTCTCCAGTAGAGCCTGAAGAGTTTAGACGCTCGGAACCTGCCAAATCAATCAGGTTTAAGAGTCCCATGCGTTCTTCTCCGGTTTCGTTGTTTCTTCCTGATATGTAAAGTCGAAATACGCTGTGACTTCTACTTGATCGTTCGTTACAACGAGTTGCTGCTGTCGATCGGTTTGCCACGGACTTTTTCAATAGTTTTTCGAGTTGATATGGGGTCGAGATATCTTCCACAGTCAAGCCAACTACATAAGTAGCACCAGTCAATCTATCAATTTTTATATCGTAGTTCCGTTCTTTTGAAATAGTATGGTCAGCCAAAAGATCTCGTATTGTTTCATTATATATTTCCAAGAACGAAGCTTTGAGATGAAATTCCCAGTTCTGTTCATGAAGATATTCTGCAGCAGAAAATATTTTTCTCATACTTTTAGGAATAATTCCAGATTCTCCTTCATTCTCTCCTCCCAACATAGTATATGTTTTTCCTGAGCCTGTTTGGCCATAGGCAAAGATACAAACTCTATAACCATCGAGTGCACTTTGTACCAACTGGGAAATTTCTTCAAAGATATCTTCCTGAGTAGACTCGGGACCAAATATCCTATCGAAAGAAAAATTCCATTTCGACAAGTGTTGCTTTGCACTCTTGTTTGTCTCTGAATACTTTTGGGGTGCCACAACTTCAACAGAATTGGAGGAAAATATTCTATATTGTGGTTCCAAAGTTGTATTATTACAGGATGTTATAGACGATACCGAAGATGCTGAAGATATTGAGAGTCTAGAAGCATCACTAGTTACATTATCTACAAACATGCTTTCGATTTCTTTGGAAAGATTAGGCCGAATCCTGCAAAATACTCGGATGTTTCCTTTCAATTCTTGAACCAGATTGTGCAGATAGCGACGCGTTATTTCATCCTGGCTACATAGCTTGTCTAGTTCTGAAATTTCTTGCTGCTGTAAAGAGATGGACTCTTTGGTTTGTTCTATTTGTCTTAGTAAGTTATTCTTATTTATGACTTCTTGTTCGATTTCCCTTTCTTTCTGGGAGATAATGGACTGAAGGTCGTTCACTTCTGTCTGTAGTTTATCCCATTGTTCCTTGTTTCGGTTGGAGATTTGTTGAGATGCTGCTATTTCTCTTTCAAGCTGCTCTATTTTCTCTATGTTATCTTGTAAGCAGTCATGAAGATAATTGGCCTCCTGTTTGCATTCGTTTAAGTTCATTTCTTCCCGAAACCTTAATCGCTGCATTTCAATTGTCAACGATTCAATTTTTGAGGAGATGTCTACCAGATTGGCTTTCATAGATCTTTCTTCGTTTAGCAACTGTTCATAGTTCCTTGTTAATGTATTTTTTTCTTTTTCAACGCTTTGAATTTCACTATTTATGTGAGATATTCTCTCCCGGTTGGTTTCCAGTCGACCAAGTAACTTGTGTATCTTTGAATATAAGTCTTCAAGGTGCTGCTCATTTTCTCTCAACTTACGAGCAGACTCTTTCATTTCCTGGTACAATTTTTCGTTGTCGCTTTTGTTCTTTTCGATGCGACTCTCTTGAATTTCGAGTTCATTTTGTAGCTGCTGCAAATCAAGCTGTATCTTTTCAATGGAGTAGGCTCTATGGTTTCGAGTTTTCTCATGTTGGTGGTGCGTCTGTTTCTCTTGATCTAAACTTCGTCTTAGAATCTCTATGTCCTTCCTTAAATTATCCATTCTGTACTTTTGCTCGAGCGCCTCACGTTCAAAAAGCTCTGTCTTGCATTTTTGTGAATCCAAGCTTGCTTTTAGGCATTGAATTTCGACTTTCGCTTCCCTAATAGATTGAGTTAACGCAGTTTCTTCAATTTTCGAACTTTTATAACTCGAACGAGTGGTTTCAAGGCTAGTTACTACGTCTTGTTTCTTCTCAAGCAGTTTATTCAACTGTTCTGTCAAATGAGCACTATCTCGTTCTTGCTTCCGAAGTTTTTCTTCGGATATTATACTTTTCTCAAGAGCATCTTTTCTGTTATCTTCTAAGAGACTCAACCGTTTTTCTTGTTCGTCCAAACGACTCCGAAGGTCATCAAGAGACTCGTTTCCAGGCTTCCTTAAAGCATGCTTTTGTGCACTCTTATAAACGACGGTAGCTCTTGGAGCTACAGGTTTTACCAAAGTCTTTTTATCCGTTGCATTATTGGGTAATGAACTCAAAGACTTGAAACTACAGTTTGTCGTAATCGGTCTCCTAGAGGTGAGACTACTTGGCATTTTTTAAATTTTAAAAAGGAAAAAGAGTGCTTGGCTATGGCGGGCCATCAAACTTACCCAAGAACAAATTATGTCCAATCATTGAGAAAACGCCACGTCACATTGCTGGGGCAATAAAATGATCGAGTCCAATATTATCCTCAAATAGAAATCGTCCCAAAGCGAAACGTCAGAATCGCTACAGAATAAACGGAACGATCGAAGAAAATTGCAAAACCACCACGTCCAAACGAAAGCAAACAATGGAGTGCACGGTCATTACAACTCTACAGACTATTTCTGGAAACAAATAGAAGTTGTTCCATTTGTCAAACTACAGGAATTCCCCGGTCGCCTTTTAAGAGGAATTTTAGAACTTGGACAGCAGAACTAGAGCCAACACGCTAGTTTTTTACAGACTGCAAGTCCTTCTAAACAGCCTGTGGAACCAGAGGTGCTTTGTTGCCCTATTTGTTCCTATCACTAGGCTAACAGAAACCGATATAATCAATGACGAAAGCTTTTTATAAACGTGCTTCAGTGACAGGTTAGAACAACTTTGAAGTATTTCTTATATTGTCTAAAAGAACTACTTAGGAAACAACAGTTATCGAGGTAGTAAAGACTCAAACCGGTTCGACAGTTTCCTTAAGTTGGAAGCCTTTATGGTGAATAATGGAATGCTATGGACTCTACTGCTATTTATCGCTTGTATGGATATCATTGGTTTTCTTGCCGGTGTATTTAATATGATTACGGCAACACAACAGCACATCATCACGATCCCTTTCTTGGAAAGATCCTTACCTGTAGCAAAGGGAGCTGGTAGAGTAATAAGTATCAATGCCGCTCTCTTACTTTTAACGGGATGCAAAGCAACTATTACGTGGCTACGATCGACTTTTGTTTCTTGTCTATTACCCATTGACAAACTTATGCCATTTCTTCATATTCGTCTCTACCTTATCATAGCCTTTTGTGCAGCTCTGCATGCCATAACCCAATATGTCAACTATATTACAGGCTCCTTTCCTTGGGTGGTAAGTTGTTTCTCTATGAATATGACTTGTCTCTTCTAACGCCAATCATTTCCTAATGTAATGATAGTTTGGTTTATGGACTTATCATTTCCCAGACCCCACAGTTCAACTCTTGATAACTGGTACCTTGCTAGTTATTTTAATGACAGCCATAGCAGTTACTGCAGGACCATGGATTCGTCGCTCTGTGAATAGAGGCTACAATATTTTTTGGACTGTACATATAGTTGGCTTTTCTTGTGTTTATCCGTTGTTGATTCTTCACGGTGTACTCTTAGGCACTCCAGACACGTGGAAATATATTCTCGGACCTTTGGTTCTTTATGTCATAGACGTCTTATATCGTGCAAGAGCTGTGAGCTTTAAAGGTCTATCTGTCGTTTGTTGGTTGAATCCATCTTCTGAAGGAGTTACGGAATTGGTGATGAAACGACCATTTGCTTACAAAGCAGGTCAGTACGTGCAGATTAGAATTCCCGTCGTGTCTCGATGGGAATATCATCCTTTGTCAATTGCGAGTGCTCCTCACGAGGAATATCTTAGAATATTTATCAAATCTTCCGGTGATTGGAGCTCCCTTGTTTACAAAGTCTCGGAAGAATTGCAAAGTGACTCGTTTGCCTTTTCCGACGCTGCTTCCCAAGTTGATGCTCGGGGTTTCACTATTGTTAATGTGAGAGGTCCTTTTGGAGCACCTACAGAACATGTCAAAGACTTTTCCAAAGTCGTCTTAGTCGGTACTGGAATAGGAGCTACTCCCTTTTCTAGTGTTGTACGGGAATATCTTCACGCAAATAGTAAAGAAGATCAAGCTGCTAAAAGAGTTCATCAAACAGTTTTAAACTTATCCCAGTTAGAGAAGCCAAGCAGTGCTTTGGTAAAAGATACAAAGGATCATAATAATAATTCTCCTTCGCTGAGAAAAGTGGAAACTCTGTTACCGTCGTTTTTTATGAATATGACTCAATTGGCTTATCGAGGTATTGTTGATCCATTTTTAGTGTTTTTCAAAAGAACTTCTATAAGCTTTAAGAGTGAAAATGCCTGTGCATGCGCGTTTTTGGGTTTTTTCCATAGCTTATCTTTGAACTTTATGGTATTATGGATGATGATGATTGCAGGGAGCATTCGTGTGGCATTTGTCTTGTTTGGTTATCATGGTCAATATTCCTCAGCTATTTGGGGTCTTGTAGTCAGTGTTATCATTCTATTCGTCTTCGGTTTTTCTCTATTTATTGCTATTCGTTCTCTTGGTTGGAAATATTGGAAGACAGCAATTGGAGTTTTGGATTCTCTGGCATTCTTCATTGGACTTGCTTTATTCATTTGTGTATTTGTTTGCATTGCTAGCTGGGGTACCAAGAGCGTTTGGACTATAGAGAAAGTTTTAAACTACTTGACGTTCTATTGTTTGATTCCAGTCGTTGGAATTCGTGCATTGCTACTTATTGTCAATGGATGTGGAGGATTCAAATGGAAACGGTCAGCCAAAAGTAACTTGAAAACGGAATGTTCAAAGTCACTCCATTTCATTTGGGTGAGCAGAACAGTTCATGGTTTTCACTGGTTCTTTCGAGACTTTGAACGAATAGTTTCGGAAGGCAGTAGTGTACAAGTACAAATGGATATCTTTGTGACCGGAGTGACAAGTGACATTACTCTGCCTGAAAACTCATCCAAGATTCGCTATCACATCGGAAGACCACAATGGGATAGTTTATTTTCCAGTATGTTTGAGAGTGAAGAGTTTATTCGGGATCAAGAGCCAGTTGGTGTATTCTTTTGCGGTGCTCCAGCAGTCGGTCGAATAGTTAAAGCTGCAGCCAATGAGGCCTCGCTTCAGGCAGCAAGACGACAATATGTAACTGGTAATCGATGCTTTCCTAAAATAATTTTCCACAAGGAATATTTTTAAACAAGAGCAAACCCGCTGTGATGGATACAAATTCTCCAGAGCAGGAAATGATAAATAGTTCAAAGTTCCTCATGATTCCTTGTTATTTGTTCCAAACCTATTTGGAATGTCGAAAATAACTCCTTCACCTTTGTTTTTTGTGTAGTTGTGAGTATTCGAGGAAATTGAACGTTGACTGTTAAAAGCAAGTCTCCAAAGTCTTTTCCTTGATGTCGCGGCATACCTTTGCCAGCTACTTTCAAAACTTGACCAGGAAATATTACATTTTCTTCATATATATTGACATTTCTTCCATCCAAATGAGTAATATTTCGGCTCAATCCTGTCAAAGCTTCCAATAATGTAATATTGAGCGTTCCCCACAAGTCATCTTGACGACGTTCAAAAACTTCATGTTTTGCCAGTCGAACTTCAAAAATCACGTGGCCAGGCTTAAAGCCGGCAACTTCATCACCTTCATGTTCAAACACAATAGTATCTCCTTCCGACATTCCTTTCTCTATTTCTATTGTAAGATAACGTTCTGCTTTCTCGTACTGTCCATGAGGACAACTTTTACAAGGTTTCTCAACTATCTTTCCAGAACCTCCACACTCTGTACAAATACTTTGTATTTGTTGAATAAAACCAGGTCCCAGGCGACGAGTTGTAACTTTGTGTCCCTTCCCGTTGCAAGAGCTACAAACACTTTCGCACTCTGCCCATTTCGAACACATGACTTGTTTTTGATGCAATACTTCTCGAAAACTACCTTTATACAACTCTTCCAAACTCACATACAACGGTATCCTGATATCAGAAGCTCGAAGTTCTTCACCTCCTGAAAAATAGAAAGTAAATAAAAATATCACCATTCATATGAATAGCAGTTTACNACCTCGCTCCTTTCGTCTTCCGGATCCTCCAAAGTCAAAATGAAAACCACCAAAATTCATGGGAAAGGCTTCAAAAGGATCGAAGAAATCCTCCTCTGCGAAACCTTTCTTCAATCCTTCTTCGCCATAGGCATCATACCTTCTTCGTTTTCCGGGGTCGGATAAAATTTCATATGCTGTTGTGCGTCAGAGAAGCTAATAACAGGATCGCTCAAACACGAAAAACATACCGTTGGCCACTTCAACAAATCGCTTATGTGCTTCTTCATCACCAGGATTTTTATCAGGATGATATTTTAACGATAGTTTTCTATAAGCCTGATGTAACAAGGTACTCAGATTGCTCTTCCTTTCATATTCAGTCTCTTAAAAACTCACTCTCTTGATTGTTGAAGTTTCCGCATCGCGAGAAACTCCCAAAATTTCGTAGTAGTTTTTGTCACCGTATACTCCTTTACTTTTCAAACATAAAAAGAGAGCAACTAGAACAAGGAAGACTTTATAGCCAAGCCACCAACGATACATTAGTGTCTGTAGCAAAACAGACTTGAAACATTCGGCTACGCTCCACCGCAATTCAATCCAAATCAATCAATCCAGTTTGAAAATCGCAATTCAAAAAGCGGAATAGGCTGTTAAGTCATAATCGATTTTTGAGGATCCGTAGAAGTTTTGATTGTAGGATGAAAGTTATCAAGTTTCTGTGTGGTATTTTCTTCTTATTAATATGTGTTATTTGCTTTGCAACTGCTGGAGAACAGTCAGTTGGAACTGTTATAGGTATAGATTTGGGTACAACCTATTCCTGTGTTGGCGTCATGCAAAATGGCAAGGTGGAGATCATTGCAAACGAGTTGGGTAATAGAATAACCCCTTCCTACGTTTCTTTTACTCCGGAGGAAAGATTGGTGGGGGATGCTGCTAAGAATCAAGCTCCTTTGAACCCAACCAATACTATTTATGATGTGAAAAGATTTATTGGTCGCCGATTTGACGAACCAACTGTACAGAGAGATAGGAAGTTATTGCCATACGAAATTGTGAACAAGGATGGAAAGCCTTATATTCAAGTGGAGATAAAAGGAGAGAAGAAACAATTTGCACCAGAGGAAATATCAGCTATGGTGCTTGGTAAAATGAAGAAGATTGCTGAGGAGTTCCTTGGAAAGGAAATCAAAAACGCAGTAGTAACTGTCCCGGCATATTTTAATGATGCTCAACGTCAGGCAACTAAAGATGCTGGTACTATTTCAGGCTTGAATGTTTTACGCATTATCAATGAGCCCACTGCTGCGGCTATTGCATATGGTTTGGATAAACGTGGAAAAGAGAAAAACGTTTTGGTATTTGACTTGGGAGGTGGAACCTTTGATGTCACTTTATTGACCATAGACAATGGTGTCTTTGAAGTTGTGGCTACAAATGGTGATACCCATCTTGGCGGTGAAGACTTTGATCAAAGAGTAGTAGATTACTTTGTAAAACTGTTTAAGAAGAAATATGACAAAGACTTGACCAAGGATAGGAAAGCAATGGCCAAGTTGCGACGCGAAGTTGAAAAAGCCAAGAGAGCTCTGTCGTCGCAGTCACAAGTCCGAGTAGAGATTGAATCTCTTTACGACAACCAAGACTTTTCTGAAACTCTTACTCGCGCACGTTTTGAGGAGCTTAATGCTGATCTATTTAGAAAGACTTTGAAGCCTGTTGAAAAGGTTCTACAAGACGCCGAAATGAAAAAGTCAGAAGTTGACGAAATTGTTCTAGTTGGAGGCTCTACTCGTATTCCAAAGGTACAGGAACTCTTAAAAGACTTTTTCAATGGGAAAGAGTTGCATAAGAATATTAATCCAGACGAAGCTGTCGCATACGGTGCTGCTGTGCAAGGCGGTATTCTCTCAGGAGAAGGCGGTGAACAAACAAAGGATATGGTGCTTCTCGACGTTACTCCTTTATCTTTGGGTATCGAAACTGTTGGTGGAGTTATGACGAAGCTTATCAAACGAAATTCTGTGATCCCTACAAAGAAAACACAAATATTCACTACATATCAGGATAACCAAGAAGTTGTTCTGATTCAAGTTTTTGAAGGTGAAAGAGCTATGACCAAAGATAATCATCTTCTGGGCAAGTTTGAGTTGAAAGGGATTCCGCCAGCTCCTAGAGGAGTACCTCAGATTGAAGTTACCTTTGAAATAGACTCTAATGGCATACTTAGTGTTTCTGCAGTTGAGAAGGGTTCGAATAAAAAGGAGCAAATAACCATAACCAACGACAAAGGACGACTGTCGCAAGAAGAGATTGAAAGAATGCTCAAGGAAGCTGAAGAATACGCAGAAGAAGACAGGCGTCAGGCTAAAAAGGTCGAAGCTAGAAACGGATTAGAAAACTATATTTATTCAGTAAAGAATTCAGTAGAAGATAAACTAAAGGAGAAGTTGTCTGAAGAGGACAGGGAGACCATTCTTTCGGCTATAAAGAATACGCAGGAATGGTTGGAAGACAATGAAGCTACAGCTGACTATGAGGAACTGGAGCATCAAAGAAAGGAACTGGAAGATATATGCTCACCCATTATAGCGAAAGTTTATCAAGACATGGGTAGTGCAAGTTCGAGTGCTACTGAAGATGATGAAACAACTTCTGAAGATGAAGGTCACGATGAATTATAACTTTGTTGTATAAACAATAAAAAAGTGATACTTGATAAAATAATGGCCATTTCGTTTTAATGTTTCAAGTTAGTATTTCCCATATACCAACCAAGAAGACGCTCATTCATGATGTCACTTCAGGTTCATACGGACGACACACCTCTAAAAAGTTCCCAGTGGTACGTATGACTTCATAAGCACGAATAAACTCCTCACGCAGTACTTCCAAACTATCTTCATCTACGACACGCCCAATATCATGTGAAGTGTCAAATGGATCTTCAATACAAAAGACATGCAGTTCTTTAAAACGTTTATGCTTCTTCGGCATTCTCCAAATATTCATTACTGGCATTTTAGGTGACAGAACGGAAGAATTTGTATGTTTGATACCTTCTTCATCCGAAATTGCCTTTTGTCCAACCTTATCATGTGGCTCTCTGTGAACAAAAGCCATATCATGAGGAAAAATGTCCGCATGAGAGTCCAATGGTGATGTTGTAGCGTTGTGATTATCCAAACTGACATGTTCGTCCTCCTCATCACTTTCCTCAATACGTGCATCTAGTGGAGGAACAAACCAGTCTTTCTCTTCTCTAGTCAACAAACGACCAGAACGAATGCTCACTACATCTTTTGAATAATCGAATGAATACGCGTAAAATCCAAAAAACTCAGTCAGTAACAATCCAACTGACTCCGAATTCAGACTACTCAACAAGGAGGTATACCCAGTTATACAAGTATCGAAATAAACGTTGCAATTATCCACAAATACCTTAGGAATACTATCGCTGACTGTGCAAGCCTGACCACCAATTGATTGTTGTAAACATGGAAGAAGGGGCTTGTTTCGTAATTGAAGGAACTGAATTAGTAACAGAATATAGGCATAGGAACTTAAAGTGCCAGTAAATGGCTGATTAATACCGCGACATTTTGCCCAATACTTAATTAAAAGGCCCAAGACCTGAACCCGAGGGTCCAAAGATGCATAGGTTCTCAGAAGTGCTGAATTATGTCTCGCAAGTTTGTTATTGATGCAAACATCTACGGAGAGTCTAGTTAACGGATCATGAAACTTGACAATAGGGACTCTTGCCCTAAATCGACATTCCACATTTTCCATTTTGGCTTGTCTCAGAATTACACCCAGTCTATTCACTATATGTCTTTCTTCAAGCCTCTCTCCAGTTACTCGATGAATGGCATCTTCTGAAGGAACGGTTAGACACATATCCAAGTCGCCACTTCTCAAACCAAAACTATTAATAGAAGAACCAAACATCCACAAATCACAATGTTTCCACTCATTTTGGCACAATTTGTACAAATGACGGAATAAGGATGCTTTCCGAATAGATTCGTCTTTAGTGGGTCTAATTCTCTGATGTAAGTACAATGCTGTTTCTGTGACTGTTTGATATGGATCAATCATTCTTGGATCTGGAAACCAAAAGAATGGAGGTGTCATCATAGGCCATGGAGAATAAAATGCCGCCATCGACTGACTCTTCTCAAAAGAACCAGGAAAACTTCCAAACGGAGGAGGTGATGCTACTAGAGGAGAAAATGTGTTCTTTCCATTTGTTGAAGAACTACCCTTTGGACTCTTTTCCGCTCCACCATAAGGTTGAAGGTTGTCTTTCTTGGTAACTTTCAAGTCCTTTTGTGCTTCCATTCCATCTTGTTTCTGTGCATTCTGTGAGTCTGAAGTGGACTCTCCATGAGACAGGTTTCCTCCATGTGTATGTTGAACACTGAAAGGTACCTTGCTGTTAACCATATTATTGGACTCTTTCTGTTGATCTCCGTCATGTAAATGAGCATTCGATGCGTAAGCACCACTTATATTCCGAGGTCTTGGAAATGCCACGGGAGGAGCATATGGATATAACAACCAAGGTGGGAAAAACATATTCTGCATAGGCATATAAGGTGATGGATAGGAATAAAAAGGATATTGCACAGAGTGGTAGCAATTAGTTAGAAAAGGAGAATATTTCGATGATTCACTGCCCACTTCAGAGCCTAGATTCACATCTTTCTGCTTTTTCCATTCACGAACGTTGGAATCATCTCCTTCTCCAGGTTTTTGACTATTCAAAACAGTAGCATATGGTCCGGCTCCTGGACTCACGACAGATAAAGGCTGTCCCATCGTTCCCAAAACAGGCCATGAGCTACTCAGCGCGTCACTTTTCGAATGCCCTATGTTGCCATTCGTCACTGTTTCCCTTCCTACAGAGTTAAAGGACCGTGGCGTAGTTTGCTTCGAAGTTGACGAGACTGGAGAAGACTTTGAACTTCCTTTCAAATGGCTTTGTTCTTTTGACTTTCCAGTTTCCTGTTTGGTTTTTTCAGAAAACTGACTTTCTCTACTACGGTCGGCAGACTCTATGGTAACTTCTTTGGTTTCCACTTGAGGACTTTTATGTTGTGAAGGAGCCTCGCTTCTCTCCAAGTTTGTGTCATGCAACATGCTGCTAGGTGGACCTGCTGCCCAAGCTCCACCAGGTTTCGACGAGACCGCAACTCGGGACAGTTTCTTCAGCACCAACTCGTCTTCCATCCCAATTTTCTTATCCACCGAGGTATCTTTATCAGGTTCGTGTGTTTCAGAGTTTTCACTCGCTTCTGAAGTGTTGGACTTGTGGGTCAAGCAAGGTTCATTTTTAGGTTCTAATTCATTCTTCTTTGAGAACATAGTTTCCTCGTTCAGAGCAGCATCAACCCTTGTGTTTTCCTTGCGCATCAGGCCGAGATAGGTAGAGGAATTTCTGGGAAAGACAAGTTTAAAACGAATAAAATATAAATTCAAGTCCAAACTGTAGTTGTAATATCATAAACTACGGAAACAATGACAAACTATCAATAACCTGGAGCCTAGTCCAAACTTGCGCTTCCCCTTTTTTCTGTGGGTTTCGGAATGGCTTTGGACGATTATGTGATTCGATTCCCCAAAATGAGAAATGCATTTCATTCTGGACGACTCCCAAATTTTAATCCGATCGGACCATTTCCACTTTATAGCACAACCTACACAACTCTTACCCAATAATTATTATGACATATCTAAAGCTATGTCTTGATCTACTGTTTCTATCATGTTCTCTCCACAAAGTGGACACTGTTCTTCCAGATATTGTTCTTTTCTATCTTCGGAACTTTCCAATGGCTGCATACTCTCGTGCAAGTGACTATCTTTTCTACTCATATCTGTCCATGCATTTAAAAAACTTTCCTTGTCATAAAAGATATGTCCACAAGGAAAATAAAGATAAAAAGTAAAACCATCGCTTTGCTTAAGAGTCTTGTCTTCTTCTTGTTTCTTTTTCTTCAACTCTTCCATTTCCTTTTCAAGTTCTCCCAAGGTTTCTTCAGCTCTTGAAGACATTTCAATGGCAGACTGAATTCTAGTTTGACTAGTTACAAGAGAATGGCAAACAGCATTCTTCATATCTTCATCTAATTCCAAAAAGTCTTCCATGAAAGGCATCACATCCTCCATTTGTAAAATTCCATTACTGTCTTCCATCACTTTCACCAAACTTGATGGATTGGAACCACCCATCGCAAGTGCCACTCTCAACCAAAATTTTCGAACCAACTCCACATTCTCAACCTTACTGGTTAATTCTGAAACAATTTTCTTCCCATAAGTAGAATCCATCCGACAAGCAAGTTCTACAGCATCGCTAAGCATTCCTAGACTTTGAAATATCTGCACACTGCCTTTGCCAAAGTTACCTAAAAGACAACAGCGCATCGCAAATATGCAATAGTCCAATAGTTGTTGTGATTCAAGTTTTGGATAAGTGGTTTGAAAAGACTCCAGAGCAGCTTCTTCATTCTCATCCAAGGCATGTAAATGAAGAACCAACTTACAATAATAAGGATCATCTCTCAGAGTTTCCAACAGATTCAAGCATCCAGACAAAGCTCTTCTTCGAATATTTTCGTATGACGAAAAATGAAATGTGCGAAGCAAAGCGGGTATAACTTTTACTATCGCTTCCTTTCCACAAAGTAATGCTGTAGAGGCTAATTCCTCAGGAACATGAACTGAAAGATAGCCTGCAAACTTGGAAAACATTTCAGGATCCTCTGCTCGAACCAATATATCTAAAGCCTTATCGTAAGCTTTGTTTTGAATGCATATTTGGATAGCATTTGCCCACTTCTTGGAACAAACAGAAAGGGTTACAGCAGCATCCCATAAACCATGTGAAAGTAATATAGAAAATGAAGTCTTTAGGTCAAGATCTTGCCAATGGTCCTGTAAAAAGGCATCAAAATCTTGTTTAAGAGGTTCCTTCATGTCATTCTCCACAATAATAGGAATACATAGTTCTTTGCAATACTCTTCTAGTACCAATGTTGCAATGATTGTCCTTTGCATTGGCAAATCTAAACTCATCTGGTCCAAAAGAGATATCAAATACTCTATGATAGGATTCAGCTCTCCGGGAGAAACAGTCCAAGGCGCTTCCAATAACTTTAATAATACCTCTTCCATCGGTTTTCTAGTCTTTGCATATAATTTCGAGGCCTCTTTATAAGCTCCATTCATATCAGCCAACCAATCTGCTTGTGCTAAAAAAACTTGTCTAGCCTGTTCCTCCGTTTGTGATAATCTCAGTGCCACATCAAATCGATTCATCGTCAAAGCTACTTTCCAAATTCCATCTTCTTCATTGTCACAAGACAAACGCAAGAAATATCCGTTACTAGAATATATCCATAAAGAATTGTTGACGATATCTTGAACCATATCAGAGGCAATTATCTGGCTTCGAGTCATTTGTGACGACGGTGCAATGCTGGCAAATTGTGGAGGTGTAGAACGAAGAGAAGATGTAAATGAAACATTCAGTTCCTGAAATATTTTCCCAGAAAGTTGATTGACAAAAATAACTCTATCTGAGTAGAGAAGAACCACATAGAATTCTGTCAAACTAGCTGCCAACAAAACGGAAGAACGTGGACTATTGTTTCCATCTAACCGGATAAGTGACTTGTTCGTAATAACAGAACTTGAATAGGAACGAATAACTCTTTTCCAATCCAACTCTCCGTGAATAATACCTGCAGCAGTAGTCCAGCAAAACTTTTGAGCTCGTCTACCACGATCCACAGTAAAGAAACAAACGCGTTGACTTATCGTTTGCTTGATAGGTGGTTTTGTTGTCATGTTCGGAGTCACTGGAGAAGCTGATGAATGACCAGAGGCTATTTTAGTCTTGTGGCCTATCTCGGAATCGGGTGGCGTTATTTCCAGAACATGCGGATTTCTTTCAAAGATTTCCAAGTTGGCATCACCAACAAACTGATAAAGCCGATTACTGGTACAAATGACAGCAGTGAAAGCATATACCTTCTCCATTTCAATATTGGAAACCATCTCACCTCGAATTCCATAAACAGCCTCAGCTCCTGGAACATTCCATAACTTGACTACGTTCTCGTCCTTTCCAGTTGTGCTATCGACAAATAATCCTAAAATGACTCCATTTTCAGAACCTAACAATATCAATCTTTGACTGATCCAATTTCCAGGGCTTTCTGTTCCTCCTTCTGAAGGAGGCGTCTTTAGCTCTGAGATATTACAAAAAAGGCGCCGACTCTCCAAAGGCATAAAATGTGCAGCAGTCAAAGTCACTCCACGAATTCTACCAAGAGCACGAGGACGTTCTACGATACTTGAACCAAAAGAAAGACGACTTGCAACGCTATGTCTTGAACTATCTTTCACATAGTAGTTATCTGCAGTACCAAAGGAAACAATAAAATCTCTGCTCTCATAATCTGGAAATATACGACGTGGCTGATCTTTTGGAGCTCGCGTCAACTTGATTTCTTCTAGGTCATCGATTGTGGTATCCCAGCGAAGCAACCTTCCAGTGTCCGTTCCCAAGAACAGCACATTATTAGCAGCAGAAGCTACAATAACTTTTTCTCCAGCATTAATAGGCTTTTGAAATCCTGTTTCTAATGAAAACATGAAAGAGACGTTCAAGTCATCTTTTTCATAATTAACATTTCAACTTTTCAAGAATTTTTGGTTTGATATGGTTTCTCGTTTCCATAAATTATTAGAGTTTATTGGAAGCCTTCAAAAAACTTTTGAAACCCATAGAACCGTTTTGACAGTAGGTGGAACTCTTCTATCTGCTAGTGCTGCTTGGGCTGGATATCTAGCGAGAACCCATCACCAAGCCTCCATCGAGAAGAGGCTTGAGGCTATTCAGAGTCAAATAAAAGACCCTCAAAAGATTAGAAGAACCAAAAACTCAGTTTTGGAACAATATGACTGGTTCGTGATATTTGAATATCGTTGTTAGTAGCTCAACTTCCATTTTCTAAACTAAGGATTTGGAAATATGCAGTGCCTTCCTCAACTGTTACTTTGGCCTTTGGATATTTTTTAGGTTGGAGAAAAGGCAGAGTTCAGCTTTGGGAACGGATGAATAGAGACCCTGCAATTTCCAAAATATTGAAAGAGAGAGAAGAAGCTCGGCAGAGACAACAAGCTGAACGCTTTCGCCGTCCTTTGATTATACTTACGAGAGCAAGAACACTTTGGAATAGAGCTCGAACCAAAACTTCAGCGTTGACAGGATTCATAAGTCCTTCTAATCAGCTGCAACATATATCTTCTTCACAAGTTGGAAAGACTTCAGAAGGTCCTTCTCCAATATCTCTGGTGAATAGGGTTGGTAGAAAACCTTGAAGTTTTGTAACATAATACTTTTGTATATAAGATCATATTTTATAATTTTTCTAGTCTGAAATGTCACATTTTGATATTATCGATAGGAGGAAAGTGTAAAGCATGTTGATCACTTTTGTGACGACTACTCGATGGTCTACAACAGAAGGTTGGAAGAATGTCCCAAGACATTTTTGTAAAAGTAGAAAACCGCATACTATTAAAACAAAGTTTACCGTTAGATGTTGTTTTTCTAGTTGGTTGAAGAGAATAACTCCTTTTTCTCAACCTTGTCAAAGTGCGTCTGAGAAAAGTTGGAAACTAAGTTACTTGCTGTTACACACAGTGACTATCATATGGGGTACTCAACACGCTCTCATCAAGTATTCGCTACAATATAGTTCTCCCGAGTTGTTCAATTTCGTTCGCTTTTTGTTAGCCTCCCTTACATTTCTTCCTTCTCTGTTCTTCCAGTCTTCTTCCACTTCAGTTGAGAGAAATAGAAAGGTTTTCGAGTCCTCCTTATGGTTATCAGGGATAGAGTTAGGTTTTTGGCTTTTCCTTGGGTTTGCTTTACAGTCTGTAGGTTTGGAAACTACCGACGCTAACAAGAGTGGCTTTCTATTATATCTCAACGTGAAGTTTGTTCCACTTATTCTTTGGTTGTTGTATGGAAAGAAGATTCCGTTGGATACTTGGTTATCTGTTTTTGCGGCGTTTTTGGGTACTTTATTATTATCCTTTGATATTTATTCTTATGATATCAGTATGGGAGATGTTTATTGCATTCTGGCAGCTTTGGCTTCTGCTATGTTTATAGTAAGATTAAGTAGTGCTGCACAAAAATATTCTGCTGCATTGTTAAATGTATGTTCATTATGGACAGTTACTTTATTCAGTTTGGTTTGGTTTGGAGTTGAACATATTTCAGATCTTTCGTTTATAAGAGAACAACAGTGGAAACTGGTTCCTATATTAGTTCAACACCAATGGTGGTGTTGGTTGTATTTGGGTTGTATTGCAACTGGTTTAGGCAATTGGCTTCAAACCATTGCGCAAAGGAATGTTGCTCCAGAAAAAGTAAGTAATTATAAAGTCTATATATTCAAGTTTACTCATGACTTGAAAGGCCTCAGTGGTCTATGCTTTAGATCCACTATATGGAGCAATCTTTTCTTGGTGGTTTCTACAAGAAACTTTGTCATTCCAGGGATGTATTGGTGCTTTGTTTATTATAGGAGCAGCTATTTACAGTGCAAAGACTACTTGACAAGTCTTTCTATATTCAATCGATCATGACGATATCTTCTTGTTCTCCTTCCATGGTAACTGGAAACTCTTCAATCGATGCATTGTCTCTAGCAAAGAACCAATCAATACAGTGTTGCCAAATATCTTCATAAAATACATCTTTCAAGTTATCCGTAACATCTTCCGTTTCAAACCAACTCAATAACGACCTGGCTTTTCTCTGTAACTTGGCAACAGTGTTTCCCTTCTCTGTTAATTGCAATACTTCTTCACCATCGGAAAAGAACTCGTTGTCCGGGTCAATAATGGAATCCTATATCACAAAATATTTACAAACCTTAAAAGACTAAAAACTTGGTGGAATAATTGTATTACTACCTGTCTCTTCCATCTTATTCCAGAAGCGGCTCCCTTCCAACCTTGCAAGTCATCTACATACTTTACCTGCTTCCAAATAATCTCGTCTTCAATATAGTCATTAGGAGAAAACTTCTATACTTTCCAGTTCAAAAGGTGGAATACACGAGTTTCTTATTACTTACCAAGTTTATCTGATAACCTTGCATACAGTTCTCTATCTCTGTAAAGAAGACGTCTTCCAAATGTTGTAATACTGTACGATCCTTGTTGGTCATCTTCGTTCCTGTATAAGGAAAACTACACAATACGTGAAACCAGAAGCGGTCGACCAAAGAACAAATCCGCTGTCGTTCTTCATATAGTGGTCTACTGCTTTCCAAAAATTGTCGTTCTATTTCTTCTATAGCTTTATCGCGTTCTTCTTCTAGTTTATTGAGTTGTCCTTGAACATTCCATAGAGCTCGAATAGTTTCTTCGTCTAGATTTTGCCACAATTGCGCAGAAGTTTTCCACTTGTCTTGTTCCATACAAAGACTCTCTCTCTCTCTCTCTCTCTCTCTCTTTGGTGGTTGACAATATTTTCTTCCCAAAAAATGAAATTCCCATTTAATGAATGCTCTTCCTCAATAAACTTTCCATTGCTACTAAATAAGCAGCTTCCAAATGATGTTCCAAAGATATTCCTTTAGAAAGAGAATTTAGTAAAGACCATTCTGCTTCCAACATTTCTTGTAAACTGGACCAGTTATCATCCAATGGGTCTTCTTCTCTTGAATGACTTTGGGTCCATATCTAAAAAACAGTCAATTATATCTTGTCATATTCAATACACAAACACACTCACTTCTCCTCGTTGATTAATCAACACAGTATGACCAACATGATAATATTCAAAATTTTGACTACGAGGAATCCTTGCAATAATATCGGTATCATTCACCACTCGGAAACTATGAGGAACCAACTGATTGTAAATATTCACAAACTCTGCATTACCAACTCTGGGAGAACCAAAATTGTACATTCGTATTTGCCAAGAAGGATGTTTGTAAGAGACTTCACCAGCAGCTAAAGTGGCTAATGCACCTCCTAAAGAATGACCAGTGAAATACAGAATAGGCGTCATTTTCACATCGTGGTGTTGCAAATATTTTGAACCAACTGCTTTTTCAATGACTTGAAGAAATGTTTCCCGAATTCCAACAAACGAACGAAGGAAACCATAATGTACTTTAGGACCTTCAAAAGGACATGCCAATTGTTGTTCAATGTATGATTGTATTTCTTGGTCTTTGGATAATTCCTCCTGCGAAACTTGTGTGTGTCCATGGTTCCATTTCCATTCGGTTTGATGAAACTGAAAGTAGGCATCATTCTTTGGGATCTTGGAAGAGACAGCATCCTTGAATAGATTGATATGAAGATCAGAGTCAATACCATCGTCTCCAAAGAAATAAGGTTGTTGATAAACTAATGCATCCGTAAAAAAGTCTTGCCAGCTATGTTGTTCTGTTCCTCTAAAAGCTATGTATAAAATAGGAACAGTAGAATCCTTTTGTTGCCAAATTAAAAGTTCCGTGTCCGTTTCAATATTTTCAATCATACACAATAGTTCCGTTTTGTCAAAGGATTCCATAGTCGATGATGAAGCTAAATATCTTTCAGTCAGCTCTTTCCACTTGATAGATTCTTTCTCTCTAAAATGGGCTTTACGTTGCGTTTCATTGGCAATGAGATAAGTTCTTTGATACTTTTGTATAGTCTCCCAAAATAAGCGGTCATCAGAATAAGACCATAGATTATTCCATTTTCGATAAGAAATTTCTGCTTTTGCCACACCAATTACACGTGGTTTTATATATTCCTTTAAGAGATAAAACGGTCTATCTTGGTAGCCTTTCCATTTCGGAATATATTGCAAAACTAGTCGAAGTATTTGAAACAATAGACGCCTTAGTAGAAATGGAATTCCTACAAAAGCAATCGTGCGAATGGCAAGTGTATATATTTGTTTCAAGTCATCCAGTCTTTCCATAAGAGATACCGAAACTTGAGCCCAAACACTTTGCTTTGTTGCCAACTCATCAGAGCAAAACTGCATCAAAAAGATAGGCAAAGTATCAAAGCATTCATTCTTTTGTGGTTCTGAAGCAAAATCGACAAGAATACAACCAAATAAAATACCATCGGAACTCTGCTCTCCACTTGAAGAAGAAGCTTGGAACAAATTGGATAGTTTCCGCTTTTCACGAAGTGTTGACGGATCTGATGACCAAAGGTTTTGAAACTTTGCAACACGTGAACCCATACATAATCGAAATCCCTTAACTTTTGATAACTGAAAACCGTCCAACTCTTTCATTTTAACAACTAAGAAACCTGAACCGAAACATTCCATTAAACGTCTTGACACAAAGGCTACAAAGCAATTTTCTGTCATCTCCTCACAGTAAAGAGGTAAGGGCTCGTTGTAACTTTCAAAAGCATATCCTGCTAATATCAACATATACGGAAGTTGGAACTGTTCTTGTTCAGGGTAACGTATGACTACAGGAGTCGTAGACTTTTGAATACCTAAAGTTGAAAGTAAAGACTGAGAAAGAGTTTCCACGTCTTCTTGCGAAAACCCTAATCTCTGACTTGCTTCTTCAAAATACTTTTGAATCTTGGCAAAAGTGTCGCTGCCGTATTCGTTCCTTTCATTTTCTGCTCGTTTCAAAGAGGAGGAAGGTTGGTTTGCACTACTACATAATAATATCAAGACTTTTGGAACTCTTCGTGGCAACTTGAAACTATTTCGATAAAGCGTAGGTTTTCTATGAACACAATGTTGACGGGTGTAAAGTTGAATATTTGTCAAATGAATAAACATGGAAACTGCCGTATCTTCCCAAAGAAAGATAAATAAACTTGACTCATTTTCATTTTATTTTCTGTTCTTGTCAACTATAACAACAGATAACCGTCAAAGGTCACTTGTTGCGGTCAACAATCTCTTATTTCCAGTTGGTTGTCCTATCAAATATAGAACCATATTCTAATTCATTGAGCGGTTTTATAAAACAATGCCGAATATTCAAGCCAATCATACCTCGAAGTGCTCTTGCTCCAGTAGGCTTGTGAGGTTCCGTTCGATCACCAATTAAAGGAGGCAAAACAAAAGGAAGGGGCAATGCTACAATAGCCTTATCATAATCCTTGTACAGTTTTACATAAGTAACATACCTGCTGAAACCATAACTACAGTGACACAAACGAGTGGTTCTTGCATCCACAATACTTTGAGTCTTTGCACAACTCTGTTCCACATCATTTATGAGAAATGGAATCCCAAAAGCTTCCCAATTGAAAGTAAATGTGTTGTAAAATATATATCTTTTGAAAAAATATGGATAGTCCATAAACTTTATTAAGGAATCTATTATTCACTTTGAACAGCATATTCCAATGGAATACTCCTCTTTGAAACAGTCTTCTGCCTTTGTGTAGTCATCTTTATTCCGTAACAAATATACAAAAGTATAATGAAAATCAATTTTGGTTTTCTCTATAAGAGGCAAATATGAAGTATCACTTATTTCTTAAAACTCTAATAAAACATCGCAGTTGGTAGAACTAGAATCTTGAGTTGTACAAGGATAAGAGATAAAATTTCAACCAAATATTTTCTCAGACAGTCAAATCTACTTTATGAAACTTGTCTCATGTTATATAATTCCTTATAAAGTTATCAAATAGCTTTCAAGTTTCCTTCTTTCTATGGAAACATCTTTTTCTTAACATGAAAGCATAAACCTGAACTTTATTAGCAAATAATAAAATAACTGCAAGTGCTATTGAGAATTTGGACAGTCAATATTCATAAAACAAATATAAAACTATTCCTATTGTATATAGAATAAAGAAATAGTAAAAGCTCAAGTATTCTTATTGTCGACGTTTCCATGATCCAACAAAAAGATGACGAATACATGCCAACTTTGGGTCACCGTTATGATTCCAATCGAAACCTGCAGCAGGCAATATGTAAATGTCTTGTACTTTTAACGGTACTTTTGTTGCATATATATCATCTCCAGAATAACCAAAAGGACTAATATATTCCAATACTGCATCTGTCCAAGCACCAGGACCAGCAAAGTCCATTACATCATAAGTTTTCAAATCATCAGTCTTCATTTGGACAAGTTTTTGAATACAGATATGAACCATGTTAGCGATCAATGGATGATAAGGCATTGAAGCCACAGTCCACGTAGTCAGTTGCACATCTCTTGCAAAAGGCTTCTCTGAAGTTTCCTGTTCCCAACCTGGAAATTCCCAAAGTCCACCTTCATATCCAATAATGACAGACACATTCTCATCTCCAAGAGTCCAATCAGAGACTGGTTTTTGACATAATGTATCGATATCGGAATATACTCCTCCAAAGTGCAAGAGCAATAAAAAGCGTAACAAGTCCACTTTCAAGATAGTTTTGGGCAATTTGAGAAATAAACTGCTTAGAGAAGGATAGAATCTCATCACAAATTCAAGTAGATCTGCTTTTCTCCAAAAAAGGTGAGTTGCATCAGGATTCATGTTGGAAAAACTCTCCAAAGACCTCTTGAGATGTAGAGGAACTCTCGTTTCCTTATCTGAATACCACATTTGGTGAATTATGCTGGGCACATATCTCGTAAAACCTTTTTGCTTTTGTTCCAAAACAACTTGAGAAGCATACAAGGCCTTTTGTAAAACCTCACTATTTGTCCAGCTGGAACAAACAGGTTGGTCTACTGTTAAAGCATTGTTACATCTCCTACAGAATACAATTGAAAACGTTACACAAGTGCAAAGTACCAAGACAAATAAATAGATAGAAAGACTATATTTCACACCATGGAAATGACCACTACGCAACATGATCTTAACTACTTTTGTCGTTGTGGGAATCATTAAGAAATCCATAGCCGCTATATAAGTCTTATCATTCCAATCTATTGTAAGAATATTATTAGCAATAGTCAATGCCTATTTTTTTCATTGGGTCAAATAGTCAAGTTGGAACATTTTCAAGAAAAAGTTAAACTCTTTGTTTCTTGTTAAGCCACAACCGCTACAAAGTTATCGTTAGTTACTTTCTTGTTCAAAATTAATCCATACAAAAATTATGAACGAATCCTTGAAATACTTTTCACTATAATATATGATCCTTGCCTATTCGAAATGTGTAATTTTAACCTATTTTGTGAATGATCATTTTAAAATATATTCTTAAACTTTTATTAAAGCAATCCATTGTTGATGACACACTTATAAAAGATGTCAGTTGATGGCTCAATCTTTTGTTGAAATGGTTGGGCACAGTTTTTCAGTTATATTCTTAATTGAATACTTACCAGTCATATCAACGATGAGAACTCTCTCAGTTTCATAACTATGATTATGTTATAAAGTATGAAAATACAATCATCAAAGTTTTGTATTATATGCAATAATCTCAGGTTCTATTGATGCTTGATTCAAGAGAAACAAATAGGAAAAACACAACTTGAGAAAGCAATCGATATAATAGAATAATATACAAAGTATAGTTAAAGGAAGAAAAGTGATTGACAGGATATCTTATATCACAGTAGTAGACCCACAATTTTCACTTTATGAATTATTACGTCAACAACAACTGTTTCCATACAAAACAATGTCTCGTGTAACTTTGAAAAAAGAAGTTGAAGTAACAGCTTACTTGTTTGGAGAAAATCACAAGGCTTCCTATGGTATTGTAGTGTTACACGAGATTTGGGGTGTCAATTATACTATTCGTGCCTTGGCTCAAGAACTGAGTGACTTTTTGAACTGCAAAGTGTTGCTTCCCGACTTATTTGCTGGAAAAGTTGCAAAACATATTTCAGAAGCGACAAGAGTAAAATAGTTTTGAGTTTTCTTTATTTCCGTTGAATATATGATAACTTTAGATTCGTTCACTACTGGATTGGTCTCAAGTTTTATCTGATATTGGAATCGCTGTACGTTTTTTGAGAGATAGACAACACTGTAGGAATGTTGCAGTTGTGGGATACTCTTTAGGAGGTGCTTTGGCACTTACTGCTGCAGCCGCTGTAAATGGATTGGATTGTTGTGTCTGCTTCTATGGTATTCCACCGAGACAACTTTGTGATGTACGTAAAATATCTATTCCAGTACAACTGCATTTTGGTGAGAAAGATCAAGCAAAGGGTTTTACTGATTTAGAAGAAGCAATGAGGTTAGAAGAAGAACTAAAGTTGGCCGGTGTCAATCATGAACTATTTGTATATCCCAGAGCTGGTCATGGCTTTATGAGTCGACCTGATCAATATGACATAGAATTGGCAGATTCTGTAAAGGTAATTGTAAGATTCTATTTTCTTATACCAGTCTCAATGCGTGGAGAATAGCAACGTATTCTGGAACAGTATGATCCTGAAAGTCGTCATTTAGCGTTTCAGAGAATGATTAGTTTCTTTATGCGTCATTTTGATACAGTTTGAGAATCATAACTATAATACAAATAGTTTTTTTATAAATATAGAGAGATGAAATTGCTTACTAAAAACTGTTCGGTTGGAATGATCAACGACTATCACGATAACTTGGATAGGGAGGTAAGAGAGAGAGAGAGAGAGAGAGAGAGAAGAATATGCTAAAGACAAGTTTTCTAAACCACTCATATATTCTTAGAAACTTTATCCTCGTAGAATAATAAACGAGGAAGTTTGGGTTTCTGTAGACTTGACAGCACAAATACTTTATTGTAGGGTGAAGTTGACAGTTGATATTTCTTACGAGAAACAAGAATATGTGGATTTTGACTTTGCTATAGACAATGTGGAAAAGTGTCAAGTAAACCAAATAGACACGAATTTTGAGTACATCAGTTCTGTTTCCAACAAGGACGAAGCCTTAAGTCAGATTGAAACCAAGGTAAAATAGGCTATAAGCACAATTTCCTTCTTGTTGACCTTTGCAATCTAGTCTTTTCAGTTACAAGATTTGGAACAAAAGCTGAGTTCACCTTTTGTTTGTAAACCTTGTTTGAGAGTATTTCTTCCCAACAAGTCAACTCAAGAACAGGACTTGACAAAGGAAGCCTCGCCTCCTTCCAGTAACGACACTCTTGACAAGTCTGGCCATCAAAACACTGTTTATAATATTCAAGTTACTTATTTATTAAGTGGCTCTAATGCTTCAGTACTATTCCGTCAGTTCGATTCGCATTCTTACGTTTATATCGATGGATTCTTTACCGGTGCTTATCACTGGATTCCTTGTGTGGACAATTTATGCAACAGATATACTTTTACTCTGATAATTAGTGTCGCTACTGATCTATTTGCCGTAGCCTCGGGTGATGTAGAAGATACGATACTTTCAGATGATGAGACTAGCGTGGCTTATTATTATCGTGTAGGAAATACTCTTCCATGTAATGTTTCTTTCATTGTGGGTCCCTTTAAAGTATTGCCTGATCCTGTTTATCCTGCCTCTATTACATATTTTGCTTTACCTGGAAATACCAAATGGCTAGCAAATACTACACGGTTTCTATCCAAACTGGTTCCTAAAATGCAATCCGTGTTTCCTCAAGTGGGATTTCCTTTTTCATCTTTCAAAATAGTATTTTTAGGAAAAGGAGATGGTCGACATGGACAAGGTCAAAGCTTTGCTGGTGGCTTATGTTTGGTTCCTGGAGATTGGCTTTATGGTGAAGATATCATTGATCAAGTATTTTATACAAGACCGAAATTGGTCAACTTATTTTGTAGTCTTTATATTGGAGATAATGGTTTATTAGGTCCACAAACTGCCAAAGATATTTGGTTAATACATGGCTTGCAACAATTCCTTGGCATGCACTTGTTGAAGGATTTATTTGGGAATAACTGGTGTAAGACAAGATATTTAGAACTTGCACAATACTTGTATCATTCACTTGATGGTGGTGGTTGTTTGGTCAATGATGATGATCATTTACGTTCCCCAAACTTGTACAAAAAGACTGCCAAAGTTCGGTCCTTGTTGATTATTTATATGATAAGCAAAAGAATGAGTACCCAATCGATAATATCAGCTGTAGAAAAGATGATATTGACTCATATGGATTCAAATGGCAAGTTATCTGAACAAAGTCATGTTACAGAAGAGATGGTAGATTTGGTTTCTAACTTTGTTTCCACTTTATCTTCACGCAATGTCCACGCAATGATAGACTTTATATCTCGATGGACTCGGAGTTGTGACATTTTAAAACTACGTTGTGGATATCGCTATGATTCCAAGAAGAAGTTTGTGGAGTTGGCAGTCAAACAAAGTATTATCACTTTTCGTTCACAAGATGGAAAGAGAATAGAACGAGATTTGGATGGTGACTCGAAGGTTTCCATGTTCAAAGGTGGTCTAACTGTACAAGTAATGGAAATGGAAGGAGCACATGACCATTTGTTGGAGATGGATAGTGATATATTACTCGTTGAGTTGCCAACGAGTACGAGAAGAATGAAACAACATCATCGTAAACGTTCCAAAAGCTCTTTGAAAGAGTCGGATACGGTAATACCACCAACAGAAGCAAACTTGGATGAAGAAGGCGTTATTATTGAGAAAGATCCTGTTTTGTGGGTTCGAATAGATCCTGACCAAGAATGGATTCTCAAATTCGTGGAATTTCGTCGTTCAGAGAGAGATTCTATATCTTGTTTGCGAAATTGTCGAGATGTGTGGGGTCAGTTGGAAGCATTGGAAACCTTAATGAGTAGAACGAAAGGACGAGTTTCTGTAACTTCTATTCGATGTTTAGAACAAATTTTGACAGATTCAAGATATTATTTTCAAGTAAGAGGCGAGTGCGCTCGATGTTTAGCGAAATGTTATACTACAAACGATCGATTGATGGGATTGGAAGCCTTATTAAAGCTTTTAAGGAATAAGTAAGTATCGCAAGTTACCACATATATACAATCTATTATATTGAAAACACAATGATCTTTTCAGATATTTTGACAAACATGGAGCTGTATTATCGAATCATTTTGATGATATATCAGAATATTTCGTGAAATGTGCAGTTATTCAAGCCATCGCTCAAGCAATTCATCCCATATCTTTTCCTATATATGGCTATGATTCCCAATTCTCTTTGAATCTTGCTTCATTTCAAATGACTCATATACAAGAAAGCCTTCCGTATGATGTCTTACAATTATTATTAAGTCTTCTGGAACAAAATGATACTGCATATCCACCTCTTTTTGATGATTGTTTTTATTTACATAATCTAATTATTGCTTGTGCAATCTGTTCCGTATATGCTAAAGACCAGATTACCCGTCATAGAGTTTATAAACAATTGTTTCGTTACTTGAAGAGAGAAGAAGCCATGCCAAGTTATCACAATATAATAACTGGAGCATCTCTGAAGGGTTTGACTATTTTACAACTGGGTGGTTTCTTAAGGATTCCTAACGACTGGGAGCCTATGGTAGTTTCAGAAACGGAAGGTTTGGTATCCAGTGAGCGAGAATCCAATGACTGGGAAAAGGCTCTTTGGAAAAGTTTTCGTAGTTGCAATTTACTTCTGATTAAAATAGCAATGGAATGTCTGTTTCATTTGTATGGAGGCCACATAGAATTCTTAGAATGGTTATTAGAAGCGTGGATAGAAAATAGATTGGAAAGATATGAACGAACTCGAAGATCTGCAATTCGTTTGTTGCAAAAGCAAGTTGCTTTAAGAGCCACATTGAGGAATCGTCTTCGCAAATATGATGAACAGTCAATACATTTTTGCTTACGTTGGCTACGTTGGATGGTCGAAGAGAAAGATTGTCTTGTCCAGTCGGAAGGTTTGAAAGTGGCCAAGCATATTTGGGGCAGTTATATTCCTTTATGTCTACTGACCAATGAAGAATATGAAAGAGAACGCAATGAAAGAAAGAAATCTCACAAGGAGAGAAAGGAATTAGATTATCGACTGGAAGGTAGGAAAATGGTGGTTTTACCTGCTAGAGACCAATCAAGTTCGTTCTCATCACCCACATCTCAGCAACAACCATCTGAACTTGGTGTAGAAAATGTTCAGCAGCCAAAAGAATCGTCGGCTTTGGTTAATGAACAAGCAACTCAAGAACAGTCTGTCGAGAAGTCTAGTTTTTATCTAATGAAGGAGATGATGGAAAGAATTAAGGAAACATGTGATCTGGACTCTGAAGACGAACACTATATGCTCAGTTTTTTGGAACAAGGCTGTCAAGGTGCCCATGTGAATTCGGTTAAAGTATCATTGAGAAAGTTTGGTTTGGAGAAACTACTTGTAAGATGGCAGCAACAGAAGAGCAGCAATGAATTTCAAACTCCAAAGGAATTTGATTAATGTACGAATAACCACTAAATTGATATACAAAGTTTTCTCAGAAGCTATTTTGCTAATAGAAATCTATATTTCTGGAGACTTGCTAATTATTTTATCTGATCCTTAAACATTCTTTCTAGTTTCAGTCACTGGTACGAAAACCGACGATAATTTAGAGATAACCGTGAATGGAAGTTTTCATGCTCTCTTCTTTTCCTTTTGGTTAGTGTATTTGACCAAACTTTACGACACTATTTTGTATTATGCTTAACCAAGGTTCTGATTTTGATGCTGTCTAACTTGTTGAAATAAAGAAATTGTGAAGCAACGATTGTAAGGAAGTTAAGTGCTTTGAAAGACGACAACCTCTCTGTCCAAGAAGCTCCACTTCTTGTAGGCAAATACGCTTAGAAAGAGATTGATAAATGGATGCGCAATCTCAAGTCAAATAACTTAAGTAGTCTCTTTACTCTCTATCGCTTAAGCAACCTTCGTATCTTTCGTGCCATGCCTCCAGTTAACACACCATATTGCTGTCCTCGAGCTGATTGTTTATGTGTCTTCCTGCTTTGCATATGCCTTCTGTTGCAGTGAGGAAATAGAACAGTTCCATCCTTAAGAACTTTGAATCTCTTCTTAGCTCCAGAATGGACTCTAGAAGACATCTCCCGCAATCCCGTAAAAGAAACGAACCTCCTCTCCATGATACAGTATGACAAAGACGCTGCTTTGTTCGTCAAGCCTAGGCAAACAGTAAAAGAAGAAAGCCTAATAGTAAGATATTCGAGAACCTTGAAAGGCGTTAAACAACATTTGTTCTTGTTTCCAAGCTTACACTCTCTACAGGTCAACTTCTGTTCGTAAATTGACAATTATTGCCATTGTGAAATGCCAACACAACTAAGTTCTCGTTTGCGCTCTATGAAGTTTATGAAGAGAAAGGAAACTGAAGAGAGTAAAGCCAAGCAAATAACTGAGCTTTCTTCAGCGTCGATTTCTTCTTATGACGACGGAGCAGAAGCTATGGTCGTCGACGAGACAAACATAAGCGTGTTGGGCTCCGAACTTAGTTTTCCCGGTTTTCAAGGAAGAAGTTCCTTCTTGAAATTTAATCCCAGACTTGAAAGCATACTGAAAGAGTTGAGAAATAGTGTCCCTCAAAAAAAGAAAGCTGGTACGGTTGGGTCTTTCGTCGAAACGAAGAGAGAAAGACACTTTCAGCACGGTGACAAAGTGGACACATTGAAAAAGAAGAGAAGGAAAGTAAACGGCAAGCTTGAAGAAAACCGAAATAAACTAATTGCTTCAACTGTAGAATAAACCACGAAAGTTAAACATTTTTGACTTTAATGGTGAGAAACGCTACCAAGTCAGGTCGGAAGCTTCTTTCTTTACAATTCTTGATTCATCTGCCTGCTATGTCGCATAGCTGGTAGTTTTCGCTGAAACAGCGTTGGAAGGAGTTTCTCTCAAGAGTCCATTTTCTAAAATGTGTAAAAGCATTTGATAGTTCAACATTGTAGCTAAGAGAAAGAAATTTTAGTTTCCTGTTCATACGCAACTTTAATTGCGGCATACGAATATTATTTCTTATCAAAGCCATATTCTTTTTGCATTTCTTTGGCTATCGTTTGCAACTGAATATTGTCTGTTCCCTCATAAATATGTCCTATCTTAACATCTCTATAATATTTCTCAAGACCAAACTCCTTCACGAATCCCATTCCTCCAGCCCAGTCAATACTCTTTGAAGCGATTCTTTCGGCAACTTGAGCACTAAAGAAGTAAATAGCTCATCAAAAATTTTAAATTCCGAAAACATTCGTTCTTATTCTTACCTGTAGTACTTGGCAAAGGCTGCTTCCTTTCGAATAGGAAGACCTGCGTCATTCATTCGGGCAGCGTTGTAAACGAGAGCTCGAGCTGCTTCTAACTCCACTCGAGCTTTGGCATATTGAAACTGGACCCCTTGAAAATCACCGATTCGTGATCCAAACTTGAGAAAATTAAACTCGATCCAGAGTATTCCTTTAACCAATCTTACCTGCTTTCTTTCATGCAAATATGGAAATATGAGATCAAAACAACCCTGGGCAATTCCAATCTTAGGTAACGAAAAGGTGAGGGAAAAAGAAAGGAGTAACTAGAGAACTTTACCATCTGTGCCCCAATACCAATTCTGCCTTCATTCAATGACTCTATTGCAATCTTATAGCCTGTGCCAACTTCTCCTAGAATGTCTTCCTTTGGAACTTTTGCATTCTGGAATACTAGTTCACATGTAGATGAGGCTCGAATACCCAGTTTGTCCTAAATGAAGAATTTTTGACTCCATATTTTACAGAAATGAAAATTTTCTGACCTCCTTCTTTGCAATGGTGAGACCTGGATTCTTACTGTCTATTATAAATGCCGTGATTCCTTTGTGTCCTTTTTCCGGATTGGCATTTGCAAACACAATAAACAAACCAGCCTCCATTGCATTACTTATCCATAACTTCCCTCCGTCGATGACAAAATGGTCACCCTTGTCTGAAGCTCTTGTTTTCAAAGCGAATGCATCTGATCCACTGCCAGCCTCACTAAGACAGAAGGATCCAACGGTATCCGTCGCTAAAGCTGTAAGCCATTTCTTTTTCTGATCAGGATTGGCCCATTTCCTTATTGCTGTATTCACCACAGTATTATGCACATCCACAAGAACTGAAACGGCCTATTCAGACAAAAAACTTAAGAAGAGCTGAAAAATTTGTTGAGAAAGTATATCCTACAGGGTCCACTTTAGCTATTTCCTCGATAACAATGCAAGCTTCAGTAAACGTCAGGCCACTACCCCCATATTCTACAGGAACTTCCAAACCCATAAGACCATTAGCGAAAAGTTGATTTACCAATTCCTTGTCAGTTTCTGCTTTTTCATCCATGTCCTTCACTTTCGGAGCTATGGAAGATTGCGCAAACTTCCGTACCGTATCCCTTAGCATATTTTCGTCTTCTGAGAAAACCAAACAAGGGCCGGGTAGTACATTATTTAAGTTGTCAGAACTTTCAACTGAAGCAAAGGTTCTACGAAACGATAACGATAGTTTCTCATTTGAAGGGGGAGCACAAAGTCCGAAGTTACTTCTACTATGAGCTGCAACACTTGCATAGCTTAAAAGCCTTCTACAACTCCTCAATAATTTATTCATAAGTTGTCAATAAGTTTGAAGTCACTTGTTCAAAACACGTGGTATCTTCACTCCAGCTAAAATGTCCAATCGATTAGATGCAGGACATTCATGTATCAGCCTAAGATAAAAGCACTAACAAAAGCTAACGTTTTGAAATTTTTTACATGAAAACCACTTTTGAAAGATTCTCAAGTTTTACAGAAAACAAAAAACTAGTAAAATTTGATGTGAGTTAGCATGACGATAATAATATAAGTAGCTAATTTGACTAACACTATAAATTATTGTTAGTAGTATTGAAGAATATAAATAGCTGAAACTATAATGCAAGTCTTCACAAGTTGAAACCACGAATATAGAAAGGTTATTTAGATTTGTATAAGTGGCTGGCTTTTGGAATTTGCAGCAATATGAAACTCGACGCATGTTCTCTCAAGTCATTGTCCAAGATGGAGCTTCGAGTACTTTCCGCTGTTGAAATGGGTATGAAAAATCATGAGCTTGTACCTGTTGAATTAATATATTCCATATCAAAGTTGAAGCCGAGTGGCTTTCGTAAGGGACTTCGACAATTGCTGTTCAACAAACTGGTGCATCACGAGCAGCGGGGTTACGACGGTTACAGACTAACAAACCTGGGATACGATGTTCTTGCCTTGAATACTTTGCTTTGTAGAGGTTCTATTAGTCAAATTGGTGACAAAATTGGTGTCGGTAAGGAATCCGACGTATTCCTGGCACAGAATGAGAAGGGAAACAAGTTGGTGCTCAAGTTTCAAAGACTTGGTCGAACGTCTTTTCGTGCGGTTAAAGAAAAGAGAGATTATCTTAAGCATAGAAAGAGTGCTTCTTGGCTGTATTTGTCAAGGCTAGCTGCACAAATTGAGTACCGTTGTTTAAAGGCTTTTTATAAAGCAGAGTTACCGGTGCCTAAACCAATTGACGCAAACAGGCACTGTATATGTATGCAATATATAGAGAATAGTATTCAACTTAGTGACGCAACCAAGTTGGTCAATCCTTTTGCAGTTTACGAAAAATGTATTACGATGATGGAAAAGCTTTTGAAGATTGGCGTTGTACACGGAGACTTCAATCAGTTTAATATTTTGTTGGACGAACACGAAAATGTCTTTTTGATAGACTTTCCACAAGTGATTTCTATTAACCATGTAGATGCGGAATATTACTTTGAACATGATTTGAGTTGCTTGCAAGATTTTTTTGCCAAGTTTGATTTAGACTTGTGTTCAGTGGCGCAGTTATCTTTTCAGGAAATTAAGAAAGAACTTGACACTAGTGAACATGCTAAATTTCTAAATCTGGATGAAGATGTTGATGAGAATAACTCTGAAGACGAAGGCAACGAGCATATGATGCAATCATCGGTTAACAACGTAGAAAATTACAACGATGAAGCCGAACTTGATTATGACGTGGAGAAGGATAAGTGCTATTCTGATATTGTAAAAAAAGTCCGAGATGAGTGGAAAGTAAGTGAATCCAAGACGTCAAGGCTTCGTCCCAATATGAAGCAATCCCGAAAGGCAAGACAAGAAATTAAAAGTGTGAATAGCTTCTTTTAGTAATGCTAATCAAACCCTTGTTCATTCTATAAAGGAACTTTCAGCATATGTTTCATGATTATTTTATCTATTTTTTACTTTCTTTTGAAAAATCTTGCAAACCTGAGTCTTTCTCTGGAGATTGGGTAGTCAAATGGAGAGAACATGTGAAAGCTTTTTTCCACTATTTATCCATTCATAATGTATTCGGAGTTATATGTTCAAGGACAAGAAATCATGGGGGATCAAGAAAGAAATGATACAGGAATTTTGGATGTTCTTATTGAAAGATAGTTTTACATTCTTAAAGAACAACTGGTTGAAATGAATTGGGGCAGGTAAAGAGCGATTCAAAATATGAATATTCAAGTATTGACTTTTTTTGGCATTGCAATACTATCATCAACAAAAAGTCAAGGTGTCATGCGAAACTGGCGACAGACCAATTGCTGAGAGAAATCCATTTCTATTCCATTGGACGATCCTAACTCATAAAGCACCTACTGGCCAAACTGAAAGAAACCAACTTCGTATGTCACAACTCAACGTGGCAATGAACACAGAGCAAATACTGAAGACATTGGGTAAAATATTGATATCTGAGCACTCTATCAACGCACTTAGAGCCTCTCTTGCAGCTATCGGTATAAATGTAGTCATATTCTTTGCCGTTCTTCGAAAGTATATAGAGTGCTTTGTGGGCATGTTTGCCTTTGCCATTCCGGTCATTGTAGCACAACATACTTACATAGGGGCTATGTTAGAAGCTTGTATAATATATAGTTGGGGTGGTATGTTGTCTGTGGTCTTAGCTATGACCGCTTTGGCTATATCTGATGGCAATGGCATTGGGTTATATTTTGCAACTTTGGTGGAAGCTTTTATCGTCTGTATTCTTCGAACAGAACCTCAATTTCTTGGTTATGGTATCGTTCTTAGTTTTCTCTTTGGAGCAATCCTTGTCTTTGACGTGAAAGTTCCTCCTTCCGATGCCTGGGATAAGACTTTTCCACTAGTCGTAGCTACGGTTGCTGCTTCTGGTGCTTGTTTTATTTCATCTCTCGTTATTTTTCCAAAGTCTGCAAGAAGGCAACTGAGACTTAGGTTGGCTAACATGCTCCGCGACATCGCGGGAAGCTTAGATAGTCTATCTCAGGAGTTGGTTTATAACGTGAATGAGAATGAAAACTGTGGTGATTTCACTGTAGATATTCGAATGAATGACGATGAGACACAAATGAATGTACCAGAAAGTTCTTTTCCGTCAAAGCACAGTTTAGAAATATCAGAGTTTGGTGTTAACAGGACCAATGCTACGAAGATTGGGACAGAGATTATTGAGTCTTGTATAAAAATGAGATCATCTTTTGGAGAATTGAAGGCAATGGTACGCTATATTCCATTTGAGCCGAATTTATTTCCTCCATGGAATGCAGAACCAGAAGATGCATGGTCTTCTCTTATCGAAAATTTAGACTCCTTACTTCTGCGAGTGGAAGCGTTAGCTGGAGTATTGCGCCGAGATCACTGCTTTTCCCCTAAGGTTTTGGGAAACACCGCAAAGGACCCTTTAGAAAAGTTAAAGGAATTGCTAAACATATCAAAGGATTATACTTTACAGTTATCAACATGTCTCGAAAACATCAACAGCAAGAAATGTCCTGACGTTGCTTTTGCTGGGGACAAGTCAAAGGATGCTTTGAATGAGGATATCGTCAATGCAAGAAGAGAGCACTGGCGCACAGAAGAATTCTACAATGAAATAGAAAATAACGTTGCTCTTGCTTATGCTTCCTTCATATTTGTTGTATTCAACATGCGAGATATCTTTGACAATCTGGAAAAAGTAGGTGATGGAATCCTCCATATCTATAAGCGTAGGCAAGAGCTTCGTTTTGCTCCTGCAAAAAATCTTTTGTTTTGGGTTCCAACGTTGATTCTTCCCTTCAAGGGATGGTTCCTCTGTCATACGTATATTGGAAAGCCAGAAAATATTCGATACATAGTGAAATATATGATATGTGTGGCAATTATTCTATTTCCTACGATGTTCGTTGCTCAGTTATCTTCAAGTGACTTTAATTTTACTCAAAAATACAATGCCATTTCTGCTTATATCATTGTGACTATTTTATTTTGGAGATCTATCGAACTGACCCGATTTCGAGTTGTGTTATATTTGTCCATTACGTTGGGTGGAAGTGCCTTGGCTTATGCGGCTACTGTATTTGCCCCTAATATGCCCTGGGTATTAGAAATATGGTTGTGGTTTTGGACATACGTGGCGCTATTAACTGCATATCATTATCCAGGATATGTGATTGGCACATTTCCTTTAGTAATTGCACAATTTTTTATCATTAGTTGTCAGTATGGTAATGGCTTTACCTTTTTATATGCTGCTTCCAGAACAGTATCCGTTGCTATTGGATGTTTGGTAGTTTCCGCCGTATGTTATTTTATATGGCCTTACAAGGGTTCCGTACAAATTCGACAACTTTTATGTGGTATAATCAAGACCTTTGAAGCTAGTTACAGCTCTCTGTTGGATGCTTTCGTCAGTATGAATAGAAATCCAGACGATAGTGAAAACGATGCATCTGCAACCAAAGTGAAGGAAGTAGCTGGTATGTTATCCAAAGCAGATGGAATGATGACTGGTTGTCGTATGATGTTGATATTTGAGTTATCTCCAAATTATCTACATAGCTCGATACCTGTGATTCTAAATAACTTTTCAGCAATATATAGAAGACTCGCTATGTTACGTTTCATTTGTGAGACACCTCCAAGAATTTCTGGCTTCTATACCAATAACATTTACTGGCAATTCTTAGAACCACTGGAAGATGATATAGGTTTCTTAACACTCTGTGTTAAGAATGTTTTGTCTGCAGTGGGCGAGAGAGTTGGTAAGCCTCGTGAGGAGAGGACTGGACCAAAAAGATTGGAAGAAGCTTTGTCGCAACTCTTGCATGCAAAGAAATGTTTAGCAAAACATTACGATCAGCTTCGAAGAGAGATGTTTAATCGTTGGAAAGCTATTTTCTTGAATGTTTCGACATCAGACCTGTCTAATTATTCAAATAGTATTCAAGACTTTGGTAAGGAACCCAAAGAAATGCAAGCAGATGATACAGTACGGTTTTTGGCTTGGTTTTATTGTTTGATTATTACTATTGAGAGTTTTGAACGGTTAGCTAACGAGGGTCTAAATTTGAAATTTGAGAAACGTGACGACCTAAAGACTATTTTCAAGAGAAATGCAAAGCCTAGCCTTTGAAACATCATATTGGCTTCGTTAAGACGGCAATGGCTTTGCATTTTTTGACTCGGGCAATAAAATCCAGTTTGCAGCAACTCTGGATTCTTCGAGTTGTTTAAGCTGGAAAGGAAAGCTTTATTCGTTCTGCAATAGTGTTTGTTTACTTTTAATTATTGAAGAACTGAACTCATGAAACAAAAGGTGACTTGTAAGCCTATTCTTTATGTTCTACCTAGTACTAATACAGGACACTACGTGTGGAGCGCTCCGTGTTCTGCTGCAAAGATTTCCTTTTTGCCACAAAAGCGAAAGTTTATGCAAGTCTTTCCAAGACGACGTTGTTTGGTCTCTGCGAGTATATTTCAGAGCTTCTTTCCCGTGAAGAATAACTGTTGTTCCGCAATCGTGCAACTAGAGGCTTGTAACGTTTCTCACGACGCACAGCAAGCTGTTTTTGTGGACAATATGGCTTTCAAGGAAAGTTTAACTTTGGAAAACATTAATCTTCAAGTTTTCGAAGGGGAATTTTTGTTGCTCATTGGTGAGAATGGCTCAGGAAAGACATCCTTGTTGAATATTCTTGCTGGACTAGACATACCAGATCAGGGCTATCTCAAGTGGTACAACAAGAAGGTCAAGTCGTCCGATATAGTTTCGAGAATTGGTATTGTTTTCCAGTTTCCTGAGAAAGCTTTTATCGGAGATAGTGTTTTTGAAGAGTTAACTCTGGGTTTGGACCACGTTCTACCCGAGGATATCGAAGAGGTATGATACTGTGTTTAAGGATGAGTTTCCAAGTTCAAATCCTGTCGAGGTGATGGAAGCTTGTGCTTTGAATGGTATTTCTTTGACAACGAGTCCCTTTCTTCTTAGTGGAGGGCAGCAAAAGAAGCTTGCTTTGGCCTGTCAACTGTTGCGTCACCCACTTATTCTTTTTTTAGACGAGCCACTATCCGGCGTTGACTCTTTCAGCAGGAAATGTCTCATTAAAATTTTCGACAGGTTGAAAACGAAAGTGACTATAGTGGTAGTTTCTCACGAACCAGCGGAACTATTTTCTAGAGCTGATCGTGTTTTACAACTGTTTGGTGGTCGGGTGAAGGAAGTTCCGCAGTCAGTTGTTAGAAGAGCCATGGAAATAAGAAATTTAAGGCACGGTATTTGAAGAAGATGATTACATTCAGCTATGCGTTGGATTCTTGATGTTCCAATTCTTTCAAGATTTTTCATTTATATTTTTTTATATCTTTTTATGTACTAGATATGGTGATATTCTTCTAAGATATTCACTTGTTCCATGTAGCTATTAGTTTGATTGGTGTTGAGGATATTTTTGGTTGTGAGTGATGTTCATATTTATGTTTGAGTGCGACGAGGAAGAATGATGACAATTGTTTAATAGAAGAATGTGTGAATTTGTATGGAAACATTGATCATTGATTCCTTTAGAAGAATGGAGTGTTCATTTGATGGAATTTCATTTTAAAGACTTCATTTAGGTCTTCTTGCAAACAAAAATTGTTGTGGAAAATATAAAGCTATTTTAAGTTCTTTGTTGTATGAGAAAAACGATATTTTCAATCTAATCTTTTATCCGATTGTCTTTTAAGTAAGAATGGATTCGATCTCCTGAATGTTTTGTTTTGCTTCTGGTTTCAGCTCTCGCTTGCGAATAGTCAGATATAGATTTCAATTAGAGAATGCAAAGTACTTTTATTTGCCAATTATACTTTTTGACATTTAACGGAGGCTTGAGACTTTCTTGTCGCAGCTACGACAAGTGCTTCAATCGTGGGAGGAAAGGCAAAATAAAGCACCATCGTAATATCCCTAAAGTGATATGCAGTTCGGAAATTTTTGAAACTCGAGTCCGGCATCATGTGTTTCTTATCGATGCTTTGGCGCTTATTTATCGATCCCACTTTGCTCTTTCCAGAAGCGGCCTCAGAACGTCGTATGGCCTTGAGACCGGTCCCATCTATGGGTTTATCTCAACCCTTCTATCACTTTTGGAAACTTATAGACCTTATTGTGCCATGGTGGTTTTTGATAGCTATTATTTTTCTCAAGAAAGCGCTTTCCAGCCCACTTCTTGGCAAAGACGTTTAATATATCCTGACTATAAAAGAAACCGTTCCAAGTTGCCCACAGCAATTGAAAAAGGCTTGCCATATATAAAAGCTCTGGTTTCTGCATTAGGAATATCGATCATTGAAGTAGCCAGTACGGAAGCAGATGATGTCATTGGCTCATTAGTGAAATACTGCACGAGCAATAACTTTGTTGCTAAAATTGTTTCCGCAGACAAAGACTTTTTGCAGCTGTTGCAGGAATCGACTTGTGTCATTTTGAGGCCAAGAACAACCAAGTCTTCAAAGAAAACTTCTGCTAGTTCATCTGGATGGTCTTTGATTACGGAGAATGAATTTCGTCAAGCGTACGATAACCTATCACCCATGCAGTATTGTGATGTTTTGGCACTGATGGGAGATACTGCAGATAATATTCCAGGAGTTGCTGGGATTGGTGAGAAACAAGCAGTTGCTTTGGTAAAGAGCTTTGGCTGTGTCGAGACTTTGGTGGAAAATTGGAAGGCTATTTCCTCAACTCGATTGAGAGAAAAAATTTTCCAGCATCGAGAACTTTTGTTATTAAGTAAGACATTAGTAACCATTCATCAGGACTTGATAATTCCCAATTTTGAATTCGATGATCTTTTTGTTCGTCCAACCCAGTTAGAAAAGTTGAATGATATTATGGATAAATTGGAAATCAAAACGTTAGGAAAACGAGTTGATAAATATGTCCACAATTCCTTTATAGCAACAGAATCTTTGTATCGGAAACAGAAGGATTCGAAGTTACAGAATGCATCGTTAGAAAGAAGGGAACAAGATATTTCCAATAGAAGTTCAGACAGTGATTCATCATACTTGGCAAGAATGAAGAATTTTGAAAACTTGGGACTCCAATACTTTTATCTTTCTACTCTCGTAAATTGTAATTGCGCTGAAGAGAAATGGGAAGAGCTTTTATCACGCATCAGAAAACAAAACTTTGAGGTTCCTTGTGTTGCCTTTTGGACGGATTACGACATTAAACCTGGAGAGAAGAAAAAACCCAGGCAATCGAGAAGAATGACTTCGTTCAACAATTGCAATCCAGCAGTATTTCTCGAAAGTATACGGAAGGAACTTTCAAATGAATATTTTTCCTTTCAAGATATCGTCATGTTAAAGGGCATCGCTATATCATGGGAAAATTCTTTTAGTATTTATCTTGATTTGAAGAATACTAAAGATGCTTGGATACAACAATTAGAGTGGTTATTGAGCCATTCTCAATTGTCAAAAGCTAGTGTTTTTGTCAAGAAACAAATTCATATTCTGCAGCGTTTTAGCGATAATCTATCATTACGATCACCTCTCGTAGATATTCTTATAGGTCATCATGCCACAGCTCCTTTTGAATCTCTTTCAGTGGAACAAGTTATGAAAAGATTTGCATTACTGAGTGGAGATAATGTTATGTTATCTATGTTGGAATTTATGTTTTCGAACAGGAAAGATCAAGTCTCCAATTTCATCGAACGAGATGCATCGAAGTTATTATCTGGTTTGTTATGTCAAAAGGCGACGTATCCGGTCCATTTTGTAGATTTGTTGAGAATTTGGTGTCAGTGTAATTGGTCTGTATTGTTATTTAGAGCCGCGAAGGTTCTGAACTCAGAACTGATGATGCTTTCCATGAAGACTTTTGTTGAATATATCGAGTATCCCTTGATACCGGTACTCGCGACAATGGAAAGAAATGGTCTGTGTCTGAATACAAGGTTTCTGGTTGATATGAGTCATAAAGTAAGCAAACGACAGCAAAGTTGTAAAGAAAAATTAACTGAAATGTCGGAACCATTTTAGACAAACTTGGCAACTAGTGACAACTCGTTGAAGGACAAATGGAATGATGAATTGAAGAAATATGATGACAATGCATCAAGTAAGTTTTATCTGAAAAATTTTGACAGATAGAATGGAATGAAATCTACTTTTAGTTCTTTGGGAAAGCAAAGATTTCTCTTTTACTGCGGAAAAGAAGTATCTCAAACTGTTGCAAAGGCATATGTATCCGATCTCGGGAAAGCTTCATGCGCATTACTACAAAAGTAGTTATTTCTATATCATGGCTTGAAAAGAATGTCTTATTGTCTTTTTAGGCACTAATTTGTTTGGAAAGCTAGCCACATTTCCTGTTAACGTTCATGAACTCTCCAAAATGAAAAATTTAGTTGTAGCATCACAAGGTTTTCAAATATTAGTTGCTGATTGTAGTCAAATGGAAATGCGAATTCTTGCAGCGTTGTCCAAAGAATCTACTTGGATTCAAGTATTTCTTGAGGAAGGCGATATTCATAAGTTTATAGCATACAAGTTGTTTACGTGGAATAATAGAAGCGAGAAACTATCAGAACGACAGTTTCGTGAATATGCCAAAGTCCTCAGTTATGGGATAATAAGAGGAACATCAGAACAAGTTATATCGAAGGAGTTACAAGTTTCTCGACATGATATAAAATCTTGGATGGAGTTGTATCGCAGGTCCTTTTCAAAGGTCTTGCAATTTTTAGAAGAAACCAGTGAAAAAAGTTTTCAAAGAGGTGAATCGTCACAAGGACACTGTTGTTATTTTGCTAAAATTGTATGACAAAACTTATGAAAGGTTACTCAGAAACACTACTTGGCAGAAAAATTCCGGTTCCTTTCAAAAATTCTCAAAATGAAGAAGAAATTTTGGCTGCTAAGAAGATATGCAGACGTGCTGTTATCGAAGGAACACAGGCGGATATCATTAGTTTGGCGATGATCAGAATATTGGAGCAGTTGGGACAATATTCACAGTCTAATTTGATTTTACAAGTAAGTCAGTTAAGATGAAATAATGCTTTTTGAGTGAAAATAGAAGGTTGGAGACCAATTGATTTTTCAAGTTGCAAAGTCAGATTGTGATAAAGTAATGAAGCTAGTCAAGAAAGAAGTGAGTAACATTTTGCCTCTTCCTCAGGGTGTTCCTGTTCTTGTACGGCTTGGTGTAGGAAACGATTGGCTTGAAGCAACAGCAGCAATACAATAATATTTCATTCTTACTTACTGTGAACATATCATTTTGAAAAACTTGACAACTAAAGTATACTAGATTTCAAAAGTAACTTTCCCATCCGTGAAAGATACTAATGGTCAATTGGAAACAAAATACGACCTTACACTTTATCTAGTTTTACAAGAAAATATAGTTCGATTGACTCCAACTTTGTGTCTTATGGTTTCTGCGCTTGTGAGGACGAAGCTAAAGAAGAAGAGTCCACCTCTCGAATTTTATATTTCTCTTTAAGTTCAAGAAATTCGGTTTCTTTGGTTCTCAACTCTTCGTTTAAGTTCTGAATCGCTTGCTGCAACTGAAAAGCGTAAACTCATTCCAAGAGAGGCAAAGCCATACATACCTCTCTACTTGTGGATTCCAAAACTGGCTTCACTTGTCCAACCGTTTGTTCAAGGAGAACATTTCCTACTTGTCTCCAACACTTACGATCGTCATTCAACGGAAGTAATTGTTTAAGAACAAGTCTAAAACGTGAACTGATAAAACGCTCTTCTTCAACGACTGAATACTTACTCTTGTTCGTTTTTATCGTTTTCAAACTCTTCAATTTTAATCATAATCTGTTGAATCTGCTGTTTAAGCGTTTGATAACGTGAAACTATTTCCTTCTCAGACAAAGTCTCGGAAGAAGCTGCAGTGTTTGGATTCATACCGCAACCAAAAATCTTTCCAAAATGTGTATACAAATTGAAGCTGAATGAGATGTGGAAAAGAATAAGTTGCAGTTTGAACTGACTAATTCAAAAATCAACATATATATTTCTATGTACTAACATATATCGTCAACTTTTTCCAGGTAGTGCTGGTTTTCAATCAATTAATTAAAATGTTCCATAGCTGACTATATTAGTTTTGAAAAGATCGATCGACGGATGAATCGCTTCTCAAGTGTTCCTAGTTGAAGAGTTTTATTCCGTTTGTCATAGCAATAATGATAGCAAACTTGACCTTACTTTTTGTGGTACACTCAAGCTTGCAACGAGATAGTAAAGAAACCAAACTTGGGATATCCAGGGGGAACCATTTGTGCTCTTTTTCAAGAACTCGTCGCCAAGGTCGCTATAACAAAGTATCGGGAAATAACCGATTCCACTATAGGAAAGGAAGCTTTATTTGCGTACAATCTTCAGATCCAGCAAAACTACATTTGCAAGGAAATAGTCTTTATGAGTTAAACGAATCTTTTACTTTTTCACGTTCAAAGATAAGGATAGCCATTCCTAGTAAAGGAGATATCGGAGAAGATACCAAGTCACTACTAAAAGAGTCAGGCCTGGAAATTCTTCTACATAACCCAAGGCAATATTGGGCTACTGTAAGGGATTTTCCGGAAGTAGAAGTTTGGTTACAAAGACCCACAGATATCGTTCGAAGAGTTCAAGAAGGACAGGTTGATATCGGATTTGTAGGCTATGATATCGTCACAGAATATCAAGTAAGTTTCGAGTCTCTCTTTGTGGACGAAATCTTGTTTATTTGTTGGTATTTGCTCATTATTTCTATTCCAACACTGTCGATTTCGTCCCATATTAAAAACCCTTCCTTTTTTGCTCGTATTGTCTTACTCACTTTAGGAGCAATGTTCTGGAGGGTTACAAATGAAACGATATTGATTCATAACTGATATTGTATGAATTCTTTAGGATAGTCCAGATTCCACTTTGCTCATTCACGAGGGCCTTGGATACGGTGGTTGTAAACTCGGTGTCGGTATTCCAATGAGTTGGGTACACGTGACGGACATGAATGAACTCGCACGTTTCTCAGAAGAACGAAATTCTCCTCTCCTGATTACTACTAAATATCCCAAGACGGTAAAAAAGTTTCTGCAGGAGAAAGGAATGAAAAACTATCGTCTTCTGCATATGGATGGAGCATTAGAAGCTGCAACACAAATGGGATGCTCAGATCTTATTATTGACCTTATATCATCGGGAACTACATTGCGTGAAAATTTGTTGAAAGAAATTACAGAAGGAACTGTCTTAGAGTCAGATATGATTATGATCGGTAGTCCTTTGACGATGGCTTTAAACAATACATTTGGCCACAAAGTGAGGTCTTTTACCAGAGAACTTCTTGAACGCATCGAATCACATCTCGCAGCCAAGGACCACTTTAGTATTATTGCAAATATCAAAGGCTCTAGTCCAGGAGATGTTGCTAGAAAGATTGGAAGTCAAGTCGATTTAAAGGGAATGGACGGACCAACAGTGAGTCCAGTTATTCCGCCTAGAGGTTTCGATTCTGGAATGTATGCTATTGGTGTTGTCGTTAAAAAGAATCGTCTTTACAAAGCTATCGAACAACTTCGAGGCATAGGAGGTAGTGGGGTTTGTGTTCTTCCAGTTTCATATGTTTTCGAGAAAAAGTCAGCACGCTGGGAAAGAATCATCAAAACTTTAGGCTTAGATGGTGATTCATGATGAGATGCAAGTTACAATATGGACATAAGAATGTTAAGAGTTACTTATATACAAATATATGTTCATCATTCTGAAATTAAATTTTTCCACTTCTCTTCTATGCGAGATTTTCTCTTTTCAAAGACATGAGGAGCAACTTGTATAAGCCATTGTGGTTCAATCACTGTAATATTTCGAATATAAATTCGTTTCAAATGAATACTTTCGCAATATACAATATACTTTGGAAGCCTACTTGCCAAAACTGAGGAAGGATGAATTGTAACACTCCTCTTCCCAACCAATGTCAAGTAACTACCATCGGGTTGCACAACGGCAGAGTTCATAAAGAATCCTTTCAAAGTTGCTTTGATGACACTTGAGGGATCGGGATTTTTTTGTGAAAGCAATCCATCTGCCTTTGACAGTGCAGCTGATCCATATAAACCATACATAACATTAGAAAGGGACAAAGCAATGCTTCTTCTCAAAAGCCGAGCCTTTTTCATCAACCGAGGTACAATTCCGTGATTACTGCACCACCTCATTGAATGTCCAGAAGCTTCAAAGGCGTCATAAATATTGACAAGGGTCAATAGATCACCTTCAGCAACGCCAAAAGGCTTCCTAGCTGCCTCGAAAGACTTGTGCTCGCGAGAAGAAGAATACTTGAAAACACTGTCTCCAGGTACTTGCTCCACTTGTAGCATAGCAATAATAGTAATGATCTCTCTCACACATTCAAAGTCCTTAGCTGCAACAAGAGTACGTGCCAAAAAGGGCTCCATCGGAAGGTCTGCCATAACCATTCCTGGAAAATCTGATAAGACACCGTCTTCGGTAATTGCATCTATGGCATAAAGAACCTCAAATGCTGTTGCAACCGATTTTGCTGAAGGTGGATCGATAAATGAGAAGTTCATAACATTTTCGATTCCTATGGCTTTGAGTTGAAGAATAGCTGTTGCTAAATTTGTTCGGCATATCTCGGGAACGGAATTCTCTGTCAACAATTTCCAATAACAGTCCTCCGTGTACAATCTATAACATTTCCCTGGACAGCTTCTCCCTGCTCTGCCTGCTCTTTGATCTGCTGATGCTCGTGAAATGGACTGAATACACAACAAGTCCATACCAGTTTCTGGAGAATGAACCCTCATGCGACAAAACCCTGTATCAATGACAAAAACAATGCCTTGTATTGTCACGGAAGTTTCTGCAATATTCGTTGACACAACCACTTTTCTTTCATTACTAGGAGCAGGTTGAAATGTGGCAAGTTGCTCTCTATAAGAAAGACCACTATAAAGTGGTACACAACAGAGACGTTTTCTATCCTTTCTCAAACTGCATATCTGAAATTCATTCGACTGAAATCGCTCCAACAAATGATCAACTTGTCTGTACATGAATAAACGTAAAAGATATACTAATGCAAAGATACTAACCTTGTTCACTCGAAGGAACAAATATTAAAATATCACCATCTTGCTGCTTTCTATGAATCTCTAAGGTAGTTTCATAAGCTGCTTGAAGATAGTCTTGAACAGGATATGTCGTGTAATATATATCTACTGGGAAACTGCGCCCTTCCACACTAAGGATAATGGCTGTATTTGATGAACAATCTTCAGTGACGTTGGTTTCAAAAAAGTCTCGAAATTTCTCGGCATCCACCGTAGCCGAAGAAATAATGACACGCAAGTCCGACCGAAGTCTTTGAATTTTCTTCAATAGTCCACATAGAATATCAGTAGCAATAGTTCTTTCGTGAACTTCGTCCAACATAACAACTTGAAACTTTAGTAGCAGAGGATCAGTGAGCATCATACGTAATAGAGTTCCATCAGTAGCATACAAAATTTTGGTTCTTTCCGAGTCCCAACAATTATCGAAACGAACAGCGAAACCTACAACTTCACCCAAAGTTCCCTTACTTTCATCCAATTCTTCTGCAACTCTAGCTGCAACCGCAGTTGTCGCTATTCGACGTGGTTGCGTACACACAATAGCTCTGCCATGATCCGTCCAACCTGCCTACAACGTTGGTTTAGGAACCAATTCTGAAGAAGAAATAGACTATACTTTTAGAAGGTATTGTGGTATCTGCGTCGTCTTCCCAGAACCAGTTTCTCCAACTACGACGACTGTTCTATATTCCTTAACAGCATATAACAAAGCTTCCTTGTAGTTGTGGATAGGCAACGAAGTGTTTCTTGCAACCATAGAAGCAGCGATAATGGATTCATAATCATAGGAACTTTCTCCTATTCCGAGAAGTCGTGAGGAATTTGGTTCTTGAAACTGCTTCCTTGAAGAAACTTCTCCAGGTTTTAAGAAAGCTTTTGCCATCGCAATTCCACTTCACGATGAATGACAAATAATGATGAAAATATAAATGACTGAAAGTTGGAACATATCGTATCTTTCAAGATAAATGTTGAGAACTTTAAGAATGAACAAAAAAGGGTTATATTACAGAAAAAAGAAGAATGTCCAGCTGCAGCTTGGCTGATTCAAAAAAATGAGACTCAACCACTCCTTTCCAAAAACAAAAAGAGAAAATAACCCCTAAAGTCATGGAACGTCAATCTCACGTATTCCTATGATGAAGATACTCCGAATACGAAAGAGAATATTTCTTACTCGAGTAACGAGTCAGTCTGATAGTTTTCAACAAACTTTCCGATATGGTATTCCGATAACCACTCTTTCGAATAAGAGACGAAATACACTGTTCCTTTGTCCAGCCCTGCTCCAGGCAAACTTCAGGTAAATAGGTTGCACTATATGCACTACCTTTATCCAAAAAATCAATAATAACGCCGTGTACACCAACTTGCCAGTCATAGACGTCACTTCCGGTCAAGAAATTATGCAGGATGGATACAGAAACACTTAAGCTTTCCAATTCTTCATAGCAAATAGGTGGAAATCTTCTATCTCTAAAAGCACTTGAAACTAACTGGTGAGTCCAGACTTGCAAGTTGAAAAGTTAACTTACCTAGCAAGAGTATACGTGTGAATGGCTCTCCGAAGGTTCAAAGGAGTAAGAGTGCCTATACACCCTCTCAACTGTGTACGCTCACCTTCTCTATTTGTTTTATTCCAAGTCACAAAAAGTGCATATTCGTCGATATCTGGTACAGAAGCTGGACAAGTAGGTTCGGAAACGTGTCTTAGCCTACTTATTAAGAGATCAAAGGCAAAAAGACATAAGTCTAACAAAGAAACATTTGAATCTTTTCGAAGTAGGATATTTTCAGGTCCATTGTCTTGTTTTCTGCACTGTGAAGTGTCGCAGTTAAGCTCCGGAGCATAACGATTCTCTCCACCCATTCTGTCCAAGTAGTATCCAAATAGGACTTTCTCTCATCTCTTAGTAAGAAAATAAAATAGCTTGAAATGACTCAGCGTTTGAAACATTCAAAAGGCAGGCTATAGTTTGTTATGATGAAAATAGTAGACTGATAACAAACTATCCTGTTGGAAATTATTAGCAAGTTACTATGTTATTAAAGAATTTTATTACTCGGATTGTCAGAACCCAACTACATATTTTATATTATCTGAGTTTAGATTATTCGTACTCTTTGGAATTTGTATATTGTATCAAATATGAAATAAGGGCTACTTAGAAGTCATTTCATATATATATATATATATATATATATATATATATATCTTGATAGATAGAGAGAGAGAGAGAGGACATGGAAGAACAGTACATCCTGCATTTTATATGCAAGACTGTTTCTCTTACAGAATTACAAGGAAACAAGTGTTGCACAAACCTTTCTTAAATGTCTAGTAATGTCTTTGTTTTTTCGATTCATATTCATTCAAAGCTAAAGTCTATGTGGTCTCTTTGTTGTAAGAAATGCGAAATATTATGCTTCAAACATGGATCCTTGAGTCTTGTATCCTTATTTTTACTTTTCTAAATGCATACCATTTGTTGTACTCATTTCAGAATTAGACATTTAGGAATCCATTTCTTGTTTCTTAAATGTTTTACATTACTTTTTCATATAGCTCAATATTTCATAATTTCGAACAGGACTTTATGCAAGCAAGTTTGAAGAGGATACACAAGTGTCAACAAAGTTCATGATAAATTCATAAATATAAAATTAACTTTACCATTACAAACTGATCACATCATTTAAATTACTTTAGGCTACATTTAATTGCGATGATGTGCAAAAGACACAGAAGTAATAAGCTGACATAACAATTTCAACAGAGTCTTAGCATCAAAATCTAAAATGTGTATTTGCCTGTTGTTACATAGAAAGAATGTCCCATGTCTTCGATTGTTGATCAAAGATAGCTCTGCCATTTATTGGATTTTAGGACAAGACTTTACAATCAAATTTACAAAATGTTTTTTAAGCAAAGCAAATAATAACTTATCTCTTCAACTTGATTTTATCCGAAAATGATTTTGAATTTTGACACGATGGACTTTTAAAAATTGTCCAATGAGGATTTCCGAAGATGGACACTGGGTAGCTTTGGCGCAACCCCCGGAGGAAAGTGGTGAAGCAACCACAATAGGTTTAAGAAGGAAACTGTTAGAGGAAATAGTTTGTTCTGCATCTTCTACCGTTTCACGCGTAGTTGCCGTTGTATTTTCGGTTCCTCACTGTGTAAGAGTCCATTTCCCAGACCGACTCTGTGTGGACCACTTACAAGTGCCGCTGCTTGTAGAGAGCCTTGTGAATCCAACACTTGATGCCATTTTATGTGCAGAGAAACTAGTGAGAGGTATGTACTGTTTTGACTCGTAAAATTTTCTGTTTGAGAAGATTCCGTAGGAAGTTTTGGTGACCTTTGGCGGAACACATTTGGTAGTGACTTTCGTGGTAGTCAGTCGTTAAACGTCGAGCAAGCAGATGGGAACGCTGAGAATGAGAAAGTACCTAACATTTATTATAAGATTCAACGTTTTCTGTTTTCTGGAAATTTTTCGTGCGGTTTGTTTCTTCCTTTTCAGTTTACTAGTTTTCGGAAGGAGCGGAATCGTGGTGAAGAACCCGGAGATAATGACACGACTGGTGTAAATGTGTCTTCTTATGGGGAAGGGACTGTCTATGTTACCTTGTTGCCTGTTGTACAGTTCATTCGCTCGTTTTCTTACGTTCCTTTTCGTTTTCCCAACCCAAGTTTGAGTAAGCGCTTTGATATTCCTTTATTTAATTTCTTAATCGGTTGAATAGCTTTGTTTTCTTCGGAAAGGGAAGAAAATGAGGACACTTTTAGGTTGACAGCTAATATGGGGGAAGAAAGTTTCGATGATCTTCTGAGTTTACAAGAAACCTCAACTTGTTTGTCCCGTCCTGCTGACCTTGTACTCATCGAAAGATGTACGGCGAGGAGGACGTATCAGAAGTCTGCAAACCTCCAACCCAAAGATACTTGTGAATGTTCGATAGAGAAGGACAATTGTATAAAGACCGATACGATGTTATTTCGTTATGTTCATGACTTCTGTTCTATATGTCTGGAGAATTATTCGAATAGTGATTCCTTGCGAGTTTTACCTTGTCTTCACTTTTTCCACGTTGTATGGTAAGAAGGAACTCATCGTTAGCGGCACTGTACTTATTGCCATTTCTAGTATTGATAAGTGGCTTATGATGGACAAGGCTTGTCCACTTTGTAAGTGGGATATTGATCGAGGTTTATTATATTCTTCTTGGGAAGATAGTTGGACCAGCGAAGACCATCCGAATAATTATTCGTCTGCCGTTGCTACAAGTTCTGCTATTGATCTTATCGAACAAGAACCTGAAATAAAATGGGGGGAGTGGTTTCGCAGTCTGTTTTCGCTTGCAAGTTCGGTGTAGTTCATACCTCAATTAATATGTACAGCGGTGTTTTGTCACCGAATAAAATGCAGAGAATTGCAACCTTTATCAGTAAAACTACACTTCTTATCATGGCTCTGTCGCGTATTTCAAAGTCGTATTCTTCTCGTGGAGGAGGGATAGATAGATTCAAACAATAGCATACTTATCTTCAGTACTCTCCAATCTATCTACTTTACAGAGTCTTCTGGCTGTGGATCTGCTTGAGTGGGACCTGTTTCCAGGTGCTGTTGGTGTTTAGCTAAAGTTTGAGGGTTTCTAGAAGAGCTTCCACTTGAACGAGAGCTGCCATCTGAGCATTCGTCCTCTGAAGTTGGATAAGCATGCTCCACACCAACTTCCTCAGCCAGCTCTTTACCTTGCTTAGCCAATGTTGCATCTGCAGAGTCAAAGAATTTTCGTTCATGCTAAAAGAATACTTGAGTGGTCCATATATATATATATATCTATCTATATGAAACTAACCATATGGTTTGCCTTGAGTCGCTGCTGGAGAAGATGCCTCTTGTCCGGCAAATTACCATATTTTCGTCGCAAACTATCTTCCTGCTCTTTTACCTAGTAAGGCTGTAAGAATGGTTCCCAAATACTTGACACACTCACAAGTTTGTCTGCTGAAGAATCTTTGACTGCTCTATGTTCTTGTTGCATTGTCAGCTACGGAATCGAAAACTAATGTTTGATGGGACATGGATGCCGAAAACAGAGTTGAGGTCTCTGTGTTGGACGTTTCTCACAACTGCAACAAGACGAAAGTATCAGTTTTTTCCATATTCGGTCTTGATAATAGTCATGACGACTGTAATTTTAAACGGAATGACTTGCTTGAGGGGTTAAGTCTTGAGAATCTTCGATTTGTTAGTGGTTTTCCGACACCTAACCTCGTTCTTAAAATAACAAACCAAGCAATATTATTCAACTTAGAAGATACTCGCGGAACAATACTTCGTGACAGAATTTACATTTTGCAAGATTCTGACGAAGTCTTTGGTTCTCTTTTGGAATATTTGAAGGAGAAGCTATCCCGTTGTTGTGATCCCGATTGGTTGAAGCTTTACTTTCCTCTGATGGCAATGTACTATATTACAGAACATTATTGTGACTATACATCCTTGACTTTGAAACAACAACGAAATATCTTTGAAGATAGCAAAAGAGTTTTGGAGGATAGTTTTTCTGGCAAATCTTTGCTTTATTTAAGAGAAGCAAGACAAGGAGTTGAGAGAATAACTAAGAAACTAGATCACATAGCGAACAACTTTGCATCTTGCTTTGCTTCCGAGACTTGTGGCTTTCTTTTGGGAGCGAACCCTGCTTGGTCTATCGTTACTGAAGTTTATGTTGAAGAGATTCTAAAAGTTGGTATATTTTTTGGCTTCAATCTCAGCAACTAATCTTTTCAAAAGCTTTTAAGAAAAACTCAACTTGAAGGGCACGTTTTACTAGAAAACTGCAGAAGCTTGGAACTTGGATATACTTCTATGCTTGAAGCTGACTTTGTTCGATTGCTAAGTTCTTTTCTGTTTTCACGTTTTTTGGTTTGCCTCTTTGCATTTTACACTATGGTATGTACTTTTCGTTCTGAATGTTTATGTGTTGACTGGTTTTATGTTTCTTGGTCAGCTTATCGAGTTTTTTCACTCCAATTTTTTCAAGCCTTCTCCTTCTAGTGCTTTAACTGCAGGTTTCGTCGTTCTTGTATGTGGTATATATATTTCTGCATTTTTAGCTATATATATTTTCCAGCGGTGGCTCACGAGAAAGAAGTTTAGCGTACTTTTCCTATAAAGGCTCAGTCATTTTTACTGACAAATGATTGCACTGTGCTTTATTTAACGAAACTCCTGTCTATCAACTCAAACCAACTCAATCACTCCCATCTCGGCATTATCGCCTTTTCTAGGCATAGTATGAAGGATCCTCGTATACCCACCGTTCCTATCTGCATATCGTTCCGGAGCTTGTTCGAAGAGAGCGTGCACCAATTGCTTGTCATAAATAAAAGCCATAGCCTGTCGTCTGGCATGAAGGCTTCCCTCTTTACTTAAGCTTATCATTTTATCAGCAAAGCTACGAACAACCTTGGCTCTTGCTAAAGTTGTCTTAATTCTTCCGTGACGAAGCAGTTCCGTCGTGAGTGCTCTTATCAGAGCCTTTCTTTGATCTGCTGGTTTCCCCAGTTTTTTAAGTCTATCTCCGTGTCTCTAAACAACAAGTGCTTAGTTAGATAAAAGAATCAAAGACAACAACTAACTATTGCCACCAAGGGCTCCAGCCTTGGTAATAAACACGGGGTAAAACTAGAAGCCCTTTGGCGTTGTTGGACCTTCTTCGAATTCACTGCAACACCCATAAACTGAGATTGCAAACATCTCTTGCACGAAATAGAACGTTGAAAGCTCCCATAAGTATTACTTCCAAATACCCCAACAAAGCCAAGTGACGACCACATACCCACACACACAGAAGAGATTCCTACGAATGATCTCTTCTTTTTGATATAAATTTCCAACGTCACAATAGAGAACCACGAATACTTTTACGTGAATGTATATCCGCAGAGTCTAAACGTACATGGAGTTTTGAATCATATACTTGAACTCGATACAGAGAATAATGATGAAAAAAGATGTGCAAGTTCTTTGAGCGACGAATAACATTGACAATAATGCATAATGCTTAGAGTATTGTCGAGAGGATTTTCGAGTCCAACATGCCTGCTTTGATTGTCACTACCAATGCCTTTTTCACAGACGAGGTTCTAAAACAACTGCTGCCACAGCTTTCCAAGAATGTGGCAGAGGCACTGGGCAAACCAGAACACTACATGTGCGTTGGTGTTACCAAAGCAACAATGATATTTGGGGGTTCCGATGAGCCTTGTGCTTTCACAACTCTTTCATCCATTGGCAGTATCAGTCGTAAGTCGAACGAGAAAGTTAGCGCTGTCGTATGTGACTTGCTACAGAAGTACTTGAAAGTCTCACCTTCTAGAACTTGTAAGTATCTTAGTTGTTGCATCTTTTATTCACTGACTATGGGGCTTTTCTTTACACTCGATTCCGTTACAGATATTCAATTTACTGGTAAGTTTTTGGTTTACTTGTAACTCATAAATGCTAAAACTGAATAGACTCTCCTCCTGAAAACTTTGGACACAATAGTTCAACCTTTTAAGAGGAGTCATGTTGGATATGCTTCTTGTTTTTAATAAAGTGTGGTTTTTTTCCAATTGTTTGGATTGCAGTCGCGGCCAAACTACGACAAGCAACATCAGCAAGACTTTTCAAGGAATGTCATTATCCAAGTTTTGCATAGGTTTCTTTAAACCAGCTTCTATAAGAGCAGTAGTGACGTTACAGAATGCTACTTTACAGCGCTTGTTGCACGGACAATCCTTTCTTATGGAGGAGGCTTCGGGTGGAACACAAGGAGCTTCTTTGGATCCAAAGGAAGTTGCGGACAGAGTTCTTTCTGTAGTAAAGAAGTTTGAAAAGGTAATATTAGGTGTCTTTATGTTTGTTTTTTTCACTTTGGACTCTCTGTAGGTGGATCCCTCAAAGGTGACTCCAAACTCTCACTTTGTGAATGACTTGGGGCTTGATAGTCTGGACACAGTAGAATTAGTTATGGCCTTTGAAGATGAGTTTGCCATAGAAATTCCAGACTCCGATGCAGACAAGATTCTATCATGTGAAGATATGATCAAGTACATAAGTTCCCATCACAATGCGAAGTAGCTTCCTTTCTAGTACGGCGCAGAACTATCATTTCTTTGTGCGTTATAATAATATTAAAGCCATATCGTTGGTTTATGTGGAATTTAAACAATCTTTGAACGAGTTCTAATAGCGCTTGACACTTCAGCACATAGAAAACACGATTATCTTTGGGTCTTTTCAGTTGTGGATACTTCACAACATACCTATCTTGGAATAATGGCTTGTTTGTGTCTTTGTCAACCATGAAATGCTCATATCTTACTTTTAGCGATTCAACAAGAAGATACCAAGCATACCCAATTGACCAGTCTTGGTCAAGGTATAGTCAGTTTTTGAGGTTTCACTCTCAATGCAGCTTTTTTGTTGGGACTGTGAACATTTTTTGGTTGTAAGTTTAGCATATATTTCAGTAAACCCGGCTAAATAACCGGTGAGCGAGCATTATGAGTAACATTCAACTTCACAATTTTTGACTGAAGACAATAACAAAGGCTACTTGCAAACTACGATATGGAAGATATTTTTTAACAGACAAGGCTTGCCCAAACGAAAACAACTCCAAGTAAGTGACCTTCACATAAAAGTAAGAAAGTCACCAATGTCTTATCATACAGGAAAAATCCATGTTGCTCTACAAAATAAAAAAGAAGCAATTGCATTTAAATCTCACAATAGGCCCTTGTTGAACTTTGTCGACCATTCTCTATAGTGGAATGCAGCAAAGGCCTGTATTATACTCGTATTGGAGAAGTTCTTGCTCTTGGAGAGTTCGTATCGCATTAGCAGTCAAAAACATTGACTATGAATACAGGGTATGTAGACAAAGGCTTTCTTAATTAAGAACTTGGTTTCACCTTCCAAAAAGACCATCAACTTGATAAAGAACGGAGGCGAGCAGTGGCAGCCGGAATATGAGACTCTTAATCCAAGTCATACCGTGCCGACTTTGATCATCGACGGTAATACCATTGGACAGTCCGTTGCTATTATGGAGTACTTGGAAGAAACGCGACCACAAGTGCCGTTGTTACCAAAGGAACCTGGTCAGAGAGCAAAAGTTCGTCAAGTGGTGGAAACAGTGAATGCTGATACCCAACCTTTGCAGAATTTAAGGGTTTTACAGTGGCTGCAGAAAGAAGCTGGGGAAGAAAAGAGAAACGCCTGGCTTCAACATTTTCTTACCCTTAACATACAAGCTGTGGAACAGTTGCTTCGACGTTATTCAGGGAAGTTTAGTGTCGGAGATGAAATAACTTTAGCCGATTGTGTTATACCGCCACAATATTATTCTGCAATTCGGTATAAAATCTCTTTGGATAATTGTCCAAACTTTGTCAGAGTTGCAAAGACTTTAGATGAGTTGCCGGCGTTTAAAAAGGCTCATGCGTTCAGTCAGCCTGATGCACCTGAAAATCCTGAATATTAATAGTTTTCCTTGTCGAATAAAATTTTAGTTTGTGGAATCTATATCAATTTCAAAGAAAGGGTGAGAAGAATGAAGATTTCATCGGTGGAAAGTTCAATAAGTGGAATTCAAGACTCGAGTAACAGCCAACTTTCCTTTAATTGGCAAAATTTTTACGACAATCTTACGCAATCAGAAAAAGGCAAGTTGCATTAAACAGTCGCCAAAAGTTTGTTTACATTTCCAGCTGTAACGAATACGAAGGAAGGCGTTGAATAGAAATAGGAATTCATTTCTATCTGTTTGTTTTTTTCTAACAAGTTATTGAATATGTACAAATACACTCCACAAGATGATCGTAAAAAAAAGTACAGCAAAAGTAAATAAGCAAACAGTCCAACAGACGACTCTTCTTGGGAAATTGGGACATTTAAAATTTTTTTAAAATCGTCAACGGTCAAATTGAATGTTAGACTGTTAATTTGCCAAGTTCTCATGAAAATACAGCCGGAACAAACATCTCTTTCAAGTGTTTGTGAACAGAATAGACTTGCACCACAAACTAAAAAAGAAACCAACTGCCAAAATGTAGACGAAATATCGAGAGAAAAGGAGCCAAAGATATCCGACGATTCCTTATCATCCTTTCAACCAAACGAACAAGCATTGCAGAGTATTCTTTCTGATACAGGCATAGCCTTCTCAGCTTTAGGAGATTTTAGCGGGAAGAATTGGAGACTTACTGACAGTAAGTTGCCACTGCCTCGAAGGATAACTATTACAGGAAGGAGCTCTCTGATTCATCCCAGAAGGCATCGAGTAGAAAGTCTACAAGAAGAAACAAGCCAGGAAGCCAACACACAACAGTCAATGAAAGCTTCCTATAATTCTTTCAACTGTACAGACACTATTCCAGAACGAGAAGTCAAAGACAAAGAAAATCAACAGAGTTTCATCTCCACTAATTCAAAGAATGTTGTTTCCATACATTCTCAGCCACAGACCAAACAAGATGAGGAACACACTTTAGATCCTAAATATGAACAAACAACTGCTATCAAGATGGAAATTACGCCAGAGATCGACAAGTACTCACAACTTCATAAGAACAAAGGCAAAGCCAAGAGAAAAGAACAAAAGGAACAGCAAGCAGAAAAGGAGCAGAACTCGAAAGCGTCCTGTTGCTCAGATCAAAACGAATCTGATCCGGCAATTTTATCTGATTTAGCCAATTTGAATACTTTTTTATCTCATGCAGCATCTAATGTATCTCATGACTGGAAATACTTTGGCACTGTCATACGACAACTTTTGGATCTCCATGCAAATGACGAAAAACGTATTAAAGAGCTCGAACATGAAAATGTACTTTTATTAAATCGCATAACAAACTGCGAACGAGAAGCCGCATCTGAGCGCGAAACTACTAGAAAAGAAATTCAGCAACTTCACGCAGATCTTTCAAAGAGTGAAAACGAGATCAGAAAATTGAAAGAAGAGATAAAGGAACAGAAGCGAATTTATACGGAGGAAACTAACAGTCTAAAGAATGAGGTTGAAATATTGCAAACTAAGACAAACTTCAAGGTGGATGAGAAAGCAGATTCTCTACTGAATGTTGATGACGAAACTGAAATCATGAGTCGCTACAATCGACTCCAACAAGTGCACATAAAACCGATGGGCGAGGAGTCAAAAGTATCGGCGACAACTAATGATATAGACAATGAACGAATTTCCAAGGATGTCTCGACACCTTCCAAACAAGAAAACCTATCTAACCATTCTTTAGAGGCGAAAGAGTCCAAGTCAACAAGTAATATCTGGAAATCACCTCAGGTTCAACAAGCAACTACGACTTGTTCTCCGTGTTCCACGAAGCACTCTTTCAATTGTCAGACACCTTCACCGTCAAACAGAGGCAAACTCTTTCGTGAACCCAAAAGAGATATTTTCAATCCAACCAGTGAAGCTTTCAATAGTAATGCAAGCAAGTTAGATACTTCAGGCTCTTCGGAAAGACAGATTCCATCCAAAGAGAGAGTTGAAAGCTTTCTCTCGACTTCTTTTGAAGTGCAGCCTCAGTCTTTACAACAGATTCTTTCCTGTGAAGTTCCCCTATCGTCTCAGACAAGTCGTGGAACAACTCGTTATATGAGCTTCTACGAACCAACTTTCAAGCGTGACGATAAGAAGGAGAGTTTACGAGAAGTGGAAGAAGAACCAGATTGGAGACGTCTAACTCTGACTGCCGAGACTGCAAATAACAATTCACTCTTGAAAAGTACTCAAAATACGAAAGATAACGAAGATCAGCTACTCGAACCTTGTGATGCTCTTCTATCGAGCTTAAGAGAAGAGCTCCGTGGTCCGCGATATCGCAATATGCGAGATGCATGGCAGAATCTTTTTAAGCCAACGTGCAACAGGCTTAAACCATCCTTGTTCTATCAAGCTATTCGAAAATTACCTGCAGCCAAGCAAGTTTCTCAAGAAGTTTTGGATGAACTCTTTCAGAGAATTGTGCCAACTGCGAAAGAAACTCCCAGAGACTTGTGGGAAGACACCATTGCTATGGGTTGGGAACATTTTGTTCGCTTATATCAAGGAAATTTGCATCGTTATTATTGAGTATGGAACTCAAGAATAGTGAATAAGACTATTATTGTCGACTGCAGAGTATCTTATTTGTCTCCAACTAGTTTGAAACATATAAAAGAAACATTTTATGTAAACCCTAACAGACAAATGAGTTGCCTTCAACTACGCACGCAACGCCATTGCAAAGATAACAGAAGCACAAACGCTTACTACTCCAAGTAGACCGGCAGGCATGAATTTTTTGGACTTTGAAAAACGAATGGCAGATACCACGACTAGTACCAACGAAACTACTAAAGCGACAGGTATCGACTTTTCATACCAAGCATATGTCAGTAATAGACCTATCGATGTACCTTCAATCCTAAAAGTTCAAGAACAACACTCAATACCAACCTGAAACTACGCCGGAAACAATAGAGGCTGTGCTCTTCACCTTTAAATAGCCCGCTACTCTAAAAAAGTTGAATAGAACAACTCTTGTGACAAATAACAAAAACCAACCCTCCTCCAGCTAAAAGAAAAGCATAAAATAACATGAGTGTTTCTGCGAACCGGGTCAAAGAACAGACAATATTGTGCTTCCGAAAGGGAGACGCTCTACAAAGTGGAGATCCCAGGGGGTTTACTCTTGTATTCAGGCTTGTACGATCTGTTCCAAAGTAACTGGTGTATCTTCTTCTACATAATTTTACTGCTCCTAGAGCACCGGAGGAACAGTGTCTACAGGCAAGATTTGCACTCTGAGATTGGATAAATGCCATATCATTGAATGGGAATCTTCCAATCACATTTCAGCTACTTCCATCTATAAATAATTGAAAATCGTTTAAGTTTGATTTTTAGTTCATCTCTACCTGAATTTTTTCACTTCGCCAAACAAAATGCTAAAAAACTTAACAGAATGACTTTGGCCTTCTACGACAGTCCTTTATCTCACCCATTTTCTCTGAACACTTGCTAATTGACTAATGCTTTGAACATGTTTTCAAGCAAATAGACTTGCAAAGACTACCAACTGAGAAAGTTCTCCAATAGATATTCTCAAAAAAAGCCTTGCTACTGCCCTTTAAGCGAATTTTCCTTGAAGAGATGACCTAAGAAATAGGTTGGATTCGGTGGAGGAACGGACATGTTCTTCAAGAAACAAAATGCAACCAGACTTCTTAGTTCGCTGGCTACAAATACCGTTAGGTTTATATCCTTTATATTGAATGGCAAACATACGTGGTCCGACAGAGCCCATCTCTGTCAGTTCCTTTACATATCGGTCAATTTCCTGAAGATGAGCAACATCTTGCTTATAACATTCAATTATTTTGGATCCTAAACAACATCTCAATTCACAAATTTCGGTTAGTAAACCAGAGATATGCCATACTCAGCTTTACATCGGGACAATGACTAGTCAAGTCGATAATGTCTTTGTAATAAACCAATGGAATGCAACGATAGGCAGGTTTTCGTTTCTTTCAAACATATACTACATTTCCAGTGAAACATAAAGAAGACTTACCAAAATGCGTGCGACATCTGAATATCTTCGATTTGGACATTGCAACAAACTTAATAGTGCAATGCCATATGTACTTTCCATCACATAGTGTCGCTTTCGGTGTGAAAGATCAAAAAACCCCATTGCTTCATCAAAACGTTCATTCTTGACAAAAATAAATGCAAGTTAACTTAGCTGCAACAAAACTTACCTTTAAGCAGACTTCAATAAGTGACGAATGAGAAAGTTCCGAAGAATACAAATTGTGACGCTCAAAGGACTCGAAGTACTTCATTGCTAGCTCATAGTTGTTCATTTCATTGCAAACACTAAAGGCAACATTGAAAGCTTTGTAGTTTGGACTCACAACCATGCTTTCGAAGATCTTCAAAGCCTCTTCATATTCCCCTCTCAAGCGACAACATTCCATCAGTAACGCATAAGTAGTCTCATCCAACTGTAGACCGTCCGACTGAAGCAGCGCAACAAATTCTTTTACCTTTTCCGCATCACCTACGGCAGCACTGGCAAAGATGAGCGCGTTGTACAGCTTAAGATCAGGTTCTATAGATTCTTGCTTTACTTCGTGAAACAAACGCAAAGCTGTATTCAAATCTCTTCTACAGGCACAAACCGTTATGCACGAGGCATAAAACGGTGGACCTGGTCTCAAGCCAACGTTTCTGGATAATTCGTAATAGAGGGAAAGTTCTTGCATCAGACGCCATCGCGTCGCGACCCCGATAGCAGCAAACAGGATCCTTTCAGAAGGATTTTTTCCGTGCAAATATATATCCATAACTATTTTCCTCAAAAGATGAGGAGAGACCCTCTTCGGTTCTATAATCTGTTGCAGTGCTCTCTCTTCCTTTAGATTCAACGACGAGTGACTCACGGTTAGAGGTTGAAGGATGGCTAAATAGTTGTAAAAGGTCAACAGTAAAAAGGAGCGAAAATACAACGTTCAGACATACCAGACAAGTTTACCTTTCGTTTTTGACCCAAATAAGCTTTTCTACTTAACCATTGCTGCCTTCCTAACCATGCAGTCAATCTACTATACATTTGTCAAGAAAGCAATGATGATGAACAGCATGCTCTTGGACTCTAAAGCCTTTCTCAAGTTAAGAATTCTTTTTGCTCAACTATTTGAACAAAGTATGAAAGAAACGGCTCCCTCTAATGTTGGATATTTCCATCCTGGATATCACATCTCTCTCTTCGGTGGTTCTTGAAGAATATAGTAAGAGTGTCATATCACAACTACTATTCTGCTCTTGAAATTCACACTCAAAAGCACAATACACATAAGTCAATACTTTACCAACTTTAAATCATTTGAAACGATTCTTCAAAAGATGCGCCCAGCGGTGGCATCGAAGACTTGAGCATTTGCCAATGGCATTCTGTTTTCCATACCAAAGTGCGAGTCTCCCACGTTCGCATGTTCCAAGAACGTCTCTCGGAGTGAGTTTGCTAAGACACTCATCCTACAGTGGAGGTTTCCTGCAAACCATACCAGCAACTCCGCAAGTTGTGGCGTTGTGGGAGGAAGTCTGCATTCTAGGAAGATTGCCCAACAAGAAGAGGTTGTTTGACTTTTACAGTAAAAAACGAGGTAGATATTTTAAAACTACTCCAAAACAACTGTTGGAGGTTTGGCCCTGTTATTTTTCCAGGAAACGGAACTTTCTGATTGTAAGCATCAGCGCTAGTGATCAACCGGAACAGTTTCAGAAAGCGGTTAAATCTTGTCATTCCAACAGTACAAGCGTTCATCCAGTTCTTTCGATCATACAAAAGAGGAAGTTAGAAGCAAGTCTACCGGGAAAGAGGAACGATTCTTTTCGTGTTGCCCTTTGTATCGAAGGAGGAGGCATGAGAGGCTCCATAGCTGCAGGAATGACAGCAGCCATAAAGTATTTGAATCTTGAAAACGTATTCGATGTTGTATATGGTTCTTCAGCAGGCGCGATTATTGGTGCTTATTTTGTTAGCAGGCAGTTGCCATTATATGGTACTAGTGTGTATTACGAAGACCTATGTTCTCGAGACTTTATAAGGAAGCGACAATTGTTTTATAGGTATTTGTAACTTTTGAGGAAACATTTTCAATGTACTTAGAATTTTCATATATGTATATTTATAGATACTTGCAGCCGAACTCGAAGCATATACCGGTTCTAGATTTGGATAGTCTCATAGATGAAGTAATCGTCTACTCAAAACCTCTTGATTGGAATTGTTTTTGGAAAAATTGCCAGAGCCAGCCACTGAAGCCAGTGGCAACTTCATTAAGTACTTTGGAAGCAAAGGTGCTGGACAATTATAAAACTTTTGAGGAACTGCGACAGTGTTTGAGAGCTTCTGCTCTTGTTCCTGGAATAGCTGGAGAACCAGTTTCTATTGATGGCGATGTTTTTGCTGATGCTATTTTACACGAAGCTATTCCACTTCGTTCAGCCTTGCGGGAAGGTGCGACACATGTCTTAGTGTTACGCACAAGACCTCAAGGAGCACGTATTCCACACAAAGCTGGAATGTACGAACGTCTTATTGCTGTTCCTAGCTTTCGTTCACAAGAGAATTTTCCGGTTATTCAAGCGTTCGTATTGAGTGGTCATCATCGTCAAATTTACTATGAAGACATCGAAAGATTGAAAAGAGCGAAGGCTGAATTTGGTCCCACACCTCCTTATTTATATGATCTGGCAGTTCCAAGATTCAAGAAACAAGTTGGCCAACTGGAAAGCAGACAAGATGTAATCTTCAAGGCAGTGCGAGATGGCTTTGCAATTGCGTATCAAGAGTTGACAGGAGTATCAATGGAAGAGAGCGAAAGAGTTGCATCAAGTATTTACACGGAGGAAGAGTTTGTTCGACTTAAGAAACAGAGAGAGATGATTCGGTTTCAAAGAGAAAACTGGAAGAGACGTTTGAGGTCTATCAGTTTATTTAAACCGAAAACTGTTTTAAAAAGAAGAAATTCGACAAATTCGCAGTCTTCATTCATTGACAACGAATCTTTAACGGAATAACATCCTTTTGACGGTCGAAGTTTTTCTGCACAAGACAAACTATGGAACACTTGATTCATACTTGTTGTATCAATTTACTATTGTCATTTTTGGGGTTTGAGAACGTATGATAGTATTCTTTCTATTATTCTGTCCAGAATAAACTGTACACTTTACATATACGTCTTCCAAAATGCATTTGATTCCCAAATCTATACGAACGGAGAACGACCGTTGACAGTTAAGATGGATTGGTATGTCCTACAACTCAGTGACTCCAGTCCTCATTGGTTCGAAGCCTCGGAAGAGTTTCCTATTCTTTTAACCAGCGCAAGTATTGCTGATATGGCTTGTAAGGTGAAAATAACCATTCTACTTTTCCAGGCCTCTTTAGTGGACTACTCTTCACAGACAGAGCAGCGTGTGGTTGTTTCTATGTCACCAGTTAAGGAATCCTCCACTGTGACTAAAGAAGTGCCTTTATGTGTATTGCTTCCTAGAAAACGTGAATCAGTAAGTATTCCTTTGGTTTGGTGCCGCAAATATACTTTTATTAGATTCCTCTTCAGCATCTTATTACCGCACCGAACAAGGTGACACTAAAGAACGGAAATGGTGCGAAAGTGGAAATCAGTGGAATAGCTATTGTCGGGAAATTAACGTAGCGTACAATCTTATCTGTTTCAGCTTGGTTGGCTTTTTGGAAGATTCCTATTGATGCTCGGACAGTTGTTAAGCAGTTGCTCCTGAAGGACACTTTTTGGACGAAACCTTTTTTGAATAAGACTACAAAACTGATTCTTTCAGTTGATGACGTACTTTGTTGAACTATAGAATTGTACTTAAATAAAAGAGAGTATAACCACTTATACTCCAGTCTTTGTATTTCCACAGTTGCTCAATAAATACTTTTCATCAGTTAAGGAAATAGTAGTGGTCGTTGATGTGTTGTGATTCAAAACTTTCAGAGCTTGGCAGCGTGTCTTGACTTCTATTCGAAGAAATTCCGCATTGTATAAAAAGTGTTATAAATAGTGCTCGGTTGTGAAGTTACTTTTGTCGAGCTCCAAGAGCTTGTCTAGTATAGGATGTATCCAGTAGCAGTGGTGACTGGGTCCAATAGAGGAATCGGTCTGGGGTTTTGTAAAGCGTTATTACAGAAGAATGTACACGTTATAGCAACTGCTCGAAACTCGGTAAAGGTACTAATAACGAAAAAGGTTTCTCAGTGGAATTGAAAGTCTAGCAACCACCAGGGTTCCAACGTAGTGGCTGATCTACAAAGAGAAAGTCCGAATTTTCGTTTTTTTCCGTTAGACCTTCTCAGTTACGAAAGTATACAACGTTTTTTATTGTTTTTGGAGGACAACTATAGACAGCTTGATATTCTTGTCAATTCTGCCGCGGTCTGTCCACAACGTTCAGATCTTTTTGCTTTACAGGAGAGCTTACAGACCAATTTCTGGGGTTTGATCTATCTGACCTTGCAACTCTTTCCACTTATTGAGAGAGCTGGAAGCGCTCGTATTCTCAATGTATCCAGTGGAGACGGGGAACTTTGTTATTTTTCCACAGCTCTTAGTTCAGCCATTCGTAACTGTTTCACACTCCACATGCTTGTGGATTTCTCCTATGGTCTTTGTGCTTCACAGACAACTTTTGGTAAAGTGTTGATTTGTCGCTCTTGTTCATGAAGTCCAATTTTTTATATTAAATATAGGATACCCTGATCTATTGAGGCATATTCACGGTTCACAACCTTTCTATAAGCTTTCAAAAGCCCTGGTGAACAGATTTACGCAAATACTTGATACCTTGATTCCTTCTCATAGCGATATCATTGTGAATGCTGTATGTCCTGGAGACGTTGACACTGCAATGGCAGATAAGAACGTAAAACAATTACAAAGTGTGACTGATGCAGTAGCAGACATGATATGGTTGTTAGATTTATCCAACCTTTCTCTGCCTAGAGGATCTTTTCTTCGAAAGCATTGTCATATTTCATGGTAATAAGATCACTTGAACACAAAAAGTCAAACAAAAAACTTTTATCGAGTAAAACCAAGACCAGACAAACTACGTAATCCAAGCCATCCAAACAGCATACAAAACTGCCAGAAAACTTTCAAGATATATGTTTTCAACAAATTTTTCTCCAAACACAGCAGTCTCCCTAGCCTAGAAGAAACCATTCTGCATCAGAGAAATTTTCACTGAATACCTCCGACGAAAACACTCCTTTGTCTCAAAGCACGACGCTAGTCTTTACAGACAAGCCAATATTGAGATTACGGATTAAGCTCCTTTGATGCGATTATCTTTTCTGTTTTCATTGCCGAAAGCACTGTCACCAAAAGTTCCTTTCCCTCGTTAAATTCTTGTTTGATCTTTTTGTGTACGTCGTCACTTTCCAAATCTAGCTTTAGGTCCGATCTTGTTTCGTTGTTTTCATCCATGAGCACCACAAAGCCATCATCCTCGATGTCTACCAGTTGATAGTCTTTCCGGTTCACAACAGGCTGTAAAATATTGTGAGAGGTGGGGCACATTTCCTCGTATTTCTTCCCCGTGAAGATATCTACGCCTACTATATTGGCTTTTGCGTGCCCATGCTTGCCTGTTTTTGAAGTGGAAATATCTACGACTTTGCAGGGAAAACCTTTCAAAACTACAAAAGAGTTCTTCTTTACGGAGCCTGCTTGAATAGGAGTGGCCTCCGCGGCACCAGCGTCTGCTGTGACGACATCATCCGACATGATGAATGAATTGCTCAAATGATTCTCCCCCACAACAGGCCTCGATGGATTGTAAAATAAACCGTCAAATGATCCTCCTCCGCTCCCTCATGTCAACTATCTATCTCTTCATCAAGAATGCATATCAACACACTAGGTTAGATGTTGACATATCTATAATTAGAAAAGAGTTGTATCACTTCAAGGCTTCAAGATGTGAATATAAAGACCCAAGAATATAGTGTCTTCAGTTTCATTTGAAATTGGGGAATGATGACGAAGAAGAAAACGATTCAAGTTTCAAGAGACGTCTCGTACAAGAGGAAAAAGGAGTCCCTCTGGTCTCCTGAAGTGATCACAGACCATGTAGAAGAACCAACGGCTCACAGTACAACTCCTCCGTTGTCCGACCCGGAAGAAGTGAGACATATTCAGCGTGTGATCTTGGCCTTTAGAAGATATCTCAATGTGTCGCTTGCTAGAATCGACAGAAGAAGAAGAGACTTTTTATGCCTCTCTGACGAGTTACAGTCTTGGGTTCCCACATATCTACAGAACTTGGAACAAAGTAAGGAAGCCATTCGAAAGAATGACAAGTTGCTGCGATACATACTTTCCACTGTTGAAAACTTTGAATCTTTCCAAGCAAGAGAGCAATATGGAGGGTAAGTTTGTTTTCTTCCATCAAGTAGTTTCGTTAGCTGAGATTGTTTAGTGACTTGACAGACGGAGACCAAGTTGTTCGATACACTTTAGAGTGTTATGAAAGTGATATTGAGAAGGTATTTTGACTTCTTTTATCTTATTGTAAGGGAAGGAAACTAATTTTTTCGCAGGTTAGAAGTATACTGTTGCATATCATGAGAGATTGGTCAAAAGAGGGAGCCCCTGAACGAGAAGAATGCTATCGACCGTTGATCGACTCCACAATAAAGGAGTATGAGAGGTTCTGTAGTGATAGCTCTAGTAGAAAGGATCCTGCTACTTTTCGAGTTTTGGTTCCTGGAGCTGGTTTAGGGAGATTGGCCTGGGAACTTGCGAGGGAAGGTTTTCAAGTGCAAGGCAATGACTTCACTTATTATTCCCTTTTCAGTTCCAATTATATTTTAAACTATATTATGGAAGATACCCATGTAGAGGGAATGGAATTTTTTCCGTTTATTCATCAAACTACGAATGTCATAGATTCTGCAGATATTCTTTCTCCTGTGTACATTCCCGATGTGGATACGAGAGAGCTACCTTCCTTCTCCAACTTTAGCATGGTTGCAGGTGACTTTGTAGAGGTTTATGGCAGCAAACAACAGGCGGAACAATGGGACTGTGTCGTGACTTGCTTCTTCATGGATACTGCACATAATATCCTTGATTATGTCAGTGTAATTAAGAATCTATTGAAACCGGTATGCTGAATATTATTTCGTTGTTATGTTGTTTCTAATAGAATAATTATAGGGTGGTTCGTGGATAAACCTAGGTCCTCTACTGTATCATTATGCGGACACAGAAGATGAGCCTTCCATTGAACTATCATTGCAGGAATTGCGTCGTGTCATAAATATGTTATTTGACATAGAATTTGAAGAAATGCGAAGTTGTTCATATACACGCAATCCACGTTCCATGTTACAATTACAGTATCGTTGTTCGTATTTTGTGGCCCATAAGAAACACACCACAAAATCGTAGAATTCTGGTAAAATGGATTTGGCGCAAAGAATAAAAAAGTGCACATTATTTGTTTGTAGAAGCGTCTAATTTTGAAAACCATTATGAAAACTTGCTCTGTAGAAAGCAGTGGTCTGTGTTTCAGTTTAGTAACACCTTTCCATTTTAACATTTTAAGGGTACAGTATTTTCTGTCTTTCAGTCGAATAATGTTCTAAGACATGTCAATAGTTACAATCTCATTGTAAGGAAAGTTCGCAACTCGAGTATGTACAGCAAACTATCAAGCATAGTTCGGGACTAGGAAGATACTTGAGGGTCAAAGCAATCACTTGTGTAGGCTATGCAAGGAACTGCAAGCCTTGTGTAACTGGAAACGGACCCAAAAGTCAAAGAAATGAACGATACAACAAGAAGGCTGCAAAGGTTGAAAATTCAAAAGTATTCGATAAAGAGTCAGAAACTTACGAAGAATTGAGTACGAAAGACAAAGGCTTTCCCAAAGAGGACATAACGGACAAGTTATGCAAAGACTGGGATATTGAAGCACTGTCCTCAGACGCGTTGGTGGAAGCAACCTTGCAGCTTGAAAAAAGTCTCAATCATCAAACGAGCATCAAGAAGACTCTGAAAGAGACGCAAACACTTGCTAACAAAGAAACGTCCAATAATTCGTTCAGCAAGTTTGACCTAGAGAGAACCCTCGACAAACTGGAAAAGAGTTACTCAGTCAACACAAGATTCGCCAAAGAACAGAAAAGCAGAAATGACGAACTTCCAATACTGAGGAACAGCAGCGTGGTAGCTATTCGAAATGGCAATAATTCTGTTTTTAACTTGAGAGAATACTTGGAAAATATTCAGCAGTCACAAGCAGTCCGTCACAATGAAGAATTGAAGCTCACTGAAAACATAAAGAGAGGTTTATTAGCAGACACCATGTTTAAAGAGTAAGTATCTTTATTTCTTGAAAATAGTAACTGATAGGGTGGTTAGACTCAGCCAACGCTTAAACAGGGAGCCTACAGTATACGAATGGGCTGATGCACTTCAAGTTGTACGTAAAGCATTCTTATTACTGGTAGAACCCGTTTAACGTGATTTTTTTAGTCTGCCGAGAAGTTGGAAGAAATTATGAAACTTGGAAGAATTTCTAAGCAAGCTTTAGTTACACTTCACATGGGTCTGATTAGAATGATCGCAAGAGAAGTGCTCCGTTCTCGATTTTCAGTTGATGCCAAAACAAGCTTTATGGACCTTGTGCAGGAAGGTTCTGTAGGTGTTCTACGTGCTGCAGAAAAATATGACGGGAAACTTGGTTGGAAGTTTTCTACTTATGCGTCATGGTGGATACGAGCTACCATGAATAGAGCATTGGAAGAACATTCCCGTTCTGTACATATTCCTGTTGGGGTTCTTGAATCGTATCACTTGGCCAAGAAATTGGAAACCTCTTTAAAGGGAAAGCTTGGACGAACTCCTACTGATGAAGAAATCGCAAGGGAGATGGGCGTTTCGGTGAAAAAATTGAGATTTTGTATTCAGGTGAGAGCTTAGTTAACAATGTTGATATTAGGATATATTGATGGAAGATATTTAGTCTGTACATAATCGTCCGATGTCGTTAGATAGTTTTTTCTCTACCGCAGATGGCTCTAAAGATGCAGATAGTGCTAAATTAATTCCAGATTCTAAGACGGACGAAGCCATCGATACAATTGTGGAATCTATGTTACGGACAGACCTTGAACAGCTCATAGATGAGAAACTTAAGCCGAAGGAGAAGCAAGCATTGATGTTGCGTTTTGGATTGGAAGACGGAGTACCTAGGTCGCTAGAAGAATGCGGAAGAATAATGGCATTGAGTTGTGAAAGGGTTCGCAAATTAGTTCTCGCTGGCCTAGAGAAATTGCGACATCCTAGCGTAATTCAAAAATTGGAAGTCTATGCCTGAAAACATTTTTGTATGGGCTAAACGATCTATACGGTTTTGGGAAAGCAACTTGGGATGACTTGTATTATTTTGGTTTTAGGTGTGTATATTTTAAGAGTAAAGTGCAATCGTAGAATCAATATTCTCTCTTACGGAAAATTCCATAAAATTGTTTCAAGGATTATACTCGAATTTCACGCCAATCCAGCAACTGCCCCTTTTGAAACTGCCTGACGCATGAACTCTCATTAGAAAACTCCATCATGCAATAGAAATAAGACAATGCAAAACAAATCTTTATTCCTTCTGAGCCTGTATAACTGAAATCTGCCCTGAAACAGTATCCTGGTAACCAACATATTTCCATTCAGCCTTTGCTAGCAAAGTCTTCCACTCATCTTCGGTACGTTCCTTGCTGGAGTGAAGCATGCCCATATGAAGATCAAATATTTTACCCGGTGAAACAATGGACGGTCCAGGAAGAACATATTCCAACACCAACAATGTTGCATGGGGTGCTGCACATTCTCTTATATTTCTCAAAATACGAATACAATTTTCATCATTCCAATCATGCAAAATGTGTTTCATCATATATACCTCATAGTTCCGAGGAACGCTTTCAAAAAAGTCGCTCACTTCCTTCTTACACCTATCTTGCAATTCGGGTTCAATGGTGACTGCTTCATCCAAAACTCGAGGCAAGTCGGATATACAGCCCTTCATATGTGGATATTTTTTCAGTATCAACTTTAGAAGCACTCCAGGACCCGAGCCGATGTCACATATTTCGCGGAACTTGGAGAAGTCAAAACTGTAAAGGATAGATCTCGTATCAAACTCACTGATGGACGCCATTCCTTGCTGAAAGACTTTTAAAAACTCTTTATGTTTGGAATCTGCCTTTGAAAAAGCATCGAAATAGTTATCCTCTTCAAACCTATTCTAACTTGAGAAGTTTTCCACTCCCAATCTGTAACAACTTACACATCTCGAACTACTTTGTTTCCTGTTTGTAAGCATTTTTCCAAATGTAACCAACAACGGCAGTGTTCAACACTTCCTTCAAACAGCACAACTCCACGTGCAGAACCTTCTTGTCTTTCCAATAGAAGCGATCCTCGTTTGGTAACTGTGAAGGATCGAGCTGGAGAGTCATGTTCCTCTACGAGAAGCAAAGCTGAGGCTGCTCTTAAAACTCTGTAGGTAAATTCTGGGTGGGTTCCACATTTAGACGCAATCTAATATCTGAACTTTTAACAGACAAATATCAGCAGTGAGAAACAGAGTATACCTCTTTGGCCATGACAGGACTCCCATCCTTATCCGATGAAAGTTTATCCATCTCGTCCAACAACCTCAAAGAAGTGACGGCTCTCACGATGGCAGTTTTCCAATGTCCATATGTCAAGTCTAAAATTGCTGCAAAGTTATCAAAGTATTCTTCAGGACTTGCCATATCACTCGATGTTTCCATTTTCAACTCACAAATGGATCGTCAAAATCACTTTATGATTACTTGAAGAGTGCAATAACTCTTATGAAATGGAAATAATAAAAGTGGTTCTTGCCAGTCATTACATTTGTATCTTGTTAAAGCACCAAGATATAGAAGACAAGATGAAATATCAATCACATAGTAAAAGTCATAAAGAGAGTAAAAGAGACATTTTCAAGCATTTATGCCACACTGATAACAAGAGTTTTGTCAATGACAGATTCAACACAACACTATATTTCATAAAAACTTTGTGAGAAGACGAGTTTCAAACGATATCTAATCGAATCCGACAGAATATGAATGTCTTTGAATTCGAGTATGCGTTAAGAGTCCAAGTTGTATTTCCTGTCGTCTGTTTATATATATATGGAAGGCAACTCATCTTTGGGCGATAAAGAGGATGAAAGGGTAGTTTATTTATCTTTTATGTTCAACTTTCAGCTGAAAGAAACTAGGATGCCGTTCAATTCGTGAAAAACCTGTTGCGTCGTTCCTTATGGGTACAAGTTGACGATACTCGTTGGATATACGGGGAGTTTGTTTGTTTAGATCATTTGAAAAACTTGATACTGGAAAATTCCTTCCAAGTAACGTGTGAAGGCCATCCGTAAGTGTTATGTTTGGAGTTTACTACTTCTTACGTGTGTAGTCGAGGAAGAGACGTTGAAAAGCGCCAACGTTTAGACTGCTGCATTATTCCTGGAGAAAAGATTAGAAAAATATTTATGGAAGAGTCTTCCTGACTAAAAAACCACATCTTGAGAACGTTGTTTTTCTCTCCACCTGACAATTTTGAAAGGCAAGCGAAGATAGGTTTGTAAGTCCTTTCAACAGAATAGAAAGTTCCGTTCGTTTAGTATATGCTTTGTTAGAAGGTTTGTTTTTACAGACTCATAATTTTCTCATCGTAGATTTTATTGAGATACGTCATATGAAGTTTGAAAACATACATCGCTTCTACTACAGACAGATATCGAGTCAGCAACTAATTCAATGACTTGGCTTAGAATAAAATATATCTTTAGCTACACTGCCAACACTATATATTTCTGTTTCTCCACATTCTTTTTACCCCAACTTTGTAGTTGACGAAAAGTTATATTGGACATTTAGGATTCAGAGAAATCGACAAGCTTTGTCGATTTTTGGATATTCTCGAAAATATCCAAAAATCGTAGCACCTTCTATTCTTACGTTATCCTTTCTCACTAGGATCGACTGTTCCTTCGTTCTCTCCATTTTTCACCCAAACGATTCAACACTCCAGGCTTTTCTATTTTATCCATTGCTTCAGGACCTTGTGTCTGATTGGATTGCGTCGGAAAATCCTTTCCTGCCAAATGTGTATATCTCACAATGTAAGGCGCCGCAGATGTCTTTTTTAAGCCTTTCATTTCTAAAAGTTGATTGAGTTCTCCAATGCTACTATCTGGAATAAGAGCAACATAAGTATCTACAATAGATTCCAATGGTGATAACAAAACTTTCAAAATAAGTTCCACTTTGGTCATTTCCTTATTCACAAACTTTTGATAGGAACTCCAAGGAGCAAGAAACTCTGATTGGACTCTTTCCTCTTTATGATCTTCTCGACTTGCATTATTTGGATAGGCAATGAAGGGAACATTTTGCAACATGTTCTTGATGGCCGCAGCATCCAGTAACAACTGTTGTGCACTTATGGATGATACCTTCTTACAAGTCTTTAGGGTGGTCAAATACGCTGGAATAAATATGGCAACAAAGCGATCGCAAAAATATCGAAAATGAACAAATGATAATAAGTTGGCGAGACTCGGAAGGGAACGGAAAAATTCTTCCTCCAATTTCGCCACATATGAGGATGAATCACCAACGGACTGGATATTGCTTTTCAAAGTTTCAGTGACTTGTAATAACGATGAATTCAACTTACTTCCAATTGATCTGGGTCATCAAATTGAGATGCTTTTGAAATCGAGTATAAAGTCCTACAGCCAGTGAACGTAAACCTTTGGCAGCAACTGCACGAAATTCGTCTCTTTCTACATCCATTTGAACATTATCAGCAAAGACGGGATCTACTTTTTTCTTAATAGAATTGACAAGTTGTTCCACAGTGCTAGCACAATACTAGTTGAAAGTCAAAACAAAAGTTCAATAATCTGTTCTATGTATACCTCGGCAGTGGACACGATATAGCATATCGTGCGCTCTTCTGCATCATTCAACTCCAATGGTTGAATATGGAAGCTCGGGGGTAAGACATCCTTTGAAATGAAACTAAAGCCACTTGTAGAATTGGAACGTCCTTGCTTCGACAATTGTTCTCCCAAAGAATGAGCATATGACTTCAAATGCTTTTTAAACACTTTATGAAGATTGAAAAAGGTCTGATTAGTAGTCAACGCTCCGCAACGTTTCATGCAGCGTTTAATTTGAAGAAACAACTCCGTAGAACTTTTCAAAACGGTCGAAGGAGATTCTACCACCCAAGTTTCTTCAGTTATAAGTTTCTGTAAAAGTTCTCCCAAGTTCTTATCTTCCAAGGCTGAATAAGCACCCATATATGGTTCAAAACAAGTACTAACTAAACCAACAAAATGATGCTTGGAGTTTGTAGGCAATTCTGAATCTTCCGAATGACTTGAAATAGTAGAAAAACGACGTTTCTCTTGAGTGCCAAAGGTGGAGTGGAGAAATCGTCTTTCAAGTTCCTGTTCGAATTCAAAAGTCTTCTGAAGCACTCTCAATAGAACAGTGACATCTCCTGGACTCCTTTTTTCAAGTTCAGCTGTCAAATGCCTTCTCGTAGTGGTACAAAAGCTATTAGCCAGTTTAAAAGCGATGTTCCATTCTTCGGGAAAAATATCTTTCCAATATTCTTCCAAATATCTTAGTTCCCTTCGTAGCCATGCAAAGCGTCTCTCCGTGGCTTCTACTGCTGCAGCTTCACCTCCCGGGCCGAAAATGGCTTCATAGGCTGCTATTCTTGAATGTATATACCAATCAATAACTTCTCGACGACTATCATTACTTAAATAATCCATTATCTTACACATTGCCTGCAACTGTTGGATTTGTTGCTGTTTTTCTGAGTTGGAGCTAATATCTGCTAGTCCTGTTGGACCGAATAAACGTAACTGTTCAGATATAGATTCCTGCATATGATTGGAAAGTTCCTTAGCCTTACGGATGAGGGCAGGAATCTTTCCAAGCTCTTGGTATTCCTCCAGTTCTTCAAAACGTCTCAAGAACTTTATCAGATCAGGAAAAAGAATGGCGCACCGCTTCCAGTCTTTCCTGTTCCAACTATTTTCACAGGCTTCTACCGCCTCTTCAAAGGACTGTAAATCCTTTATGGCTTCCAAAGTTTTCGATATGTTTCTTCTAGTTATTTCCAGTGTCCTTATTTCTGCACAAACACTGTTTAACTTTCCTTCAGCATTAATTGCGTCAATGGAAAAGTTATTCATTTGTTTCCGCAACTGAAACAACTTTTCCTTTGCTTGGGCGATATATTGACTAGACTTGTTGCTGTCAAACCTTTCTTCTCGCACTTTCTGAGAAAGGTCATCGTCTAGCCTTGAAACGGTAGCTTTTACTCTAGCAATAAAAGAGTCCAAAGTAGTTAACGAGTCTTCCGTTGGAAATTTGGAGTTGATAAACTCCTCAACATCAAAAGAGGTTCCTTTCTTTGCTTCTTTTTGGAATTCTTCACAAAGGGACAGTACTGATGAACTATTAGAGTCTTCATGGTCCAGAAACAACTCGTCTGATAACTTGTTATCTCCTTCTTGAATATTTCCGCCCTTTGAAGACTCCATCTCATCGATTTACTTAAGAATCAAAGAATGATCAACTATATCAACCCTGCTTATGCGAAGCAATTATGAACACTGTGCAATAATGTACTCAATGCATTTTCTGGTTTTTATTGAAGAGTAGTTGATGAGTCTCTATTCCAATGACTCATCTCTGCACTTTATTGATTGTAGACCGTCTCTCTTTTTCTCTTCTTGATGTTTTGAGTCTTCAAGTCGTCATCATTTCCCACATTTCATCGGCCGTTGATCATCCGTGTTTGGATTGTGAGAGTGTGTAAACAAAAGTGGCGACTTCCAAGTTCCTTTCCGTTTCTAGCCGTATAGCGGCCACTCTTTTCAGAAGAAATTATACTTATTATGGTTTACGCCATGTAAGTACAGTTCCTGGGGAGGGAGAAGGTAGTAGTGCAGACGGTGTCTCTGGTCACACACAAAGCAGCAACCAGACAGTGCAAGCGGAGGTAAGACGAATTCTTTTGTTATAAACATATGTTAAAGACTGGAAGAATTTTACAGGAACTGAAGAGGGCTCACCTTCTGTAGCAGAGGATTCCACAAGGAACAGGTTTGGAAAGTTTCTAATAACTTTTTTAAAACTTTTGCCCATCTTTTTTTAGGAGAGTTTTTGTTGGTAACCTCGCGTATCGTACAACACTAGATGATTTAATTCAACACTTGGGTAGTGTGGGGAAGATCGCTACTTCCCAAATACTTACCAACAACTTGGGACGCTCAGTGGGAGGTGCTATCGTCGAGTTTGATTCGGAAGAAGCTGCAAAACGAGCAATAGAAACCTTGAATGACAGTGAATTAGATGGCAGAAAAATAATTATTCGTGAGGATAGAGAAGACTTTTCTTTGCATGACCCACGGAGAAAGATGAAGCAAGGCGATCCCAGAGCTCTTCAAAACAGACGTATCGTTGTTTGGAACCTGCCTTCTCACGTTAGATGGCAAGAGTTGAAGGATTTGTTCAAAGAATCTGGAAACATTCTATGGACAGAAGTAAGAAATGTACGTGCGAGAGATGGTGGTGAAACAGTGATGGGCACGGTTCTTTTTGAATCCGAAGAGGATGCCAGGAGAGCTGTTGAGAGGATGAGAGGAAAGAACTTTTTAGGCCGCATCATCGATTGCCGATTTGATAGCCTTCGTTAAATAGGTAGAAATATAAAAGATTGCTTTTCCTGTTTGTTGTTGTAAATGAAATGGATGTGCTTGTTATATTTTGTGATTGGTCATGACGAGCGACAGTCGATTGCAAGGCGTATTAGACTTTTGTAGTCTTCACTTGTCAAACACAAGAAACAAAGCACACAAAGAATTCTTATGGAAAGAATTGACTAGTTGCAACATCGTGTCAGATCATGATCCTTTATTAGGCTCTGGTGATTCTCGTGCCGTACAATATTGGTTTGAGCAAGCTGGGGAACAAGACAAAAATCACCTCTTGCAGTCAGTCAACAAGCATTTATCGAATAAAACGTACGTAATAGTTGAAAAGTAAGCAATAGTTTTTTATTCTTGTTCTAGTTATTTGGTTGGTGAAAGACTCACCGTGGCAGACATAGCTATGTACGTTTCCCTTTATAGTCTTTTCGAACAAAAATGGTCAGAGTCACAACGCCTCTTATTTGCAGATGCTTTACGTTGGTTTGATTTGCTGCAAAACTCTCTTCCGATAGGTCAGAAGTGGGAAAAGATTGATATTGACTTCACAGTATCTGAAGAGAAGCTGCATCAGTTGTTGGATAACAAGCTCCGAATAGAAACTGAAAAACCAAAGGAGGAAGCTGTAGTTGCCCATAAGAAGAACAAGGACAAATTGGAAAAGGCTAAAAGTGCAACTAATACAAAGGGTGGATCAGAAGAGAAGAATGATGAACCTCTGAAGGAAGAGGCCGAAGAAGATGTTTCAAGATTGGATATTAGAGTGGGAAAAATACTTTCAGCTAAACGACATCCCGACGCAGATACTTTATATATTGAAGAAATTGATGTTGGTGTAAGTAAATTATTGCATAAAGAAGGATTGATTGACAAGAAAGTAACAGGAAGCCTCTCCGCGTACTGTTTGTTCGGGTTTGGTGAAATTTATTCCTGATCCAGAGCAACTGCTCGGTTATTGCATCGTATTGTGTAATTTGAAGCCAGTCAATATGAGAGGCGTGAAGTCTGAAGCAATGATACTCTGTGCTACGAGTAAAGATGGAACTACCGTGGAATTGGTGAAACCACCTGAAGATGTTCCAACTGGAGAACGAGTGACTTTTCCGGGTCATGATGGTGTGGCTGACTCAGTTTTGAATCCGAAAAAGAAAATATTTGAAAAGGTAAGAAGGATTCCACTCGCTTTCCAACCGATTTTCTTATTTGGTGAAAAGGTGCAACCATATTTTGCAACTAACGAAGAATGTATTGCTGTCTGGAAGGATATTCCCTTTACTACTTCACAAGGTCCCTGTAAAGTGGCAAGTATTCGAGGAGGAACTATTCGTTGAAGATTGAAACAAATACTTTTTTCAGTGTCACAAAAGTCAATAGTTTCTTCAGTTGTGTAAACTATAGGATTTTCAAAAATTGGGTTGCTTTATCTTGACGCTGTTAGTTAGCTTCGGAAGACGTTGGCGAAGTGGATCTATTGGATATTATGGCTTCCAAAAGTCCTTCACAAGCGTCTTCCAGAAGATCAAATACAAACTCGAATTCTTCATCCCCTCCATATACGCCACCTGAAAGAAATCCATAAAAAGGATCTGGAACTTCCCAGTTGCATTCCTCTGCAAGTTTTTTATTCTTTGCAAACTTCAGCAATAGCTCCACTCTAGGTTTTCTATTGTGACGAGAAACCAAGTCTTTGACATCACGTAGATTGCTTCGGTCCATGGGAATAATGTAGTCGAATACTTCTATGTCTTGGTCTCTCAGTGCTCGGGCTTTTCCGGTCATTGGAATGTTCCTTTTTTGAGCCATGGCCAGAGCTTTCGGATGTGGTGGCTCTCCAGTGTGCCACTTAACTTTTGTCAGTAAAAACAAAGGAAGCTAAGAATCCACTTACAGCTCCAGTACCACAAGAGTCACACTCAACAACAGAGTCTAAGCCCTTTGTTTTAACCAAATGTCTGAATATGTTTTCAGCTGAAGGAGACCTGCAAATGTTTCCCAAACATACAAACAACACTCGAACCATTGAATGAACGATCCATTCCACTACATTTTCAATAGATTTCTAAATATGTATATTTGGCAACTATATAGTCGACTACTTGGAAGAGAGAATTAGCTTTTATTATAATCATGTACAAGTTGAATGGAGTCAGTGCGCATGGTTCTTGAACAAAGTTTCCTTGTCATTGAATAGGACTTTTTTTTGTTTCTGTTTGATGCGCAAATGTAATAAGTTTTATATTTCAAGAGAAATATGCAAATGTAGTCCTAAACAAGACATATTTTCCAATAAAAGAGACAAAGGAATGCGTCGTCATCCTCTGTTGAATCCCTAAACACCGTCGGAATATGCCTCGACATCGAAAAAAGCGAAGAACACATGTTCCTGTATCGGAAGAAGAAAACAAGGTTCCCATTACTATGGTATGTAAAAAAGGGAAAATAACCAACTCTCTTGCAGACCTCGTGATGGATCTAAGAAACATGTTACGGCCACATACAACCAGGAAGATGCAAGAAAGTGCATCCAGTTCTCTCAACGAGTTTGCAACGTTAGCCAAAAAATTGGGAGTTAGTCACCTTTGGATATTATCAGAGTCCGTTAGTAGCACCACATTGAGGATTGGCAGACTACCAAAAGGTCCCACTTTTACTTTTAGAGTCAACTGGTTCTCATTGGCGGCCGATGTGAGGAAAGCACAGAAACGCCCTCACATTGTCAGCGATGCAGAACTAAAGGATCCTCCTCTTCTTGTTCTACACGGATTCGAGGACTCTAGAGTACAGGAAAGAATGATGAGCTCGTTATTCCAGTTTATGTTCCCAGCAATCGACTTGGATACATTGAAACCACAGGCAGTGAAAAGAGTTCTTCTTGTAAACTATGACAGGGAAAAAGAAGTCATAGAAATACGTCATTATCTCATTCGGACGAACCCTGTAGGTCTATCGAGGCCCATACGCAAGCTATTGTATAGAAAAATTCCAAAACAACTCAATACCTTGACAGATATTTCCGAGCTGTTAGATAGAGGAGGAGATGGCGCATATAGCTCGGAATCAGAAGGAGAAGGTTCCGAAGATAATAGATGCTCTCTTGTTACTGAAAATAACAACAATACTTCAAAGAGAGCATCCGTTATTTTATATGAAGTGGGCCCACGAATGTCCTTGCAGTTGTGGCAAATACAAGAGGAGCTCTTTAGTGGCTCCTTCGTATACGAATCAAAGTCTAGCTAAGAGTGAGAATGACTGTAATAGTAAATTGTATAGCTTCTTGAATGTGAGCTAGAATAATGATGGAAATAGAGGCATTCACAAACTCCTATAAATAAAAAGATTTACGTTCCTATTATGATTGAAGGAAATGGACAAGAATGAATCTGGGTTTTGTAGCTCATGAGAATATCTTGAGAGTCCCTCTGAAACACCGAAGCACCGGAAGGAGCGGACGACAACCTTGTCGCATATGTTGTTCTAAAACTGTCGATTATGATATAGTTGTGGTGGGAGGAGGAATTGCTGGATTGGCGTTCTCAGCAGCTCTAAAGACGGTCTTGAAATGGCAAGGATCTTTGTTGGTCATAGAACAGTCATCTTTAGAAGGTTTAGAAACTGGATCTGCTTTGGGATTATGGACAAATGCTTTCAAGTGTTTGGATGCCTTGGGAGAGCAAGTGAGTCGTACTTTAAGAGATAAAAGTTGTCCTCTTGAAGGTGTTCTTATTCGAGACGCTGAACGAGGACGACTTCTCAAGAGCATACCGTTGGATAAGTGTATTGGAGGTCCTCACGAGTTTTCATATGTCAGACGAAGAGATCTTCAGGAAGAATTACGTTCTCTTTATCTATCTTCACCAGATGTAAACTACTTGGTAGGAGAAACTGTTGAGAGTGTTCGAAAGGACGACTGTATGATAGTCGTTTGTTCAAGTGGTATTGAATTGAAATGCCACATAGTTATTGGTGCAGATGGTATCGGTTCGGTGGTTAGAAAATGTTTGTATCCCTGTTTAAGATGGCCTAGAACGATCAAGTCGAATGGTTACATGGCATTTCGAGGTATTGTCTCGCTGAACCAATTGCCAGAAAAGGTAATCAACGAATTGGAGTCTTCATGGAAGAGCCATATTTCTCAGATATGGGGAAAAGGTATTCGTGCTGGAGTTGCACCGTTGGATATACATCATTGGTATTGGTTTCTAACGGTAAATGAGAAGCAGTTGAACAACTGGGATTGTTTCCAAGGTAATTTTCATCTTTGTCAAGACAAACTGAGTGAATTGCTTTTCAATTGGGTTTATCCACTTCCACAGCTCTTTCAGTATACACAAGCTGAAAATATTCATGTTCACAGATGTGCAGATTCCCTTGATATCCTACTACCAAGGAAATATTTTTCCCTTCATAATAGTTTTCCAGTGACCCTTATTGGTGACGCTGCACATCCAACTACTCCTAATTTGGCTCAAGGAGCTGCACTTGCCTTAGAAGATGCGTTGGTACTCGCTTGTCACGTGTATAGTGCTTGCTCTCAGTCAGTCAACCATGGTACGCGCATGTAATAGGAAGCAACTCAATGCTAACAAGTCTCTTTTAGAGATTCTACAAGAAACTTTGTACAAGTATGAAGACGAGCGTCTGCTAAGAACGCAGCGTTTGGTTATACAGTCTCATGTGATTGGAAAATTGTTACAACTGGAAAATAGTTGGGTTTGCTTCCTAAGAGACAATGTCGGAACAAAAGTTTTCCTTCAACCACAAGCCTTTCTACGTCACGCTGTCTGGGATGTACCTCCATGTTTCCATCCAAATAAATAAATTCTTTACAGCTGTAAGAAAAGGAACCCTGAACATGACATTGCCAAGCGGAATGGTTCATGAAGAAGGGCTCTAAGCGATGTGTCCTCGTGACAACTTCCATAAAGTTCGATTTGTCGAAGGAAAGCAAAACTTCACCGAGTTGATAATATTCTGGCATTGGGTGAATAGAAAATGGCTTCAGTACCCACTACACAGAAAGCGTTGGAAGTGGTTCAGTTTGGAGACCCTCTCAAAGGTACACTTAAGCTTAATAAAGAGGCTCCAGTTCCCAAACCTGGTGATGGTCAAGTCTTGGTAGAAATGAAATATGCTTGTCTCAATCCTGCGGATGTATTCACTGTTCAAGGAATATATCCAGGAGTGAAAAATGTAACCGAAAAGAAACCGGGTTTTGTAGCGGGTCTTGAAGGTTCGGGTAAAGTGGTAGCTACCGGTTCAGGTTGTTCTTTGAAGGCAGGAACTCGCGTTGTACCTTTGTTAGGGGAGAGGGCTGGTTCCTGGCAGCAGTACCTAGTTGTAAGTGAAAAGCAATGTATACCTGTGCCAGACGATGTGGATGATGCGACAGCTGCACAACTATTTGTGAATCCGTTAACGGTAGTCGGTATGCTAGATGAGATTCAACAGAAAGCACCAGTCAAGGATAATCCTTGGATCGTTCAAACTGCTGCAAACTCAACTTTGGGTAGAATGTTCATCCAGTTAGCCAGGAAACGAGGTTTGAAGACGATCAACGTCATTAGAACTTCAGCAACGAAACAAGAACTTGTGCAACTTGGTGCAGATGAAGTAGTTGTCGTTTCTGAAGAGTCAGAACTTAGCAAGAAAATTCTCCAGCTAACTGGAGGAAAAGGAGCAGCAGCAGTAGTCGATGCTGTAGGGGGAGAAATTGGTACAGCTTGTTGCTCTTCTCTGGCGAAAGGAGGACTATTCCAAGGTTATGGTTTGCAGAGTGGACAGCCCATCCAAGTGAGCAATAGCGATCTTATTTTCAAGGATATTGTGATAAGAGGTTTCTGGTTGGCAATATGGTTCCCGAAACAACCATCCTCAGTCGTTCAGGAAGTGTTCGATATGTTGAGAAAGAAGGAACTTGTCCCACATATTCAGAAAATATTCGCGTTGGAAGACTATTTGGAAGCATTCAAAGCTCAGTTTAGTCCTGATAGGAGAGGAAAGATATTGTTCAAGCTCACTTGACTATCTTCTAGTCGACATAAGTTGTAGATGAACAGAAGAGAGTGTGTGATTGCCTATTTTTTGTAACAGTTTGGGGAATAAAAACTTTCCAAAAAAAAGTTGTGTTTTTTATAAAGCCCTTCGGAAAAGTTGTTGCCGTTTACTTCGTGCCTTGTTTCCAATAATTTACGCAAAAGTCTTCCTCCTCGCATGATAAACCTTACTCTCCTTACTTACATGACTTAACTCCTCTAGGGAGTCTTGTTTGACTTTATCGTACCTGCCATCCACGGTACATGGTGAGATAGATACTTTAAGCCTTTCAGGTAGCACATTGCGAATATGTTCTACAGTTGAGTCATGAACTGTTACAATTATTTTTTCAACAAGTTCCGATGAAAATCCTGGACGACACTGTTCTGCATAAGCAAAAGCTGTTTCGAGGTTCGAAAGAGCGTTTCTCCATTCAACAGATACGCGTTCATCTTCTGCTTCTAAACTGAAGGATTTGAAAACAGGACAAATAACTTCTCGAAAGATAGATGGGACTTCTGCATCTTCTATTACCTGACTATGACGCCTATAACGCCTAAACTCTTGCTGATAATGTACATCTTCCATCTTTTCAGTAGCAGATAAGTTCAGAGGCTTTCCAGTATGATCAACAGTATTCCTCGAAGGTATCAGAACAGTATCCACTTTCTGTTGCGGTTTCGCATCGACAAATCTCACAGTTTCTTCCGTTGAAACTGTTCCACTTACTCTGCTTGTTCCGTTCCTCTGTATCTTGGAAGAATATAATACAGTATCGGTGGAATCTAAGTCTGTCTTTGATTGCATAGCAACATGATGTGGTAACTTTGCCGATTGTGAATCTTTTGAAGGCCTTCTATACATGCTAGAATCTTCACTCGTTCTAGAATCATATCGTCTGTCAAGGACAGTTCCATTTATCTGTGAACTATCAGAACGAAAAGAATCAGCAGTTTCTACTCTAAAGACTGTCCCATCAGTAAGTTGTACACTTCGTACAGAATCCCCTTTCCACTCCAAACGGCACTTGGTCCCCAACTCCGGGTCAGGAATATCTGTAATGTCTTGTGGTTTTTCACTGGAAACCTTCAACTCCTGTACAGTACCAAGGTGATCTTCAACTACAAATATGGTCTCACCGGCATCCTTTTTTAGTGTCTTGACAGTTCCAAAATCCCACGCAAAATCTAAATCTACTGTTGGGAGTTTTCGTCTCCTATCTGCTTTGGGAACTATTTTATGTGAATTCAACTGTTTTTGTTTTTTCTTTTCGTCAAGCAGCCTCTTTAAAATACTTGTATCTCTTCTCTTCGTGATAAATGGATGCTTAAGAAGGATTTCTGCATTCTTTCGTTTATCAGGGTCTTTTTGTAAGCACTGGCAAATAAAATCCTTAAATTCCTATTCAAAATAAGTAAGTGTATAACATCAGACAGAAAAAGAAGAAGACGTACTTCCGAAAATTCCCCGGAAAGCCTCGGAGGATCCGATTTGGTTATTAAGAAAAGAGCTTTCATTGGATGAGTATCTGCCCATGGAGGCCTTCCATATACCATTTCTAGTGCTGTTATTCCAAAGGACCAAATATCAGCCTAAGGATGTGCACAATTTCAGCTCAGTATTCAAAATAGTTTGGAATGATAGATACTTTTTGATCGTAATAACTCGCTTCAATCACTTCGGGAGCCATCCAAAACGGAGTCCCAACAAAGGTATTTCGTTTTCTCATCGTTTTAGTGACTTGTTCGGAAACTCCAAAATCTGCTAGCTTGACATGGCCTTCACTTGACAATAAAATATTTGCAGCTTTGATATCACGATGTAATCTTCCTTCTCTATGGAAGTAGCTAAGAGCAAGCAATATTTCTCTCAAACAAATAGCTGCAGCATCTTCAGACAAAGGACCAGTAACTGCAATCAATTCTTTGATAGAACCGCCTTCCAAGTACTCCATTATCATCCACAGAAAACTTCCACTCAAAAACGAGTTGTAATATTCCACAATATATGGATTGTTTAACTGCGACAATATTCTAATTTCTCTACGAAATTCCTTAAAAATCTATTAGAATGCCTAATACTTGAACACCGTCGCTTCCTACCTCAATATCACCCTTAGCGTCTTCTAAATCAATGAGTTTAATAGCTACCGGCTTTCCTGTTGCTTTTTCCAAGGCTCTGTATACCTCTCCAAACGAACCTTGTCCTATCTTTTCTATCAGCTCGTACGCTTCCTCCCAGTCATAATTGTTTGAAATAGTCGACATTTATATTTTTCTAATCAGGCTGTTACTGTTTTTTGGTCAACTAGTTACCAAGAAGCAACTCAATCCTATTCCTTGTTGAACGTAAAACGTATATCGATGGGGGAGGCGCTGAAGCAACCAATTCCTTGGAATGGACACGTAGTATGGCAATGGAATCTTTTGTCCATAGAACGTCCCTGTGCCACGTGTCTATAAATGGAGGCATGGAAGATAGAATACTCATAGAGATGCTTTCTTCATCCACATTTTGTAACCAGAGTCACTAATAGAACTCTAATTATGTCATGATGAATTATTGTGGATTATTCTTCTACTATTGCTCGCAATGAGTGCCTTCGAGGAACTCGGTGTACTTCCAGAAATCATAAAGGCGGTAGAAGACTTGGACTGGTCACTACCTACTCCTGTACAAGCTGAAACCATTCCTTTGGTGTTGGGTGGTGGAGACGCAATGGTTTCAGCAGAGACGGGAAGTGGAAAGACGGGTGCTTTCTGTTTACCTTTAGTACAAGTTTGCTATGAGACCTTGCAAGGAAAATTCTTGCAAATCACGAAGCAACCTAATCATAACGATAAATCAACAAGTTTGTGGTTCAAAAGTGACTATAATCTCATCATTGACAGAGAACAGACGGAACTAGAAAATAAATTACCCAATAGATGGCAAGGTGCCAGAGCTAGTCTTGGAGCAAATAATGGACGGTGGTATTTTGAAGTAAAAGTTTTGTCGGACGGACTTTGTAGAGTAGGTTGGGCAACAGAGGAATGTTCTTTGGATTTAGGAACAGATAGTGAAGGTCTTGGTTATGGTGGCACTGGGAAGAAATCTCATAATAGAGAGTTTGCAAACTATGGCGAACCTTATGGGGAGGGTGACATTATAGGTTGTTTTATTGATTTTGAAGAATCTAGGTTATTCTTTTCAAAGAACGGAACAATTTTACAAACTGCGTTCGAAATTCCTGCAGCGCTTAAGAATTGTACTTTTTATCCTTCGGTCTGTCTAAAGAAATGTCGAGTCCAAGTTAACTTTGGTCCAGTTTCTAGCAAGAACTTCATGGATTCTTTTAGGATGATTTCAGAGTCTCCATTATGTATTGAGAAAACTTATTCTACCGGAGATTCGTCAAAGAGAAAGAAAAATCGTCGTGGTCCTTTGGCTCTCATTTTAGAGCCTTCTAGGGAGCTTGCTTTGCAAGTAAAGGAGGAGATTGGAAAATTTTCAAAATATTTGAGTCCCACGATACGCTGTGCCTGTTTAGTGGGAGGAGAGAAGATTTCGCAGAATATTCATGCATTAGATAACGGTGTAGAAGTGGTTTGTGGAACATTGGGTCGTATTCAAGAGTGTATAGAAGGAGGACATTTGGTTTTAAGTAGTCTCCGCTTTCTTGTGCTCGACGAAGCTGATGCATTTCTTCATCAAAACCAGATGGAGTCTATTATAGGAATCTACAGCCGTGTTGAAGAGCAAAATCTTGTTGGAGGTGTTCAAGTACTGTTCTTCTCTGCCACATTACACTCTCCTGAAGTTCATGAACTTTCCGAAAAGATTCAACAGTCACCCATGGTGGTGGATATGAAAGGAAGAGACTATGTACCTGAAGAGGTTGAACACAGCGTCTTCTTTGTTGATCCTAGTCAAAACACGACTGACTCAAAAGACTTTTCAGTGCACACAGATGGAGTGCATGAGCCAGAAGGCCAGAGTACTTTGGAAGAATGGAGCTCTCAAAGGATCAAACAAATGAAAACGGTATTAGTACGGAAGTTGATTGAATCTTTCTCGATGGAGCAAGCTTTGATATTTGTCCGAACTCAGTTAGATGCCGATAATTTACATCACTATTTAAAGAATATTTCTTTGAGAAACAAGAGTGGATATGGTAAAGATGAACGTTATTCAAGCGTGGTGCTTCACGGAGGCATCAGTGCAAGAGAACGCAAGGCCAATTTACAGAACTTTAAATCAGGTGAAGCCCGATTTCTTATTTGTACAGATGTAGCAGCGCGAGGCATTGATGTCGAGGGAGTTCCGTATCTTATCAATGTGACGTTACCCGATAATGTAGAAACTTATGTTCATCGTGTTGGCCGTGTTGGTCGCTCTGAAAGATTAGGTTTGGCTATTTCACTGGTTGGAACGAAGCCAGAAAAAGTTTGGTTCCACCGTTGTCCAAGTCGAGGTCGCAACAATCAATGTAAGAACAGAAGGCTGTTGTCTGAAGGAGGCTGTACTATTTGGTACGATGAAATGGAAATATTCAAGCAAATCCAAAAACATTTATCCCTTCAAGTAATTACTTTAGATTCAAGTTTTCAACTGCCTGTGGACAACAGAAAACATTTTGGATATCAAAGTAAGGAGATGGAAGCCATTGCTGCCATTCAGAAAAAGGTAGACTGTCTTAAACCAATTACTACGGCTGTCATAGAGTTGGAAGATCAAGTACAAAAGAATTTTTTGGCATTATCTCATCGTTTTTCTTTGAATCATTTTAACTTTTGTAGTTAATTTCATTTCATTCCGAGAGAAGGCCATTCAATAAAAAAATTTTTAGGAATTGAGAGTGTTGGAAAATTGCTTTATCCCAAAGGGCGCCCTGTGCTATTGAGGTTGATATATAAGGAAAGCTATGTTTTATTTCAAGGAGACTGGATTGGTCAAAATTAGATAAGTGTGAGATATGGCAACAGCGGAGGCGCAGCCTGTTGACGTTAACCGAACCAGTGAGAACTTGTACAACTCGAGCGATGAAGAACAAGCAGAACAAGGTCAAACGTTGTTAGCATGTCTCATTTGTGGCTGTACTAATGGCTCGGGGCAAACAAATGGCAGAAGTGGCGGAATAAGAAGGAGAAGAGAAGCTTCAGCTGTTGACTTGAGTTCTTGGGCCGAACCGCGCAGCTCCAGAGGCGTATTTTCCTTGGAAGACGCTCTAGCTCCAGTTGTTAAAGCATACAAGAATTTTATTGAAAAAGTAGGGGGTGATGTTACACTTGTGGCATCAAGTTTCGACTCTGAAAGTGAGGATTCGGACACCGAACATCGCTCGAGAGGTCAAGACAGTGGAGATATTCAAGCAGTTACTCGCGAAGAGTTCCAAATGGAAACTCACAAGGAGACAACAGAGAACCAAAACATCAAAGTTTCCGATAAAACTGGTGAGGCCGTCCAGTCGTCTGCGAACGAAACTTCTGGAGCCATCGCGCTATCTCCAAGGAGAGCTGCTGCTAAGATTGAACAAGAACGACGTTCTAAAAGGTTTCAGAGACATTCAGAGGTTGAAAGGCAACTTAGCGAGACCGATCCTCAAACAGCACTAAAATACAGGCTCAAGGCACTATTTCGACGTGTTGCCCACCCAAAGGACACCTACTTAAACTCTTCCGGATCCGCTGGAGGTCAAATCGTAGATGGAGAGTTTCTTCTTTTAGCCAAAGTTTATGTTGTGCAATGTGAGGAAGAGGAACTTGACTCATTTGCTAGGAATGATCCAGCAAGCTTAAAGCATTTGCTTCCTTTTTTGTTAAATTCACTTCTTTATGGCACATATGACATTCAACGAGAATATTTGCAGCAGCCATCAGAATTAACCCGCACTACTTCTCGATTTGGTTCTGCAGAGAAAGATTCTACTCGAAATAGCAGAAAAGAATTTGCAAGTTTGAATCACTTGCGACATGAGATGCGGTTTTTGCAAGAAGCGAGACTCTTGAAGCTTATCTCTAACTATAATGTTACAGACTCTTATCGAGGTGCCTTTCGATTACATGGGAAAGTAAGAAGACAGCGGTTGAAGGAAGCACGCGAAAGAGCCGCAGCACGCAAAGCTCAACTAGAAGATGGTACAGGATCATTTGGATCAACTACTTTATCTGGAACAATTTTTGGAGAACGAGGATACATGGATAGTTTGGAGCCTTTCGTTCTAAAGCAGTGTATGCGCAGTGTAGAGTTTGCACTACACTGCTTTTGGTATTTCCAGTCCTCTTTAGTAACAGGACCAGAGGAACTTTACAGCAGAACTTTGAGATTGTTACTTTCTGTAGAGGCTGCTGTCGTTCATCATCAAATTCCATATAATATATTCTTGCAAGAATCGAATGGAGAGATTTTGGAGCCATCCATGACTCATGCTTCTGGTGTTTCTAGTCAAGAGAATAACCTTAACCATTGGAATATGCCTCCAAGTTCATCAGGGATTAGGAATTCTTTAGACTTGCATGAGAATTCTGTACGTGAATGGTGGAATTCCAGGATGGAGAGAAGCAGCATGTTTCATGCAGAAATTGACTTTATCAAAGGATTGACAGATATTTCTGCCCAGTTGCGGAAGATTCCGAGAGAATCCAGGCAGGAGGCATTGAGAAAGGAACTAGAAAAGCTAAATGCTTTCCTTCCCAGGAATGTCGCCATTCCTACAGAGAATCGTATGCATAGAATATTACGTGTAGTACCAGAGTATTCAGTTGCCTTGTCTACCAAGGAGAGATGTCCTTTTTTACTTGTATATGAAATGGAAGATCTTAGTTCAGAAGGAGTTTCTTCACCCAGGAAGACACATCGTGAGGAGGAGTCTTCTTCACATGAGCTATGGTCTGTGGAAGAAGAGTTTGGTCGTCAAAGTGAAGGTGATGAAAGGGATAGTGATGAGATCAATTTTACGAAGAAATTTGCCATTACAAAACGTTTGGGAAGAGAAAGTTCGCATCAAATGAGACGAACGGAAAGAGCAGCAATGAAAAAGGAGGCAGTTGCACTGGCTGCAGGAGGTGCTTTTGAGAATGAACCCAATCGTCCTGAAGAGTCTTTCAATTTTCAACCCAATGTAAATACAGATGTCGTTTTGTCTCGGGAACGCTCAGAGCTTGGAGAGGGAACGAACGATGTAACAATAGCGCAGATCACTTTCAACAATACAGAGGAACCAAATAGAACCGTACAAAACGAATCGGGTTGGACAGGTATGGTAGAGGTCGATTTACAGGATCCTACTGGACAGAACAATCAAGTCTCCAACACTCAAAGCTTTAAAAGTAATTTGACGTGTTCTCCAAGCGAAGGACAGTTGAGTGGAAGGAGAGAAGATGCACCCGATTCTAATACACACGCAGCATTTGGGGAACCTTTTGCAGAGAAGGAGAAAAGGTCAGTATAGAAAAACTATGCAATGCGAGTCTCATTTTCGAGTTAGGTTGAAGGATACTTCCCCTTTCAGTTATCTTAGAAGGTGGCGTTTGGGCTCTTGTATAGTGAAAGCTCATGACCAACTTCGACAGGAAATGTTTGCCACACGTTTGATTGCCGAGTAAGCTTCTCCATTTAGTATAATAACCATATATATATCTGTTAAATGATGTTATTGAATAGGTTTGCTCGTATTTATGCTGCTTCTGGTTTACCCTTGTGGCTTCGTCCTTATAATATAATAGCAACATCTTCAGACTCAGGAATCATTGAAACTGTTCGGGATTCAACTTCATTAGATAGTATCAAAAGAAATACTCCGAATTTCACGACGTTGGCTGATTTCTTTCATCGGAAATTTGGAGAACGAGGATCACCTCGTCAAAAAATGGCCCTTCGGAATTTCGTAGAGTCTATGGCAGGATATTCTGTGGTTCAGTATTTATTGCAAATCAAAGATCGTCATAATGGTAATATTCTGATAGACTCAGAAGGTCACATCATCCATATTGACTTTGGCTTTCTTTTGAGTAACTCACCTGGGGGTAATTTTGAATTTGAAAAGTCACCGTTTAAACTATCAGCCGAACTCGTTCAAGTGATGGGCGGCGTTCATTCTGCAGCGTTTAGACAATTTCGCAAGTTATGTGTACAGGGATATGTGGAATGTTGTCATCATAGAGACAAAATTGTATTAATGGTTGATATGTTTTATTCGGGAAATGAAAACTTGCCATGTTTTACTTCTGGTCGTGATGCAGTTATCGAGAACTTGAGAAAACGTTTTATGCCTGGACACACTCGTCTTCAACGAGCACAACGGATGATGAGACTGATCGACGAAAGTATTGATAACTGGCATACAAGATGGTATAGTGTACACACAATCCTGAGTTTCTTTAAATGATATTTGTTTTTCATAGGTATGATAGATATCAAAGATTATTTACTGGAATCCATTAATGTATCGATATGCTGTTGAAACGATGAATGTTATGAATCATATAAAATTTGTATGGGGATCAAAGAGCATTATTCAGTTGCCTATCCAACGATTCCAGCGCTCGACTATCTGCGGTGGCAGCGGTATGAGAATACTGGTCCTCTTTTTGTATAATTGATATTCCAATAGAGAACCATATTTGCTATCCGCACTCTTTTCTAATAGTGGTATGCCACTCACTGTAATCAACAACCAAGTAATCAACAATGGAGAGCTCAATGCGATGAAACGGTGGAAAGTTGTCAATCCATTCCAAGCCAATGAATAGATTCCATACCATACCAACAATTCTCCAAAATAGTTGGGATCTACGATCGATGAGTACACATTTGATGAATATCTTTGACCCACTTACGTCTCGAATATCTCCATAAACCCCAGTCGCACCATCGTTCTGGATTCCTTTGCTTAAAATATTGCTTTTGAAAATCGGCAATCGTTTCACACAAGAATCCAATCGCAAATATTGTGTACCCGCAGTAATCCAATCTTCCCACTGGTCTTATTTGACTGTTCATATTGCACAAGACAGCAGGCAACGATACAACGAAAGCCCACAATCCCTACAAACTCCATTTTGATAACAAATACATAAGATATGGTTTCTCTACCCACTTGTAAAGTCCAAAAGCCCATCAACTTGAATATATTATCACGGAAACTATCAAACTCAGTTAAAACGTTGGAACGAGTCACATATATTTACATATACCTATCTAAACGTCGATCTTCGCCGAATACGAACCATATACGATATCCCAGATATAGAGCAAGTCTAGCACTCCATAAAACCAGCAAGGAAGTGATCCATTTCTGTCTAGTTGAAAAGGAAGAATATCCCATATAGGACCACAACTATACAAACACAAGATTGATGACATAGTCTTTGGTTGCAAAGAAAGCCAACGTACTGCTAGAACTGCAAAATTGGAAGCACCAGCAAAGTCTGTCAACTTGTCCATTCAAAATACAGCAGTTGGAAGAAAGAACATGAGTTGGTAGCCAGCAGTTAGCAGTGCTGCTTTACAAATAGGACTGGATTGTATAAACTCGAAAGCCATGCGACTCCACCGAGGCGACTGACCGGTGTGTTTTTTCTGGTTGGTAGAAAAGTGTCCAAGACCGTGCACTATCTGGTAGTATGTTGGTCGTGTCTTGAAGCAACCTTTTTCTCGAGAAAGTCCAGTAACAATATGTGTTCTCGTTGTTGATAGTTTGTGACTAGTATATAATGAATCCAAGTTTGAACTACAAGGAATCCATATGAGGCGTTTCCATATCCATAATCGTCTGATAGTTGTGGTGCGTAACGATCCCGAAAACAATGATAATATGGATGTGACCATTTGTGAGGCCAATAGAAATTTTTCCCCCTTTTAATCCAAATATAACAAAGTAACCAACTTTTTCAATGATTTCGTTTCTTTTACTGCTTCCAACCTAAAAATACAAAAATGAATAAAATTGAAAACTTGCAACATAAAACAAACATACAAAACATCGCTATCATGAAACACAAAAGATATCAACTGCTGACATTTACTAATGATACTCGAATTGCACAATCTTGAAGATACATCTAAAGGAAGATTATCGTTATGTGGCATCTCAATCACTTGAGTAACATGTTTCAGCAACTCTTGTGCCTCTTTAGGTTGTTTACTTCGACTCTGAGGCAAAATGACTGTCAACAAATGAGGCTTCTCTGCTCTCAAAGCACCTCGAATGGCTGCTGAATTGGTACCTCCACCACCTGAAGTATAGATATGATTACCTATAAGAACATTGGCATAGGTTAACAGCTCTACAATCTGCTGATGTAATAAAGAACAGTGTCTGGTTCCCAAAATAGCTATATTGGAAGGACCGTCCTTTTGGATCGAACTCAATTCTTGTAAAACGGTATCGAAGGAAATCTTAGTGGTTTGACTAAACTGAGACTGTTTCTTTTCTTCCACTTCTCCTGAAGAAGTAGACTGTGCAGTACCAACCAAACGAAGATGTTCTCGTGCAACGTTTTCAACATTTCCCAAACAAAGCCATTTGTGAACAAAGTGAGTTCCTTCCATTTCATCCCTTTCGGAGAATTCAACCCAGCTACACTTCACCCAAAAGCATCGTGTTTTTCTACATCTACCAAATACCCGACAGTGTGATGAACCGAAACGTACGAAATCACGAAACCTATGTTCGATATGGTGCTTTTGTAAACAACTTGATGCAGAAATAAATGCTACTGTAGTAACATGACGAGTAGTAATACCTAAACTTGTTTCTATTTTCGTTTCTTGACAAATAGAATTTTTCATATGGAACAATGGACTACGACTTGCCCAACTAATTGTATTCCTCCACTCCAATCTTAATAATAAGCTTTTTGAGGATGGCGTTCATGTTTACAACAACAATCACTTGTGCTGTCAAGTCAGTTGAAAACTCAATTCAAGGAACAAAGAGAGCTACTCAGTGTTTTTGCAAAAAGAAGACTCTCCAACAACGTGCTTTGAAACAGTTTTTCACAAAAAAAGAGCGCCAAAGACAACGCAAGTTTCCTACTTGTATAGATAGCAGCATATCGAGTTTCGATCCTTCCATCAAGGAGGCCTTAAACACTTTCATTTCTCAAAAGAGGAAAGAAGATGTACCTTCTTCCTATGCCAGATTTACAGCGGCAGACTTTGCCGTTGCTTCTGGCATCTCCGTTGACAACGCAACTAAGCAGTTGTTGCGCATTGCCAGTGAAGTGGAAGGTGCTTTGGATGTGTCTGAACAAGGAGAAATATTGTATAGAATACCAGTCAACTTTGAAGCTATCTTACAGCGAAAGTCGATGTTGAATAGCTTGCAAAAGTTGTGGCAGCCTGTCTGGTCTGCGTTGTTTTATTTGGTACGCATATCGTTTGGAATATTCCTACTTGTTTCGTTGTTGATCGTATTGGGAGCTATCATATTTGTAAATAGTTTGAATTCACGACAAAATGAAGATAATCGTTCTTCTTCATTTCATTCTCCTCGCTTCTATATTGGACCCAGTATTTCCGATCTATTTTACTTTTTTCGAGGTCCTTCCTACTATAACTATCATTATTATCAGTATGAAACTGATAATACTCCAAGTGAAAATGGAAAGAGAAGAACAAAAGAAAACCAAAGTCAAAAAGATGGACCTAAAGGTTTTCTTGAAGCGGCATATTCCTTCTTATTTGGAGATGGAGATCCCAATGCTGATTTTGAAACGAGGAAATGGAAAGCAGTGGCTTTTGTCATTCGAGCGAACGACTGCGTAGTAACAGCTGAACAGTTAGCACCCTATTTGTTGGTATGTCATTGTTCTTTTGAATATAGTTGAAAATAATATTGTCTGTAGTGTAGTCATGATCAGGCTACATCGGATGAAAATTCCATTCTTGTGAATGAGTCTTTTATGATACCTGCACTTGTTCGTTTTGGTGGTATTCCTCAAGTATTAGAAAATGGTGAAATAATATATGTATTTCCTGAACTACGAAAGACAGCCAAAAATGTACAAATCATCTCAAAGTTACCTTCGTTTCCTGTGGAGAAGGAGATTCCATTTTCTCGAGCTTCCAGTACAGACTTATGGATGGTTGCCTTGATAGCTTCTCTCAATCTCGTGGGTTCTTTGACTTTAGGAAATATGTTCTCTTCACCACAAGTCGTGTCGTCAGTTTCCAGAGAATTGGGGTTTTCAGTTGGTTTTCTTACAACAGCATTCCAAGGCTTACTCTCTTATGCCATTGCATTCTTGCTCGTGCCATTAGCTCGTTGGTTATATATTCGTCGTATCAATCGACAAAGAAGGAAGCGCAATTCTATAAGAGAAAAAGCTTTTCGTCTACTTGAAAATATGCCCGACTATCTTCGAACCAAAGTACAAGCAGCCAGAAACAAAGCTTTAGGTTTAGAATACGTTGGAAAGGATCCCATCATCTATGCTTCGGATAAAGACTTGGCGGAACAGATTCCTCACTTCCCATCATTAGATGACTAAAAGGACGGAAAATATGGGATGGAGCATTCTTTCATGTCTTTGGATGAGTGCGTGCGATGAGATCGATGGTTTCGTTTATTTCGTGTTGTCTATTACGACGAGCAACGTGTACTCAACTCTTTGGTAAACAAGCAGTGGGGTTAGTGAAATGGAATAAATCCATCCCAGTTTGCAGTTGGAAACTTGTCCCTCATACCCTTTTTGCAAAGCGTAAAGCGAAAACTCCATCACTGCGTATGTCAACGTTGGAGCCCACTGGTTCGCACAACATTGTCCGAGCGAGGCATATTCTCGTAGAAACCGAAGGCATGGCGGATACTTTATTAGAACAGTTGAAAAATGGTCAACACTTTGCTGAATTGGCCAAGTAAGTGGTGTTTCTCTAGGGTTTCTCGCTGTGTTGTTGATGACTTGTGATAGAGCTGTTTCTCGTTGTCCTAGTAAGGAACGGGGTGGTGAACTTGGTTGGTTTCGTCGTGGTACTATGGTGGCTTCTTTTGAAGACGCTTGTTTTCAAGGCAAACCGGATCAGTTGATAAAAATACAAACAGTAAGACTACGATGATATGATATGGTTTCGCTTGTGTGGTTCATAATCAGTTAGGAATATGGTTGGCACGTGATTCAAGTACAAGGGCAAGCTATAGAACCTGGAAGTATCACAGTGGAAGATTTTGCAAAGATATATCCGCATCAGATAAGCCACGTCCAACTGGTGGATGTACGTGAGGTGAGTGTTTTCCTTATCGTCGCTCTACTTGCACAAACTTAAACTTCTATATTAGCAAAATGAATTGGAATTGGCACGACTCGACCACTTCTTTCATTTGCCATTGGGAGAATATGAAAAGTGGGCGGAACAAGTGGAGTCTGGAGAGTTGTTGGACAAGGAGAAAGAAACTATCGTTATGTGCCATCACGGAATACGCTCTGCACAAATGTGTTCCTACTTGGCACAACAAGGGTTCTTAAAAGTCCGCAATCTAATCGGTGGAATTGACGCGTATGCTCACCAAGTGGATCCCAGCATTGGTGTTTATTGATTCCTTTTCACTATATCTGATAATAAATCCCACAACCTTTGATTGTTTTTTTCTATCCATCTACCAGCCAATATACGACATGCCCTTTGTGCCTCGTACCATAAATAAAACCACGAACGAAAGGATGACGAACTGACCATATGTTGAAATAAATATACAACTAACCACTCTTCCACTGTCATGGCTTTTGGCATCTTTTCATGATCAGCTTTCCTGTTTCTCTTCGTTTGAATCCAATGCCATAATCTTGCAAGTCTTTCACGACTGGGACGTTCCCTTGGTCTGGGAATGAAACCCATACTTATTACAGAGGCACTATTTCCAATGACCAGTTGCAAATCATCCAATATATCTGCCATTTCTTCTGCCAAACCATCTCTTAAAAATGCAGCTCGTTCAGATAGCAAAAAGTCCACAATTTTTTCAAAAAATAGACGAGATATGATAACTTGTTTGCCATCAATAAGAACTGGAAGATATTGATCAACAGTAACTGGACTCCCTTCCTCCGCTTTCGTTTCTAAATGATGATCGCCCTTATTTGAAAACTCTACAATTTGCCATAATCTTTTCCATCGTATTTTACCTGTTCGACTATCCAACAATATATCCCGTAGAGCTTGCGGTGGAAGACTATACGAATCCGATAAAAGTCTTTGAAGAATAAATGGATATGCCTAAACATAGTAAATACGGTGGTGTGACTCATGCGAGATTCCATTTTCATTAGCAACAACCAACCTGTTCCACAATATGAAAACTGGGATCATTTTGTAATGCTAATCCTTCCAACATTGTCAAACAACGAATGACGAGCGCAAACTTGGGCGGAATTCGAATCGGATACGATCTTGCTACAACTCCCAAATTTTGTGCAAGACGAGAAAAATTGAGTTTAGATAATCGACCATCAGGGGATGCATCCTTAAACGCCAATTCCATAGCTTCGATGATTCCTTTCTCATTGACTTGAAAAGGTAAGAATCCTAAAATGACAAACTCTTCAATCAAACCATCAAAGTCCTTGTTCACAAAGTCTATAATTGCTTTGATCAGATGCCAACTGAAAGAAATGATTATTCACAAACTATGTATTTTTGGATACCTACCGAGTATTCTTGTCTAAATATCGCACCATGCCATAGTCGACATAAGCCAAACAATTATCCGGAGTTCTCAACAAGTTGCCAGCATGAGGATCAGCATGATAAAATCCAACATCCAACAACTGATGTAGTGAAAACTCTACACCTGTTTTCATCAAAGTTTTGGAATAACTACCCCATGGCGGTTTCTCGCCGTCGATCCATTCCAAAGCTATTAAATAGTGTGTTGTAAAATATACATCAGGAATACGTATACCAGGATAATTTTTATAGAGCATACGAAACTGCAAACAATTTTCTCCTTCATGTTGATAATCCATTTCTTCGAAAATTTGTTGCGCATATTCATCTAAAATTCCAACCAAATCCGAACGTAAACGAAATTGGCGTTGGACTATTCCAGCAATGAAACGCAATACATATAAATCTAACGGAATATCAAATATGAGACCTGGTCTCTGTACTTTTAATGCAATCTTTTCATATTGACCATCTTCTCTTTGATATAAACCTTGATAAACCTGAATATCGTTCAACCATCGGGATATAAAACATGCCAACATTCTTACTTGTCCAAGTGAAGCTGAAGCAACTGGTTCAACAGATATTTGTGATAATCGCTTCTCCCATAGGGTGCCCTTTACTTCGACTGTTATGAGTCGTCTTGCCCAATCGGAAGGAAAAGGATCCACCTTATCCACCAATTTTTCAAGTTCCTTTATCCACACAGGCCCTACAACATCCGGTCTATTGCTAAGTGCTTGTGCAACCTTGATAAAAGTAGGACCCATGTTCATCACCAACTGTACCAACTCTCGAGCTCTCCAAGACAAATGGGTCGTGCTTCGACCCGGTAGTATTCGATCCCATAATAGTTTTATATACCACTGAAGAAGAGGTATACCAACGCTTGCTAAACGAGCTGCCGCTAACCAAGGTCTTCTATCATAATAGGAGATTATCTCTTCTTTATCGTAAGTAAGAAAAGCTTTTCGACCAAAATATCTCCATAGAGACAACAAGTAACGCACATCTTGCTTGAAAAGTTGCATTCCAGAAAGTCTATAGTCATACAAGCCCATGGCATAAGCTATTCCTCTGTCCAGTACTTGTAGCGTTGTTCGTTCTGGGTGTAAACTACGGCGCATATCTTCCTGTTTGTCTCCAATATGTTCAGGAATTAAGGAATCGAAACTTTCGATGGTTTCAGTATTTGCCAAAGTCAACTGGACAGGTGAGCGTAGAGCGTTTAAGTTGCAGAGTTGATAGCGAGTGGAAAGTCGACTAAACCCTGGACACTTGTACTTATACCATCTCAAGTAATAACTATCTCTGTTTATCCATTTATACTTGGTTTTATTATCCTTTCCAACAGGCGCCAAACACGATGGACAATACAACAGACCTGAGCGGCTGCTTCTCTTCCTATTCCAAATCATCCGAGTCTACTTACTACTAATCTCTTTGGGCCAATCAAAATCCATATTTGAGTAGCCATTTTGTTACACTTATGATGGCCTTATTCTTGTTCGTCAAGTAGCTCCCAATTGGTTTTGTAAACTTTGAAGATTTTTCAATCCATAAGACCCAAGTTTCTCTCTCCCAAACATATTGTTTAAATTGTCTACAAAGAATTCGATGTCTGCAACTATTCTCTTCCTTCCGGTTGCTCCCATTGACTTCAGTCCCTCATATATGTTGGTTAACTTCTCACCATAAGACGAAATAATACGAATAGATAAGTCATTCCATTCTCGTTCCATACCCACCGAGTTGAAAATCCGATCAAGAATAAACAATTCTCTAACTAAAGACTGAATATAGGGACTGGGAATTTCCCACTGTTCTAATAACTGTGTGTTATTCCATGGCATAGACTCCACTGTCTTTTGATGATATACCATTCGTTCATTCATAATAGAAACAAGTTTTGCAAGTATTTGACCTTGATGATCTCTCAATTCTCTTTGGGCCTTTTGAAATTCTGAAAGAGTATGCTGATCAACCATCACAAAAGTGGACAAAGCACTAAGCAACATATCCATATATTGTGACAACAAATGGATGCTTTGATATGCAACTGCCAAATGCTTGGCGCTTATGGACTTTAGACCTGCAGTCTGAATGGCACCAGCAGCTAGCACCATTTGGTTCGTAAGCTGATTGACCATGCGGACCATTTGTACCAACTTTTGAATAATTTCTCTATCAATGAAACCACGAGGAAAATATGCTACACACTGTACATATAAATATAATATCTTGATCAAAAATATGTTGCTCTTCGTTATAGGAAAACAACGAGAATTCCCCAGTCTTAACAAAACAGGCTTCTCATGATTTGTCGCTTTCAGAACGCTCCACATCATTTGCTGTTCATCAGTATTACTCGATATTTCTTCATAAACTTCTTTCTCAGAGTTTCCAGACTCAGTTTCCTCCAGCTGGATAAAATCCTTTCGAGGAGGTTCGTTATGCACGGATTCTTGTCGTCCATTCATCAGATGACGTGATGCAAAGGAACTATCAAGATGAGTCTTCAATGGAATCTTCCGAGTCTCTTCTAAACAGGATACAACAACATCAGGAATGAATTCTACGGCACTCCATCGTTCTTCTTTCAAAAAACATTCCATTGCCTTGTAAGCAACATTATGAATAGTTTGAAAGTATGATCGACAACTATCCAACATGAATGTGCGCAAACCGCCGACTGTGCTAGGTGAAACTTCAAATATACTACAGAGTTGTTGTGATATCTTCTCCAACTGTCTACATATCAATGCAAACTGTTGAAGAGATATTAAATGATCTTCTACCCATGTGTTCTTTCTAAAGTCATTGTCTATTTGCTGAGCAGTATTCGACAGTATCAGTGAACAAGCTTCATATAGTCTCTCCGAAATATTCTCACAAAATCGAACTTTCATTTGTTTCCAAGAAGCTTCCGTAAACTCATTCACAAAATGAAAGGCCTCGTCATGTCCGTTTGAATCGATGAATGTGGAATGTGTCGTTAGATAATAAACAAGCCCAAGTACCAAAGCAACTCGGTGCACATGCCACTTACAACTTGTTAAAAAGCTTTCAACAAGTTCCCTCTTCGTTTCCAAATCAGTAATATTACTTGCTTGTTCACCAATATGTGAAGTACTCTCCAAAAAGAGATCAAAATATCGGTCCACAAAATACTTCACGAGATACTGCAATTTGCCAAAACGAAATGCCGCCATAATGAGAGAATTCAATACACTCTGCGAAGCTGCTGTCGATAGAGAATGAACATCTTGTTTCACACAATCTTCCCACGACAAGTCTACAGGTATCTCCTCTGTAGTCCATTCATCAATCAACTCATCTAGACAAGAAACAAAATCTTGTCGCATAACTTGAATGGTATCATCCAAAGTTTTCTCCAATTGCTTCTCAACGCAGTCGAGGCAGCGAATATTTCCAAATTTATCACGACGAATATTTCTCAGTTGCTCAATAGCTTGCATAGCTCCCAAGTAATCAGAAGAACCAAGAAGCAGACTGACATGGTTTGGTGCCTCCATCATCTCTGCAATATGTTCCAACTTCTCCAACACTAACTTTCCAAGTTTGAGAGCTTGAAATGTTTGGTGAATATCGTTCATCTTATCGAAAAACAAATCGTTCACTTGTTCAAGTTGCGAACGAATATTTCCCTAATAAAACATACTATGAATAAAAGAAAGACTATTATGAAATAGGGTGTTGCCACATACAACTTGTCTAGTTACAGAAGCAAGTGTCTCTTGCACTTGTCCAACTTCCGTAATAGACTCTTTGAAGGCTTCTTTCTTCTCCAAAATATTTGCTGTCAACAGGCTCTGCACTTGTGTTAAGTGTTCAGTCAATTCCTCCTTCTTCTTCAACAAAGCTTCACTATTATGAAATAAGATCCTGCCTATTGACAATGTAGTAGAGACCAACCTGCTTAATTCACCTTCCTCTTCCATGACATTTAAAACGTCTCGTAAACAAAAGCGTTGTTCAGAGTACAGTCTAGGAATCGAGCTGTCTTCCAGTGTTTTCACGCCAACACTAGTGCTCTCTGAAAGCTTCAAATTTTCTAAATACCGATGGAGTTCTGCTTGTTTCTCTCCCTTGGCTAACATTTCCTACGTAATAACTTCGTTCCCATTAGAAGGAAACCGAAGCTGTCTGCTTACCTTATCTATTGCAGTCCACTTGTTAGCTCTGTCGAACATATAACCAGAAACTGGCAAGAACGGGAATGCTTCTTCTGCTCCGGAGGGGTCTTGGGTCACTTCACATATATTTTGTAAACAGTCGTCTCGCAACATAGCTTCCAAACGAGCAACGAATTCTCGAGGGGCACCATCCTTGTTATCAAACATAGTGAACTCAAGTTGATCATATATATGAGAAACTAAACTTACTACTGCATTTGGAAGTGGCCTTCGTTTGAAAGAAGACATACTACGAGTTCTGGAAGTTGCTACCTGTACTACGTCGTCAATACCAACACTGACGAGGTTACAATAAAAACTCACTTTTTCAGAAGTATGTAATCTCTGCATCTTTCACCTTTCGTGACTATAGTAGATTAATTGTATATGTCAGTCTAGCAGTAGCTTTGAGGATCCATGTCTATTAACGAGTGCTACTACACACAAACACATATGCAAAGTAATCCATTTCATTCTTCAATTGACTGATCGATCACGGACTCAGGGGAATTCCGCACCCTCATTAAACTGAAAGATGAAAAGGCACTAAGAAATATGTTTATCTCAGTATTGTAATTATGAATATAATCTTCTTGACACAAGTTGTGCTTATTAACATTGTAAGCAACGTGAATACATCTTAGAGGCATAAAGATAGTATTTCCTTGTTGGCATAATATTTTCTCATATCCACTTGTGATATGTTTTATAAAAATAGGAACAAGCAATGGCACAAGCCTGTCCCTTTTTCATTCTAGTAGAAAAACTATCCTTACAATGACTGAATTCATTCTCCAACTATTCTCCTCTCATGTGGAATCTAAACCTAATTTAAATTTATTTTCCCTTTGGCAAACGTGTCTGCTATCTCATTTTGCTTTCCGGAGCTTAAAAATAACATTTCGAATAGGGCCTTGTTCTGGTTTGTTTTCCGAATACACGCTGAAGCCAACTCCATTATTTTCATGATACTTTACTTTGTTAAGTAGCCTTTGGAGCTTGTTATAACGATGCAATTGTTTTCCAGTATTCTTGCTTGCCGTGTGATAAGGTTGGCTTGTTGGTTATCCATAGTAAGTAGTTTTTTGCATTCTCTTCTTTCTTTACGAAACTCTTCGATACCCAGTTAACCACCGCATTTCGACGAAGAAGAAGTTCACGATTGTTCCCTAAAACCAAATCTCTGAAGAGAAAGTATAGCAAGTTGATAGAACGGTTAGACCTCGTAGCTCCTGAGAAGAGTCCAACTAGTTGCTCCAAAGAAAGTTGTGTTATTTGTTTAGAGTCTTTAGAAAACGCCCATTATAAGGTTCGCACAGTACCGTGTGGTCATACTTTTCATAGGTAAGCTTTTAATATCACCAAAAAGTTTCCTTCGTTGAAAACAACGTTGTAGTGTATGTTTGGACAACTGGCTGATTCACGTTTTCTCCATGGCGGTAAAGCCACAGTCGCTATTGGATATATCTTGGTCACCACCTGTTTTGTCGTGTCCAATATGTAAACAAAATATTCCGATCGTTTGAGATAAAGGTTTTCTTTATTATTTTTCAAAACGACAAAGAATGTTGAATAGAGAAAGGCGTATGAGTCAACGTGGTCGAGCTCAAGTATGTACAGAACTTGTGTATCATACATATGTCGGCTCTCAATACACAATTTTCAAGTCTCTTTTCATGTTCAAAAAAAAAGGAATACATAAACAACCAACTGTCCAAAAAAAACAGTTATCCTCTTCGTCAACGCAGTTGCTGTTGAATGGTCTACAAAACAACTAGTCTAGTGTTATTTCTTTATGAGCTGTAGTCCAAACTTGGTCATTTTCGGGTGGTAAATTTTCAGTAGGAAATATATGCACGCTCAAGTCATTGAATGCTTCGTACAAAGGTGAGAACTGCGCATTCGAGCATTTCAACTCCTTCATCCACCTACTTGCAAGACCCAAATAAGAATCCACGTCAACCATGCTCCCAAACGTTTGGTAAAATGAAAAGCTGTTTCCCAGAATAATAACTTTATGCAGCCTATTCCGAGTCCAATTCTCTTTCAATACTGTATTGTAAAGAGAACGACCACAATGTGGCATAAAAAATAACTTACAAAAATCCTCCTCCATAACAACAGAAATGGGTTTCAACCTTTCACAACTCACATGCTTGCTTGAAAGTTGAAAAGTGGGTTCAGCTTGAACAAACCCTAAAAGTGTGCACAATTCTATATCTACTGCACTCATAACAGGATCATAAACTGATGAGCAACTATACCATGAGCCACAGTGGTCAGTCTTTACATTCGCTACACAGCACTCTTGCAAAAGTTTCGCGAGTGCCAACTGATATCTGGATATAGCAGAATTTTCAAAACTTCCTAGACCATAACATATCAGCTTTCCAACACGTTTCCGAGAATAGGCTTGTTGCTCCACAGAAGATTTCCAATACCCAAAGACATTAGAAGGACCATCTAAACAGACAAGACCATGAGAGAATAATAACTTTAAAAGTTCATGCCACCATTTAGAGTCTTGTACTTGTTCCTTCAACCTTGAAACTTCGCAAAGCAGCTCTCTAACAACGTCAGAATAATCTGAACGCTCCAAGTTTCCAAAGGGACTAGAAACGGTGTCGTGATCAACTTCCTGAAGTCTAAGCTCTGTAGAATCTCTATCATTCTTCTTGAAATTCGCATCTGACGGGCACACTATCGCACTACCTCGCGAACTCTCAGAATGCCTACTCGATGAGACATTTTTTCTTCTTCTTTGTCGCATAACCACTGTCCAACAGGAGGCACTATCTTTCTCACAGTTCATAATAGTTGAAACAAATATCTTGGTTGTTACGTCATATCCATAGGAACCTGTCCTTCCAACCGCATTTTCTACCTATTCGTGGTTCATTTGAAAATGGAATTTTGGCCAAATTCTCCAGAAGCATTCTTCCCTTTCCCCCAGCCACCTCTCAGAATGAGGGTGCGCCACTACAATTTGCGCGGGATTTTTGGGAAAGCGCCACCTCTCCCCTTATGAAAAATAGAATTGAAGCCAAACCGCCCGTGGCATTTTTCTTGGAAGCCTAGTTACTGCGAACAAATAGCTTCTTTTGTTTTCATTCATGAGTGACAGCGTCTCTATTAGAGAGAAAGGAAGCGTTTCAACCTTGTTTTCTTTGGGGTTTAAAACGGTTAGAAGACCTCGCACAAGAGACTCTGAAGAGTGGACCCTCTCAGGGGAAGACCAACCGAAAAGAAGGAAATGTGTCCAAGTTTCTAGTTATCCGAGTGATCGTCTTTTGAAAACCAAAAATTTAGATGAACCAAGAAACTTGTATCAACCGGATCACCGTATGGAACCTTTTTCACTCGCCAAAGATTGTAGAGAGGAAGCAAGAGAAGTTCCGGAATCTTTCTACAAAACACCAGAAAAACAAATGATTACCAGCAGAATTGAAACAATTCCACCCACTCCAAGAAAGCAGTTCCATAGTGAAATTCCCAACTTTTTGAAAGACAGGCCAGGTAGAGTTTTCTTTTGTCCTTGTTGAACTTTTTTAAGACTCTTTTGTAGGTCCTCCTTCGAGAGTTGGTGCTTGTGCTTGTTGTGGAAGAGTGACCAAGCTAAGAAACTCGATGCCTATATGCTTGCGTTTAGATTGCGCCCTTCATCATGCGCAAATAGACTAGAAGTGTATATAGTACTAGTTCTATTGTATATGTATTATGTCTATTTGGTCGTGGTAAGAGAGTGAGTACTTGGTATTCGACCTAAGCTGGAACCGCCTACTCGGGCAGGTTATGAAGAAACTCTTCCTCTTTAAGCTATTGCAGCTTTACAAAATGGCACATTTGGAAACAAATGGGCACAACAGCTTCAACATATAGTGGTAGTCATACAAGGAATATGGAGCCATTAAAGAAGCATGTTGATAGGTTCTTCAATGATATCCTTGAAAGTCTTCAACCATCTTGCACCAACCGCGCCATCCACTACTCGATGATCACAACTCATTGTAACTTTTAAAGTATTTCCCACAACAACTTCTCCATTGTGTCCAGGTAACACAGTCTTCGTACTTGAACCCACTGCCAGGATGGCTGCTTGCGGCGGATTGATAATAGCCGAAAACTGGTCGACACCAAACATTCCGAGATTGCTCACCTAATGTACATGTACTCAGGATTAACAAACCTTGAAACTAACAAAAATGACTCACAGTGAAGGTCCCTCCAACATATTCACTAGGTTGTAGTCTATTCTCCCGTGCCTTGTTTGCAAGTTGCTTCATTTCTTCTGAAATGTCTCGTAAGCCCTTTCGATCTGCATCCTTAACAATCGGAGTGATTAACCCAGTATCTGAAAGAATTCATAAATTGATGCAAAATACTGATAAATGCGTCGATTACCGGTCTGAACTGCGACTGATACATCCACGGTATAGAAGCGACGAATTGCACTGCCAAGCCACTGAGAATTGACTTCTGGGACTTTTTGCAAAGCCACCGCACAAGCTTTGATAATAAAATCATTTATAGAAATCTTATATTCTCCATTCTTTGCCTTGGCATTCATTTGTTCACGCACCTGTAACAATTTATCGATGCGACAGGTTGCAGTTAAGTAATAATGTGGAATGGTTTGTTTTGATTCCAACAAACGCTCTGCAATAGTCTACCGAGCAAGATCAAAGAAATCGTTCAGAACAAAGACAACTTACCTTGCGCATGTTACTTAACTTGATATCTGTGTAGGCAGCACTACCACTAACAGCAGCAGTAGTAACTTCTGCTTCGGAAGCAGCCAAAATATCATTGGCGAGAACCCTTCCAGAAGGACCAGAAGATGAAACTCTGTTAATATCAACACCTTTCTCATATGCCAATTTTTGGGCATAAGGAGAAGCAAAGGTTCGATCTTTTCCTTCCTTTTGAACAATTGGCTGTGCCACAGCTGCTTCTCTTGAAGGCTTTGGTGAAACCTGCTCAGTTGGTTTCTTTTTTTCTTTATCTTGTTGGGAAACTTTCTGTTGTTGTTGCTCCGTCAGTTGTCCAGAAGAACTGGAAGTATCTGCTGAGAGAAACTGTGAAGGATCAACATCTTTGAAGGCAGCCAACTCCTCTTCGTCCTCAACAATAACCGCAACTGGCTTCCCAATACTTACATCCTGTGTTCCATCTTTCAGCAATATCTGCAAATGTACATTAATGAAACAACAGCTTCCAACAGAGAAAACAGACCTTTGCAAGATAACCCTCGTCTTGACACTCAAATTCCATAGTTGCTTTATCTGTTTCAATATCTGCAATGACCTACTCCAGATAGTGTTTTACAACGCTGGCTTGTACTCAACAAAGTATACCTACGTCACCGGGAGACAGTTTATCACCTTCCTTCTTCTTCCAATCAATAATATTGCCTTGTTTCATAGTTGGTGACAACGAAGGCATTCTTAATAGGCTATAAGGAGGTAGATCGGCGAACCATCTCACCGACACCGTGTTTGATCCGCCGAAGACTACTCGACGTGAAGAGCCTCGAATAGTGAACGACGAACCAAACAGTGGTTGGCAGGAAACTACACATATACTTCTGTTAGCAGGAACCTTGAAGGACTTTTGACATAGGGATAAAACGATTTGGACTGTTTTGACACCTTGACGGTCATATCTTCGAAGCACCGACCACAACGACCACATTGACCAAACCAAATCTGAGCCAAATTGTCTGGAAATGTACATCATCGCTTCATTACTTTTTGGCTTCGCAAGCTGGTCTGTGTACATGTCCAAGAGTGTTTATAAAGAACCCCGTGCTTGGCTTTTAACGTTGGGTACTTTTATTTTTGTTGTATTATGGTGTGACTTGGGAATAGAAAAGGAGAAAGAGGAGATAAGAGAAGAAATAACATTCTTAGAGAAGAAGATTTCAAAAATAAAGAAACAGAGCAACGTTGGAGAAAGTCACGCAGGTTTACCTTCCGCTTTGGACAACTAGAGAAGTTTTTGTATAGGAACGCATATTTCCCTCGTGATCCTGTGGAAATTTTCAAAGTCTGGAAAGCAACTGTTTATTTGTAAAACAGTTCCTTGTCTGTTTGTTCCAAAAGTCACACGGCACCGCCATTATAGACTTTTATCGTATTACAAGAGCTTCTTTGGTAAAACAGACTGAATCAAAATTGGCGAGCAAGTGAAGGTTTTGGAGGCATAAAGAAGTGAAGTCAAGTTGGTCTTCTTATATAAACTAGTACTCTTTTTACAAACGAAACACCCCTTGAGGTTCTTCAGAGTGGAACAGAATATTCCAAGAACACTACATCACTGGGCAAATACACGACACTTAAGCTGACCCATAACTAAACTTGCTGAATAAAAAGTACTGAAAATAGGTTATATTGTGCTACCACAATAAAATTCATGTGGCAACTGTTAATAACTTTTTGGTTGGGATTGAATTCTACGGCGCCACTTTCAAGACGCGCATTTTTTATTCTACCACATGAAATGCTCTCGTCAAAAAAAAATGGGGCGGGCGCCAAATGGTTGTTTTCCATTCCTGTTGGAAATTTGAAACGTGATTGTTTTCTTTGTGGCTTATTCTTGTAAAACATGTCTGACGATATTGTAGCCTTGGTTATTGACAATGGTTCCGGTATGGTGAAAGCAGGAGTTGCGGGGGATGATGCTCCGCGCTCTGTCTTCCCCTCTATCGTGGGTAGACCAAGACATCAAGCTATTATGGTTGGTATGGGTCAAAAGGAAAGGTATGCCTAAGAAAACTACTTTGGAAAATGAACTAACTTGTATAAAGTTATGTGGGAGACGAAGCACAATCACGCAGGGGTATACTCTCGCTGAAATATCCAATAGAACACGGTTTGTAAGATGACCATTTTCTATGTTTTGCTGACACCAGTGTAAGGCATTGTCACTAACTGGGACGATATGGAAAAGATATGGCACCATACTTTTTATAATGAACTTCGGATAGCACCTGAAGAGCATCCTGTATTGTTGACGGAAGCCCCGCTTAATCCAAAAGTAAGTTTGCTTTTTATATTTCCCTACTTTCCTGTAATCAAAAAACTCTAGGCTAACAGAGAAAAAATGACGCAAATCATGTTTGAAACTTTTAATGTTCCTGCTATGTACGTCGCTATTCAAGCAGTGCTATCGTTGTATGCCTCTGGAAGAACAACAGGAATCGTCGTCGATTCTGGAGATGGTAAGTTATCAAAGGCAAACTGGATTGCTGATTCGGACTCAACAAGTATAGGTGTCACACACACGGTTCCAATCTATGAAGGATATGCTTTGCCTCATGCTATCACCAGGTATATTCATCGATCCGGGCTTGAGAAAATGCTAAAAATGGAATAAATAGAATTGATTTAGCAGGACGAGATTTGACCGACTACCTTATGAAGATTCTTACAGAACGAGGTTACTCTTTTACGACTACCGCAGAAAGAGAAATTGTCCGAGATATCAAAGAGAAACTTTGTTATGTTGCATCCGTAAGAAGTCATCCTAACTATCATTCTAGATACAAAACGTCTTTTTAGGACTTTGATGCTGAAATGGAACGTTCCAAGACACCTGGCGTCATTGATAAAACATATGAACTTCCCGATGGACAGGTAAACAATGGATTTATTCTTTTTTTGTCTCATTTTGAGTTGACGTATTATAGGTGATTACCGTTGGTTCCGAAAGATTCCGCTGTCCTGAGGTTCTTTTCCAACCTTCATTGATTGGCATGGAATCAGAAGGCTTACACACTGTTGCTTATCAAAGCATCATGAAATGTGACATGGACATCCGAAAAGACTTGTATGGCAATGTTGTACTTTCTGGTGGCTCGACTATGTTCCCTGGCATAGCGGACAGAATGCAGACTGAGTTAAGCAGCGTGTCTCCGTCGTCTATGAAGATAAAGATTGTTGCTCCTACAGAACGAAAATATTCCGTTTGGATTGGTGGAAGTATTCTAGCTTCCTTGTCCACCTTCCAACAGATGTGGATTACTAAACAGGAATATGAAGAAAGTGGCCCTGGTATTGTGCATCGAAAATGTTTCTAAGCCTTCTTTGCGTGGTTGTCGTGCATAATACGACATTTGAAAGAATCACATCCGCTGCTGTGTTTTTTCTCCAATAAATTTGGGTGTCTTTTGTTTTCTGAATCGGAAAGTGATTTACTGTTTTATGTTAATGAAAAGGATATGGCTGAGCAGTCGCTTGTCCAACAATTGTTATGGCGTCCACCCACTTATTTTGACTCTTCAGCCAGAGACAGTCGTGAAGAGAAGCCTGTTCGTAAAACACTAGCACTAGAACTGCTGTTGGGTTCGTTGCCAACATACAGCAATTCTTCACAGGCGTCCACTTCCATAGAAAGCCAACACTCTAGAAAGCCCGTTCGTTACGATTTCTATGAAGATTGGAAGAAGGATGTGAAAAGTTTCAGAGAAAAGTTGGAGAAAAGGAAAAAGCACCTGGAGGATTGTGGATTGCCCTTATCCGTCTTGTTTTGCTACCACATTCCTTTACACTTCACAGAATCTAGTTTCTGTAACCTATTGTTTGAGCAGTTACGTATACTTGGTGTTACTTCTTATCACATGGAATGGAGCAATAATAAAAGCTCCCGAGTTTGTTGGGTTCATTTTATTTCAGACGAATGGTGTGAGCTAGCAGCTTTCCGCCTGGTGCAAGTGGTTGAAGAAGGAGAAAATATACCGTTTGAATTTAGTTTCTCGTTGCCCAAGAATGACGACGTTGTACAGTGGAAAACGAATAAGAGTAAAAAGCGAAAGCGAACGTCAAAATTGGAGAATTCACTGACACATGCGCGTCAGTTAGGGTTAGTATCCAACACGTTATTTTTTGATTACATCGAAGCAGACATAAGTCTCGAGTATTTTAGAAAATTTTTATCTGATAGCACCGATGGCTTGACACATGTGAGAATGACGGAACCGTTATTGAGAAGACGACCTGGAAAGCTTAAGCAACAGATCTGCTTGATAGAGACGTCTAGGTTGGGTTGGGCCACTTATGCTTCCGAGTTCTTTCTTTTAAATGCTTTGGCACGGTTGAAAACTTTGAGTTTACAAAAGTTAGGAATTTCAAGTCCCAAAATCGATGAAACCGCATCGAAGCAGAAACAGCATCCAGAGTCGTTTATTTCTCAACGTCAAAAGAGGTCGCAGATATCGGCCTTGGAATCGAGTGAAAAAAGGATAACTTTCATACACGAAAAATAAAACAAGATACAATTACAGCTTATTTCTCTGTAGTATATTGTGTCGTTCTCCAAGAGAAATAAAAGCACTCACCAACTTGTCAATATCATCTGTCGAGTGAGCCGCTGATATTTGAACACGTATTCTTGCACGACCTTGTGGGACAACAGGATAAGAAAAACCAATAACATATATCCCAAACTCCTTCAGCATCTCATCTGCCATTTGAGAGGCTAATGCAGCGTCTCCCAGCATTACTGGAACAATAGGAGGACCGTTAACACCACCTCTTACATCAAAGCCTGCTTGTCCCATTAAGGTCCTGAAGTGAACCGTATTTTTCCATAGTTTTTCTCTCAACTGTTGGCCTTCCACTGAAGAAAGAATCTGAAATACAGTAATACTGGCTGAGGCAACTGAAGGGGCCAATGTATTGGAAAAAAGATAGGGTCGAGCTTTCTGTCTCAACACATCAACAATTATTTTCTTTCCTGTTGAGAATCCACCCGTAGCACCTCCCAATGCCTTACCTAACGTGCTGTTGATGCAAATTATCCGATCAGATGATACATTCCAATGTTCCGCAGTACCTGTTCCTCTTTTGCCTAGGAAACCTGTGGAATGACATTCGTCCACAAATACGAAAGCATCATATTTATCCGCTAATTTACAGATTTCCTGCATGGGAGCAATGTCTCCATCCATAGAAAATACACCATCCGTTGCTATCAGACGTACTCGAGCATTTCGTGATTGTTCAAGTTTCCCTGCCAAATCTTCCATGTCTAAGTGTTTGTATCTCAGTCTCTGGGCTTTGCAAAGACGAATGCCATCGATTATGCTGGCATGATTCAACTCATCTGATATAACTGCATCTTCTGGGCCTAAGATGGCTTCAAAAAAACCAGCATTCGCATCGAAACAAGAAGGGAATACGATGGTATCCTCCGTCCCATGGAACTCTGCGATTCTCTTTTCAAGCTCCTTATGAATGTCTTGGGTACCACAAATAAAACGTACGGAAGCCATTCCAAAACCATGACTGTCTAGTGCAAGCTTAGCAGATTCTAACACTTTTGGATGGTTTGCCAAGCCTATAAATAACAAGAAGGTGAAATGAAATAAAACAGTTAGTATTCAGAGAAACTTGCCTAGGTAGTTGTTGGCACAGAAATTCAATACGCTTGAGGATGTTCCTTGCACCTGGACCTTCGATCCTTGAGGACTGGTTATCACTCTCTCGGCTTTATAGGTTCCAGATTGCCTGGTTCCTTGTAAGATTTTCTGAAGTTCTTGATAGAGAGTGCTCTTCGTCCACGACTGCGACACGTCAGAAGTTGCTTGCATGCTGTAAAATACTTTAGGAACGCCTTTGATAGACACAGGAATATCTCGTAAAAATAAATTGCAAACGTGACAGGGTTTTAAAACTAACGAATTGAAGAACATATGTCGACAAAAGTAAACTAGTAAAAGCCTTGAGCTGCTTAGAGAATTCACCAGGTCTGATAGACGTCCAATCAGATGACGAATAAATTAAAAAGAATTGTCAAGTATATTATTTGCGATGAATTATGTTTAAAGCAAACTTTTGTTTCTCAAGCCAAGGATTGCTGTAGCAATAAGAGACTCTCAAAAATTAAATATCATAATGACGAAAAATACGAATTGAAAGCAGCCTTGAAAAGAAGGTTAATATTGATCAAAATTAAAATAAATCTTTTTAAAATTTAGTTTCAGACACGAAATTGAAATTAAGCATGGCAGTTTCTTCAAAACTTAATGTTGAAATAATTAATTTAAGAAAATAATGGCAGTGGAAAATTTTATTCGGAACTCAAGTGACGAGGTTACGAAATACAAGACTGTCGATCAAAATAATTTCTTATTTATCTGAACGATTCTACTCTAAAAAATTTGTTGTTAGCTTTTGTAATTCACTGAAGAATACCGTGACGGAGACATGATTTCAAATATTTAATTAATTAATATTGTCACAAGGAAAAGCTGACTCCAATCATAAATAATGCTATAGGATTATTTAATTTTTAAGAAAAACATAATCATTTTATTATTTTGAATATAGGAAATGTTATGCTTTGTTACTCCCTGATTTTTTAGAAACAAATTTTTGCCCATAACAACTCCTTGATAAGAAGCTTTAGCTCACGAAAGTCAAATTGTTTTCTTTCAATGTTTTAGTCTATTGATATTCTGAATCTTCTAGCGATAGTCTAATCAATTTTTTGGATTGTAGACATGTCACAATAGTATAAACGAGGAGGGACTATTGTTTGAATGTGGTTTTAAATAGAGTGTTGAATCATGGACTCAAAGGATGCTTTGAATCAACTGAGAATGGATTGCGAAACGGAATGAGAGTTTATTCCAATTCATTCTTACTAGTAGTTGTTTCTTCTGATGGAACATACAACTGCACATGATGGTTCGATGGTGAACTGGACTGCAACAGTTCTTGTTCATTGTTATTTTCATCATCAATGACAGTTTGATGATAGGAAACTTGGGGAATGGATGATTCTTCTCGAAACGTCAACCATAGTAAAAGAACTTGAAGGAGTACGTAGAGAGGGACTCCCACAGCGATTTCAAAAAATCTACACAGTGAACAGGAGGAGTGAATACCATCTATCAACGAATCGAATACCAGCAAAGAGTTGAGACCAATGCACAGGCAGGCAGCCAACCATGCCATTGTATTGACCAAGAATGAATTCGCAAATTTGCCCATTTTGGTTACACTACCGGTGAATCGTATGACGGGAATAATAGCAAACGGTAATTGCAAAGATAGAACAACTTGTGAAAAGATGAGCAGCTGGTAGGAACCTTCATCTCCGAATAACAAAATAACGACGCAAGATGGAATGATTGCCAGTGATCTGGATAAAAGTCTTTGAAACAAAGGCGATACATGCATATCCAAGAATCCTTCCATCACAAACTGACCTGCCAAAGTTCCACATAACGTGGAAGACTGACCAGCAGCAATCAAAGCTATACCAAAAAGAAGGGGAGCCAATTCTATTCCCCACAACTTGGAGTCGATGGTGTGTAGTAGCTCATGGGCTTTTTGTAATGTGGTCACGTCGATTCCTCGCCTCCAAAAACTGGCCGCAGCAACAATTAAGATGGAACAGTTGATGAATAACGCTGCGTTCAATGCTATCACGCTATCTACGAGATTATAAAAACACTGATTCCTCAATACAGCGATATGTCTATCTACAACTCGGTCTTGTACCAGTTTGGAATGTAAGAAGAGGTTATGAGGCATCACGGTTGCTCCTATCATCCCAATAGCGATATAGATGCTATCATGTCGAAGCCTTGGAATGAAACCCATCAATATACCTGTGACAGAAGGTTTAGAAAATAAAAGCTCGAGAACAAAACATGAGGAAATAATGGCCAGAAAGATAAAGATAAGATATTCAAAACGACGCATTCCATAGCTTTGCACAATCAGAAGAATGAATGTGTCTAACATGGTTATCAAGACGCCTACTAATAGAGGTATTCTGAATACCAAGTTGAGGCCGATAGCTGTACCGATAACTTCAGCCAAGTCAGTTGCGACTATGGCTAACTCAGCAAATAACCATAGTAAACGACAACACCACGTTGGGTACTCTAAGCGACACATTTCCGCCAAGTGTCTTTTAGTGACTATTCCCAGCCGTGAAGCGAGAGTTTGTAATAGTACACCCATCATATTGGATAGTGCTAAAACCCACAACAACTCATAACCGAAGCGTGAACCCCCTTCTATATCAGTAGCCCAGTTTCCAGGGTCTAAATACCCAATGCTGACCAAAAAGGCAGGTCCTAGTTGTTTCAACAGTTTTCCAAACGAGAATTTCTTTACAGCTTCAGGATGGTTCAAGTTGGCACTTTGCCCTGAAAAAGGTTCTACCAGAGCTTCGGATAGACGAGCAGAACGCGGTGATTCTGTTGTATACATATCGACGTTGGGAACTTGTTTCCTATCGACGGAAGGATATAAAAGTTCTATGCTTGGAGTCATCTTTATGAAGACATCTATGAATACTACGATTCCACACAATAGAAGATTCCACTTGAACCTCAAAATGTTTGGAAAATCTTTTCTTCGAACACTTTGGATTGTGGAGGAATCAAGCGACGTATTTGCAACATTTTTGCAACTACGCTGTGAAGTTTCCTCTTGATTATTCTAAGCCGAGTGAAATAGACCAACTGTTTCATGTTAGAAACAATGCCCTTGAATTCGGCTGTTGGTTGTCAAGTGACAATAACACCTTTCAATGGAAACAAGAATAACTTGTAAGTTACGCAAAAGTTCTATTATAAGATATCTCAATCTATTTCAACTCGTTGAACTTGATTGCCCACATTCTACGATATCTAAACGAGTCACCACTCCAGTCAATTTTCCACCATTCACCACATAAGCACACTTGGGCATTAACATAACAAACAGAAAATGGACTCGACCTAGTTGGGTATCTTCCGTAACCAAAAGAGGTGAAACGTCCTTTGGCACTTCCATATGAGATAGTGAAGATTCAGGTAAATAATTATGGCCTCCATTGGTGTTTTTCGTCTTCCATTGGGAATGATTTCTATTCGAAGAAACTGTGGAACTATTTTCAATGGAGTGCACAGAGTCTTCTTCCTCTTCCTCCTCTTCATCATATGCCATATTTCCACTGCTTGCAGGAAATTCTTCATTGTCTCCATAATCAACGTCCACTTTGGAAATCATGGAAGACTGTTGTGACTGCGTTGCAACCAACGTCAATAAAGTTCTTCGTTTGACAGCTCCAAGAAGATAGCCATCTTTGTTGACTACTGGAAAACAGGAAAACTCTGGATATGCTTGTAAAATTTCTTGTAACATTCCTGCATTGGAATATTCTTGCACACTGATACATTCTCTTATCATGACTTGGGAAACTTTCATATCTGGAGTTCTGTCCTTTCGCATATAAGGCATATAGGGAATATTTTTCATGATAATTAGAGTATCATATAATGATCGATTAAAAATATTTCCTGTTACAAAGGCAAACAAAACAGCCACCAAAGTGGGAACCAAATGTCTCAACTATAAAAGTTCATAAGGATAACAGTTGCAGATACTCGTTTTCATTCATACCTGCCCGGTAACTTCAAATATAATTACTGCACAAGAGAGAGCTCTGGTTACTCCCGTTGTAAAGGATGCCGCTGCCACTACCGCATATCCACCAGGTACGATGATATCACCAAAAATAAGTTTGAGCAATTCTCCATACAATCTTCCGAAACAAGAACCCAACAAGAAACCTATCCAGATAATATTGTTTGTCTGCAATGACGTAAAAGTAACAACCTAAAAACTCACTAGGAACAAATACACCGGCAGGAATAGGTAGGCCAACAGATACCACAACTAGCGGGAATTTCACTACGAGTAGTAAAAACACTTGCAATGGATTCAACACTCTCAACGTCTCTGGGGAAAATAATTCATTGATTGCCATTCTAGGATCTAACCTATTGTATGACAAAAAATGTATTGGCATTCATATAGATATACACCAGAAATCAAGCCAATCCTACCGAAACAACTCCACAGGATATTGCAAAATGGCCGCAACTGAGGCAACGATACCAACGAGAATATATCGATTGGTCAGCGGTAACTTTTTCATTCGAATTCGATACACTTGATGAACACAGAATACAAAAAGTGAACCTGCACAACCTATAGAAAGTTCATAATAGATTTTGCCATTCTCTAAAGTCTACTAACCCATCAAAATACCGAGAAGTGCAAATAGAACAAGTTCAGTGGGGTCAACCACTCCTACATCGAATGAAGTCTTTTGAAACGCTTCAACCAAGGGAGTATCATAAAGTAATTTGTATATCAAGGCACCAGAAACTGTTGCAGCTGTAGCTTTCCAAAATGTTCTCACAATATAAAAAGATGCTGTAGTTTCCAATGAATACAATACACCACCAACAGGAGCACCTGAATACCATAAAAGAAACATACCACAGAAGAAACATTATACATACCAAAAGACGAGGCCAATCCAACTGCACAAGCAGCACCAATCATTTGGAGTCGTAATGATTTATCTCTTCGAATGAATCGGAAGAAAGGCAATCTACTCAGTTGATGAGATATGATGCAAGCAATATGTACATTAGGACCTTCCCATCCGACCGGAAGTCCGCCACCTTTTGAAATTCAACCTTCTAAGTATCGAGATGCTGCATGTTTATGGGTACTTACCGATAGCACAAATAAGACCAAGTGACTTGGCACCCAATACTCGAAGCTTTAAAGCGTTTTTGCTTCTATCATAGAAACCAGAAAGGATACTCTTCATTTGGGGTATACCGGAACCTTCTGCTTCCTTTCCTAAGGCTTGACATGCAAATGTTGAAAGCAAACAAAGAATCAAGGCAGTCAGAAAATAAAAGATAAAGCCAACAAAATAACCGCCAAAGTTATCCGATGATATCCATATACGAAAAACTTCCAGAACGTGAACGGACAGATCGACTAAAAATATTACAGCAGCAGATAGAACACCGAGAATGACCAAGAACAATGTTAAGTGAGTAAAATAACGGAGAGGAGTAGGGACTCTGAAAATCCAACGAATTAGCCAACCAGAAAAGCGACGATAGACGGAAGGTGCTTCTCCTAATCAAGTTGACTTAGCAAACACAACTTTGAAACTTTTTCAGCTACCTGAAAAGCGTTCTTCAGGAACGGCTCCCTCTTGTTCCGCTTCTAAAAAATCAAAGTTGACTTCTCTTACTGCTTCGGACTTCTGACCAAACGCAGGTAAAGGCACGTTACTCAACGACACTGTGTCATATCCTTGTAGGTTCAAAGAGTGGGAACCAGGTCTTTCTTGAAGTTCATCAAGGGGTACAGTTTCCAAGTTTTCTAAGTTCCTTTCTTTTCTTGAACTAACTTGCTTTGATTCATTCATGAAATCCAATCGGCATTTCTCACAAAGATTCTAATCATTTTATTCATTCGATGTAATGTAAATAATACAACCCGTTTGTAATCATTCCCGAAATATATTCGCAAGTTTCAGTTATAAAGCAAACAACTAGACAGCTATCCATTATTACTGTACAAATAACACAATAGTCCAAATGTACCCATAACAAACAAAGCGTACAAGAACTATTTCGAAAGCAGCTCACCACTTCCATTACATACGGCACAAAACATGATTCCAGAACCATAACATTTGATGCATTTTGAACTTCTAACTCCATACTTTCTCACACAAAACTCACATGCTTTGATTCCTCTACCTCCACAACTTTCACAAGTACTAGCATTCTTTTTAGTTGGATTTGCTTTGGAAGACAGCGGAGTTGCTGATGAACTAGTTGTATTGCTCGCTGTTGGAGGATTCATCGAGGGTGACGAGCTGTTGGGCCTTTCTATTTTTGGTTCCAGTTTCTGCGCAACAAAATCATCCACTAGAAAGCCTTCATCAAGTTCCAAACCATCCATATCTCGAGAAACTTGACGAAGTCGTTTCTTTACTGATTTCTGGATCATCTTTAGTTTTCTTTTCTTCCCTTCATCCAAATAAGTCCACGAAGACTCCCCTATTAGTTCAAGTCCTTCTTTATCCATTTCTAAATGGAGTGCGTCACGAACTTGTTGATATTTTTCGTGCAACATTGTCTTATGAACCTGCACCGGGTTCTTATTTTCCTCGTCGGAAGGCTGTTTTTCTGAAGTACTTCCGTTCCTTCCGTTTTCAAGTTTACATTTTCGCAACGAAAGTGATATTTTTAGTCTTGTTTGTGCACTCATTCTTCTTCCATACATAGGGTTGAGTGGACCCTGCATTCGCTGACTAATGGCGATGCGATGCGAAGGCGTAAATTGTTTCCCTTTCATTGCTTCAGATATCTTCTTCTTAGTTTCAGAAGAAAGCGAGCGTCCTTTCAAGCTCTGGCTGATTTTCTTTTTGGTTTGAACGGAATGGGGTTTTCTCCTTTTTTTACCTCCAGCTATAGGTGATGGACTTGAAAGGTCCAAGTTGGAAGGTGAGGAGGATGTTTCTTCCAAGTTTTTAGTTTCGTTAAGACTCTTGAAGAAACTTTTTGCGTCATGCAGCTCTCCTTGCGTAGCACCTTGCTTCCTAGTTGGTTTCCTTGCAACAAGTAGAACAGGATAAAAGCGGCATATTTTCAAGGAACTCTTGCCATAAATACTCTTATAGAAACGAGCTGGAGAAGAGAACCAGTGGCAGCATCGCTTACAAGGCAAAAGACATTTCCCAAGTTGGACTTGTGTTGTAGTTGATATAAAAGGCATCGTTCGTCTTCTCATACTGTCAGTCTTCGTTTCACGATAGAAAAATAAGAAATCTTAGGCGCCATTCAACGAATGATTATATTGAATTGTTGGGATAAACGGGAACAGAAGGGCCAAAGCGTCGCTGAGTTGTGTATTTCCATGTTGAGTTTCAACTTGTGGTTTGGGAAGGTTCCTCTAAATGAACATTTTGGGAAGTTATGATTGTAGTTTCTTAAAGAGAGGAAAAAACTATTGGCAATAGTGGTAAGTATCGTCCTATTTATACCGTTCTACTCTTTTATGATGAGAAACCTTGCAATCACGACGGTCATATGAAGTCTATTGTGATTAGTTATAGCAAGTCTGGACCTCTGAGAAGTGTTGGAAGTGGTGTAACTTTTGTATGTCTTTTTATCTCAATTTGCAACTAGTTTGCTTGATAGTTGGAGTTTTGTATATATAGAGTAATGAAAATGTTTGTTTAGATATAAAGTTTTGGGGAGGAAATGTTGGGCTTTTGTCACAATGCATTATGTTGTTCACCATTGAACTGCACAGCAACTAAAAAGTGTCCGTTTATGTATAAGAAACTGGCACCATGGAAGAAAAGGAGAAGGTTGCTATGGAAACCACTACCTGAAGTTGAGGCAAACAGTTGTGAATATGGTTTGATTGTTCCAACTGTTGGGTGTGATTTATCACTACAACAGGAGGAAATAAGATTATACGAAGAAAAATGGGTTATTCAAAAGGACTCGATCAATGTAGTTTTGTTCCAACCCAAAATACCAGGAAATACAGGTACATCGTGGTTGCCTTGACTGCAACGAATTGAGAATAGTGTTAGGAAATATTGGTAGAACTTGTTTGGCGTTTGGAGCGAAGCTTCACCTGATTGGTCCTTTGGGGTTTTCTATAGATGAACACGCAGTGAGAAGAGCAGGACTTGATTATTGGAAATACGTCGATTGGAAATACAGTTCTTGTTGGGAAGATTTTGAAAAGGTTGCTGACCTCCATTCTTTTTACACAAGTATTTCTGATTGAAATATTGATAGGGTGTTCCAGAGAATAGTCATATTTACTTTATTACCACACAAGGAACGGTGTCTCTTGAAAGAGTGACTTTTAAGACAACTGGTCCTGTATTCCTTATCTTTGGTAGTGAAACGGAGGGCTTCCAACAGTTACCTATCAAAGCTTTGGATAAAGGTACTTCGGTGTACATCCCAATGCAGAACAAACATATTGTCCGTTCACATAACTTGTCCAATGCCGTAGCTATCGCCTTGTGGGAGTTGCATAAACTTGAATAAACTGCAAAAATTCTTTTGGTCAAGGCATATCGAAATCCCATTATTAATTGGTTACCGTCGCGGTGGGTGAGTTGTGACACTCCACTGTGTGTGTAGTTTTACTGAGTTGACCCCCCAAATGGTAAGGTTCACTGTAATAGCTGTGACATAACACTGATTCCTTGAATAGCCATCACATAAGACGTTTCGAATCAAGAAAAAGTTAGCCAAGAAAGCTAGACAAAATAGACCAGTTCCTTACTGGTTTCGAATGAAATCGGATACCAAGATTCGTTACAACGCAAAGAGAAGACACTGGAGAAGAACCAAATTAGGCTTCTAATTTGCCCCGACAGATTGTTTGAAAACGAGTGAAAGTATATTCGATAAACAAGTTGTTGTTGTTGTTGTTGGGATTTCGTCGTGTATACGGAGAAGCGCAGAGTAGTCTTCTTCTTCAAACTTGATGACGCTTTTCACATTTCTGAAATCCATTCTAAGTCAAGAAATTTATTCCTTGTTTGATACTGTTGAATATTCACTTCTGAAAGGCTAACAAACACTCGCTGACAAAACTAGGAGAGGTACTTCCGAATCAAAAAAGCCATCACCACAAGAACACCGGGAATAAGCAGTTTCTTCCACAGAGGTACTTCCGGTTGACTAGCTGAGTGGATTGGTTTGACTCCTTCTCTCTCAGCCTGTGCAAGCTCTTCTTTCGTTTCTTTCCGAACCACTCCAACCAAGTATTTTTCTCGTAGTTCCCTAGCTTCATCTGAGTGACCCACGTCTTCAAACTCTCTAGTAGCATCACGCCCTAAAAAACAGCAGTGAGTAGTAACAAAATTACAGTAAGAAACACATACCTGCAACTTCAAGCAACACTTCTTCTCCACCAGGATGCTCGTCGAGAAATTGAGTTACGTCATAAATTTTTCCATCAATTACAATCCAAGCGTCCTTTTTGGTGTTGTGCTTTGCAACCTAAGAAGCAGGTATTTCAATGATAACCAATACCAAATAACTTTCACATACTTCAACAAGTGGATGTTGCTTCAAATGATCCATTTCCAATGTCAAACCACAACAATATGAAACGGGCGATGGCCCAATTGGCTCAAATCACAATGAATGGATAAAGGAACGAATGCACATTTTATTAAGCAACTCCAGAAAAACTCACATGTCCCGAAATTCGATTCGACGAGACTTGTAAAGAGACCAACGAAGTCGTTTGGAATATAATGCAAACAAGAATAACACTGAAAGAGTAAATAAAGCTTGGACTCCCATCTTCTTCCTTTCGTCTTGATGCGGGTCAGAAGCCCAAGCCAAGAAAGTCACTACATCTTTTGCCATTTGCGAAGTAGTTGCTGGAGTTCCATCATCAAACTCAACTGCTCCATCATATAAAGCTCTAGCCATTGCAATTTGTCCTCCAGTAAAATAAGGGTTATAGTTAAGGCCTTCTCGAATATTGACTCCCTCTGGAGGATCTCTATAACCTGTAAGTAATGCAAAGATATAGTCTTCTCCATGATGACGGGCTTTCACAATATAACTTAGATCAGGGGGTAAAGCACCACTGTTTGCATATCTTGCTGCTTCATCGTTAGGATAAGGAGCTGGAAAGTGATCGGATAGCCTTCCTGGTCTAGTGAACATCTCACCTTCCTCGTTTGGGCCATCTTCCACTTCTTCCTCTTCTGCCATTGCCTTTGCTTCTTCTTCAGTATAAGCAACTCCAATCAAGTTACGATAGGCAATACTTTCCATACTATGACAAGAAGCACAGACGTTCTTATAGACTTGATGGCCTCTACGAATGGCGGCAGCGTCAAAAGAGGATAACGGACCTGAATGATTCCAAGGATATTTCGGTGGCTCTAAAGTTTCATCGTCTGCTTTCAAAATAGGACAAGTCATATAGATGGTGGCAAAAACAGCGGCTGCTATACTAGGAAACGAGGAAAAGGAGTGGGATTGACGACTTCCGGATGACCCCTGTTCCTGTTGAGAAGAAGAAAGTGCCAAAAGTGACCTTTGAAGAGTACTTGTCTGAGACCCTAACCTTGATTGATTGGGAATCCTACTCGTTGTTCTTATATAAAGTTGATGGATAAGACCCCATGTCGGTCTCCAATAGGCAGTTTTCATTGTCCACCCAAATTCACAAAATGAAATTTTCAATAGAAAAATGTATTACTTTTGATGGTTCAGTTTTCACATCCATTTACTTGAAACCCTCTGTTTCCCACAAGATATTGTATCATTTTCTGGTCAAAGGATCCAATAGTAACCCAACTACAAAAAGTATTATGACTAAACCAGAAAGTATGATAACCGCTAACTTTTGACGTTGTTTGTCTTCATTGCTACTGATTTCAACTAGTGTTTGACAAAGATCGTTGGTTTCACCTTGTGCGTTGACATCAGAAATACGATAAATCCAAGTACCAGGAGAAGCAGAAGAATCAATAAATGAATAGTTTCCGCCTGATGAACCTTTACTTTTCAAGCTAGGATCGGTCTTGTAATCAGCGATAACCTGAAAGTCTTCGGTACCACCTCTTCTACGTTGAACCACAAAGCCAATATTATTTTCTTCCTTGTCTGTACTCCAAACGAGTTCAACTTCATCTCCCAAAATCCTGGCCTTAAGACCCACTCCTGCAATTTCTTGTAACTGAGGATCTGCTGCTAGTCTTCCTGAAGCACTGGGCTTCTTTCTCGATGTTAAAGGTCTGGGATCCTCCATCACTTTTCCAATTAACCAAGGAGCATAAGGGGTACCATCTGCTCGATACAATGATTTGGCACCACCAACTTTAAGACCATCATCTTTTTGAGGTTGTGGTTTCAAACCCAGTTGTTCCATATCCCGGTAATACCCGGGATAAGGTTCCTTTTCTGACAAGCTATTTGCTTCTTCTATTGAGATAGACTGAGTTTCAGAAAATTCTTGTGACTCTTGCCGTTGGCCAATATCTTGTTGAGAAAATTCACTCTTGTCTTGACAAACCACCCAAAGACGAACAACCTTCACAGGATAAACTTGTTGAATACAAGGAAAGACGCGAAACGAATGCTTCAACGTTTGCTTTTCACGACCAAAACAACAAGTCTTCCTTGATGGTGAGGAAATGAGATAAAATGTTCGTATCAGCGGTTGTTGCAAGAATCCCATCCCAAAGCAAACCATCATGGTCAACGACACAGACAACTGAGCCAACTAAATATATAAACTCAGTCATCCTTATTTTATTCCTTTTCTTAAACAAACAACCAATAAATAACGTATCCAAGAAGCTGTAACGGAATGAAAAAAAAAGTTACTCCCCAATGTTCTTATAAGTAATAGATGCTTCATAACTCTCATACGATGTCAAGCTTTTCTCTTCGTATGTGATGCAACAAGCCATTGTTGGCATATGTCGATTTTCTTGAAAATGAGAAAGCTAACACAGCCCTATATACTATTATTAAACGAATGATTTATTCAGTTGATATCAAATTTTTCTGGTTTGTAGACAAATTATTCAAGCAACTGGGATCGTTTGACTTGAGTTTCGAGTGACATACATCGAGGTCTCCTCTTGGCTCGTCTCTTGCTCTTCGTTATTGCTTTCCAAAGTAGAGATTGTAGAGCCTTCAATGGAAGGTTTCTCTAAAGCTTTCCATGCCGTTTCACAATTTTTCTGGACTTTCTTAGCTACGCTCACTCTAGACTTTGTACCATTCGATGGATATGCCGTTGTTTTCTCTTTTAACCAAGTGGAATTGATTTTATCCATTTCATTGTTGGCTACTTTATCTAAGAAAGCGTCCACTGCCTTTCTCATTGCATATGCATTGTCAGTAAATGCTTCGGCATGTTTCAAATCTGAATGCCACAAACCGATCAACGCATGTTCGAGGACTTGCGCATGTTTCAAATACAATTCATTCATTTTTTGTAAGAGAGCGTTGGAAGACTTCTGATAGACTTCTTCAGCTTCTCTCATTCTCTCCTCTAACCTTTTCTTCTTGGGAGTTTCATTCCGTATATTCTCATATTTCTTCTTCAAACTTTCATATTTTTCCTGATGTCTGGTCCTATTCTTTAAAGAATTCTTGAGGTTTGATATTTCTTGGGAGTAAGACTTGAGTATCTGAATGCAATGATTGGTAACAGTATTGTCCTTGTGAAACTGTTGCATAAATGATTGAAACGCATCCAGTGAACGAAAAGAACTGTCTACAGTCTTATATTCAGCAGCATGTTTCTCATAAACTTCGTTCAACTCTGAGGATAAACTTCGAGATACGGACAACAAGGTTTTCCATTTATCTGTAGCACTTTCCAATTTGGGTACGATAGCATGGATACATTTGTCAATGGCAAACAGTCTTGCTGCTATAGTATCCACTTCAGAGTTTGTGGGAGGAGGCTTCGAAAATATCAGCCCCATCAAAAGTAATAAAGATTTGTATCATCACTAGTCAAAATGGAAAAGAAACCTGTTCCTGTTGGCTTCGCTGTCAATGATGAAGCCACGTCATAAATTCATTTTTCCCCATCTAGACACGAAAACTGAGACCCCTCCCTCCTTGACCTGAGATGATCTTCTCGAACCATCTTTCGCACCCTCAGGGCATCCATCCGTTGTAAATAGACAAAGAGGCCTACTGCCTTCATCCCCACACTTCTTCACAATATAATCAAAAATTGGACTGGGTTGTCTAGCACTTGACATAGCGCCACTTGCTGAAATTATATCCTTCTTCAAGCTTTGAATTTTTTTTGTTTTCTGTTTGCGGAGTTGTCTTCTCTTATGGGCGTCTTTAACATGTCTTAGATATTCTTAATAGCTTTACTTTAGCGGAGGCCGTCGACTGAGCCGTTTTGTCAGTTCTGAGAAAAGTCTGCTCCGTTTATATATTTGACGTATTACGGGTATTAAGCAGGATTGCACTTGCTATGGCTTCTCTCGAAGGTCTAGATAGTGTCGAGAAGAATTACAGACAGGAGAACAAAGCAGCTCTTGTAGACACAGATTTCCCCTGTTCTCAAGGGGTTCCCGACTTTTTTCAACAGGACTACGAGTCATCACAGAAAGTTTTAGAACTGGAAAAAACGGGTGGTCTGGAAGGTGACGACTCTGAAAATGAATCGCCTAGAAATGGCGTCCTTTCCCATCTTGGGAAACCTTCCTCTGTCCCAGCCTCTTTCCAGCTTCTCTCAAGGGCAGCTTTGAGGTGGTTGAATAGTGGCGCCGAAGCAAAGCAGAGTCGCTCGTTGGCCCAAGCTACAAAGTCGAACTGTGGTAGCCACCTTGCGAAGACTTTTGAGCCTTGGGACTTTTCTGACGTCGTTTGCTCCGTTAATTCAACAGCACTAGCCTTTGATAACGGAACGATGAAACCTGAAAGGCCTGCTCGTAGCGGTGTGTCGGGTACTTACTTTTTAAAACAAAATACTTCGAGTCAGAACGTATTGGGGGTGTTTAAACCGTCAGATGAGGAGCCATGCGTGGAGAATAGCAAGACAATGAACAGCTCAAGTTCACAACAAGGATCTTGGCTATCAGCAGTTTACAGCTGTCATTACAGCGGACAAGGAGCACTTAAAGAAGTTGCTGCTTACCTACTGGATCATGGAGTATTTTGTGCAGTTCCGCAAACCGTTTTGGCAAGTTGTGATATTGACCTTGGTGGTGGTTATGGCAGTGATAAAGGCAGCAACTTGTATGGTCAGGATTCATTGGAAACAAAGACTGGTGCATTTCAAGTGTATGTTCCTAATGTGGGTGATGCCGAAGATTATGGTCCTGGTGTATTCTCTGTGGATGCAGTTCAGCGCATTGCATTTTTTGACCTCCGTGTTTTGAACTGTGATCGCCACGGTGGTAATTTGTTGGTTACCAAAAGTACTAACGGAAATAGCTTTCAATTGGTACCGATTGATCACGGCTTTATTTTACCGGATAAATTTCAAAGTTATCCTTGGCCTGTTTGGATGGATTGGCCACAAGTAAAAGAGCCGGTTTGTGAAGATGTGAGGAGATATGCGGAAACGTTAGATGGAGAAATGGATGCTCGTCTTATCTTGGATGAAACAGATGGAAGATTGTCAAGAAACAGTTTAAGGATTTTGCGTATAATGACAGCGCTTCTTCAACGAGCCATTTCTAAGAACCTTACGTTATATGAAGTCGGTTGCCTTGTTTATGTTCATGACCCTGAAAGAGAGGAGAGTGAGTTCTCTACCATTATGCTAGAGGCAGCAGAAGCAACTGAAGCACGAAATTCACATATTTTATACGACGAAGAGCATTTACCGTCATCGTGTACTCCATCGCAGTTTCATAGTTGTTATTCTGATTGTGGAGACCCCATCTTTTCTTTAGACTGTGATGGTCTTTCAGAATCAGCTGCGGGAAGTGTTGGTTCTGACCTTGTCTTTTCTGCGAGTGCGCCCGGTAGTCCTTCGACCGTACGACACTTTTCTCATTGGGATCTTACGGAAGATGACTATCTTGTTCGATATGCAATGAAACTTTTTGAGGAAAAGCTAGATGAACTTGTTCTGCGTAGACAAAATAAGAGCAGCAATTCTGGATGCCCACGAATCTTCCGCTCAAGGAGCACGCCAGATATATACAGGTGGCGCCCAGTTTCAGTAATCCATTCTTCAGAACTGAAAGATGGCATGGAAGGGAGACAATCTGTTACCAGTGGTGCAGTATTCAGAGTTGCAGAAACGAACAAGGAGATGTTCAAGGTTGAAGGGGCAACAAGTGGATTGCCTCAGAAACAAGGTTCTCGTGCATCTCCTTGTTCCACAATGGAAAATATGATAAACAATAATGACTGGACTTCATCTGCTGGGAATACTTCGTTCGAAAGGCAGAGTGTCTAGTTGTTACAAGTTTTTCACTGTTACTTTTTCGTTGTTCCAAGTAATTTCTTGGCATTTGTTCATAGGATGGTTGAAATAAAACTTCTTTTTACTGTTCGTTGTAATATATCCATTACTTGCTAGATGAATTATGATTGAGCAGAGGATGATTTTCTATCCAACGACTGACGAGCTCAAAAGTTAAAAACATGATGGCAGTGTTGGGTACTACTCGTAAGAGATGCATACCCATCCCAGAATACAAACCTTGTATCCCTTCTTCTTGTGCTATAGTTTTGATCGACTGTAAAACGCCACGATATTTTGGTAATGCTCCTGATATAGGAGTTTGTTCTCTTAAACGCGTACGAACAACTTCATGAGGATAGGTGGTCGCAGATGCAATCAACTTGGATAGAGCTGCCATGCTCAAATATTCTAGTGACGATAACCTTCCTTGACTTTGTTCAGGTGGCTTTTGTTGATACATCCATTTTTTTAGACGTTCGTATACCACAAAATGGATAGCACCTTCAGTCACACCCCAATAGGAAGCAGATAAACCTTTGTATAATCCACGAAAACCTTCTTCTCTTACGATTCTTTGAAAAGCATCTGCATATGAGGTATACAAAATGGCACCATTTCCACCAGCTTGTAACTGCATCCTAGTTTTCAACATCCAAATAGGATTCGTTATCGTGTTGGATACCATACCAGCTAAGACTGCAGAAAGCATATGCACTAAAGGACTTTCACCTATCTTCTGAAGCATCATTGTCTTACTCGTAGTATATGCCCAAAAATAAGTAGAACGAGCTGGTATCACACCTACCAAAGTGGGAACAAGACCTCGAAAAAAACCGCGCAATCCTTCTTTACTTGCAATCTGCATGGCTATCTGCAATGCTTTCGAGCCATTGCGAGAAAGATGACTGGAACTACTACTCTGCAACTTGGTCTTGATAACTTCCAAAGGACAAGTAACAGCTGCCGACAACGTACCCGCTAAACCACCAGCTAGTAAAGACGCTAGTTGCTTTTGCTTGGACACGCTGGGCAACTTGTGTTGGGTGTCCACTTCGTCTTCGGGGTCTTCTCTGGTGGTGGAAACGTGAGAACCAAACTTGGGAATTCGTTCAACGTTGGCTAGTAAACTTGCAACGGGCATGATGGATAACTGCGTTGGGTTACTTTTCTCGTTGGACAGCTGCATTCTTGCCGTAGGGAAGAACAAGTTGGGATTGAGTCTTCCAGTTTGCTCTTGTTGCTGTGTACAGGGATTCCAAAAACACCAAGGTAAACTTTGAATCATTGCCGTCCTTCGCTGCTTTAAACGACTTTTTAACGAGGAAAACCGCTCAACTCTATTAAAATATTCTCCAAAATCGTAGGGTTGGTAACAAAATTGATACTCGAACCACCAGTCCACTTGTTCACAAGAACAACGGCAGTCAATATGGCGCATGAGCGTTGTTATATTTCTTTTTGTTGAAGAGGTTTTGGAAACGAGACTCCGCAAGTCAAAGGACTCTCCTCATCAAGAGATTAGCTCAACGACGATCGATACACATTTATTTGCATCATGCTGCTGCTTCATGATGAGCCATCCTTTTATTTCAAGTCTTTTTCTATTGCAAATAAAACAGCAGCTTGGAAAGCCATTCTAGAGTTTGTCTACTACAGTAATTCTATCTACCGAGAAAACTTCAGATATTGTCAACGAACTTTTTCTCCTTTGTAAACTCCCATAGTTTGAACGTTACTGTACCATGTCATAAGAAGCCTTTCTGAAAGATTGGTAATATCGAATAGTGGAACGCAAAGAGGCGACCAATAACATGAAAACAGTAAAAAGTATAAAAGAATAAGGAACCAGTTTCAGAAAAGCACTATTCCTTTCTATTCTCCCCGAAAACCGAGAAGTTGAGTGTTGAGCTAAAACAGAAACCGTTCGTCTTACCTACGCAGTACGCTCGAGTGAATGTAGCGTTAACTTTACAAAGTTTTCCAAACGACACGTTACATTGAGTCAAGGTACAAGCGTCACAATCCGGAACACTTGTGCTCATTTGAGAAAATGCAGAACAAACAGTACTCTTGGAACCACCATATATGCAACAAGAACAAATACAAATGTCTGGAACTCGACCTTGGTTGAAACTTGTCGCTTCGAGAGGTTCACTCCATACAAGCTTTATTATCATTTTAAAACTAAATAAAGGAACGCTTCCTCACTACTTACTTGAACCAAATAAAAACCAAACCAAAAATAAAAAAAGGTCTTTGCTTCGGACTTTCTCATTCCCAACCCCACTGGATTATACTTGTGAACCTCATCAACAAAAGATCGTAAACATTACATACAACGACAAATCTTATTTTCTTGTTTCCATTTACATAAACACCGAACTCTTTTTGCACCCTCGAGCATTTGAAACGCTAATTCTCTCAACCAGATTTTAAATATGCCTTCACCATTCATAAATAATATATCAACTGGTCGTTCAAGGGGTCTCATTTCGTGACATATCCATTCTACTTGCGCTCTCTGAACCGCATGAGGTTTATACTGACATTCTACGGCATCATAATGTTGAATGAGCCATATCCTGTTTTGGTTTCTTTTCCATTTCCTTATATGTTCATCTATGACAAGTGTTTGCCAGAGGGAATCTTTCGACCTTGCATCCATACAAAGAACAAAAACATCAGCAAGAAGACAAGAATCAGAAGGAGGAAGATATTCTAATTGAGAGAATGATAATGTCTCCAAATGAATAGGATACGAGTCTATCTCCATATTTGGCAAGAACATGGAAATATTAGGACATAACCATTCCATTATGCTTTTGAATTCTCTTTGTTGAAATAATGAGCAGATTGGTTGATGTTCTGATAAGAACCAAAGAAAACCCTCTGTGCAACACAATTCGTCCATCACTCTCTGCAAGATATTGCACTCGGAGACAACCGGATATAAAAGTTGAAGAGAAAGAGATAATGCACCAATATCTTTCTCTTGTAGACCACAAATAATAATATGAAAGGTAAGGCTTTTGACCAACTCCTCAATCATTTTCCTCTGCCCTTGAATGACCTTCAAAGAAACCGTAATAGACTCACTCTTTCTTTCGACACAATATAACTTTTGCGTATCAAGACAAATTGTATTCTGTTCACCCGAAATAATATCATTCGAGGAATCTTCCTTAAAACTCACATCTTTGACGACACTTCTACAGAGAGGACACTTGTCACTTTCAAGTAGATGAATGCATCTCTCACAAACTATACAATGTTCACATGGAATAAATTGTACAAGGTTTATATTGTCCATGCATATGATACATGTATCTTCATTCATATCCTTGAGAATCACGAATGATTAAGAGAATCATGGAAAGATTGCTGATCCCATCCCATCCTCCTCCTCCCTTCTTCTATTCCTATCGTTCTCGAAGATGATCCAGAAGCACTCATTTCTACGCTTTAATGTGATCTTGATAAAGTTGTCATTTATAGCATTGAAATAGTTGGAAGATACAGCTTCATTCAGGAATATAGGTAACATGATGTGTTTACTCAGAATAGGTTTCTTTCATACTCGTTCTTCTGGTGGAGGCCATCTCAAGGATGGGGTTGATGAAATTTTATTTTTGTTCTTATGTTGAGGTCTGTAAAGTTTGGAATTGTTCTTGTCACTGTGGAAGAAAAAGAAAGGATAGCTTGTCACAGCTAAATGCACCGTATCATTGTAAAGTAAATAGGATAAAGTTTTCGATAAAAAGAACGAGATGTTCCAGGCTTTACAAAAGTAGTCACCACATCCTGAGCTTGAGCACTGTAACCAAAGAGAACATAAGTATCTTGCTTCAGAAGGCCAAAGTCAACGTTAAAAACTTAAGAAAAGTCTCCCTGTGGAATGCTTTACCCCCAGACTCTTCACTTTTATTGTTAGCAGCCTTGGTAGGTATTGGTGGAGGTGCTGGAGTTACTTTATTCAAAACACTGATAAGGTTGGTTTCGGAGTGGTCCTACGGTGATCACTTTGCTGGGAATTTATTGTACTTGTTTGGGAGATACAACATCATTTTTATACCCACATTAGGAGGCTTCCTCGTTAGTTTGTTACGTTCCAGAAAGCAAGAACTGGGTGGTGGTCTCAACGAGATTATCGAACAAGTGAAGCAAGGGAAGCCTGTGAATTTGTCACGATTATTTTTTAAAAACGCTGCTGCAGTTGTTACTCTGGGTACTGGTTGTTCTTTAGGCCCTGAAGGACCTTCCGTGGAAATTGGAGCTGCAGTTTCTCGGCTTTTTTCCAATTGGTTTCGATTATCTTCTGAAAAGCAACTTTGGGTGTTGGCCACAGGAGCAGCTGCTGGATTTGCTGCAGGTTTTAATGCTCCTATTGCTGGAGTATTTTTTGCTTTGGAAATTGTACTTGGCTCGTCAGTTATCCGAAACGGTTTGGATGCGACTGGAAACTCTACTGTTGCTATGTTATTGTTATCTTCTGCGTTATCTGCTTTGGTTTCTCAGGCTGGCTTAGGATCTAGTCCAGCGTTTTCGTTACCCAAATATGAGATATTATCACCCATTGTGGAACTTCCGTTGTATCTTCTATTGGGACTCTTAGCTGGCGTGGCTTCGTTAGGTCTCAAATATTCTTTGCAGTGGGGAAGTAACTTTTTCCAAGGCAAGTTGTCCATTTCAGAATGGATGAAAGCCGTTCCTACTGTAACAAAGCCTTTTTTGGGAGGCCTTTTGAATGGATTGATTGCTTTATTCTTTCCTCAAATCCTTTTTTTTGGTTATGATACTTTGGATGCTTTGTTGGCAGATTCGGATTTTCCTTTGCAGTTACTCTTTACGCTTTTATTTCTAAAGCCTATTGTGACTTCACTATCTTTGGGCTCTGGTCTAGTGGGAGGAACATTTGCTCCTACATTATTTGTCGGTGCCACTTTAGGTGCTTGTTATGCAAAGTTATTGGCTCAGATTGACTATGGTATTTTGCATGTCATGAATCAAAGTTTTGGGTCATGGCTGTCCTCAGGAATGTCCAGCATTCTTCTGATTGCTGGTCCACCTGCTTATAGTATGGTGGGTATGGCTGCTGTATTATCTGGAGTGTTTCGTGCTCCTCTTACAAGTTCTCTGTTGTTATTTGAACTGACTCGTGATTATCGCATTGTATTACCTCTTATGGCTAGCTCTGGTCTGTCATCTTGGCTAGTCGAAACAGTAGAACTAGAATTTTCCAAGAGATGGAATGCGAAAGAGTGGAACAACACCACTAGTAGGGAAGGAATCAAGGAGAACTATGAGAAGAGAGATAAAATGGAGCAACTCAAAGATAGCGAAGAAGATGATCTTCCTAAGAGAGATGAGAAGGGACGTTTATGGAATTCTGTAGATATTAATACTCCTTCTTTTGAATTGGGACAGTCTCTGTCGACAGAAGAACAACGTTTGATGAAACTTATCTCGGTGAGAAATGCATTGAATAACAACTTTGTGTTGTTACATGCGAATATGAGACTAATGGATGCTGTTCATTACCTCATTCAAAGAGATGAAATGTTTGGAATTGTCGTTGTTTCAAACCTGGGGAAGGATGAAGTGATAGTTTTGAAAGAGATCGAAGGAGTGTTTTCACTGAATGACATTTCATTTGGTTTCTTTTCGATGGTCCAAAGCGACCATATAACATTGCAGGGAATGGAAAATGAAGGGCGCATGTTGGATGCTATGAACCCAACTATCTTGTCAGATTCAGCCATTTCGTTTCAAGTATGGAATGAGAACTTATCACATTTTTGTTCACAACCTTGGATATATGTGGAAGATACAGATTCTTTGGCAACAGCATATCATCAGTTGATATTGCATGGAATAGAGAGAGTTTTGGTTATCGAACATGAAACAGAACAGTTGATGGGATGGATAGATGGGACAAGTATAAGAAAAGCTTTTACTATGCAACTTTGTAAATGGGTAAGTCGTCGTTTGAACAGTAAATAAATCTCATCTAAAAGTTGCATATTTCATCTCCGTTGACAAATGCATGACACAATTCATAGGCAATGCTTTGAGGTGGTGGACCACGAAGGCCATTAGGGTCTCGATTGGATAACATTTGTTGAACTTGTTCTCTCGAAAACCACTTTGCATCATCCAATTCCTAAATTGACATCCAAATCACTGTTCTTCACAATCGATAGTATACAACTAACCTGTTTATCCACTTGAATCGTTTGTGAAGAAGCTTCTGCAACAAAACCCAACATAAGACTATAAGGAAATGGCCAAGGTTGTGAAGAATGATATCGACAGCGACCAACTTGAATAAAAGTCTCCTCTTTTACTTCTCTGTAAATAGCATCTTCTATACTTTCACCATGTTCCATGAATCCTGCAATAACACTGTATCGACCTAACGGCCAACTTGGTTGTCTTCCCATTAACAAGTGACCATTTTTCACTACAGCAACAATAATAACTGGATCACTTCTAGGAAACCATTCCATTCCACAGCCTGCACTACAAACACGCTTGCTACCTAATCCTCCCAACTCCGTTAAAGCACCACATTTTCCACAATATTGATGACGAACATGAAACTCAAGCAATGACTGTGCATGCGCTAATACTGCAGCTTCTTGGGGATCAAACTGAATTTTGTATAAAAGTGATCGAATGTTCATAGGCTGCGCGCCTATTTGAGATATCTGGTCACTATTCCATATTCCTGTTGCATCTAACACAAAACAATATTTGTCATATATATCAGATGAAACATTCTCATCGGATAGTATCGCGTGTTTTACACTCGTCCACTTGCCTAATAACAAGGCTTGTCCACCTTTCGCAAGTATTTCTTCTACCAAACCGTGTTCCCGAGTGAACCAAGCAATATGCGCTTGTTCTTTCACAAACGGTTCCTTTTCAGAAGGAGCTTGTTCCGTTACTACCTTTAAAAGTGGTTCTCGATGGTAGAATATGATATATCTGACTTGACTAGAGTTTTCACACTCTTCCAATAAGGAGGCTTGGTTTCTATGATTGTTGAGTCGATCCAAAGGTGACCGAGAAAAGGTATTTAATAGTCCTCTGTCGTTCATAACAACACGTTGGAAAAGAGTATTCGACAATATATCTGCTACACTATGGGTTCCTACAATATGCCTTGTATGTGTGAGACGGTAATTGCCAAAAGGTAAAAACCAAGGTAACTTATGGCACAACCTGTTTCTGTGAGAACAATAGTAATAAGGACCTTTCCTTGGAGTTCTCAAGTGACGATAGGAATGCAAGTTAACTTGACGAAAGCAACTTGACCGCAGACATGAACAACTAATGACATGCACAAATAGACTTCCACCACCAGTACACACTCCCAATGTCCCAACCAACCATAAAGTCATGATACTTGCAAAGTTCTCACTTTGGCATAATTAAAACTTTATTACCAAAAAGAGCTCATAGTCACATTCTTACAACTACTACAACAAACTCTACTCTTTCATCCCTCCACATATTTATTCCTACCCAACGAATGTTGGAAAGGGTAAAGAACTTCTCCTATATACATATGTAGAGATTAAGAATAGAGAATCAACAAGATGGATTTCTTCATATAACTAGTTTCTCGCCACGTGTTTCCATCTTCAACCATAATCGGAAAGTGTTCTCTTCACGCCACATCATAACTGAAAAGGATTCCGAACCATTCCTCATCGATCAAAATGTGTCGATTCCCTCTCAAAACGACAAGAAAAAGACCATTTCTGTGGTCGATGAAATCGCTTCATTTCATATCGATCCGATACTCAATGCCTGTCTCATTCCTTTAAAACAATCGTATTATTCCACTTGCAGGATTATTTCGCATGTCCTCAGCATGAAAACTTTACAGTTCAGAGTGCTTGTCCTTCTTCTATGCACTGTAGTAACGAGACATGGTATCCAAGCAGCATGTTCTTCTTCAACTATGACTCAAATAGAAAACTTATTTGTTCAAAACTTCACTCAAAATTTGGCTCTGGCTCCTCTGTGTCTGCGAGGAGCCTTCCATGACTGTTGGAACGGCTGTAATGGGGCCTTGTTGTTGCCTGACGAAATAGACAGGAGTGAAAATGTTGGATTAGCTCCGCTTCAGACATTTCTAAACCCTTTTCTCAGCCAATTCACTTGTGTAAGCGTCGCTGACTTGATAAACTCCTGCGCAGTGACAGCAGTCAAGTTCCTCGGAGGACCAGAAGTGCCCGTATTCTTTGGTAGAATTGATACTGGCGTTCCAGATCCTAATGGTCTTATTCCTGCTCCAACATTATCTGTACAGGAACTCATATCAGCCTTCGAACCTATCGGGTTCAATTCTAGTGAAATTGTGGTTCTTTCTGGAGCACATTGTGTCGTATGTATATCCAAATTTTTATGCAACGCCACGTAATAACTTCCTCTTTAAAGGGTGTCTGTGAAGGTCAACCGTTCTGCCCAGGTCAAAATACTACTTTTGGAAACCACTACTACGTCGTAAGTAAATTCTCACGTGAAATTTCGTTAGGGACTCAAATATTTCATAGCAATTACTCAATGGAGAACTCGAAGGAAAACTACAAACTGATATCGATCTTCTCCAAGATAACTCCATGCGCAGTCTGGTCCAACAATATGCCAATGACCAGCAGCAATTTTTTGATGATTTTGCTACCGTTTTTGGAAAATATATTTCTCGTATTGAATGTAACCAGTCCTCCAATGGACCTTGCCCTCTTGAAAGTAGTACAACCTCAGCCAGTTCCAGTAGTTCGTCCTCAAACCAAGGAGTTCCTATAAGTTCCTCTTCGATTTCTCCTGGTCAGCCTATTGAGACATCAACTGTTTCTTCTGCCACTAATACCTTTGGTTCTCCGGCCCTTCCTTCCATTAGTGGCAGTAGTGGTATACCCGTTGAGACTCTCCCGTTGGAACCTCCAACTTCGGTACCGATTCAACAGCCACTAGACTCTAACCCTGCTTTTCTATTCCCAGGTCCCTAGGTTATTCCTAAAAGTAGCATAGACAAGTGTATCTTCTACTATTCCAAAGAGAATAGGAAGCTCCACTGTCAGATCATGTAATAAACATCTCAACAACAATTTTCCTCTATTTTCCTTGCATGCCTTTCCTCAACTTGTGTGTAAACTGAGAGTATTCCAGAACAATATTTCCCGTAGACAAATGCGACAAAAGAGAGAGCATAGCTCTCAACGTGCTTCAATCCATGTCCCACTGATGAGTGACTGAAAAAAATGCCAAATTTACGGTCCAGAAATGGGCAAATGCTACAATCGACATGTCCATTCGGTTTGAAGCGTCAAATTTCTGGAAAGAACAGCGATTCGATGGCATTTTTCGTGGTGATTCCATTCTATTTGGGTTGTCTTTGCATTTCATAGCTGGAACAATGGATCATGAAGCAAGCTTAAAAGGGTTGCATCGATAATGTAACATTTTATTGATTTTGGCTTGTTGTCACGAACATGGCAGTGATGGGAGGCTTTAAATATATTTTATCGTTGGCAGCAGTGTTATTTGTTTCTATCAATATTGGTGTACAAGCACAATGTTCGGAAGGTACTATTAAAGAAATGGAAGGCATTTTTGTTCAGAACTTTACACAGAATCGAGCTATGGCTGCTATGTGTCTGCATTCCGCCTTTCATGACTGCTGGAACGGATGTAACGGTGCTTTGTTTCTACCAGAGGAAATAGTTAGACCTGAGAATGCTGGATTGCCACCACTGAAACCACTGTTGATGCCTTTTGCGTCGCAATTCCCCTGTATTAGTATTGCTGATTTGATCAACTCATGTGCAGTCACCGCGCTCAAATTTTTGGGAGGTCCAGAAGTCCCAGTTTATTATGGTAGACTGGACAGAAACGTTCCTGATCCAGCTGGTTTGATTCCCGAACCCACCATGAGTCTATCAGCTCTTATCTCTGCCTTTAATGCAATTGGATTTACAAAAGAAAACGTAGTAACATTATCAGGTGCCCACAGTGTGGTAAGTTGAGAGAAAATTCAGGTATTGAGGGCCAAATTCACAATATACTGAACATAGGGAGTTTGCCACGGTGTTCCTATGTGTCCTGGTCATAATAATACCTTTGGCAATCATTATTACAAGGTGTGTTGAAGTGCTAATCTCCAACATTTGTGACAATAGATTGAATGTGATGACAATAGGAACTTATTGACGGAGACTTTGAAGGCAAATTGGGTACGGATATTGAGCTCTTAGATGACAATACGATGAGGAGTTTGGTTCAACAATATGCCAATGATCAACAACAATTCTTTGATGACTTTACCACTGTATTTGGGAAATATATTTCTAGGATACATTGTAACCAAACTTCGTCAGGTCCCTGTCCCTTGGATGACATCGGTGTATCTACACCTGCTCCATCACCGGAATCAGTTCAACCTGTATCTTCTGAACCTAGCATTCCTTCTAACCCATTCCCAGCTTTTGGCAGTGAACCGTCAGCACCATCCGAACCATCAGCACCATCCTCATCGTCTCCATTTGGCAGTAGCAGCGAACCTGTTTTCTTCCCAATATAGAAAATCGAACTGACAAGTAGTGTGAAACTCCAAAGGGGGTTAGCTAGTAAATAAAGGTCAAAATTTTTCAAGTTTCTTTTTCTCTCTATATGAAGAGATATCATATCATTAGTTTAGAGTGCTATCTCATACGAATAGAGCCATAGTGTGCCTGATAATTGAACAAAATAAAAGAAGAACGGAATAGTAAAATGGCAAGTTACAGGATTCAAAGCAGTCGTAGTCAAACTCTTCTTTTGTACAAAAGGTGACCGTAATTCTTCTAAAAAATCTCCATCACAATATTTTTCAACTCAATCCAACTTTATCAAAATAAAAGACAAAAACCCATCAACATGTTATTCGGACCACTCTACTTGCTGAGTACACATATTCCATCGAAAATGTCGACCATCAGTGGTTTGACAGTCAATCCAATGATTATTATCCTGGTTTGCTGAAGAGGTAGCTTCTTGAGATAAAATGCTATTACTAAGAATAGGTGCGGTTGGTTGAAGGGATGTAATTCTATCCTATTGCAATTGAATTCAGATAACGTTGTCACTGCAACGACTACTTACTTGTATAGGATACAGGGGTACGGCAGGTTCATGAATACGCGATAGATCACTTTGAGGAAATGAAGTCTCTAAGCTGTCGGTGTTATTCATAGCGAGACGATTTGAACGAAAAGTAGAGGATGGCACAGCCTCTTTGTCTACAGAAGCAGTGCTTGGAGACGATTTTTTGAAAAGCTGCAAGTCATGAGGCTTGGCTATTTTTGACCAACCATGTTTGAAAGCTGAAAACAAAGAAGTCACGTCGTCCTTTTTCATCTTATTGGGAACTTCTTTGTTTTTTGGTTTATGACTTTTGTTCGATTTGCTTCGGAATGGAAACTTTTCTTGAATAGAACTTTCCACTTGCTTTGTTTCCTTGACTTTCTCCCAATTTTCGACGGGTAGTGGTGGCAGGTTGGTCCATAGCTGAGATTTTCCCGAAGCAGCCGTTTTTCGACTGGATAAAGTATGCGCATTTTCTTTAGTCTCTTCTTGAATTGACTTTCTCCTTATAGATTCGCCTTGTACTGAAGCAGAAAAAGAACGCTCACTAGAGCTGTGCCTCCCTTGAGACTGTCTCTTCGGTTCTGTTTGTCGTGACAGCTTGTCAGGTTTCTTCAGCTCAGGCTTTCGATCATATTCAGTTTTCGCAGGATTTTCAGATGTTTCTAGCAAGGTCCCTAAGGATTCCTTATTTGCCTGATTCTCTTCTTTATGTTCTTCTGCTGTATTAGATGAGAATACACGGCTTATTTGTCTTTCTGGCGTAGATGCGTTATTAAGATTGTCTGTTCTTTCTTTCGAACGTTTGGATAATAGAGTAGCTTTGGTGTATTGTTCCAACTGCTTTTCACGATCTTGTTCATGAATTGTATCTGAAAATCTTTGTATTCTGTCTTTTACACTTTGAAACACCGGCTCCTCCTGAACACTAGACATGGACATTTCTTGTTCTTCAGTTTTTGTTGTTTGCGGATTTTCCTCCGTTACTATGTTTGTATTGCTCTCCTTACTTGCTTTGTTTTGTGAGACTATATCTTTGTTTGAATGACTGGACTCGACAAATTTTTCAGACTGTGGGATGCTTTTTGGAGTATGTTGATGAGAAGGAGAAGAAGAAGAAGAAAAATGATCATAGCTATTTGCTGTTTCCAACTGGCCCTTTGTTGGTTTTTGATGAGATGAAGTAACTTTGGCTGTAATGAACGGTTCTATTCCTTTGTCCCTTTGTGACTCTTGGCGTAACTTGGTCTGTTGGAGGATGCGAGATGGACTGGGTTCTTTAGAAGTTTGGTTATCAGCTACCCAATTTTCCTTATCTTGTAGTAAGGATTGGTCTAAAAGAAAGGAATCTTGGTTATTGGATGCGAATAGAATAGTTTGTCTTCGTAGTCTTTCTGCTATCCATGACATTTTTCGCATATATTCCATTCCACTTTGTTGAATGTGATGATTAAGTTCTCTAGCAATGGGTTGTAGGTCTTCATTTTGCTGTACATTGCCTAGTCTTTGCAACTGTAACATCATATTCTTCAATGTCTTTTGTGTGTATCTTGATAAAGATTGAATCTGTAGTTGATAGCGTTTAGGTCAAACGTTAGGAGAGAAAGGAACAAATACCTCCAAAGATAGCCATTGAAATTGGTCGGGAACTTGAGACTCTTTACGTATAATATCAGACTTGAGAGTTTGGAACAAGTGAATATCATCTGGATGGTCTAATTGAGAAAGCTCTAGGAAGGATTCGTCACCATCCATGTTTTGCAAGTCGCCTCAAGTTCAAACTTATGATGCACGTTGTATACCACAATTCCACGATATGAAGGACAAAAGGAGTCGATTTACGCTACATCAGAAATTGATTTTGAATATTTGGTAAATAGCATTTTTCTCTCTGAATCCATCTCTTGATGGAAATTGTATGATAAGGCTTGAAAAGAGGGGGAGGGAGGGGGATTTCCATTTGCCCCACCATTTTCAAACTCCAAAGAAAGTTCGTGTGCTGTCCGTCTCCCTATAAAAATGATCTGTCTTTCGATTGTCTCTTTGTGGATGGAATGGGGAATGAGATGATCGTTTACTCGTTGCTCATGATATAGGAAGTACCAATAAATGGGTAAGCTTGGTTGAAACTTGCCACCTGTTCCCAGCAAATTACTTATAATGATAACACAAGTAGAAGACCACGATTCCACACTCAACGTTGTGAACCCTCAAAAGGTACCTTCAGGGGTACCTTGGAAAAACTTTTTCGACTCCGATGGCAACTTGATAGTCAAGAATTTGGACACGGTTTGTACTTTATAGATTTTGTATACATGACGGTCTTAATATTGATGGTATGTCAAACGGACAGGGTGAAAAGACTTCCGTAAAGGACCTGGAGAAACCTGTAGACCCTGTTTTTTTGAGATTCGCAACACAAGAAGAACAACTTTCCGCTGCTATGACTGTCTCAACTTTTCGTACTCAAGAAAAACCACGAATTTCGTTTCTGGGAAAGGCGAATTCTTCATTGATGAAAAGAACTCCTTTGCGTGATAAGAGAAATGTTACAAAGGGTGTAGGACATGTGAAGGTAAAGAAATTCAACTATTTCTTCAAGTCAACTTACACGAATTGCAAAAGATAAATTCGAAAAAAGCACAAATAGAATTTGATAATTTGTTTATCGTTCAAGCTCTACGTGCACATGATGGACCGATATGGTCTCTCAAGTTGAATGAAAAAAGGAATCTACTAGCATCAGGTGGGCAGGATGCTGTGCTTCGTGTATGGCTGTTGTGTGGTCAAGGTATGTCCTCCTACCATGACTATGATTGTAGAAGATACTAAGAAATTCTTCTCTAGGCAATCCGGAAATCAACTGGAATCAGGATTATTCTCAGATATTTTACAATGGAAAAGGAACGGATGAACCAAAGAAACAACAACGTTTGGGTTCGGAGCCAAGCTTTTCTTCTTCTGGTACTCTTTCATCTTCAAAAGAGGCCACCGAAAAGGATATGGAAAACAGTATTTCAAATAGAGAAATGAACATTCAGACCAAATATCCCAGACAAGTGTTGAAACCACGACCATTTCGAGAGTTTATGGGTCATAAATTGGATATTCTGGATGTTGCTTGGTCCAAGGTAAGTGTGCTGTAGTCGGCTACTGTTGTGATGAAATATATATTAGCTCTATTATAGAATGACTTTATATTGAGTGCTTCCATGGACAAAACAGTCCGTCTTTGGCATCCTTCAGTAAATGAAGCACTTCGCAAGTTTCAACACAGTGACTTTATTACGACAGTTCATTTTCATCCCATGGAAGAAGGTATATTTATTAGTGGTGCATTAGATGAAAAACTTCGTGTATGGGATATAGCAGAAAAGAAAGTGATTACTTTCAAAGATCGATTGGGTCTCATTACGGCATCTAGTATTTCTCGAGATGGCAAACATTTGTTAGTGGGAACTTATAAGGGACTGTGCAAGTCATTCCAGTTGAAACAAGATGTGAGTATACTGCACTAGAATGGGATATTGAGGTTTGAAATATTCATAGGATGGAACGTGGACTTTGCAACAAGTGAATGAAGTGGAAGTGTGTTCACGAAGGGGTAAGAATAGCAAAGGCAGTAAGATATCTGGTATTAGTTTTAAACCCCATTCGGAAGAAGTGAGTTTTTAGAAAGCGACATTGTGATGGTTTATATTTATTTTTTCACTTTTAGTTTTTGGTATCTTCAAATGATAGTCGTCTTCGTTGTTATCAACTGGAGTCATTTTTTCGTACTTGTAAATATTTAGGACATCGTAACTTTTGTAGTCAGATTCATCCTTGTTATAGTGAAGATGGAGAATACGTCCTATGTGGTTCAGAAGATCGTCAAGTATATATTTGGCATACTCAACCTCAAAAGGTACCCGAGAACAATGGCAAAACTGAACAGAATGAATGGTCTGAACATTTTATGGCACATAATTGTATCGTTTCTTGTGCCATATTTGCACCAAATGTTGTATGGAAAGATAGAAAAGTAGCCAGCAATAGTGCTATTGGTAGAGTGATCATTACTGCTGGTTACAGTGGAGAAATTCGAATATATGAAAATATAGATTTGTAAAAGACACGTTAGAATGCATTGGAGTATTTTTTGTTTTATTATGCGTTGAAAATAAAACTGAAAATTCATTTGGAATTGTTTTGATCGGGACAATTCATTCATTGAACAACGTTGACTTGTTTTCATAGTAGTAGAAAGTATGAGTCGAGAGCTTGAACAACCAAAAGATTGGATTTCCTCCTTTAGCAAACAAGAATGGAAAACACCTGCAGTTGCTGTTGCAGGCACTTTAGCTTCCTTGGGTCTTATTCGATTGTACTCTAATGGCCCTGTCTATCGGTAGGCTTCTTTGGTATTCTATTATGTGTATTTTATATCAACCATTCTTCTTCTTTACTGTTAGAAAAACGGTTAACCTGAAAGGAAAAGTAGTCGTTGTTACTGGTGCCAATACGGGCATTGGAAAGGAAACTTGTATTCAGTTGGCGAAAATGGGCGCCACCATAGTGATGGCTTGTCGAGACTCTTCAAGAGCACTCAAAGCAAAAGAACAAGTTGTAAAACTATCCAAAAACGAGGATATAGATATCATTCGGTTAGATTTAAGTGACTTATCTTCCGTTCGTCAATTTGTTTCCGACTTTTGCAAGAAATATTCCCGACTGGATATTTTATTTTGTAATGCAGGGGTTATGGCTTTACCCAAAAGAGAAACAACCAAAGACGGTTTTGAGATGCAATTCGGAGTCAATCATTTGGGACATTTCCTATTGACCAATCTTTTGTTGGATAGATTGATTGCTTCAGCACCTAGTCGAGTGATAGTAGTTTCTTCTTATGGGCATACATTTGGGAAGATTGATTTTGACAATTTGCAATGGGAGAGAAATTACTCGGGTTTTGCAGCATATGGTGCTTCCAAGTTAGCCAATATATTGTTTGTCAAAGAGTTGGATAAGCGTTTGAAACAACAAAATGCAAATGTGGGAGTATATGCAGTACATCCAGGAGCGGTTCGTACGGAACTTGCTCGATATATTTTATCAAGTTGGTGGAAGAAGTTGTTGGCTGCACCAGTATTACCGCGCAGTTATTTGCTCATGAAGGATCCTTATCATGGTGCACAAACACAGATTCGATGTGCTATTGATCCTTCATTGCAACAGTCCAGTGGTAAATACTTTGCTGATTGTAAAGAAACGACTCCATCTGCTGCTGCTAGAGATGCTCGAGTTGCAGAAAAGTTGTGGCAGGTATCGGAACAGTTGGTGGGTATGGCGAAGAAATAAAAGACAATGTATAATGTTGTGTAAGACTTGGAGATTTTATATTTTCAATATTTTCATGGCAACTTGCATATCATTGGGTGCCTTTTGAGTGATTCGATATCGCAACCACTCTATTCCAGTCATTCCCATTTCTGGAGTCACTTGTATCTTACTCAACTTGGTTTCTGCATCCTTTTGACTCACGTCATAAGCAAATTGTAGTCTGGATTGATGTTCACGTAAGTCTGGTAACTGACGAACTATGTTTTGTAACATTCTTCCAAAATCCTTACCAAATACCGATCTAGCTACTCCCCTATTTAACGTACCCATATAAAGTCTACGTCCCCAAGCTGTCTTACAAGCATTGACCAACGTTTTAGAACGACTATCGCCTTGAAAGGATGCAATAGGAAACCAAAGTGGTCTCTCAGGTGACTTTGTAAACAAAGTAAATACAGGAGTCCCATCTTCCGGTAGCTGTGTTGTTGCATTCTGTCTTTTCATTTGTTCTTGATATAATTGTTGGCGCATCTTTCTGCCTTTTTTGGAAACCAGACTTGATACACCACTCTTTTTGGGTTTTCTGGTGAACACAAAGGGCATTGTAGTAAGTGGTTTATATAAAAGTTTAGAGAGACGAGCACCTGTAAAATTATTCCATGGTTGTAATCCTAAACTTCTTTGAGAAGGAAAACAAGTATGTGGACAAGAAGAAACGAATAGGCAACAAGTGAAACTTGTCATCAATCCACACTTTTTCAATTGTGATTTTCTTCTTCAAAAGCATTTGGATTCCAAATAACTCAACGCTTGAGATATCTTTTCCGTTTTGTTGACAACTCCTCTTATCCAATTATAGTGAATAATCATTCTATCGGCATGAAAGAATATATCATCTTGTAGTTGTTGGAAAGAAATATCTATCCATCTTGTATTCTTTGATATTACTGTATTCTTCTCATTGTAGGAAACCCACAAGGTATAAGCACCATGAGGAAATATTTCAGGGTCCAATACTTGTGTCACAATTTGAGCAACAATATTATGATTCTCATCTAGCCTTGTATTCAGACCTATACAGTATGAAAAGGTCGGATCTGGTTTCAAAAAGGTAAGACAGGTATTCGTTGCTACTCTTTTAGAATACCAAAAAGGACCTGTTCTACATAATACTCTATTGAAACTTCGTTGTTGACTAATGATAGGATATTGTTGATACATTTGTTGCATCATTATACGTAATAATAACTGTGTAGCACAATGACTATGAATATACACAAATCCAGTATTCATATAAGAAAAGAGAGATTGATGAGAATACTTTCGATCTGTTTGAATAAAAATATCGACATGGAGACTACGTTTTTGTTGCAAATAAGGAATGGGATTTTGTATCCATACAACATCGGGATCTGAAAATAATATATCCACGTTGTAAGAAATAACGGAATAGAACACCAGATATTTCAGTTGTGTAAGTGAAATGAATTCTATGTTGCCTCCTGCTGGATAAGCTCTTCGGTGGTTGATATTTTGGAAGATGTTTTGCCAAAATGAGAAAGGTAAACAGCTGGGTGGTATCAAGTCGGTGACTTTCCAAGCAGGTATATGATGGAATACACAATATTCATAAATATAGGGGTCGATACAAAAAACGATCAAGTTTTCGAGTTGCAAGGTAGAGAGGCGACCAACGAATAAATTCACCAACGGAATATAGGCTTCATTAGCTAATGTTGCTACAACCCATTTCCGAGAGCCGTTTAAAGTGGCGAAAGAGTGGCGTTGCAAAAACTCTTGAAACTTGTCAGTTGAAGAAGGTGATGATAACAATAGCCACCAACATAATATGCTTATTGCTATCCAACTATGAATAGTTGAAAGAAAGGAAGCAATCCTAAAGACCATCAATAGTGACCTGTGTGGGAAAAGGGATATTTATTGGAAATGTCCCAGTCATCATACTTGTGAATCATAAAGCAGAAATAGGATTGATACATTGCCCTATGGAAGAATGTTCATGCATCATACATAGACACGTCATCTAATATGGTTATAAGAAATGGCCACGTAAAGAGACCGCTTGAAAAGAAAATGCACAACAATTCTCTTAAGCTCAGGCCAGTTGGCCACGACACAGAATGACAGTTTCTAGAGCAGCATCGTGTCTCTATTGTTTGTAGTGGCTTGAATTGTTAGACGCTTTTTCGTCATATTTCTCTTTTCTATTTGCAGAATATTACAATATCTCCTCGTGATAAGAGAGATACTTATTTATTGAATGTTATTATAGTTTATTTATTGAGAAAAAGAGGAAAAATATAGTTGAACGATAATATACGACTAGAATGCAGACCAAAAAGACTCTTTTTATTTTATTCTTATATATTGCATTGTGGATATTTCATACTGGTTGGAGAGTGGATGCTCAGCTACAAGAGCAATTGTTGTGGTCAGACACAGATACTAGAGTGAATATTCTAAGACAACATATTCACGCAGATAAGGACCTCCAATGGGAAGATGAATTGAAAAAGTTAAAGGAAGGAATTCAAGTGGAAAGAAGGGATGCTCAGAAAGTAAATAAACAATCCAAGACCACTGCTTCTTTACCCAACCTCAACCAACCTCAACCACACGAAAGGAAGTTTTCAAGACAATCAACAACAATGAGGGGAGGAGGAGGAGGAGGAAATATTTCTGAAACAACGTTATACGTGGATATGTTGAACCGTCTTGCCAAAACTGGAGGCAACTTGATGGAACTAGTGGAAGGAATACGAAAGGCCGTAGAACTACAAGGAAATCAAGACAATCTTATTAAAGTGGATGAAGCTATAGATCATTTATTGACTAGTCTTCACAATGTTCCATTAAGTCTATCATTACCCAAAGTGAGAGAGATAGATATCATGACCGGTCTCATGGAAAGAAGACTGGTAGACCGTTTGGTAAAGTTGATAGATTCACAACCGATAACATCCATTGTACATGTTTCTTGTGGCAATCAAATGCATTGGATGAATAGTGTTTTACAGTTAAGACCTCAGATACGTTACATGGGATTGGATAGTCGAGATGCTACTTTGGTATGGTTACGTTCGAAATATTACGGTCATCCTAATATTCAGTTTCGAACTGTTGAATGGCAATATATGTTACCACAAGGATATCAGTTACTTGTAGCCATCAATGCACTGTCTCCTTTAGAATTGCAACAAGTATATTCCTTTTTCTCAGCAGCCAAGTATGCAGGCTTTGAATACTTTTTGGTCAATTCCTATGAAGGAACCAAAAATGAAGAACGCAATCAGAGCAAAATGTTAGACTTTCGAAAACCTCCATTTGGTTTCAAAAGACCAGTACGAGTGTTTCATGAAATGGGTGCCTTGAAAGGGAAACCGATATCTCTCTTAATGTATTCTAAACAGGTCTTGGAAGAGTTTGGAAAGAAAGAGATGACAGTAACTTATGAGGAGCTATGAATATACTGCTTTTTGATCATTAATAACTGTAATTAATGAAAGCACAATAAAACGCATATATATATATCATCAAGTTGGGATATTTGTATTCGAAAACAGTTGTGACAAGAAGTTGCTTTTGGACATTTTTCAAAATGAGAATTGGGCGGGCTAAAGGATGAGCATTCTTTCGAATTGTTTGACAAACAAGTTTTAGGCACAACATCTATATACAACCAATGTATATAGAAGAGATTATTATTGAAGGTTTCAAGTCCTATGCAACTCGAACTCATATAGGACCGTTCGACCTACATTTCAATGCTATTACTGGTTTCAATGGTTCCGGAAAGAGCAATATATTGGATGCTATCTGTTTTGTTATGGGAATAACTAGTTTATCTCATGTAAGTGGATGGCAAGAAAGTTATGGTAAAGTGTTTAAATATTCTAGTTGAGAGCTTCGAGTCTCCAAGAGTTGATTTACAAACAAGGCCAGTCAGGTGTACATAAAGCCAGTGTTACTATTATCTTCAACAATACAAATAAACAACAAACACCGCCAGGTTATGAAAACTGCGAGAAAATTACTGTGACGAGACAAATCCTAACTGGTGGACGTTCCAAATATTTAGTGAACGGTCACGTTTCTCAACCTACTGCCGTCCAGAACCTGTTTCAATCTGTCCAACTAAATGTGAACAACCCTCATTTTCTTATCATGCAAGGTCGGATTACTAAAGTTATCAATATGAAGCCGCAAGAAGTTGTTGCAATGATTGAGGAAGCTGCAGGTACTCGAATGTATGAAATGAAAAGAGAGGCGGCATTGAAAACCATTTCCAAGAAAGATAAGAAACTAGAAGAAATTGATGAGCTTTTTCAGAATCAAATTACTCCAACACTGGAAAAGTTAAGAAAGGAAAGAGCAAACTATATGCAATGGGTTACCAATCAAGAGGAATTGGAGAAACTACGAAAGTGGAGTGTTTTAGCTGAATTTCATTCTCATAAACATTCTCTTGAAAGACTTGTAGAAAACATCAAAGATAAAGAGAATAAGCATAAAAAATGCTTACAAGAGATTGAAGAGAAAAATCAAAGAATGTATTCGATAGAACAACAGTTGAACAAGGCAAATGAATCGAGTAATCCTAGAACTTTTAAAGAGATTCGAGATGCGGAAGAGAAAATGGACCAACTATCCAAACAACTCGTAAAAACGACAACTTTTTATGAGAACTACAAAGATTCATATAACAGAGAGAAGAATGAACATGAGAGGAATGTAAAGTCCTTGAATGGTTCTCGAGAGAGAAGGAAGCAGTTGGTTGAATATTTAGACAATTTGCAACAAATTTTGGAACAAAAAAGGAAAGAACTTGATCGATCTACTCAGCGTTTAGAGAAAGTATTTCAGTTTGGGGATGCACAAGGTCTCGATACTAAAAAACAGCTCCTTCAAGATGAAATTTCGGATGCTGAGAACGATCGTAAACAATTGGAGTACAAGATAAAGCGAGTAAAAGGTCAATTGGAAAATTTAGAAAAAGGAAAAACTTCTTTTATGGATGCTTGTAGTAAGGAAACGGATTCCTTGAAAGAGTTGGAGCAACAAAAGGCAAAATTGGTCAATGAATTGAATGAGTTGAAAGTTTCTATTCATGATTTAGATTTCGATAAAGAAGGAAATGAACGGTTATTAAAAGAAAGAGATGAACATAAGGCAGCCATTCAACAGATGACTGAGAAACTCGATGCCCTTAAGGGACGATTAAATATGATGGATTTTCAGTATGATAAGAAGAGTAGTGGTCTTGACGATACGAACGTCCATGGAATGATTGCTCAACTATTTCAAGTTCCTCATTTGGAAAAGTACGCCACTTCTGTGGAAACTGCTGCTGGACCCAAACTTTATCAGGTGATAATGAAAACCCTCAACTGAAATCGTAATTACTAAATTAGTGATATTCAGGTCGTTGTAGATACAGAACAAACTGCAAAACGACTTTTGGAACGAGGCCATCTTCCTCGAAAAGTTACTATTATTCCATTGAATAGAATCCATTCGAAAGTAATCACGCAAGACAAGTTGCAAAAAATAGAGAATATTTGTCCTGATGCTCGATTGGCCTTGTCTCTAATAGAATTTGAAGCATATTATGAACCAGCCATGAAATTTGTATTTGGAAACATTATCATATGTCCGGATACAGAAACTGCGAACCAAATTAGTTTCCATCCTGATATAAAAGTCCGAACGGTAACTTTGCAAGGAGATATTTATGATCCTGCTGGAACTTTAACTGGCGGTAGTACTTCAAATGCTATAGATAAGACTAGCATCTTGGAGTCTTTGATGGAAATGACACAGTTGAGAAAACAAATTGCAAGTCATGAAAGACATGTTGAAAAATTGGATTCCGTCATTCGAGAAAACCAAGATAAGGAATCCTTATATAGAGAACTGGTCAGAAAACAAAACATAATGCAGCATGAAATCCAGCTACTGGAATCAAGACTTGAAACTTTTGAAACCACAAAGGTATCTCAAAAGGTATGACTTGCATATTACCTTTTCTAATCAAACTTGAGCTAAAAAAAGGAGATAGTTGCTTCAGACTGATAACCAAATCCAACAGTTGTTACATGAACATGACCATTTACAGGAATTGCTGAAAGTTTGTCAAGAGAAAATCAAGAAATTAGAAGAACAGTTACGAAGCTCTGATCAAGATGAAGTCGAAAGTCCAATTGAAAGACTAAAGAGCGAACAACAACAACTTAAAAAGGAAACGGAGGATATTAGTATAGCTCTTCAAACAACACAATTAGAATTGACCCATTTGAAAGACGAATGCGAGAGACTTGAAAATGTCATCAGTTCAAGCAATCATACCATGTCACAAATGGAGATAGAAATGTCCAATTTACAGGATAAGCAGTGTTCCATTCAACAAAGTATCGATGAACTCAATGCCCATCTCAACAAGTTACGTCAACAAGCCAAAGACCAGAATAAGGAGGTTGTTGCACTGGAAACGGAGAAAAACGAACTCTTTTCGAAATTGGAAACTTTACAAGTAGAAATGGAAAAGGAGACAAGAGAACTAGACGCATTACGTCAACATCAGGTAGTCCTATATGAAAATTTGAATAATCTTCTCTATTTCTCATGGTGTTGTTTTTAGGAATCCATTCAAAAGAGGATGAAAGAATTAGAAAAGAAATTTCCACGAATTGAAGAGGAATGTTATTCTTATCGTGATCAACTCCGAGACATATCACAGTACAATGTGCAAGATCAATTATCGAGTCTTGAGAAAGAACAGAGTCGTCTAGATAGAGTCGTCAACAGAAAAGTGTCCAGCATGTTTGAACAAGCCGAACAAGAATATCAAGACCTTTTGAGGAAGAAGAGAATAGTAGAAAATGATCGACGACAGATACAAGCAGTTATTAAGGAACTTGATGAGAAGAAAATTCTGGCTGTAGAGAAAACTTGGAACAAAGTCAATCAAGACCTAGCTTCTATTTTTTCATCTTTATTACCTGGTTCCTCAGCTTATTTGAAACCGTTGGAAGAAAAGAGTATATTGGAAGGTCTTGAAATACAAGTTGCTTTGAATAATAGTTGGAAAAAGAATCTTTCCGAACTGAGTGGTGGACAACGCAGTTTGGTTGCTCTTTCTCTTATTTTGGCATTGTTACGTTACAAACCTGCTCCTTTGTATATTTTGGATGAAGTAGATGCAGCGTTGGATCTCAGCCATACCCAAAATATAGGAACTATGTTAAGAAAGCACTTTGGCCACTCACAGTTTATAGTTGTTAGTTTGAAAGAAGGAATGTTCCAAAATGCCAACATTCTATTTCGAACTAAACTAGTCGATGGTACTTCCACAGTGGAAAGGACTATTGGAGACAAGGAAAATATGTCTTGAGACGTATTTTTACTTGATTGTTATAAAAACGAGAGTTTCCAATAACTTTGTTATCATAAATAAAATGGTTTGGTAGACTTCTTTGATGAATTTCTTTTCCCTTGTAACGCATTCGACGCCGCGAGTAGGGAATTCCACAAGTCTATTGTAGAGATGCCTCAATCTAGAGCAGACCGTAAAGCTTCTTATTTTGACAGGATTATAACATACTTTGAGAAATTCGACAAGGTATTGGTTATAGGAGTGGATAATGTGGGTTCGAATCAGTTGCAAAAGCTACGACAGTCGTTGAGAAAAGATTGTGAAGTTTTGATGGGAAAGAACACTATGATTAGGAAAGCGTTGAGAGGTCACTTGTCCAAGAATCCTGCGCTAGAGAAACTTTTACCACATCTAGTAGGAAACGTGGGATTTATCTTTACTAGTGGTGATTTGAAACAAATTCGTGAGAAAATAGCGGAGAATAGAGTTCCTGCTGCAGCTAAAGCAGGGACTTTTGCACAATGCGATGTAGTTATTCCTGCAGGTCCAACAGGAATGGAGCCAACCATGACATCCTTCTTTCAAGCTCTCAATATCCCTACCAAGATCAACAAAGGACAAATTGAAATCCAAAGTGATGTAACACTTTTAAAAGAAGGACAACGAGTAGGCAACTCCGAACAGACTCTTTTACAAAAGCTGAATATAAAGCCTTTCAAATATGGTGCAGTTATTCAAGTAATCTATGAAAATGGAGTCATTTATGAACCAAAAGTGTTGGATATTGGTGAAGAAGAAATTTCTCAAGTGACAAAGGAAGGCATTCACAATATTGCTGCTGTTTCTTTGGCAATTGGATATCCAACTCAAGCTTCTATTCCTTATACGATTATTTCTTCACTGAAGAATTTGTTTGCAGTATCTTTGGTTTCAGAATATACTATGCCACAAGCAGTCCAATTGAAAGACTTGTTGGATAATCCAGAAGCTTTAGCACAAATGGTAGTAGTCAATGCAGTACCTAATGCTTCTGCTGGAGGTGTTTCTCGAACAGAAGAGAAACAAGAGCAAGCACAACAACAACAAGAAGAAGAAGAAGAAGAAGAAGAAGTCTTGGTTTGGGACTTTTTGATTGAGAATAAAGCAATCTTTCATTTCAGAATAAGAATAGGAGATCTTCCATATTTCTTTACCTATTTACTACGAGTTTAAGATGAAGCAGCAGCTTCATTGCTGTTATTATGTTGACTAGTAGACGGATGATATAATTCCAATAATGGTTCACCAATATTGTGATTCTCTTCAACAGATACGCGCAAGTCGAACAATTTTGCCAAAATCACTTTGAATAACTTTTGTACATTGATAGAATGAGAAGCAGACGAGAAAATCAATGGAGCCTTCATTGCTCGAGCAAACTTTCGAGATTGTTCAATTATAGTTATTTGCTCTTCTTTTGGAAGCGTTATAAATCCATCGAATTTGGTACCTACCAAAAAAGGCAATGCAGACTATGACGATGTAGTGGTTCATTATTTCCTTGGATCAAGTCGTCCTTACCTTGTTGTATATTCTTGATTGTCTATACCATTCTTTTACATTTTGAAGCGTTATTTTTCTAGTCAAGTCAAACATGAAAACGATTGCCACCGTGTCACTCAAGGCCAAAGGTAACATAGTCACAAAGTCTTTTTGTCCTCCCAAATCCCAAATACTAAAAGTTATTTCCAAGTTTTTCACATAAATGTTTTTCTCCATAAAGTTGACTCCCAATGTTTGTATATAATCTTCGTCAAACTTTCCTTCGACATATTTGACCATAAGTGAAGTCTTTCCAACAAACGGGTCTCCAATAAGAGCTGTCTTTACCACAATATTATTTCTTTGTTCTTTGGGATATATGTTATTGTTTTCTTCCATCCAGTCGTTATCTTGCATAATAATGTATTAAAGTTGACTAGTTTCCATACACAAGAAGAATATGAGCCTCTCAAATGGACACCTCAAAGAAATGACATTCGAAAAGAGAATTGGAATTTTTCTATCCTGGCTGGTTTAATACTGATTGTGAGTGCAACTGTGATCACAGGTATAGTTAACTGTGTGAGAAGAAGAAGAGGTTTACCAGGATTATTCGAAAATCAGTATGACAGAGATAACACCCCTATTCAACCTCGAAACCCGGATTCACGAAGAAGAAAACTCAGAAGAGGTCTGCTTGCCTCGGAAATTGAATTATATTGTCCAGAGATTATATACAGAGGACCAAACCAAACACCAGTCTTATTTCTTGAACAAGAAAAGAATTCATTATTATCGTCGTCAGATGAAGAGCTGGAGGGTATTGAGGTTCCCACTACAGTCTTTAGTCCAAGGGAAACACCTTCAGTTTTCAAGAATGGGAAAGAAGAAAAGAAGAAGACTCTTGTAACTACTGAAAAGGAGTCTATGAGTAGTAGATTGTTATATAGCAAGCCTATGATATACTCAAGGAAGTATTTTTTGGGTCAACATGTGGTTCCCAATGAAGTTTGTGCGGTGTGTTTGGAAGCAGTAGAAAGTGGCGCCCATTTGCGTTTACTTCCTTGTGGACACGGTTTTCATATTCTTTGTATTACTCGTTGGTTGGTTCGTAAAAGTCGTTGTCCACTTTGCAATGAACAAGTTCGACTTTCTGACAACTCTGCTCAAGGCAATGATAGAGAAGCTTGGCTTGAATCTGGAGACAATATAGTTTCTGTTGGGGAACAACAACAATATAGTGATAGACAGATATTAGAACGGGGTCAACAGGGTGTTTCTTTAGATAGTCAAGAATTGTATCAGGAAGTTATTTTACAGTCTTTTGAAAGAATAAGGTTACGTTTATATCAACGATATTTGGATAGACAACGAAAAGATACGAAACAGACGTATGGATCTGAAGAAATGGTTTGAATAGGTTGTGTGATTTTGATGAAATGAAATACTTTAAGAGATTATTGGAGATTTTTGTTGTTCTCTTTGGATTTTTCACATTCCATCATGTTGTGTTTATCACAAACCAAGTATTGTCTATTTGTACATCCCATAACGTTGAATGAGTCTACTCTATGTGTTTTAAAAAGAAAGAGAGACACCTGTGACAAATCTACCGTGTACATGGGTAGCCAAAGTCCTCGTTCCGTTCATAACGGTCGTTTTCATCTTTGGTTAAAGTCATTAAGAAATGGACGTATATTTTATCGTTCAAGTGGTTCTTCTGGTGGATTAAGTGGAACTGGTGGTGGTAGTAGTGGTAGTGGTAGTAGTGGTGGTGGTACAAGTAGTGCTGGAGGTCAAGGTAAGTGAGGAAAAGTCTCCAACTGGAAAGTGATGATGAACTCAAGTTATATTAGGAAAAGGTGGTTCTCATCCTCTTTTGAGTTTCTGGATGCGTTATAATCAACTGTTAGAGTCACGTCCTTTATTGACTAAATCACTTACTTCCTTGATTGGGTTTATATTGGGAGATATTTTGGCCCAAAAGTTTCTATCTTCAGATGGGATTCTTCACTTGGATCGTTTATTAAGAATGGCTTTGTTTGGTTTTCTTATTCATGGACCGACAGGACATATCTTTTATACTCAGTTGGACAAGGCAATACCCGGTACAGAAGCGTGGAAAGTGGCTTGTAAAGTAGCCATCGATCAAGTACTATGGGCACCTATTTTTGCCCTTATTTTCTTTGGGTTCTTAGCAGTACTTGAAAGACAATCTTTTAAACAATTCGAGGCAAAGTTGAGACAAGACTGGAAAACAGCAATATTTGCATCTTGGAAAGTTTGGCCATTGGCACATGCTATTAACTTTCGGTTTATTCCGAGCCATCAACGTTTACTTTATATCAACGCTGTGCAAATATTTTACAACGTATTTCTTTCCATCATTGGAAACAAACGCACTCAAATACCTCGAGTAAGCAAATAGGTACAAAAATATTTGTGATAGCTATATTGGGTGAATAGTTGTTTTTCATAAAGTTAGTTGGTTGCCTACGACATGGGTTGAACACACAAGTCGAGAAATCTACCGACCAATTCGGGACACTTGCGAATTCCATTCGGTTGACAAACACCGGATGAAATATCTATACCTGGAGGACTCAACATATTTAAAGCGCTTTGAATATTATCCGTACAAATTCCACCAGCCAATATCCAACGTAAATGTTGAGGTGGTTGAAAGTTATCCCAAGAAAATGTTTTCCCAGTACCTCCACCTGGTGAATCAAATAGTATCCAACTTTTTAGTTGCCATTGTTCCAACAAGTCACTATCAAAACTACCATCATGATGTACCGATAGGACAGGAATACTTTCTATCCAACCAGGTAATATACGCAGAGATCGTCTGGACCCATCGCCATGTAACTGTGCTATGGAAATACCTGTTTGTTGACATATACTGATTATGCTCGAGGCATCTTGATAAACGAATACTCCTACAACTTGAGCATTACCAAAGTGCCCAACTGTTTCTACAATTTGGCTTGCAGACTCCAAACTAACGTTGCGCTTCGAAGTGGAACAGAATATGACACCCAATAAGAAGCGTATAGCATCATAAGGTTTCTTTTGCTTTCTTTTTTCTATTGCTTCACACACCATAGAAGCATCTTCCTTACAAGTGATTCCACAAATCTTGATCAACTCAAGGTGAGCTTGTACAACACAAGATGAGGACTTCCTTCCAACATATGGGAAAAGCAGCCTTCTTCTCTTGTGTAATAGCCACTGACAAGAGGGTCTTTGTGATATTCTAAAATGTAAACAAGCAATAAAACTCATTACGAATTCATTTATTTCATCACACAAAACCAAATTCCAATAAGAAACCTCATTTAGCATCTTCATTATGAACGATGGCATCGGTAGTCGACCAATCGGAATAATTTTCATGGTTTCCAATCTCTTCCTCTTTTATCTGCTTTCCATGAATGTCATCTTCAAACTCCGCTTCCTCTACGGATGGATCATAATATCCCATCTCTTCAGAGTTCTTTTCATAAATAGCACATTGTTCTTTACCCATTCTTATCTTTCTCACCAAACGTGAAAACAAAGTTAAATCATTGTAGTCAATTGGCAATTGTGCAACATAATCAATTCTACTTCTACTCTTGAGTCCATTCTCACGACACAAAGTGGATGCATAATTCCTCAACTGTTGACGAAACTGCTCCTTTGAAGATGAAGTTATTCGATATTTGAGAATTTGTAAAAAGCTATAGTTCAGAGATTCCTCTCTCAAGTCTTCATCATTAATATCCAATCTCTTTGCAAATCTAGCAGCATATCTTCTTCTCAATTCATAGAACCTTTGATCTTCTTTAACCAATGACTTTTGAGAATATTCAGGAACAAAGAAAAATGCCAATATGAGAGCTAAATATTCCAATCCAGCATAAAACCACATAGTCAATCTCAAAGCCGGTAACGTTTCTTCATGAGCACTACCAGAAAAGTTTACCCACATATGTGGAAAGATGGTAGTTCCTACAATTCCTCCACATTTTCCAAAAGAGGAAGAAACTCCATACATAGTTGCTCGTATCTTGGTAGGAAATGCTTCTGCTGGAATCAAATAAACAGGAACAAACACAAAGTATTGAAAACCGAATACAAAAGTACTCCAAAATATCCAGCCTATGGGATGTCTTTTCAACGGCCAAAAAGCTCCAGCATTGATAAGTTGTGCAGATGACAAACAAGCCCAACCAAGTACTTCTGTCTTTCTTCTTCCTAAACGGTCTACGACAAATGCTGCAACAAATGGAAGCCAAATGAGATAAGCACCTCCTTCTGCTAAAGTAATCCATAGTGACTTGAGCAAAGATACTCCAATGACTGATTGTAGAATGATAACACCAAAAGTACCCATGCTATAATTGATATAATCTACCAAGAACCAATTGAGAACTGCACCGACGGAACGAAAAGCAAAATGCCGAATGACAATATAAAGATCAATCGCATCATAACGAGATTTGCCTCTTTGTTTGTCTCTTGAAAACATTTCCGAGTCTCTCATTCTAGTACGATAAATAAGTACACAAATGACTGGAATAGTTGCTACTGCAAAGGATACTCTCTTTACAATTTCATAATGACAATGAGCAGCAGCTCCAAGATATGCATTTCGACAAGCTGCTGCAATAATGATGACTTGCACTACAAATGGCATATAATTTCCAATGACTTCCATACACATGACCAACATAGAAGTTCTTCTTCCACGTGTTTTAATATTGACTCCCTCACTGTCTTCCATAGCATTTGGAACATTACAAGTATATTCACCTCCCATACCTAATCCTGCTACTCCAAGTCCAATATTCATCATCCATATACCTCCTACAACACTTGTACCATGAGAAGCCACTCCAATGATATTTCCAAGCAACACCAAACAAGAACACATGATGAGGCCTTTTTTACGACCAAAGTAGTCGGCAATGAATCCAAATAGTAATAGTCCAAACATTACTCCATATAACATCGATACTCCTATAGCAGTTTGCAAAAATACATCATGACGAAAAGAAGGGAAGACATCGGTATAGACAGAAACAATATAAGTAGAAATGTCATACATATATCCATTGACAAAGAAACCCATAGCAGTTCCAAAAGCATTGTAACGAATATAACTAGCTATGGACTTTTTCTTTTCTTCTTCTACTGCACCTTTCAATGCTTCTGGGTCATTTCCTTGATCATTTTGTTGTTGTATTTCTTCTTCTGATCTTCTTTCAATAGCTTCCATTTCCACGGAAGTTCTGTAAACTTCAGCAGCATTAGTATCAAATGTTGGACGACTCATGGTTATCCACAAACACACAAACAAAGAACAGAGAGAGAATAACCCAGGAATGGAATGCTTATTTGATCTTTTCAAATTTTCTAGAAAGGCTGATTCGCGTTGTCGTCTATTTGTCATTGTGGATAGTCGACGAGAGAATATTGGATTAGTGGAAGATATAAAATCTTATTGTTATAGCAAGGACAATAAGGACAGAGAAAGTGAGTGAGAGAATGCAAAAGCAACACTTGAGTCGGAGAGCCATTACTAGGAACTAGAAACAGTGGATTCAAGTTTTCCGTTTGTATTTTATATATCGTATGGAATATGTCAACTCTTCTGAACTTGAAAACAACTGTAAAAATATAGATAGAGAAAGATGTAGACTTTTATCTACTTTCCTAATAAACGACATTACTGACTCCATTTGAAATTCTCCAAACTTGCTCTTTCCTTTCATCATCCAAGAATCATGCAGCTTTCCACACTTTTGGAACAAGCAGACGAGAAGAGAGCCACTAACAGCTACCAAGAAGCCGAAAGAATATATCTAGAGTTACTGAATAATAGTGAAAGAGACTTTTCAGAAGAACAAGAGAGTATTCTCAAATATAAAGAACAAGCTGCGTTGGCTTTATTGGACTTGTATGTAGACCAACAGCAAGCCGAAAAGATTGTCGAGTTGACTAGGAAACTAAGACCTTTTTTTGGTCAAGTTGCCAAAGCGAAAACGGTATTAAATATAATCTGTCGCAAGTTTTCACTTTTTCTTACTTTTTATCTAGGCCAAACTTATTCGTGTAGTACTTGATCGAGTGGCACTCATTCCAAAAACAGAACAAATACAAATTGACTTGTGTTTAGAGACTATAGAATGGTGTAGACAAGAAAAGAGAACTTTCCTTAGACAACGGGTACAAGCAAAGCTTTCTGCACTCTATTTTCAAACTCAACGTTATTTGGAGAGTCTAGCAGTTTTGACGGAGCTCTTGAAAGAAGTAAAAAAGTTGGACGATAAATCTCTCCTTTTGGAAATTCAGCTATTGGAATGTCGGGTGCAGTTAGCTTTGAGGAATATTCCCAAGGCACGTGGTGCGTTGACTTCTGCAAGAACTACCGCCAACGCCATTTATGTTCCACCTGGACTACAAGGAGAAGTAGATTTGCTTGCTGGAATAGTTTCTGCTGAAGAACACGACTATAAAACAGCCTATTCGTACTTTTATGAGTCATTTGAAGGGTTTTCCAATTTAGGAGATGAGAGGGCAGTTTCGAGTTTCAAGTATATGTTGTTGTGTAAGATTATGACGAAACAAGCAGAAGATGTGGCTGGTCTGATTAGTACTAAGTTTGCTTTGCGGTATAATGGAAAGGCAGTGGATGCTATGCTTGCTATATCTCGAGCACATCAGAATAGAAGCTTGGCACAGTTTCAACAAGCGCTCAAAGACTATCCAGAAGAGTTGACTAATGATGTTGTTATTCATAGTCATTTATCTGAACTATATGATACATTATTGCAACAAAATATTTTGAGGATTGTAGAACCATTTTCCAGAGTGGTATGAATGAGTGTTGTTGGTTTGTATGAGATTACTGACCAGGGAATATATAAATATATATATAGGAAATCACTCATATTGCAGAGTTGATTGGTCTTCCTATGGAAACAGTTGAAAGCAAAATTTCTCAAATGATTTTAGATGGACAACTGAAAGGAACTCTCGATCAAGGAGCGAACTGTTTGATTACCTTTACAGAAGATCATTTTCCCAAAACGTAAGTAATGAGAACATCATATCTTGATGTGACAACACACTAAGTTGCGTAGTTATTATCATTCGTTACAGACGATGAAAGAAATGAGTCATGTTGTGGATATTTTATTCGAAAATGCTTCGCTGTTGTCTTAGTTGTGTTGAATGAAAAGTTTCATGAAGTTTATTCGATTCCAATATGAAGTAAAGATACGGTCTTGAGTAATAAAGTCATCAATAGAAAACCACCGGTAATGGATAGGAAACCATTTCTCATTCCTGCATACTTCCATGCCTGAGGAACCAATTCAACGATACTTAAACTACTCATAATACCACCAACTGCTGCTAATAAATAAGCAACAAAAGTTTCTGTCAAAAAGTATTTGGCAAAGAAGACAACGAGAACAACTCCTGCAGGTTCTGCAAGACCTGATAGAAAAGCTATTTGAATAGCTTTGTATTTACTTCGAGTAGCAAAGTATACTGGCAAAGCAACTGCCATACCTTCAGGAATATTATGCAATCCAATAGCTATAGCTAAAGGAACTCCAAAACGAATTCCTTTTAAACTCGCAAAACAAACGGCTATTCCTTCAGGAAAGTTATGAATAGCAATACCCATCGCAACTAGAAAACCTGAAAGCAATACTTGTTTAAGGTTTTGTTTATCTGCTGCAGTACCTTCGATTTCTGGTACTTGAGACAAATCAGGTTCTGGAATCAACACTTTTAAAAGAATGAAAAAGAGAGCTCCAGTAATAAAAGAAAACAATACGTGAGCCGCAGAGACTTCCTCCAAAGCTTCTGGTAGTAAATCAAAAGCACTCACACTCAACATAAAACCTGCAGCTGCTCCTTGCCATATTCCCAACTTAGGATAAGATAAGCTCGACTGTAATACTACTAAAATACCTCCTAAAGGAACTTTTACTCGTTGGAATCAACCACTTGTATTATTCCTACCTATACCAGTAGATATTCCTGCAAGTGTAGTTAATAACAAAGCAACAGGAGTATTTGCTTCAATTTCCGAAGCTAACATAACACATCGACTAGGCTGCAAAGAGAGTTTTCTTCGAGGAGGTTGATTGGTTACAATAAAGTATGAAGGAGACCCAACTCGTTTCAAACAAGTGCAAAAGAAACTTTTATGAGCTCTCAATCCAACTTTTCTTTTGTCAGTAAAATAACAACAACTCTTAAGAACAAAAACAGATAAGAAACAAGTATTTGGCACAGTTCTCTTCAACGCATTCCACACACCACAAACTTGAGACGGCATTCTACGCTTCTGATACAAATGTAGCTTTTGAATATTTCTTTTTATTCCAAAAAGTATCCCAACAAGTCACTCAAAGATATGACTCCAATCACCTTTCTGTTTTCGTCTACAACAAATAGTCGATGAACGAGAGTTTTACAAAATTTATCAAACACTTGTCTCAACGAATCTGTCTTGAAACAAGTATACACATACATAGGGTTCTAAAAGAACGGTTTTCATTTCAGAAATAAAATGATTGTATATTACTTACTGGTCGAAATAGAGATAAAATACTTTCAATAGTACTGTTCCAATTCCACTGATTCCAATTCCTCGCTAAATGACATACATCTGACCTAGCAAACAAGTCTTGCAACATTCCTAAAAATATCGTCAGGATACATATGTCTTTCCTTTTATGATTGGAAACTTACCATTCTGATCAACCACAGGGACAGCAGACACATTTCTTTCATGAAAAAGTGATAAAATATTTTCCAAACTCTGACCGAGTCCAGTTGTATAAATTGTATCCCAAGTTCCAATACACAAATCTTGCACAGAAACAGAAAACAATGCTTCCAAGTCTCTATCTGTATTTCCAAGTTGTTGATGAACAAAGGAAAGAATGCGCGAATGGGTAAGAATATGAACAACTAAATTGTCCTCTACAGAAAGCACAGGAAGTTTGTGAATGGCATATCTCTTTAAAATATGACAAGAGTCATATAAACTACTGTCTGCTTCTGTATATATCCACGAAACGTCGCGATGCCAACGAGGACAATAAAGAATATCTACGGGCAATCAATCGATACGTGTTTACAGACTTTTTCCATAAATACCTTTCCAACTTGTTAAAGGAATCGACTTGAACTGAGAAGAGCGTTCCATCCTTTGCTCCATACAGTGATACAATATATCCACCAAATCACTCGAAGTAATCATACCAACAAATCTTTGTTGTTCGTTATCCCATAAAGGTGCACCTCGAATATCTAAACAATTATACAGAGTCTACATCTCCTTCAATGGCTTCCTAATATCGAGTGCCAACTAACCGTTTTCTAACAAAGCTGTAAAGGCAACTTGGGTAGGCAAGTCAGCTTCTAAAACTACAACCCGATTATTCTCAAGAACCACTTCACTGGTGCGATGTTGTCTTAGGAAAGAAGCAATTATTTTCCTTGCTTTCGTAAAGTCTGTCTTATTGGGAAGCATAGGGATTGAATCAATATTTTGTAATACAGACCCAAAAATAATAAGTCAGTCTCAACTGTACTATTCAATAGGACAACTCTTCATTTCAATATATCATCACTTGTGTCCTCCAATGAGAAAAGTTTTTACTACTTGGGAACCCAACTTGGATGATACATAGTCTTCTTTGTAGTTTAGACTTTTGACTTATGGAAAATGATAACCAAGAAACATATTCTCAAAACAAAAATAGTTGGGTGGAAGAAAATGTGGAGAATATCAAAGACGAAGAACAACGCGACCAATTGTTGGATAAAGAACTTGCCTCGTTGATCGAAGAAAGAGACGCCATTTTGAATGGTATTTATAGAGTAGTTGTAAATATAGATACTGATCATGCTTTGGAAGGAACAAGTGAAGACTACTTGTGTCAACTGGCTCCTTTAGAAAATGAAAGGAAACGCAAACTCGAGAGAGCTATGGACTTTTATCAACTTCAACTACAATATGCAGGACAGCTATACGAATTGGCCAAGAAAGAAGCATATGATAGCTTTCAAGCACTAAAAGCAGAGCAAAGAGATTATATGTGGCGTATCAAGTTGGAAAGAGAAATTACTTTGAGACTCTTAAGACTATCCAGTATGAAACTTGATATACTAGAAAACAAATTGCTCAAATATTTACGTTTTCTTTAGTTCCACTTCGAGACCAAAATGGGCAGGTAGTTGTTGGAAACTTTGGAATGGAAGGCTTTGTAAACCTTATCTATCGCAATCGTTCATTTGATAAGTCTTATTCCTATCCTAAAAGAAGAAAGTTGCAATTCATTCGGGAGCAACTGAAACCCGATGAAACCAACTATGACTTGGAAATGATCATTAGAGGGTTAGAAGAACTTCAACAAATTGCCTCATCGCAGCCAGTATCCACGAAATCAGCTACACAAGACTAGAAACAAGATGCCAATCAAGAAAGAGGAAAGTATATTGATATCTTTGTACTACAATTGAACAAAAGAAAGGCAATCTTAGTCATGGATACTAAGGAATGGATGCAACTGTAAGCGAATAGTCGGAGATGCAATATGCCACGGACTTTGTCCTTGAAAATCTTCCAAGTATATATCAGCTCCTGCTTTTACGAGTTGCAAAACAACATCTAAATTGTTTCCGTCCATTATTAGCAAAACTTTTCATTCCCTCGCTTATCACTTACCGGGATATTCACAAATACAAGCATAATGTAGTGCACTTTGGCCTTCCCTATCCACTGCATCAACCGAAGCTTCATATTCCAGTAATACAACCACTATTTCCAAATAACCTCTGTCTGCTGCATACATAAGTGGAGTCATACCCGATTCATCCTTTAGGTGCACCGAGGAAGGATCTTTTTCCAACAAGTATCTTATAGAAGAAATATCGCCTATTGCAGAGAAATAACAAAGGTCCAAAACAGGTGCTTGACTAGTGGATGAATCTTCACAATCAGGCAACTCGAAACCCAATGGTCGATTTCCAATAATAGCTTCTTTGCTCATACTTTTATATTTGGCACTCAAAAGAATGTATTTGCTCATAGCTTCTTCTCTGGATAAGCGTCAACTTGGTCAACTTCACGAAGACATAGTTGGTCAACTTACTTTGAAAGATTGCTTGCTTGCCTCCAACTCTTCCACTTGGTAGTCTCTTTCCTTTGATAGAAATAGTAGGGATTTTTTGAAGGAGCTTCTCCATCCTTTATTCTTTTGTAAAGACCATATAGCTCAATTAGTTCTTCCTCTGGAATTTCCTTGTATGTTTCCTCTACAATATGCACTGCCTCTAAATACTTTTCTTCTAAAGAAACTTCCACGTCGTGAATAGCAATTGTTTCATTCATAAAAAGTGTTATCCAAAAGAACAATCAACCGACTATACACCGCCAATATTCTGACAATCCATGCATTGAGTACGCTCAAATCGATATTGATAGTTCACTATGGAACAAAACATACAGAAAACTCCAATACATTCGTCACATCTTCTAGAACAAAAATTGCAAATATTCCGAAAGCAGCGCTCACATGTTTGATAGTATGTTGAATGTGAACCTAGACAAATGACACACGAAGAATATGTACAAATACAGTTGTTTGGTGTCGGTTCCTTGTGAGTCTCCAAACTAGAAGTGCACTCGTACGAAACTTGAAAATAACGTTCAAGAGTATTGTTGGTTAGGTTAGGTTGTGGAATGTTGGGTTGACTATTTTCAAGTAGCGAATGGCTAGTAGTGGATGTAGGCTCTGTTTTTCCAAAAGGATGGCTATTCTGTTGAAGTTTCAAGAGAGCAGTTGAGGTGTTTTCATAAAGGCAGCTTTTTGATATCTTGCTGTTGTTACTCTCCATTTCAACAGTTTCTCGGATACGCTTATTAGACGACATTTTCATCATTTTCAATTGAAATAATTTGAAGCGCCAAAAGAAAACTTTTCCAAGAAAAATTGTTTTGAGTTTTGGGTTATATAAAATGAATGCTGCAGTTGACATTACTCAAGATATTTGTTTTCAGATAGCAGACCTCAAGTTTTATGCGAAAGAACTACAGGACAAAAGTGCTACAGAGAGGCTTAAGAAGATATTGTTCGATAGAAAAGCCTTGCCTTTGTTACAAGCTCTTGCCAAAGATTTGGTGAGTTACTGTGTTCTGTAGCTTCACTGGATCCTAACACTACAGTATTATTTTGGATAGCCTTCCATTGCCTTAACTCTTGCAGAAACAGATGCATTGAAGACGTCTAAGAGTGAAGAACTTTCAGCGATAGAAGAAAAGTTGAGAGTGAGAAATCTTACAAGATTCGTTATACTTGTTTCATTGTCTTTTTGTAGGATGCTGAACAGAATTTGGGAGAAAGTGAAGTTCAGGAAGCACTTGTTTCACGTGCAGACTTTTTTGCGAGAATAGGAAGCTTTCAAGACGCAATGGACGCCTATGAAAAAGCAGAGTCTCACGCGGTGGGAGTTGGTAGTAAACTGGATATTTTATTTTGTATCCTTCGACTAGGACTTGCAGATTGTATCAGTAAGAAACTTTTAGCAAAGACGTTGGAAAGAGCAAAGGATTTAGTTGAGAATGGTGGAGATTGGGAACGACGCAATCGTTTGAAAGTTTACGAAGCTACTTATTTGTTTCAGAAGAGAGATTTTAAGGGAGCTTCCAAATTACTGTTGGACTCATTGGCTACTTTCTCTGCTTATGAGTTACATTCCTATTCCCAGTTTATTTTTTATACCATTTTGTCCAGTTTGATTGCCGTTGATCGTCCTACTTTGAAAACGCAAGTAATAACGTCACCTGAAGTTCTATCTTGTGCCTTTCAGTTAAAGAATATTTTTGGACTCCTAAATGGACTTGTTGCATGTGACTATCATCAGTTTATGAATGCTCTACTTGGGTTGTTTGGAGAACTGGAACATGACCGATATTTGAAACCTCATACATTTTATATTATTCGGGAGTTACGAATAGTTGCATACCATCAATTTCTTATATCATATCAGTCGGTTACTTTGGAAGCCATGGCGAAGGCATTCGGTTTAAGTACGACATTTTTGGATAAGGAACTTGCTCGTTTCATTGTTTCAGGGCGTATCAATTGTAAGATAGATCGTATACAAGGAATTATTGAAACGAATAGGCCGGATACTCGAAATTCATTGTACCAACAAACTATCAAACAAGGCGATGTGGTGCTTAATAAGATACAGAAGCTTTCTCGATTTATAGATATCTAAAGTTTCAACTTAGTTTTGATCATCAGCTGTTGACCATTGCTGTTTACAATGCGTACAAACAAAATATAAAACAATTGCAGTGTCGTTACGTCCAACAGGTCCCATAAAATAAACTGCTTCACGGTTTCCACAGTGTGAACACTGTGTACTTCGTGTTCTTCGAAGAGTAGGGTCGAGCCATACGTCATACATTTGCAAAAATTTTCCTCTTTAAAACAAAAAATCTTTTGTTCAACTTCAAGTCCCAGAAAGGGCTTACCTGTTGGTTGAAGTGACTACATTTCGATAAACTGGAATTCCCAAGTCCTCCGCAACTTCCTTATGGGAACAGTTGCGACAAGCATATAACATTCTTCTTTCCCCAGTTTCCTGAAGATAGGCTCGGTCTTCCATAGGATATAACATATTGTTACATTCTTTACAAAACTTGACGGGCATATCGTAACACCACCACACTCAAAACACCACTTGAAAATAATAAATTTTTCATTCATTTGTTGGTTGTAGTTCATCATGGTAGTAAGTTACATATTGTGTGGCTTTTGCAGTTTTATGAACTCTCTTTCTAGTTGGTACTCACGATAGGAGATTTACATAGTATGCATATACTGAACCTACTTTACGTTGGATACATACTCATATACATATACAGTACCTAACCGAGTGGCTGCAGTTCCTCTCAAATTTCGAGAACTTCTTGTACCAGGAAAAATACAGCGAGTTTTGTGTACTGTAAGAAGCGCACGATGCTTAAACTTTCTTAATAATAATAATAATAATAATATTTCGTGGTTTGTTTAGGGAAACCTATGTGACAAAGAGACTGAAGAGTTTCTCAAAGTCATTTGTCCCGAAATACAGATCGTCAAAGGAGATATGGACGACGTAAGTGGATGTATATCTTTCAACACCCAACAAGTAAAAGTAGTGAATCCTCATAAAAAAAAAGGTTCAATCCGAGTATCCGGAACGTTGTGTTACGAACGTGGGACAACTTTCATTCGGTCTTTGCCATGGACACCAGCTGATTCCATGGAACGATCCAAACTCACTGGCGTCACTTCGGAGGTTTGCTTGGCGTATTATTCTGTTTAATTTAGCTTATAGTAAACATAGAGATATGGGTGTGGATGTACTTGTTGTTGGTCATTCGCATTCGTTGAAAATGACAGAAACTGTCGATGGAGGTCTTATCATTGATCCTGGAACTGTAAGTAAGAGAAACAGATGAGAAAATGACAATATTGACCACTCATTGTATTATTCAAGGCGACAGGTGCTCCAGTTGCTTATAGTTTGGAACCCAAAAGGTAGAGACTACAATTTCATTGCACTCTAATGAACACTTTTTATTTTGAAAAATTGTAGACCGTCTTTTGTTTTATTAGATGTTCAAGGTACCAAAATAATAGCGTATACCTATGAAATATATGGAGAGGTCTGTAAATTCTAGTGAAAAGGTAATATTGAATGAAATATTCTCTAGGATATCAAGGTAGATCGTGTTGTATTTGAACGACTTGCGAATACTACTTTCCAGTAGCGTGTTTTTGACAAAGAGAGAAATGAACCGATCCCTTTCTAGAGAAATCCTACGATCCTTCCAAGGGAAAAATGTTCTATGGACAATGATCGAATCTACCAATCAGTTTCAAATGACAATGGGACAAAGAATTTTGCCAAAACCAGCTTTAACGCCGCCATCTGCAAATTTGGGCTTTGAATGAGAAAAACGGAAAGGAAATCGGTTAAAGAATTTGTGGTTTGTGATTGATTGGCGTGGTGAAAGACAAATAAGTTTATCAGCTAGTTTTATCTTTTGAAAAGTTGGTTAGCCAATTCATTTCATTATTATCTTGTGTATTAAGAAAGTATTACAAGTTATTGTGTAAGCTGTGCTTGTTTGTTTGTTTCAAAAAGAACAGCTGCTGTAGTTTCTTCTTGAAACAAGTTTATTTTTACTCTATTGGTGAAAGTTTTCCCTTTGTATTTTTTCTTCAAGTTTTCACTTTTGTCACTTGTTTCCGTCTTTTCTTCGTTATATCCATATCATCATCATAATGAGCAAAGTTTCTGGAGGAGTTAAACAACTCTATCAGTTCTCTGTTTCTTCCCGGAATTCCTGGGAGCAACTGCAGCAAGCCAAGGAGCAGTTGCAGCCTTCACGCAACCTCCATGCAGGTATTGGTGGTAGAAAGAAGACTGCCCCTTTACTATTAGGAGTCCCTAATCGTCTAGCAGCAAAACCTTACAACGCAGTAGGAGGAAAATCTGCGGAAGGTTCTGCTAGAGGCTCGACACCCACGACAACAACAACAACGTCGGCTACTTCCCACTCTAATGAACTCACGACTGCTTCAGCAGTTTCACCTTCATATGTGGAAGAATATGAGTCTACTACTTTGCCATATAGTGGGAACAAGACTGGCAAGAAGCTTCAAGTTAATGACAGTGCAGCTACTTATGGTTCTTTAAGCACTCTTCATCTTATTCGTTCTTATTTGGTTTTGAAAATGGCGCAATTGCCATTAGTAGCAAGTGTTGGTCCCAAAATTTTTTCTGCCACTCAAAAATTGCCAAATGTGATGCGTCAACCTGCCAATTATGTTGTGAAGAAAACCTTTTTTGAACAATTTTGTGGAGGTGAGTCTTTGGTGGAAGCAGTTACAGCTACCCAAAGACTTCGGGACTCGGGTATTTCTTGTATTTTTGACTATGCTGCGGAAGGTTTGGTAGGAGAGGAGAACGTGTACGATTCGGCGGCTTCTGTTGTTGAGTCCACTATTCTTCAGGCTAGGGATATTGGTGCAGGAGGATTCAGCTGTATCAAAGTTTCTGCTGTATCACCAATGAGTGTTTTGGAAAAGGTTACTTGTTCTATTCACGGGAACGGTGGAATTACCAGTGTAGATCCTGAGTTGACCTTGAATCCCATGAATGTTCCCAATTTGACTCACGAAGAAGCAGCAGAATGGCAGCAAGTTATTTCTCGTTTAGACCGCGTTTGCAAGGCTGCGTATGAGAAGGGTGTTCCTATTTTAATTGATGCTGAGCAATATTATGTCCAAGAAGCCATTGAGTATCTTGCGTTAGGTATGCAAAAACGCTATAATAGGGACATGCATAGCCCTGCCATTGTCTATACCACTGTACAGTGTTATCTCAAATCAGCTGTAGACCGTGTGGAACAAGGCTTGGGTCTTGGTTCCAACTTGGACTTTAAATATGCTGCAAAACTTGTCCGTGGCGCATATTTGTTTTTTGAAAGGAGGTTGGCTTTGGAAAAGGGTTATTCTTCACCAGTTTTTGATTGTATAGAGGACACGCATCGTTGTTACAACGATATTGCAGCTAGAATGGTTTCTCAAGTTAGCAATAATAGTGCCTCTTTAATGCTAGCTACCCACAACTTAGATTCGGTGGAGAAGGCAGCAACTCAAATGGCTCAGAAGCAACTGCACGCTAGCAATCCTAACGTGTATTTTGCTCAGCTTTTTGGAATGGGAGATTCTATGACTATGGCTCTAGCTAAAGAGGGTTATAATACTTGCAAATATGTTCCCTTTGGACCTATAGAGGAGGTGATGCCCTATTTAACTCGTCGTATTGAAGAAAATCGAGATATCCTGGGCGGTGCTAGAAAAGAGGTCAGTTTATTTAGCGAAGAGTTGAAACGTCGTGTTCTTTTGAGAGCAGCTTAAATATTCTTAAAAGTCATGTTGTTATATAGTTTTATTATTTTTGGGATGAGAATATTGTCCATCGGGATTTCAAAAGTTAAAATAAAGAGGAATGTTGAATAGTTTTTTGAACAAGACAAGTTGGAAAGTTGTGTGGACTGGGGTTTCTTTTGTTGGAGTGGGAGTGGCTTTGTATTATCCTTTTAGGTTGCGTTCCTTGAAAAGTGACAAGTGCTGGAGTTTATCTGCTACCACCTTCTTTGCACCTTCATATTCAGAATGTGACTTGCGAGGTGTAGAAGAAACACAAAAACTTTTATCCAAACTTCCAGCTTCTCGTTTATTAGATCAACTTGCCACAGTTGAGTTTTTATTACGCTGGCCACGTTTTGCAATATTATATTATGAAACAAAAAGTCGAGGAAACTATCAAGTGATTCAACAAGATAACAAGAGCTTATTATTAGAACAATCTTGCTTTCCGCAGTTGTTTTGTTTGGATTCTTTTTCAATACAGCAAAAGAATAGTTCTCTTATCAACAACTTTGTATCAGATACATTGAACTGGTTACGTTCATTTCAATTAGAAAGTAGAAAGGATATGAATACTCTCTATCCAACAAACTTTTTCTATATGCGTATACAACACTTTTTTCCAGAAAGTTTGATTCTTCAACTAGGAAGATGTTTGGAAATATTAGAAAGTGAGAATGCACTACCAGCACCGGAAGTTGCTGACTCAAGTTATGACAGATGGCGAGAACTTGAACCCATTCCTATTGTTCCCAATGCTGAGTTATCTTCTATGGAATGGCAACAGTTGGACCGAGGTATTCTCGAGTTGGCTAAAGTTTGTCTATATACCTTCAAGAACTTGTCTTGTGCATGGATTGTGGATATGTCACCTCTAAATGTAAACTTGGCAATAACAAATCCTCAAGTTCATGAACAGTGGAACAAGGCTGTATCTTATCTATATGCTCATTTTGCGAAATGTTTTGAACAACACAATTGGCTATGGATAGCGGGAGTGAGTGATGAATGGTTAGATTTGGATATCTTTCTTAACACAACTAATCGACATAATGCACCTTGTCGGCTTTATTATAAGAATGAATGGATCAATTCTGAAGCTAAGAGTTTAGTAAAGGATAATTATCACAGTCATTCCAGATCATTTCCATTTCAAGTTTTGAAGGCAGTCGAACGAAATGCCATTCAATTGCTTATACTTCAAGTTCCTCATTTGTGGTGGTATCAACTAAGAAGTGGAGATATAAGAGACCCGCGAATTTTATGGCAAGTAAGTCATCATCATCATCAAGCATTGTATACGAACATTTTACTGATGATGTGGCTAGTGCTCTGATTTGGATCTATTGGGAGCAGCTCTTGTTCAAAGTAAGGTGTGACTACTTCAGATTCTCCTTTGTATCTGATTGGGATTGTATAGGACTTGGAGGAAATGTGCTTTGGTTCCACGTGCATAATCAAATGTTATCAGCTCTCCAATCCAACTATTGGCGTCATTGGATCTTGTCACCTTATCATCGTGCAGCATTCCAAATTGAAAGGCAACTTATCAAGGAACAACTCACCAACCTTCCTCTTTGAAAACAAATTGGCATCAACTGAACATTCTTCTATATATCCACCATGTAAATGAAGAAACAACCATCAATACACTGAGAGACATCCAATGTGAAAGCATTTCAAGTGCTTTTGAAAGGTGACTCAAAAGTAATTTGCTTGTCAACCATCGTTGAGATATGATTCCTACCAAGTGATGAAACATTTGAAACCAGTCAAGTATACGTAAAGCAATTTGGACGGGAACCATTCCTTCTGGAGAAAGGTTTACGGAAGTATCATAATATCTTTTGGCTAAATGGAAATCTCGTGCGAATCCGATACCATTAAAATACATATAACCCAAATTGAAAGATGCTTCAGCATTGCCCATTTCTGTTGCCTTAAAGTAACTATGAATACAAAATAGTAAACAAATATAAATCATCAAATATGATATACTTACGCTTCTGCAGCTTTTCTGTATCCAAGAGAGTGGTTATTATCCAAATATCCATCATAAAACAAGTCACCAATCTTTAGTTGTGAATAGGGGTTTCCTTGTCTAGCAGATAATCGATAATAATAATGTGCATTTTGATAGATAGCCAAATCCTTTGAGGAAATGGATGAATGGAAACCCAAACGAGACTTCCAATATTGTATTTTTGAATATATATTTCTTTTACCACCATAAGCTAATCCAAGCCCATGTTCATACATATATGCTGCATTATATTGAGCTGTTTCCACTCCAGCAAGTGCAGCTTGAACATATCGAAGTAATGCTGTGCCATAATCACGAATACTCATAGCTCGAAATGCACGACTCATTAAATAAGTAGGTCGGCCTCTTTGAGCCACATATTTGAAGTATAACGCTGCTTTAGTACATCGATCACCTGTTACAATAACACTTGGTTCTGAAAACACCAATTCCCCTAATCGATATGTAGCATGAGAATGTCCATGCTTGGAAGCTTTTAAGAAATAAGAATATGCATTTGGAATATTCTCATATTCATCCAATCCCTTCCAGGACAACATACCCAAATTATATAAAGCATCCACACTGCCTTTACTTGCAGCCTCTCGAAACCAATGTACAGCTTCACTGATATTCTTCAGAGTTCCTATGCCATAATAATAACAATAACCAATGGCATTATATGCTTGTGCATCTTCCACTTGAGCTGCTTCATGAAAGAGTTCCCATGCCACTGTTTCATTCTTTTCTCGACTAGCCAAACCAAATAAGGAAAATACACCTAAAAGCGTATTTGCTTGAGGATAGCCATGAAGAGATGCTCTTTCAAAATATTCTGCAGCTCTTTCAAAGTCTTGACTGACTCCATACGCACCTGAAAGAAACAATTCTCCTAAAAAGAGTTCCGATTTACCATCATTATTTTCTGCTTCATGATATTTGTATTCAATAATGTCATTAGTTGCTTGACGGTCCTTGATCCAAGCTTCATGATTAAATAACAAAGTTACTTCTCCTGAAGAATAAGGCAACGAAGGACGTCCCAATAAACTAAGACCAACATCTTTTTCTGAAGTAATATTCACAAAAAACGCATTGAATGGCGATAAGCTAGAAATATAGGGTTCTATAAAACTCTGACGGATAGTTTGCCAAGCTGCTCTCTTATAATAATAAACACTTTTGATACAATCTCGTGGCACTCCAATTCCATACAAATAACGAAAACCTAGAGCACTTTGTGCATAATCGGACCCTCCTTCCGCTGCAAATGTCCACAACAACAAGGCAATAGTATATTTTTGCTCGCTTTCTAGTTCCAAGAGCTCTTTTAAATGATTAGTAAAGAAGCCACTACGTAATCGATTCAAAGACTCTAAAACGGAAGTATTCTTGATAAAGGTAATGTGGTTTCTGGAAAACCAATTGGACAGAAATCGTACTCGAGTCCATAAACTTTTAGGTTCCATATCTACCGAATGAAGAAGAGTATTTGAAAAGGAACTTGCAAATATAATACCCAGTAATGCTTGTGCATCAGGATTTCCATAGTCTGCAGCCTTTGCAAGAAATAAATAGGAGATGGATAAATTCTGTGGTATACAATCACTCAATCCGGACAAATAAAGTGCACCCAAAGTGACCATACAACCATCATCTCCTTCTATAGAGCCTAATATGAAGCTTTCAACTGAAAGAAGAGCAAGTCTCTTGGCTTCGTTCATGGGATCCTTCAAAAGCGCCAAGGTACCTAGAGGACTTTGTTGATCCTGTAAAATGTGAATAGCTCTATTCAAATAGTCTACACCTTGTTCAAAATATGACGTTCGATTCCTATTCTGTTCAGTAGTCAATAGTTCCAACAGTCTTGAATACAACTGATAAACGTTATGAGTTGAGTAGGAAATATGTTCAAAACTCCAGTCCTTTTCTTCTTCCTTGGACAAAGGAACCGTTTTACTCGAAGGTATCAATGAGATAGGTATTCTCGCAGTTTTCTTTTCTCCTTGCAAAACTTCAATCACCGAGTCGGGATATATTCTACTAGAGTTTAACATAAAAGAAATTGCAGTATCATTGTGAACATAAACTTTCGAAACTTGACTTCCGTCTATCAAAACTTTTAGAGGAGGCTCCCTTTCTAAATTGTCTAGAGAAACGTTGTCTTCTCTTTCATACTGTCCCTCACCATAGCCAATCATACGAGCTTTACCAAAGTTTTTGCCAAGAATTGTAAAGTTCTGTGCTTGTTCAGAATATTGATCGATGGAATCACTTTCTCTAGTAGCGTAAGAAGAAGACTCGAACAAAGAAGAATCATGAGGTTGAGGACTTTCATGAGCAGAAAGGGTAGCGTTTGTATTCAAGTTGGATATCAAAGGGAGGTTTTCAGCCGCAATATTTTGCGAAGAAAACAATAAATAAATGAAAAAAAATAAAACAATGCAAGTTGAATGACTCTGAACATTCCTTTTATGTATCATCGACATCCAAAAACAACACACAACTAACAACGGCTTTGAATAAAAATCGATTTCTTTTGAGAGAGAGATTATAAAAATAATGTCGAGTTTCCTGTTTGTGGAACCTACATGGACTTCAACCTTTCTCAGACCATATAAAGAGAGGCAGAAGAGTTGTCTGTTTTCTAAAAACCTGTATAATACTAGTAAATGGATGAGGCAGTATTCAAGTTCTTGTCGTTTTCGTGTTGTTGTTGGGCCTTGTATGGTCTCTACAGAACCTCAGAGAGCAGAGACTCCCAAAACAAACGAACCAGGTTCTGGTAGGATAAAACCAACTTCTGATCCTTGGAATCCTTCTTTCCGTAGTATCCCAACCTATCAAGAGTGCTTCCCAAACTCTACGAAGCATTTCAAGCCTGTAAAGCATGCAGAAACAGGAGAAACTCTGTGGATTCCTTTTCGTAGAATCCATCTGTCAGGTGGAGAGCCACCTTTTGATACTTATGATACTTCTGGACCTCAGAATATAAGTCCTTATGAGGGTTTGCCAAAGTTGAGGAAGAGATGGATTGAAAGAAGGGAAGCTAGGAGTGACCCAGTATTCACACAAATGTATTATGCAAAGAAAGGTATGATTACAGAAGAAATGCTTTATGCTGCGACCAGAGAAGGGTTAGATCCCGAATGGGTTCGAGCCGAAGTTGCAAGAGGACGAGCGATCATTCCTTCCAATCGGAAACATTTGGAGTTGGAGCCTATGGTCATTGGGAGAAACTTTAAAGTTAAGATCAATGCGAATATTGGAAACAGTGCAGTTACTTCTTCTATAGAAGATGAAGTGGAGAAGCTTCAATGGGCTACTTTATGGGGAGCGGATACTTTGATGGACTTATCCACAGGAAAACATATTCATGAAACTCGAGAATGGATTATCCGAAATAGTCCTGTTCCTGTAGGTACAGTTCCTATTTATCAAGCTTTAGAGAAAGTGGGAGGTGTTGCCGAAGAGTTGTCTTGGGAAGTATTTCGAGATACTCTGATTGAACAGGTATTGCTAGTTTCCTTTTGATTTTGTTGAATGCTTTTTCTATATTTACTCAAAAATATATATAGGCAGAACAAGGTGTAGATTATTTCACTATTCATGCGGGTGTATTGTTGAGATATGTTCCTCTGACTGCAAATCGTTTGACGGGTATTGTGTCTCGTGGTGGATCGATTCATGCCAAATGGTGTCTTGCACATCACAAAGAAAACTTTGCATATGAACATTGGGACGAAATTTGTGATATTATGGCTCATTATGATATTGCTTTTTCTATAGGAGATGGTCTTCGTCCTGGAAGTATCAAAGATGCCAATGATGAGGCACAATTTGCTGAACTTTATACACAAGGAGAACTTACAAGAAGAGCATGGGAGCATCATGTTCAAGTAAGTGCAATTATACATTCAGAATGAAGTTATCGAAATATGTTATGAAAATTTAGGTAATGAATGAAGGACCTGGACATGTACCTTTACATAAGATTCCAGAAAATATGCAAAAGCAGTTGGATTGGTGTTCAGAAGCTCCTTTTTATACTTTGGGTCCTTTAGCAACTGATATTGCTCCAGGCTATGACCATATCACTTCTGCAATAGGAGCTGCAAATATTGCCACTTTGGGAACAGCACTTTTGTGTTATGTAACTCCCAAAGAACATTTGGGTCTACCCAATCGAGAAGATGTCAAGGTATGTTTTGATAAGAGTCATGGCATATGATAATAACTCCAAGGCATTTAGGCTGGTGTGATAGCTTACAAAATTGCAGCTCATGCTGCAGACTTGGCAAAAAGTCATCCATTGGCACAACAATGGGATGACGCACTTTCAAAGGCACGCTTTGAGTTTCGTTGGGAAGATCAATTCAACTTGTCTTTGGATCCAGTTTCTGCAAGATCAATGCATGATGAGACACTTCCCTCTGAAGGTGCTAAAGTGGCACATTTTTGCTCCCTGTGTGGGCCCAAATTCTGTTCTATGAGAATTACAGAAGATATCCGTGCCTATGCTAAGCAACACGGATACAATTCGGTGGAAGAGGCCCGAAAGAAAGGTATGGAGGAGAAAAGCAAAGAATTTCTTTCGACTAGGAAGACTGTGAGTGGCGAACAAGTAGGAGAGACTGGTGGAGAAGTGTATGTACCTCTAGAAAGAACTAATAATCCTTGAGTGTATCTAGAATGGTCGAAATAAAATCGTTTCTTTTCTGACGTTAAAATAGGCGAAATATTTTGTTCCTGTATTGACGAGGAGTCTACTTGAAAGAGGTTTGTCAAGACACCAAACCGACTCAACCATTACTTATGACAAAGTACTTTTGTTCTTAGGCGGCCTCTTATGAAGTCTTGGGAACTCTATGTCTCAAGGAGGCTGCTGGGCTTCTCGAAGGGGAGTTCTTGACAACTTGCTCCTTCTTTTGTTCCTTATTCTCTGACTTCTCCTTCGCCATGGGCGCTTTATTACTATCCTTGTACAGAAGAATGCAAGTAAACAACGTCGTTAAAAGTACAAAGGCGCCAAACCAAACTCCGAGAACCAACAAAAGTCTATTGGAAGATGTCTGCCATCTATGATTCAACTCTTCAATAAATATTGCCCAAGGCTTTGTTAGAACTTTGAGAGACTCTTTGACGATGGTTTTTATTCGTTTTTGATTTTGTTCCATCGACAACAAGGAACAAGGATGCCTCTTACCCAAACCCACTCTTCTTTTGAAATAATGATAATGTGGGGGTTTTTCAAAAGCTACATTCTCCTCTTTAGGATACTTATCACACTAATCTTTTGCAGATTTTGTTCAACTGCAAGTATGACCTAAAATCATTTCAGTGGTATTCCATAAATGGGGATGCTAGAGAAATCAAAGCTTCTTAAAGTAACTCTCTCGGTCACTTCTTACGTCATCTTTTTTACCCGCTTGTTCCTTTCAGTTACTTTATTCAACAGGTTTGAAAGAGAAGCTACTTATTAATCAATTGAATTTACTGCACTTCAAACTAATAAACTCTATGTCTGCTTTTTTTCTGTCCGTTTTCAAAGACTTGGAGACGGACATTCAAGCCATTTCCTTCTTGTTTAAAACCTAGTCAGCCATGAGAAGGAGAGACCATTATTATATGAGGGAAAATTAAAAAGGGAAACAGAGAGAGAAAAATAAAATGGAATAAAAATCCTTGGACAACGAAACACGTTTTGCTTCCACTGTGATGAGGGCCAATCATCTTCGTTCCTCCCTTCCCAAAAACGTAAATCCAAAGAAATAAAAATAAAGAATAAAAATAACGGCGAATAGAAGGGGGCAAGGAGAGATAGAAAGAGAAAACTGTGCTTCTCTCCAAGAAATAGTCTAGTTTCACAACACTTTGAAACCCTTGAGGTTTTCCTATATAGTTCATGGGTTCCTTTGAAGAAATTTTTGGTGCTTGGACAGAGGATTGGGAGTTGGAGAGTTATCAGTTTGCCACCGAAAGCAAAGAGCCTTCGTTCACGGAAGTTCCCTTTGAGGACCTTGGAAAACTAAAGTGGAGTGGTAACTGTATCCATGCTTTTGAAGGGCAAACCAGTCCTTGGTGGCGTCAGAATGGCTCTAACTGTCCTTTTTCGTTGTCAAGTGAAGCTAACAGACAAGACACCTTGGAAATATCAAGTAGTGTGAGTCACTCATGTTCTGATGAATCACCAAACGTGCCTCTGGTAACCAGTAAAGAGCAAGATGACCACTTTGAACAAGTGTTTCGTGACAGTCTAATACAGTATGATGACCCAACTTGGGATCCACCCTGGGAAGACAATAGTTACCATTCTGTAATGATGACATTATCGGAAGACGGAGACTATGTCCCAAAGGAACCTTCCTTACATTGTCCAGGAAGGAGAAGAAAAAGGCAATTAGAAACTTTTCCATTGGAACACTTGAAAGATCTAAAAGGCTCAACATCTGCAGAAGGTCGGAAAATGACTGCTGAGGAGAGAGCCTTAATGCTGTATAAGAGGAAATTGAGAAACCGGAATTCTGCTGCTCGCTCGAGACGAAGAAGAACGATAATTTTGAATGAGATAATTGATCAAGTGTCTTCTTTAAAGACATTGATAAAGCAATTGCAATGCCGTTTATGTTTGTATGAAGGGAAAGGGTGTTTATCAAAAGTGGACGCAAGATTTGAAGAAGTTCGTACACATCTATTTACTCAGTTGAAAAGGTTACTTTCTGTCGAATATCAGGTGGCTGTATTGAGAGCCAAACTTATGGGGACAAAGGTAAAGGGGAACTTTACTATTGAGAAGCAACAGTGGGAGAATACGACAGAAAGATCCTTTTCATTTACTAGTGTTTGAATTTGGATAGTTTACATTGTTGTAATTTAGTTTTCAATCAATTTTATACAAGAAGAAGGATAAAGAAGCTTGGATCTCTTGGCAGATCCAAAAGGAAGATGAAATTTTCTTCGAGACAAAATTCACAAGAGGGCCAATCAAACAATCTCCAAAGGGATGATGGATCGTAATGTCAGATTGAGCCGTTGATGCCTTTTCTTTCTATGTACTGCACTTCACCATAGTCTGGCAAATGAGCTCTGAAAAGTTTGGTTTCAGAAGCAACACTGGAGATACTGTATTTACGGGTCTACTTGCAGCTTCTAGTGGACATGAACTCAGACATTTGTCGGGGACTACTTCTGCTAGGGCCAGAAGGATGAGCACGGAAGAGAGGAATCTTGTTTTGTTAAAGAGGAAGTTGAGGAACAGAGCTTCTGCTGTTCGATCACGGAAACGTCGTTTGGCAATCATTGAACAGTTATATGCTCAGCTGATCGAACTATCACTTTTGGCTTCACGACTGGAAGAAAGATTGAGAGCCCTTGAGTTGGGGAGACTTAGGATGGAGTCTTTTGCAAACCATTCTTCGGAGGTTGGTGAGAGTGAGTATTGGGAGGAATCAGTACCATTTCAAGAGGAGTTTTATATGGGAGAACCCGTGGTACTGCTGTTTGACTCCTCTCCTTTATTAGCAAAATCTTTTGCCGATTGGTCGGTGTCTCCTAGCGACTTGGAACTGGAAAACTATTTTAGTTTAGATCTCAATTATCCTAATAATAGCATATGAATGGTGACGTATCTCTTTACTTTGCAAATGGAAATGTTCTAAAGTATACGATTGGCATAAAGCTTTATAACAACCATTGTGTTTCAGCTTTTTCAACATTGTTTTCTTTATATCCATTTCCTTTTCGACAAAAGGACTAAAAATGCCTGATGACTTATATTAATCTAATCCCCCATATCTTTATATAGTCAAGTATTACAATATAACTTGTGGATCATAAAAACGCGCTCTAAAACATCCTCAACAATCTTGTCAGGAGTACTAGCTCCACTAGTTACACCAACAGTAACAGGTCCCTGTTTAAGAAAGTTTTCCTTTTCAATCAACTCTTGACTGGAAGATGAACGAAATACAATGCGGTTTTGGGGACCTATACAGGAAATGAAATATGTTGTAATGAGCTGAAATCATTTCTTCTTCATACTTGAGCAAAACTTACCTATCCTTTCAGGTCCATCGATATAATAACTGGGAATGCCTTTTCTCTCAGCAATTTCTTGCAAATGACTAGTATTGCTCGAGTTGAATCCTCCCACCACTAAAACTAAATCCAATGGTTGTTCAATGAGATGTAGCATAGCGTCTTGACGTTCTTGTGTGGCATCGCAAATCGTATTAAAAGCAATGAAATGTTTAGAAAGTTCCTGAGGTCCAAACTTTTTCAACATAGTTTCCTCAAATAACTTGGCAATGGCGTTTGTCTCATTCTTCAACATTGTAGTCTGATTGGCAATTCCTACAGCTTCCAAATCCGTATCTGGATCGAAACCTGAAGAAATGGCGTATTTAAATTTTGAAATAAACTCATTTTTGTCTCCTCCATATAGTATATATTTACAAACATATTGTGCTTGTTCTATATTCAAAACAATAATATATCTAAAGTATTATTCAATGAACTGAAATGTACTCATAACTATCATACTTACTTTTCCGAAAAGGAAGCAGTGGCAATAGTTTCTTCATGATTCCACTTGCCGTGAATAACAGAAGTACAGTTTGCTCTTTTGTGTTTATCCACTGAATTCCAGACTTTAGAAACCCAAGGACAGGTAGTGTCCACTATCTGACAACCGAGGTTGGAAAGATATTCCATCTCACTCAACGTGGCACCAAAAGCAGGCAAAATAACTACATCTTCACTGGAAACTGCACTAAAATCTCTCACAAAATCTTTATGTGGTACAAACTGCACATTTAACTCAGCCAATCTAAGAATAAATACTGGTGAGCACGAAAGCCGGCAACTAGTAAACCAGATACCTTGCGTTCACTTTGGGATTGTGAATGATTTCGTTGGTAATCCATATTTTCTGTTTAGGAAAGTGTTTTCTTGTTTCTAAAGCCATAGCAACTGCTCTTTCGACTCCCCAACAAAAACCATACGAGTCTGCTAGCTTCACAGTCACTTGACCACTGCGGATTTCATTGTTTCCTGCTTTCGCTTCTTGCAAAAGCGTGGAGGAAAATTCCGAGTTCATGAGTAATTGCGTTGCCTCTTTCTCTTCTGCAAAGCCCCTACGGTTGAATTTTTCGGAAGACGTCAACTTCCGACGCAAAGCTCGCTTATCCAAAGACTCTTCAACAAGACCATGTTCTTCACGCCTATTTTGTTCAACGCACTGCACCAAAAATGGCCTCAGTGTTTTTGACTTGCAGTTGAAGCAAACCCTCTTTTTCTTTTCCCAACTTTGAAAACTGAGAGTGACATATCGCAGATACACGAAAACCATTTTTGGGTTATAATGATTGGCAGTGAGAGTTACTTGTTGATCTCCAATGGGATGGATTTCTTTTACAAAGTGAGTTGACAACATTGTAGTTGAAAACTTGTTATAGTAGTGTCATAGCTGTGTGTATCAGAAGCTTTTCTAGGAGAGACTTTTAAAAGTACGTAGAGTTGGTTTTACACTGCACCTAGTGTGAAGACGTTGGTTACATAGTTGCTAGTCACTTTGACGTGGAATAGCTTTCCAAAATTTTTTTTCTTTGTCTTCCTTCTTGAAATGGCACTTGTGTGACGTACCTACCTACCTTGCAAAATTTGTAAAGTAGCAAGAGCTATTCAAGTATGTAAGATTCTCTGACGTCCTAGTTGCAAGTATTTGGAAAAGAAGAGAGACTTTGTTATTCATACAGGATTCGTCTTGGTGTGAAGTTATTTCTCGTCGTTGACGAGGTTTTCTACGGCAATCTTGTCTTCTTGATCCTTTTGGTCTGCAGAAGACCTACTTTTTGCTTCTAATCTTGCAGCAAATTCGCAGTGTCTAGTATGATATCGACAATTAGGTGGCCACAACTCATCTTTACAACCTGAACAAGTCATTTGGAACGTTTGAAGATTTGGTATCACTCTTACCTACCTTTACATATTACAAATCTCGGCCGTATTGACGGTGCATATATAGCTGGATTCACTCGACGAGCTTCTCTTTCTGCTTTTGTCTTTTTCCTTTTCTTTATTGTAAAACTGCTACTCGTAGTGTCTGTTGTGTAAGTATTCTCAGTGGACGAGCAGTTGCTGTTAGAATCTCTATCTTCTGACGTTTGTCTCGCTCTGAAGATACCATCTTCCTCCGGTAATGAACTCGTTATCAAAGCTGACATTCTCGTCATATCGGTATGGATAAATGTTTTTGTTGGACAAGCTTCTTGTGTCGTTGAGGTGTTCATTCTCCAGCCTATTTTATCACCAAGTTGATGAGATTGCCAGTCGGATTGTTTGGTTGCTTGCGTATCCTGGAGTCCTGGGGTAAGCCAATCTTGGGTTGTTTCTGTATATTCATTGGGATGCTCAAAATGGCCTTCGTCTTCTCGCTCACTAGAGAGAAATCTCTTCATATCCAATCTGTTAATAGAACAGCAACCCATAAAGCAAGTATTCAAAACCGTGTTGAAGACATTTCAGATAAAGCAAAATTCGTAGAAGAATCGTAGGTGTAGTCTCTTTGACCCAAAATCGATTGCACAAAGTATATGAGCATTTTGCCACAGTGGCTTGTGAAAGAGGGCCGGAAGCCCCATCGCAAAGAGGGGCAATAAGATCTATGTCCATACGACTATAAATGCTGATTGGTCTAGGGAAGGAAAACAAAGACACAAGTTTTTCATCAACTCCACTTGTTCAATAACACAAGAAAAGTTTCACAGCGTTGAAAACTTCGAACTTGTCTGTTGTTTCATCACAAGATACTCAAGGTATATGAATACTTGCTAGTTTATCGAGGTTGGAAGTACCTTTTATAGAGAAGAAACGTTTCTTGGCAAAATCTCCAAGTCTTTATTTTCATTTCCTTGTAGCTAAACTATTGAAAAGGGCTTGTGTTACCCCCCCCCCCATCTATTTCTTACTTGAAGCAGCCTATCCCCTCTTTTTAAACTTTCTCTTTATTCTCCTTATTGAATTAGGTTGTAAAGGAAATATTGTTTCATCGCAAATTGTTTTTATGAAAAATAAAGCAGAGAGGAAAAGAAAAAACTGACTTTAAAAGCTTCATAAAGAATTGGAACGTTTTGATGAAATGGATATGGCTTTACATTTCTTCAGACTCGATTTGGAATTTATGTTTCGATTGTGACCATATTCATTCACATGGTTATTCCCAAGTGTAGATTGGAAAAGTTGACAGATAGTTGGTGTAGAAAAGTCCTCAAGAGTTCACCGAGTCTTTCTCCAGCCAAAGGTTATTGTGAAGTAGCTTTGTTCACTCAAAGGTTTCTGCCTCGTGTACTCCTGTTCCCACCATGTAATCGAGTGCTACCTTTGCTATCCATTTTTAACAGAACCATTTCTTCCACTCCCTTTTGTGGAAGTTGCTTCTTTCAACAGTCTGCAAACAGGTTCAGTGCTATATCCAAAATTTGCTTTCTCATTATGTTTTATTTTGTTTTACCATACAGTTTATGTGGTTTGTTTGTAAGTTTTGATAGCAGCGTGGTTTTTCTTAAGTTGTTTCAAAAACTTGTTGTTCAAAAGGACTAGTCTATGAGACAAACGGCAAAGGTTAACTTGTTAGCTATATCCTAATGACTGAAATGGTGTTTATTGTTTCACTCAAAGTCACTTTTCAAAATAGTTTCCCATACAAGTAGACTGTGTTTTTTTGAATGGTAAGAATACTTGCAAACAGAAACTATTTGGGTAGCACATCTAGTAACGAAATCCTTAAAAAAAACACCTATCGAAAACACATTTACGAAGCAAACGATTTTAAATGTCTGGACGAGACGAATGTTTTCGTTTTACTAATAAAACTTTCACAAATAAAGCACAACATCAACTTTTTACCTTTTTTTTGAGAGTCCAACTATCTTTGTCAATAACTGCAACAAAAAGTAGCAGCACTTATGAGCAACAGTTTGAAAGGATTTGCTTTGATAAATAGGAAAATGGATATACCGTTTGTTTGCACACGACAACTTGATATTTATTTCAAGACCTTCTTTAGTGTACAATTGAGGTTTTTTGGTTGACTCCAATGTACTTTTTCAATTTTGAATTACACGGATAGTCTTTTATACGGAATTGAAGAAGGTATTTCGTGAAAGAGCACTTTATATGAAGTGTCTTGAGAGAATTTATTCGGAACCTTTATGTTCATGAAAAGTTTTAAACATTTATATAAGAATTTTTCAAGTAAGATCGATAGAAATATCTAGATATGTACAACACTGACATGTATTGCATGAAAAAGTCTCTTTCCAACTTTCATAAAACAAGGATGAAAAATCTTTATGGTAGCACATTTGTGTTGGCAAAATGCAACAACACAACAAGAGAAACGCAGTCACTCTATAAAATTGACAAAACCATTTATCTTATCTACAACAATATTTTTCAAGTATGCCTTTTCTTTGATGGAGACGCTTTCCTTGTGTCAAAAAAGTTTTCTGTTTCTTCTTGAACAAGGAGAAACCTCAGAGCCCATAATGTAATGGAACCATCAAAGCTATTGAAGCATTCTTTTCAAAGCAAGTGAATGGACATACTTGTCGTGAACTGAATACTTGGAATAATCAGCATACAGCAAAATGTTGGACTTTATAGTCATATTTGATCGTGAAGTGATTTTCTGTAATGATTAAGAGACCTCTCACTGGAACGGGAATTGAACTTGCATGAAACATCAACAATTGCAACTATTCTTTAGTTGTTCTTTCATGCAACTTGAACGATGCATTTGTATTAGACAATGTTGAATTGACTTGAATATCAATCTCTTGATGTTCTTAAACTTTGTCCAGTATCCAGAATAGCTTTGATATCATATATGTTTGACCCAGAAATAAAATGCAATTGTATACAATTCTAAGAGGGAGATAACCGAAAAAATAAGGAGAACAAAATAAAAAGTTTCCAGTTTTTCATCCTGAGAGATGAAAGTAAAACTTGGTCGCTAAATAGGAATGAAAAATAGAAAAAACTAGCAAAGGCTAAAGAAACTGAAAACAAAATGGAGAACCATGGAATAACTAAATTATCTTTGGAATCCACAGCAAATTAAAAACCTTTCCTTTGTAAAATTTAAATATAGAAACACTGGTTATTAAAAAAAAAAGATATGAGCCAACGCACAATTGCAACACAGGTATACTACATTGGCATGTCTTTTGTTTTCTTTTCCGATCTATATTGTTGTGCAATTGATATCGTTGGACCCTTCCACTTGTTGAAAAACTCAATCAGAAAATTTTTCCTGTGTTTCAAGGCCCTCTTTAAACAGCACAAGGAGCAAACGATCCTAGAGTGAAGTAAAGTGTGGAATGGAATAGATCTATTGAATTCTTGTTTTGTATCCCGATGAAGAACACGCTAGTCAAGACAGCAATATTCTTCTTATATAGTACATTCCACTTTGGGTTTTGAATAGTTTTTTGCTAGACCACCCAATTGTTTTTAGACATTTTAGGAAGAACAAAGTATTTTTGTCCCAATATTTTGTAGTCGCTATCAACCATATGAAAAAGGTCGTAAAGAGTACTGCTTGTTTACTTATTCAAGAGGGTCTTTTTGAATCATAGGGGTTTCTCAAAGTAATAAATATAGTTTTCGTTCTCAATAGAAACCGTTTGGACTTGGCGTCTAAACTTCATTGTGTGTGTGTACACACACAGAGAGAGAGAGAGAACACTTGAAATCCATTGTGGACGAAATGATCTCTGTGCTTGTATACAAAGTCAATCATGGCACCTTGTATCAGTATTCGTTTTGGCAGAGTTGTTTGTTTGTTTTGAAACAAAATCTGATATTCATAAGAACTCAGAACAGTCCAAGAAAGTCTAGAGATATTTGAGTTGAAGTGTTCTTGGAAGTATTGTAGCTACGTAAAAGAGCTGCTCATAAAAATACTTGTTGAAAAACTATCTTTATGAGCACTTGTACACGTCCTAGTACTTGTCAAAGAGATTTTATTATACCCTATCCTACTCGTCTTGCTTTAAGCGTTAAACACTCTAAGAAAAAACTTGATTCACCTCACATATTCAAAGGTTCCTCTTTTGTTGTCAAAACTGACTATTTTCTATGATTCCAAACGAAACTATTGAATTCTTCTATTGTTTAAAAAATGTCATATTTCCCAAGGCAATGAAACTTGTCGAAAATTATTTAAAACTAGAAGCAAAGATCTCCAATTTCTTCTTCTCGTATTGCATAATGGCAAGGTATAGTAAATATGCGTACGAGTAATGTCCAATTACGAATTGGGAGAGTATTTTTAGTTGTACAACTATTGTTCCGACTGAATTGTTTTCTGAAAAGTTTGGCAAAGTTATCTTAGAAGTAGCAATTGGGGAACAGAATTTGCCAGTTGAAAGAAAAGTTGCTCCATACTTTCTTCTTCCGTCTTTTTTTGATCATAGGAACGAAATAAAGTTGATTTATTTGCTATAACAGTTACAAAAGAGTGTAAAAAAAGCAATTTCTCGTTGAACACAGTAGTTGAATTACTGTATACCATTTACTTTATTTACACAAGTCAACTCTTCAGATCGCCACACCCTAAAATATTCTAGACTCGTTGGTTACAGTCAAACTATTTGTACCGCAAAGGTTGCTTGGTTTTTCAAATATTGTTGATCTCTTACAATTTGGACGATTCAATAGACTACAATCCATGTACAAGGAACTAGAAAGAATATCAAAAGAGTTGTTGGCAAAAGTTTCATAGAGGTACAACAACGACTCGAAAGTTATCAGCAAACAATCTATCTAGTCCAATTCCACCTCATCCTGAGAGCAAACGCAATTATAGTGAACTTGCTACTATTGTTCTTTTTACAAGATGATGAACTTGAGCAAAAACGGCAGTAGCTTGATCTATTGAAGAAGAGTGTTTTGATACACAATGACGCTTTGAAATGATCAATACAAGCAAAGAAATTTTATAGCAGACAAAAGGTTGTACTAGAGATATTAATAGAACAGAAAAAAAGGATTCACAAGTCATTGATCAACTCGCGAGTTTGTAGTACCACATTATCCAAATACACTAGTAGTAGTTTAGACAATTCTAAAAACAGGCCTGGATATAAAGCCGTGAACAAGAAAAGCATATCTACAAAACTGCGACCACAAAAAACCACGAGGAAAGATGATCTTGCTATTTCCTTTGAACAACGTTTTCTTCTATTGAGAAAGACCAGTTGAGTTTTGTGTCTGAATTGTTCGACTTTGACTTGAGAATCTTTCCAGTCTGTTTGAAAACCCTTGTCTAATATCAAGTCAGTGTTTCTAATCACTCTCATTGACTCAACAGACGTATGTATTGTCTCCTAGAAACTTGAAAACCTCTCCAACTTTGTGAGTTTTGTTTCACAACTTGAAGAAAAGAGTGGATTCTGTTACCCTTTGAAGGATTTTCAACGCAATGGCTAACAGGAAGAATTGTAAAAAGAATCTAGAACGTAGAAACTGCACAACTATTGGTTCCAAGCCTTGACTTGTTCCGTAGTTGACTGCAAAATACTTGAATTGTATTTTCTAGTGTTGGCAATTTTATCTTGTCTGAAATTGTCATATTCCTTTCCTAGAGTGATAAAGAAAGTCAAGGTAGATAGAACTGCCACATATGTAAAGTAGGGAATAAAAAGTTTTAAAGTGTCAAACAGACACAACTAGCAAGTTGACAAGCAGAAAATCCAATGCTGTAATTACTA